AGGGCATATTTGGGCATCTAGAGAATGTTCTACTATAAATTATCTGCATCGATCAGTCGTAGTCGAAAGACTAATTATAAGCAGGAAAGATAACTAACTACTATTATAAAAAATCGACAATGAAAAACTGATACTCATATTACGAGAGTTTAATAGATCCCAAAGTTGCAGAGCGGAAAGGCGCAAGGTAATTATTTGCTTTAATCTTTAAGAAATTTACTACTCTTAAAACTAAGTTTCCCTTCCATATATTCATTGTAGCAGCTAAGTTCAACAAACTTTCCTTCTAAGTGCCCCATCTTCTAACCCTTGGGGAATCAAAGCGGGTCAGCCTCCATCTTTTGCAAACAAAATTCATTACACAATTACACAGTTCAGCTCATCAAATGGCTAGGATGATTGGCGGTAGTGTTTGCGTTCAAGTGTATAGCTTTCTAGGTTCCTTTATCTGTATCGGTGGGAAAGATATAATTAGATAAAGAGGCTCCTTTCAATCATCCCAAGGTGACCCCACCATCTGTAACATGACTTAAGTATCCATACTGCTCCACTTTATTATTATAATGAGGATATCAAAGGGGTGGGGTGATTGCTCTGTAAACCACACCGAGGCGGATATTGTTGTAATTGTAACAGAACTTGTTCTTCAGTGGACATGTTTCTTAATGATACTAACTGAATTTGTGTTAGCTGGTATATATGATAGACTTCAGATCAGATAATTGTTCTAATATCAAGGTGAGAAATGCTCCAGTACTTATAGTAGAATCTATAACACTTCTGAGACAACCTTGATACAAAACACTCAAGTCTGCATATATACATGTATCATCTGCATTATCATGCATATAGTCACATGACATAGTCTCGACTAACATCTCAACAGATATATACGATGTTTAAGCTAGCTATTGCAAAATGAATTTTGTTCAAATCTTGATTATCCACGTCCAATCCAAAAATGTAGTTTGCGCATAAACTTCAGCTACTAGCTTTCAGCCTTGTGGGCTGAAATCTATTTAAGAAATATCTAGCCTGATATACACATCAGAACTTCCAATAGTATACTTGCATTTTAACTTATATGTGTGCTCTCGCTTGCCACATTTTAAGGGGATATCTGGCAAATTGAGATTGAAAGCATCATTGACTCATCTTGACAAGCAGCCTTATATTGATTATTGGCAAGCATACTATAGCCCAGTCAGTAATTATGGAACTGTACATTATTCATTGTCCTTGCTTAGGATACGTGAATATACCGTTACAAAGGTTTTGGTGGAGAAAAATGTTCTGTATCTAATTTTCTAAGCCGGAGGTTTTCATGTAACAGTTACAAGGGCCTCTAAAGAACTTATTTCATTCTTAGGGGCATCGGTACTGATTAGTGGCCTCCTCATCATTGAAGATATCTGACTAAAATGACTATCTTTTGCTCCTAGAGGCAAATTCATCTACATATAATTTCAAGAACTGTCTCTGATGCTCATTACAGGGCTAATGAGCTAGCAGATCTATAAGGTTTACCAATTTAAAGTTTGATGCTTTGTTTTCAGTTTCTCGTTCCCGAACCATCTTCTATTTGTGTTAAGACAAAATAGCTATATATTTTCCACGTTACGAGGGTATGAGGTATTGAAACAAAGTTTTGACAAATTTCATGTCTGCAGTCATTTTCTTCCTTCAATCTTGTGACTATGTGTCAGATAGTCAATATCCTCGGTATACCTAGGTCCCGCACTTATAAGTGAAATTGTATGACACGCCCTTATATATCATTTGGTTAGTTTCATATGTGATCAAGATTTGTAGCGTCCGGATCTGATGCGCATACTACCCATATGCTAAAACTCCCAGGCTTTCCTATCAGGATAAGCCGCAGCTATGATTAAATTAATTACCATCTCAACATGAGGCACAAGATAAAGCATAGAATTTATTACCCTTAGTTGTTGCGAAACCAACTTAAGCCCCGCAAGGAATGTAGGATAATGTCTCTGGTTGGCGAAATTCATAAAACTCTTTAGACCGCAAATTCCCTAGAGGTGATAATAGTTCACATGTGTTGAGATATTAGTCTATAATAAGTCACGTGATTATGCAGAGATATGCATCTCCTGCATAAATATTATGTGAAACAAATCCTAATCAGTTAGGATTAGAGATAAGTTTCAGAAAGCACACTAAAGATTTAGAGTGGTATTAGAATCTACTATAAATACAGTTAGATTCTCCCTCATCTTAAGTGAACATTCAATTGGTAAGATTTACATATAAATCTTATAAATATAAGTTTACACAAACTACTGATATAAGGTAGAAGGTATATTAAATTATCTAAAAGATGACAACTTCAGATCAGTTAAAATTAGCATTCCAACAAGAAGTTTGTGTAATCAGAGATTATTTCTTTACTTTTGAATGACGTTTATGAAAAGTGACTTAATTGTTTTGAGGGAAAGAAATTTGCTCAGTGTCAATGTGATTGACCATACCCTTGAAATATCTGCTTCGCTTTTAATATGTAATTATGAAAGAAATCAAATTAAAACAATAACCACATGGCAGCTGAGCAATTGAAACTGCTCATTTGTAATTGAGGAATTGGAAGTATTACTATGGCTGTGACAATGTGCCACATCTTCGAAATCCCTCTTCCATCCTACTTAGTTCACGAAGACAATAAAAAACAGTCACGCTCAATTGAGTTTTAGGCGCACATTCGCGGATCAGACACAGATCCATATCCTTGCTTCCTTATGCTGAGAAATGAACTTAGGGTATTTTTGTCTAGCTTTTTGGGATTCGAGAGATATACCTAGATTTGACATCTTTGAAGATTAATTATTTTTAGCATTGAAACATATTTAAACTTTCTAGCCTAGAGGCATTATATTGTACTGGTATTTCCTTACCTTATCCATTACCTCCTTGGAAGTGCACCTCAAAATTAAATTTGATTTGATGCTGTTGAGATGTTAGTCGAGACTTTGTCATGTGACTATATGCATGATAATGCAGATGATACATGTATATATGCAGACTTGAGTGTTTTGTATCAAGGTTGTCTCAGAAGTGTTATAGATTCTACTATAAGTACTGGAGCATTTCTCACCTTGATATGATAACAATTATCTGATCTGAAGTCTATCATATATACCAGCTAACACAAATTCACTTAGTATCATTAAAGAAACATGTCCACTGAAGAACAAGTTCTGTTACAATTACAACACTTACTCATAGTTAACTATTCATGAAAATGCTTCAAAACAGTAGTTTGTTTGTTCATAGTCAGCTGATGTCTAGAGTCAACTGATGACTTTCTAGTCTTATCTGAAGGATAATTCAGGTAAGGAACTTTTTGTGTTAGACGGTCATGCCTTCCATCTATTCTAATTCGACAGTATTCCGGCTCATGGTAGTTATCCATCATGAGCTTTTTGTTGTCAGAAAACACTATAATGTGATTCTTTTGCAAAATTTTATTAAGGACTTTTTTACCTCAATATCCCGTTTATTAAGATTCGAGTTGCGTTGATCAAACTCGCTAGTTTATTTCTCAAATATGAGAGCTATCTAGGCACTTGATTTCGATATTCTCTCTTATAAGAAAATCCAATCCTAGATATATGACAAGTTTCTAGCAAGAAGGTTTCTGAAAAAGATAATAAGCTTATCCCAAGTAGTGCCTGCGATGTTGGAAGCTTGTTTCAGCATTTATTATTTTGAACACTATACCTCGGAAAACATAATATATAGTATATCAATCAGTATCTCTTGAATGTGCTCACCCTCAAAATCTTCTTAGGGAAAAAAAACTTTGATTGCTGTTTGGCTTTCGTTGAGGCAATTCATGCTTGCCGAACTACTAACGATAAGTCTATCTGCTCTAGATAACATTACCTTGGGCTTTTAGCAATTAACTTCGGAAGTTAGTCGTTCAACATTCAGTACTACATCATTAATGAAGGGTGTGTAGGGAACTGTGTTCACCCCTTTTTTTTTTGAAGCAGACATATTCTAGTGGTCCATAGTTTTTCTGCATATATTGTGTGTGTCTAGGCTGTATATGATTATTTCTAGCCCGACCAAGTTGTCTCCTGAATGAACTCCAAACCATATGATATGATTGTAAATCTACTATCGAAGACAGACATCGACAAATGCGAACTAACTCGACCTAGTTTTTTTTATATTTCAGATCGACAGCAAGCAGGTAAAATCGACTTCTCCCAACGAGTGTAACGTTTCTGCCTTGAGTTTTCTTTGTGGATTTTAGCGGTTTCGACTTGTTGAATTATGACAAATGCTTACTAGCTAAGAAGTGAATGAACGTATATTCGACGATTAAAGCTCTGTTTATGAGTTCGCTGGATTCTCCACTTGAGAACTCATGCTTGACAAATTTGCTTTGGAGTTTGTTCAGAAAACTCTGAATTGAGCTCTAAGATCGGATCACCGAACGAATGATGGCACCAGTACAAAAATGATTCTACTGTCATACATAGAATATATAAGCAATAAATGCTTAGCTCCTCGTCAGACAACGCCTTACGTAGTATGGGTAAGGGAATTTTCATAAGAGCTCAAAAGGTTTATTTAAATTTAAACTCAAGCGGACTCCTTATTGTTGCAAATATTCTTATACCTGATGTAATATCTTGATTATGAATCTTCTGAACTGCTGCTATACAAATGTTGACTTGGTCTCGAATGATCAATTTTAGGTTAATGTATTACGTAATATAAATATCTACTACTGACTAGGCAAGTTTGGCTCATATTATTCGCGATCAGCAAGCAAACTGGCATCTTCAAACCTGTGGTTAGCTTCTAGCAACTCCCCTATATATACGTATCATGTGAAATTCAATAAGAATTGGTTGCAATTCAGCGCTTTTCTTTGAGTGTTACAAATGACCTTTCCGCTGAATAATAATAGGCTATGCCTTTTGTTTAAAAACTTTTTACAAGTTCATCAATAACTTCGCCATAAGCACAAAGCTAGAAAAGTCTATCATGAGATCTCACGCTCAAACGCCCCGGTGTATAATTATTCGTCATGGGTAAGTGTGGCTCCAAAGATGCCATATGCTAACATTACAGCCAAACTTCTTGGTCCAAATCAGGACAGTATACATCAATCACAGATCTCGATTTAACAGAATATGGCATCAAGCAAATGAAGGCAACTGGCGTGGCGCTGATTGGGACCAGTTCCTCAAACCTCATTCAGGCACAAGATCTAAAACTGGTCATTAGCTCTCCCAGAACCAGAGCGATTCACACTCGTGATCTCCTACTAGAATCATTATCTTCCGATGAAAAGGCACACATCCAATTTGATATTGACAATGATATCAGGGAATGGGACTACGGTGATTATGAAGGCCTGAAAACAAATGAAATACTAGAATTGAGGGAAAGTCGAGGTCTTGGATCTGATTGGGATATCTGGTCTAAGGGTTGTGAAAACGGAGAAGACTATATGCAGATTACAAAAAGAGTGGACACCGTGATAGATCGGATTCGTACAGTACACAGAAAAGCATTAGAAGCAGGTGAAGCTTGTGATGTACTTGTTGTCGGCCACGGGCATATTCTGAGGTGTTTTGCCGCCCGCTGGTTGAAGAGAGAGATCAACCAAAATCCCCAGCTTATTTTAGACGCTGGGGGGGTTGGCGTCCTCAGTTATCAGCACAACAACATCGACGAACCTGCATTATCGCTCTCCGGGGCTTTCGTCGTTAACGAGGATGACATAAGCTAAAGTATGTAGCAAGAAGGCAGAGTTAGGGTTGTGTGAGTTCTTCATGTACCCGTTTTTGTTCGTAAGAATAGACTCTTTTCGAGTTTTCCACAGAGCTATGCAGTTTATTGTTCGTGCCAAAAAGCTTGTTGTGCGCACTTGGTGCACTAGGATATGTACTTGCTTTTGCGGCAAAAGTTGTTCTTGGATCTGTTTGATTCGAACCTAAAACCAGGTTCTTTTGATCATTATCAATACTGTCAAACAGAGATCTGGTCGAGTTTGGACTTCTATATGTTGCCCCTTCTTGCGAGTTTCCGTTGAGCTGATTTTGTATCTCATCAATCGTATTATTTAGCGAAAAATTGAAAGCATTGTGAGGATTGTACTCATCATCTGAAGGCAGAGAATTGGAATCTACATGCTTCGTAGACTCAAATTCGCTTATAGTTGTATCTTGAGTTTGGTTTTCGTGGGTCAGAGTTCTAGGGGACCCTTCGCTTTCCAAAAGCCATCCTTCTCTGATTTTTGACCTTCTCCTTTGCTTCGTGGGGCTATCAGATTTATCGGAATGCAGTCGAGTGCCATGATAATCACTTGGCATATTTGTTCTCAGTTGAGAATTCTCCGAGATTGGGACATAGCTTATCGAACTAAAGCCAGATTCACGAATGTCGGGTAATCGTTTCTTTCCTCTAGGGGTTGTTTTAGACCCGTCCTTGAGAGTTTCGGATGCATATGTAATCGCATTCTGATTTTTGAACTCTTTTAGAGAATCGAACGACACATATTGCGTTTGTTTAAAGCATGCATCAAATCTTTGAGGACTTTCCCCGTAATTTTCGAAGGAGATTGCGCACGGATCTTGATTGTATGATTGATCAGATGAGCTCGTTTGCGTCATTTGTCTGTTGTCAATGGACTTTCTAAAAAATCCTGATACTTTTCTGCTAGCGTTATTGATATTCATCCCTGTTTTTTTGATAATTGGTTTTATCAGGTCCACCGGCAAAGATCTGTTTGAAAGTCCAGATGGTGACATATCAGCACACAGTGGTTCATAATACGGACTCTCGGGATCTGATGGGTCTGTCAATGAAAACATAGAAGATATAACTCCCTCCTTGAGAGACAACTTTCTGCTATGCTTTGACTTGGGAGTTGTTTGAGTTATACTTTGATACTCTTGAACTTCTGAGTCCATTAAAGGCAGGCTGATCGGAGACTTGGATCTGGAAGAGCCATAATACCGAGTTTCTGCTTGGCTGGATGATCCACTCAAGATGAATACGCCAAACACAACCAAAACCGTCCCCAAAAATATGAAAAATCCAGCTGCTCCAAGAAATTGGGACCACTGCCTATAAAATGTCAGCCCATTAGATATGCTTGAGATATTGTAAACACAAAATACTAATGGGTATAGGATGGAAGTGCTAATAAGTTTCAGTCCCTGGTTCAGCAAATATAATTGAGACAAACACAGCACTAGAAAAACAAGCACCAGCAGGTAAACCATTGAATTATTCAACTGTTTCACGTTACGATTGGAAAGAGTTAAAAGGGTTATCTCTATTGCAGATTTTGCGAGCAATAAAGACTGAGCGGAGAGTATACCGGAAGTAATTCCATATGATATCCCTTGGATTGATTTTATAGTCGCCAAGGGGAATGCAAATAGAGCTTTGTAAAGATACGTGTTGCACTGAACAATCCATAAAACAATCTGGAGCACCTTTTCCTTGAATATATTAGCTGAAAACTGAAAATTTGAATCACTGTTTGACGTGTTTTCCTGAACATTTCTGAGATGTTCTTTAACATTCGCATCGATTACGTGAAAGAATTGTATACAAGGGCTGGGCTGACCTTGTCTCGATTGGCGAGAAATTTCATATGAAGATACGATTGTCCAAGAAAGTATGAGCGTAATTATCCCAAATTCCACACTTGTCCAAACAACGAACTCCTTTTGACTCAAGAGGACGATGAAGTCAGCAAGGTCATATTCTGGTTCACCAATACCTCCGCCGCATAGAGCGATCAAAAATGCTCCAACACCAACCAATACAGTTCCATAAAAAGAGTGTCGAGTAAATTCCTCATGTAAGATCAAAGTGTTAAATACAGTATTGAACACCAAACCTATCGACTGCAGAGGGCTTAGAACAATCAAAGGAAGAGTTGAAAGCTGAATTGTAGAGCCAAAGACATTAGAGATGATGAACAACAGAAATCCTAGATGCCACAACGACCTTTTGTATGCAGATAGTTGATTGTCGCTCCCAGCCACGGATTCACTCGCCAGATGCGACTTTCTCTGAAGAATGAGGCCAATAGACTGACACGCAGAGGAAAGGAGACCGACCAAACAGCCTATCAAAATCTTGTTTCCCGTCAGTGCATTAGAAACGGAGTCATTATGAGCCAGGAAGAGAAGCATGTCACCGAAAGCAGTTTGACCATCAAATAGATTGTACATCAAACTCAAAACCAGAAGTAAATCACGGTTTGCATAAATCTGAACACTTGTGCTTATCCGCTGTATTCTTGGATGATAATCACCGGAAACTGGAATGTTTTGGTGTTCTCAACAAAGATTTAGCTTTTTTGCAACGCTGAGGAAATGCTGTGATAAGACTGTAATAATGCCAACAAGGAAAGATAACCGCTGCTGATCTCTGATTTATGATTTGGAGATATGACAGTCGGGAAACTAAGTCTTTTGTGACCTGATAGAAGAATAAATCCTCAGGGCAAATACTAATCCATAAGTACTTACGTAAACAAGAAACATATTAACTACACTATCAAGATATAGAATTTCGGCTCTGTAATTACTAGTATCCACTCCAGCGCTTACATTCCTCATACTTAACTCTTAGGTTCCAGAAGGATTTCATCTCTTACCTGCGAATAATATATATACCAAAATACGAATACGGATATCGTTTGATTCGCAACCTTAAAGAAAGCGCGTTGCTGTATTGGCTATAGAAATCACGACCCCTTTTCTTAACTTTAGGCAAAAACATGTCAATTGTGGAACATGGATGACTGATAAACTACATAATTAAAAACGAGGGATAATTAAATAGTGAACTTAAAATAGCCTTAAAAAGGAGATCGTGACTGTATGGTCGAAAGACAAGGGGGTATCTTTTATTACTTTTACCACCAAGGGACAGTAAAATGACGAATTACATTTTCTGGCACGTCTGGAGAAACTGATGAAGATCTATCACGAGAAAGGTTACAAATATAGGATACAATACAAAGGATACAATAGAGAATGACACTCACCCTCATCCAGAGCGCGACATCCTAGTCTTCCATTCAGATTGCTTCGAAGGCTCGGTTACCTTGGGGTATTCAACGAGACAATAGAGGACATGTAAGCCGCAACAAGTGAAAGGCACGAAAGAAGCTGTCTGGAATGAAATGCAGCGATTTACTGAAGTAGTGCTACATCAGCATCGATCCAAAATAAACTATGAGATGAGATAGTTACACAAGGCATTTTGCCTACAATACTCTGTATTCCGTTTATCATGATGTACTCTAGTATACATACATTTAAATATGGAGTGAACTTGACAATGGGGTTGACTACATACTGCAAGCCTAAAGAAATGAGATTGAATCTGAATCATACTCTAAAAAATATCCACGTGTGAAGTGAAGGTGATCGGTTTGGATAGCCTTAATAGCATACCCAGATGCAGTACCTTAGTGCATAAAATCTCAATGTATATAGCGTCGAATGCTTAGAGCTAAGTACTTGCTCATATGGGGGCAGTTGTGCACCAACATTAAAGGAAGTAAAACGGATGTTAGTCACTACCTAATAAATAACTACTGAATTTTCAAATCAATTGAGGAGAGTGTATATGGTCATACATTCAGCGCTGTTACTTATTGCTCTGAATCAAAATATACACATTAGGTAATATTACAGGTAATCGGTCTATTTTAATTTCTATATCTAATCGTGGATTTTTTGGATCGTTTAAGATGGCTTATTTCATGGCGTTAGATAAATTGAACTAAAATGTCTGAGTTTCAAGAATACCTTGAAAACGTGCTAATAAATTGCAATAGGAGAGATCACGAACAGGTGAAGCTAGGATTGTCCGAATTAGACGAATTATTAACAAAGCTTTGCGTTCTTAAATATGATGAACTGACGTATGAGCCAAGCGCAGTGAGGAAAAGTGGAAGTTTGCCCTCTATTGCTGAACGACAGGCAACAATAAGTAAGAGTGGCTTGGCGAACGGTTTAGCGACTCATTATCAGCGGAGGTGGAAACTGCCCAAAGTTGGTGATGTGGTGTTCGGAGAATTTTTGACTCTCCAAGACAAAATACAATATAATGTGGTGTCGCAACTCATACAGATTATCCCGTTTGTTAGTACGTTCAAAGAAAATGAGTCACTAAGGGTACTTTTCAGAATATTGCAAGGCTGTTTTCTCCTTCATCCTCCATCTCGCAATCTTATCACATACGAGTCCAAAATGTGGGTTCTATTGGAATTTCTCAGCCCAAGATATAGCCCACAGGTCATTGAAGCTCTTATACCTGTTCTGGTGAGTTCGCTTGTTCGGAATGTTCCAAATATAAGAATTTTTGAACGGTTAGGAGGTCCGCAATACCTATGTGAATTGTTGACACATAAGTCTGACGTTGCAGGTTTGGCCCGTGAATGGAAAGAAGTACAAGTGAAGGTGCTGGAATTCCTATTTTTTTATCTGATCCCAGAGTCTCAAAATATGGAGTCAAATTCCTCGTTGAGGCATCCAGTCGCATCTAAGAACGAAAGGTCAAGTAATGTAAAAAATCACGAGGACGGGCACCGAAGGAAAGGCACAAATGAAAAAGCTACAATACTTAATAGGTATCTGAATGGAGAAATTACCAAAGGGTTAGTGGCCGAATTGCAGACAAGTAAGCCATTTGGTGAAATGAACATAGAATGGTGAAATTTCAATTTGCATTAGTCGTTCTATCAGATACGTTCAAGGAGTGTCCTTATTGCATTATGAATAGTCGCGCGTAAATTATCATTCCCAAGCTTGAAATCTTTGGGCTTACAATTTGGGATTTGCCAATTTCTCGCGTCCCTTGCTCATGAAGCTAGAAACTGGGTGAACAAACCTATTAAGGCACTTAATACTAAAGTACCAAACATCCAGCTATTAGGACTGTACACTTAGAGTTCTTGGGAGACAAGTGCGTCCTCCTCAATTTGAAACGAGTATTCTGAATTTTGGACTCATCTGTGTTCACTAGTCACATGACCAAGAGTCACGCGACAGAGCTTACTAAGCTCCGTATTCGGTTATAGCTACTGTCAATGCCTCGTGCGGGACACAAAAAGTCGGACTCGAGTTCGGATTTCCTGCAAAATTCTGCCCTCAGAATTAACGAGCGCCCGGCATCGCGGGCTGGGGCGCATGAAAAACCTACCAGGCAGTAGATTCTTTTCCGTAATGGTCACTACTAGAAAATATATAATTTAGATTTGATATCTACATTTTTTCGCTAATTGTGTACTCAATATGCTGTCGCAACTTGTCAAGAGCCATTTAGTCAAAGCCTCAGGTAAAAGAGCATTTGCGACGACAGTTAATGAGAATTTTCTTCCCAAGAAGTATGGCGGAAAGTACATAGTTACCTTGATTCCCGGTGATGGGATTGGTAAGGAAATCACGGATTCGGTGAAGACGATTTTTGCTGCACAAAATGTTCCCATTGATTGGGAAACAGTGGAGCTCTCGGGAGTGTCTGGTTCCGCTTCTCAAATAGATGAGGCTGTTTTGTCTTTGAAGAGAAACAAGGTGGGACTTAAGGGTATTACATACACTCCTAGCTCCCCATTCGCGAAATCTTTGAATGTTGCATTGAGGAAAGAGCTCGACATCTTTGCTTCTTTAGTGCTGATAAAAAACATTCCTGGTGTTCCATCTAAGCTTCAGGATATTGATTTTGTCCTTGTCAGAGAAAACACTGAAGGTGAGTATTCTGGCCTTGAACACCAGTCAGTTCCAGGTGTTGTTGAATCTCTCAAAATCATGACAAAGTACAAGACTGAAAGAATTGCTCGTTTTGCATTCGATTTTGCTATCAAAAATGATAGAAAACTGGTGACTGCCATTCATAAGGCCAATATCATGAAATTAGGTGACGGTTTGTTTAGATCTACCGTGAAGGAGGTTGGTCTTGCCGAATACCCAGGAGTGGAAGTCAAGGACATGATTGTTGACAATGCCTCCATGCAAGCCGTTTCTTATCCTCAACAATTTGATGTCATGGTTACACCAAATTTGTATGGATCCATTTTATCCAACATTGGTGCCGCCCTGATTGGTGGACCAGGATTGGTGCCAGGAGCAAACTTTGGTAGAGAGCATGCTGTCTTTGAGCCAGGATGCAGACACGTTGGTTTGGATATTAAGGATAAAAATGTTGCCAATCCTACTGGTATGATCCTGTCTGCAACTATGATGTTGAGACATCTTGGTTTGGATCCATATGCGGATAAAATTGCCAAGGCAACTTATGACGTGTTGGCCGAGGGTAAAGCAGTGACTCCTGATATCGGCGGAAAAGCTACAACTACCGAGTTCACTGCTGCAATTTTGTCAAAGTTACAATCTTGAGTAGATGATTAGAAAACTAGAAGCTGACATTTATATTATCCTGTATAGAGAAACAGTTGAACTACATTTATAGGATTCCTTATCAACCTGATAATCTTTACTTACGTAATGCAGACTTCTTTGGAAAGCCTTATACTAAAGGGAAAGAAATTCTTGCCAAAAAGTGCGGAAGATGATTCATTCAATTGATTTTCATTTACAGTTAAAGCAATCTCAATTCAGAACACCAATTGAAGTGCTGAGGAAGAACTTCAAAAGCATACAAAAACTCGTGGAGACACATAAAAGTTATTGTATATCCCAGATAAAGCTAATTGAAAACACTCCCAATAAGAAAGAGAAGTTGGATCTTATTGATGCCGCTATTCAAAAGCAGGAAATGTTTAACTATGATATTGAAAGAAGGGTCGAAGAGCACAATAAGTATATTTCAAGGCTGAAAATAAGACTACACAAGCTTAAACAGTTTCAAACATTTTATGATGACCACAAAAAAGACCTCTCCAGTGAAGAAGCACTAACCAAATATGCATCGCTTTACAGAGAAGAGATCAACCTGTTGTTGATTGATTTTCTTCTTAAAAGCTCTTTTATGGATCAAGCTCATTTGGATGGGCAAAACTCGGGTGTTATTTTGGCTAAGAAATTGGGACTTGATAACCTTATTGACTATGATGTGATATTACGAGGTCTTGAAATCTATAATGAAATCAGGTTCCACAAAAATCTGAAAATTTTGATCAAATGGTGCACAGAAAACAAAAAGAGTCTGAAGTCAATCCAGGACGAAAACGATCCAAACTCCTCTCTGAAATTTGAAACTTATTTTCAAAGTTTCATTGAACACGTTAAGCTAGGGGAGCTTTCCAAGGCTCTAGAGATTGCCAGTGAATATTTGGTGAATTTCTTGGACACGAATGTGGACGACAACTTATACAAAATTGCTTCAGGTGCGGCATTACTTTGCTGGAATCGAACTTACTTAAATGACACCATTCAGCTATCCCTCAATCGCGATCATGAAAGAACTTCCTCATTTTATGACCAGAGTATGAACATGGTGAGCCAAATTCAAGGGAATGTATCACCGTTAAAGGAGCTCTTGGAGGAAAGTAAATGGTCCAAGCTAGCTGATTTTTTCCTGTTCAACTACAACTCTATATATGGAATAAGCCAGAAACCAGACCTGCTATTGCTTTTGAGTGTGGGATCCACTGCCCTTAAGACAAGATCTTGTCTACGCTCCTCAACCCTTAGTCAAGTCAGTACGAATGACATCAATTTCGACGATTACTTGATCGACACCAGGAACAAAGATGGCAGACCTGCGATACATAATGAATGTCCAATATGCTCACCAGATCTTTACGAACTTACTCATGATATCCCATTTTCTCATCAGGTAAAGTCGAATATCTACGACAATCCAGTGATGCTTCCTAATGGCAATATATACCAATATGATAAACTGATCTCGAAATCTTTCAACATTAGTGGGGAAAACTTTGAGCGATCGAAGCTCATGCCAATGCAGCATTCCAAAGAATTGAAGGACTCGATTGGCATTCTTGGTAAGAATGAGTCTAGTGGTCTGTTGGACAACTATGAGCTTCTTGACCCTTTGACAGGGGAGGTTTTCAAAAGGGAACAAATTACAAAAGTATTTCCTACGTAAGATTTAGTGGCACATATGATGAGCTTTTTGACTGCCCTCCCACCTTAACTTTGCAAAATAACGTAGCGCCAAAACAATAAAAAACAAAAAATTAAAAAAAAAAAACGTTTAGATCAATTTGTGTAGGATTTCAATTGAAAGATTATTGAATGGCAAAGCATCCTTTCAAAGAGAATAAGTCCCCAAAATTGGGAAAAGGTAGGTTGAAATCCGCCTTGACGCGGTATCACATAGAAACGAACACAAAACACGGATTGGTTGGCAAGAAAGGTGTAGAAGGAAAAGTGAAAAGTTTAATAAAGGACAATAATAATAATCACACACAAAGTAGCAGTGCAATTACACGTCCATACTTGAACAAGCCTTTCATTCCATTTGCTCCATCTGACCATCTCTTACTGGTGGGCGAGGGAGATTTCTCATTTACACAAAGCATAGTAAATGCTGACTATGTAAAACCCTCCTGTACTTGGGCAACAAGTCTAGATTCGGAGGAAGATGTCTACAAGAAGTATCCACATGCAAGAGAAATCATTGAATTCTTAAGATTCAGTGGCGTTCATGTTATATTCAAAATAGATGCAACACAATTAGTCAGCTCTTTCAAATTGAGTCTGAATGTTAAGAAGCAAGCCAATCGCAATGTCAGGATGCTTGGAACTGATCATATTGATCTCATCATGTTCAACTTCCCTCACACAGGCAAAGGCATTAAGGATATTGCAAGAAATATAATCCATCATCAAAAACTTATTTACTCCTTTTTCAAAAGTTGCTCTGAGTTTTTCAACCTTCTTGATGCATCACAACTAGCCACTCAGAAAGTCTACGACGTGACGACCCCAGAAACATTGAGGGAACCCGGATTTGACAAGGCTCTAGCTTCCCGACCAGAGATATCCAAAAAAAGGATTGCTTTGGCGTTATTTGAAGGTGAGCCGTATGACTCTTGGCAAGTAAAGCGTTTGGCACGAGAATCAATCGGCTACAAAGTTGAAAGATCAGGACGATTTGCATGGGAAGCTTTTGATGGTTATCATCATAGAAGAACAAATAGTATGAAGAATACAACCAAAATTGCACATGAGAGAAATGCTCGTTTGTATGTTTTCGAAAAAGCTGTGAATTCTGATAATAGAGATCTCAGTGAACCAGGAAGGGTTGACATTGATGATGAATAGAACACTGTTCGTACATCTTGGTTTGTGTCATTCAGTCACAAATATCAAGCATGTAACCCGAATTAGCGTTTGAGTGTAAGAAGCCGCATTCCTCTTGTATCGATTTTGTGAAATTTCCTAAATAATATTAATATTTTGGCTGAATTTGATCTTAAGTGTCGTCCGCTCGAAAATTTGATATTTAGGCTAATACTCTAGACAGCCATAGGACGAGCATTAATTTAGATATACTAATGTATGAGGAGAAGGACAAACAAGCAAACTTATCAGCTACTAGAAATAGGTTTAAGTTCGACTCTCAAGGACAGCCTCAAAAGTCTCATTTGACGCGAAGAGTTCCAACAGATAGTATATATTCTCAGCGAACCACGGGATCTGGTGCAGGAACTGTACTTAAAAATTCGCTGGAGACTTTGAAACTGCGCCAGACATCCGTTCGGGGCTTCTCGTCCTACGCTGCCAACCTTATTGAAAGCCAGGAAGAATGTTCTTCATCCTACCCCCCCCATGCTCAAAAATTCTGGAAGTATCATGTCTTGCAAATCAGCCAGTTTGAATTTTATCTTACAACAAACCCTGATAACAGACACAAATTTATCAGAGGCGCACCTGGCTACTACGTTGAGCTTGTACTCAACAATGATTTGGATGGAGATTACGTTTCGGCTTCAAACTATGGGTTTCAGTTGGTGTTTAGAAGACAAAGATACCCAATATCAAAAACTGAGTCGAGCGAGACAAAATTCGACCCGTCTCAGGTTTTCACAGTTATGAAACAATCGCATTCTAAAGGGGGAGATTTTGAGGTTGTGGGACAAAGCAGCGAGTTTGTGGATTATGAAGGACGACATTCGTACACACCCAAGCAGCAAAAAATCGCGGCCACCTTTCTAAACAAAGCCAACTCGCTCTCCCAAAATGGTATGGTGATGGAAACTTGCTATCGCCTCCAACATCTTCGAGTCTGTACGCTTAAAGAAAAAAAGAGCACCATATTGTTCAAGAACAAAATCGACGGAGTTAAGTTATCAAAAGAAGGTTCAATTTACTATATCGATGATAAAATAGGTGGCTCATACTGGCATGATTCAATCATAGGACTTTTCAGACCTTGCGAAAGAGATATAAAAGCCAGAATTACGAAAAAAGTATTTTCGAAAGGGGATTCGTTCCATTCAGTTCGTGAAGAGCTCAACGAGAATTTGGAGGCAATGAGCCTTGATGATGAGGAATCTTCAAGCGACCGTACGTTTTATTTTGCTCGAGATGGTCTTCTTCAAAGACATCCTCAAGATGATTCACCGAACGATTACAAACTGGGCTGGATCACTATTTACGACAAATCAGATTACTTTTCAACTCCGAATGGAAATTGGGAAATGGTGCTGGGAGTCACATTTGCTGCCGCTTTTGAACTGATAATTGATAGGTTTGTTCGAGATTCGGCGTTGGCTTGATGCCTCTTTAAGATAAAGTGGTAATTAAAATACTTTATCTTATCATCATAGCTTTCCAGATTGGTATCACACCGGTGAAAAATCTCAGCCCGGAATAATAATTTCGATAACATTAACCCATCCAGGAAGGACCGAAAAATTTCCGGCTCTGCTTCAAATCGAAACTAGCTTCAGTCATAATTTTAGGCGCGCGAATTCATGGCGCCTGGCGTAAATTTCTTGTCCCCCGGTGAATATATAAGAATCTTACCCTTTTGGGAACCTTCATTCTGATTTGATTTATTATATAAGAAGCACAAATTTGTCCTTCTATTAATCCACTGAGTACGAAGGAAAAAATGACGGTCAATCCTAAGAAGACAATTTGTGTGTTTTGTGGTTCATCATTTGGAAAAGAATCTTCCTATTCTCAAGCGGCAACTGAGCTAGGGAGATTGCTTGCGGCAAAGGATTATGGGCTTGTTTATGGTGGCGGAACTACAGGACTGATGGGACTCATTGCCAAATCTGTTGCATCACAAGGTGGTTATGTTCATGGAATAATTCCCGATGCTCTGGTCTCTAAAGAGCGAACTGACTCTGTTGATGAGATAAACGAAAAAATACAATCCGATGTGGAAAATCACAAAGGAGAAACACCCTTAGACGATAGTTATGGCAGAACTACAATTGTGTCCGATATGCACACAAGAAAGAGAATGATGGGCATGGAAGCTGATGGCGGTTTTGTTGCCATGCCTGGAGGATTTGGCACTTTGGAAGAAATCATGGAAGTTACCACATGGTCTCAATTAGGGATTCATCAAAAACCTGTGGTTTTGTTTAATGTTGATGGCTTCTACGACGACTTCATCAAATTCCTGAACAAAGCAGTGGAAGCGGGTTTTATCTCCAAGAATAATAGTAATATTGTGGCGGTTGCAAGCACACCCGAGGAAGTTATTGAGAAGTTAGATAATTACGTCGTCCCAGACGGGAGATTCAACCTTACTTGGAAAAACCATTAGGTGGGTCACATTTGTCACCATGACTCCGAGGAGACTTTTCGACTCCATCCTAAATAAATGCATTTTATTAAGCGTGCTCAGTCATAGGTCTTGATATAATCAATACTATCAACACATTCAGCAACTGTCATTTGATTATTGCCTAGAATTTTGCTCACTTCGATTCCTGCGTCAACTGTAGATGCATAAGCATCATGTTCGAGAATAAGACCGGTTGACCCAGAAGCTTTCCAATGTTTCACATCGTTGAAAATCTGGCTGGATGTTTTGGATGGTGGTGATGTCTCCATTTTCCAATCAAACGTATCATAGTCCCAAAGGACAGCTTGCATTCCAAAGGCCCTAGCAATTTGTCTAACTCTATCATCAACACCACCGTATGGAGGTCTATACCATTTCGGCAAATGGGCACCAGTTGCGTTCATCGCCCAAATGGACCATTCCAATTGAGCAACAATCTGCTCGTTTGTTAGACCTGGCAAAAACTTATGAGACCATGTGTGACAGCCAAGCAAATGCCCATTTTGTTTGATCTGGTTATAGATTTCTGGATACCGAACTACATTCATCCCAACAGTGAAGAATGTAGTTTTGTGATTTAGACCTGCAAGAAGTTTAGGCGTTGAGGCTGAAGGACCGTCATCGAAGGTCTGAGAAAGGACGGGACAAGTGTAAGCATCATCGAAGGAAATGCATTTGAAACAATCAAACGAGCAGCTGGAACGGTCTGGAGGACATGTACCTGCTGACCGAGGGGGAAAGTTTGGTATTGCTTTCAAGTCAATGAAGTCCAATGGAATGTAAGGTGGGTCCGCTCCTGGCCATTCTTTTAGTCCAGTAACATCAGAAAGCCATTTTGGCATTGGAGTAGTGGCCATCATAGATACGTTGACAGACGACAACTCAGTAAAATGGTGGGTTGTAGCTCCTTGAGCATTAAGTTCGGCAGGAGCCGCTAAACTAAATCTTCCCTCGAAAATATAGAAGGCCAGGGAAAGGGGGATAAAATTGAATCTCATAGCTTAGCTGGATATTTGAGTTAGATCTCGTGGTTTGTTCGTCGGGTTGAAAGAAAAGGGGATAGTTAATGTTCTAGACAAGGTTTCAAATTGTCAGTTAATTGATTTAAGCGCCATGAAGCATATGCATCAATAAATATTTATCTTGCTTGGGTCAACGCGCTCTGGTCCGTTTTGTTGTTGTCATCACCTGTTGTTGCACCAGGGATACACAAGGGTGAAATATCCTCCATTACCTTGTCGGAAGTAAAGCTGTCCCTCCTTCCAACAGAACTGAGAGAGTAATTCGCAAATGTAGGTGAGTTCCCACCTTTTTTACGTGTCTTGCTCGTTCTAAAATCTGGCTGATCAAAAGGCTGAGAATCGTAAAAACTGTTAATTCCTAGTGCTGTGGTGGAAATGCTGGGTAGCCTTTTAGAGCTGGCGACGGACCCTCCAATTGTTGACCGTCGCTGACTTGAAGATCTACTTACGGATGAGGAGTTCGAAGCAGAAGAATTGGAGCCTGTGGATGATCCAGGCATGAATTTAGCCAGTTGCTGCTTCAATTGTTTATTCTCTTCTTTCAAACTTTGTATTTCCTTCATTAATTTTAAAACTATTCCTTCCTGTTCCTTCTCCATTACATCTATGAGATTCTCTGGACTCAAAGGTATACCGCCCATTGAGGATCTTCTTGATCTGGAGGAGGAACCATTAGATGATATTGAAGAATGAGGCGCATTCTCAAGCTTAGTAAGCGAAGAGACATTTGTCGATTTGGGACTTATGGTAGCTTGGTTTGCTGAGAAAGTGGCAACATTGGGACTGTTAATAACTTGCGGTTCAGAGAGCAGTGTATCCGTTGTTGATGGCAACCTATTGGGTAAGATATGACGATCCGCCGTTATAGGTTTATTTAGTTGTGAGCTCGTTATGCGCGGTGAAGTTTGTGCGCTAGGGGACTGGCCTATACGCTCCATTGCGTAGATATGAACAAGGTAGAGTCTGGGACTAATCAGTCAGGGAATCCAAAGTGCCAAACAGATGGTGAAGATGTCAGCCAAATTATGAAAGGTGCTGAGATCACAAAATGGTTCTAATTATATGTCAAGATTGTGGCTATATATCCCATATCGCCAAAATGGTCGTTCACTAACCAACATATTGAAATGCGGGTGAAATCTTACAATAGGAATTTTGTGTCATCACCAGTATTAGAGTTAGGTGGGGAAAGTTTAGTAGCGCCGCGAAAAGAAAGTTTCTGTCAACTTATTAGCTGATGCAGACTTTTAGTGTATTTATTGACACCCTTGCGGTTGACAAAGCATACTACTATTACTGTACAGTTCAAATAATACAGTTCTGGACTCCACTGCTAAAGTGCATATTCAATGTATTTGGCAGATCTTCTAAGCCTCTAAGTATTTGACAAATCTATGACCTCATTTTGTAGATAAGCAAAATTATGATTATATTACGATAAGAATCAAAAGTTCAAAAGTTCCTAAAGCTTCTGACGAGTGATATTGTTCTCTAGTCGTCACTTTACTGAGTCTCACCCATAATCCTCAACAGCTGGCCATCAGACTTTCGGTGCTGTTTTAACTGGCTTTTCAATCTCGTCATCTTTTTAGAACTGACAACTAGTTTATAATCGTATGTCACAGGATAATTAAGGAGTTTTTCAGGAACATATTTTTTTCGAACGAAATTATAGAGAGTCTCATCTTTTGCGTATTCTGGGGAAAGATACTCAGTATCTGGGTTGCTTTCAAGGAAATGATTTGGTAATTCTTCAGAAACGGTATCTAAGTAAAAAGGCTTGTGAGATCCAATGAGTGAAGTATTTTCGTCGATGGTGGTATGAAGTCCATTGACTGAATTTGAAGACGAGCCTGATGATCCCGATCGAGGTTTCTTACGTTGGTCTGGGAGCCAATATTTACGGCCATCAGAAGAATAACGCAGCCCATCGTAAATACGCTGATTAAAGCTGGCAGAATTTGGATAGATTCGATTATCGTTGATGGAGTCAAAATTGCGAAAATTGTACATATCTCCATACAGTGTTGTCATTTTGAGGTCGTAAGCAAGATCTCCAAGAGAAATCCAATCTTTGAAGGCATGGAAAGTAGACACGCGGGCTGCATCACCATATTTATCCTGAGTGAAGTCAGTATATGGAAAAGAATGCCAGTGCAATAATGCAAAGAATATCATTTCACAACATAACAATGCATTTTGAATTTGACTCCCCGTCAAATTGGCCAAGTCTGATGGACTCTTCTGGGAGATCAAACCTGCCCAAGTCATTACATCAAGCATCAAGCCTTGCCAATACGAAGCAAAAATGATTAGCTTCACACACATAAATTTACCCCAAGGGCTAAACTTTTTTAGCTCGGAATATAAGCATTTCCAGAACATAGCAAGATAGTATAGTGAGATAGTGACACTCACATTATAAGCTATTCCTGTCCAAGTGTACAAGCTCCCCCATGAAATGTCTGAGCTATCATATATTCCGGCAATAGATCCAACTATGATCACTAAATATAAAAGTGGTTTAACCCACACATATTGTAGGATACATCTCTTGACGAGTAAAAAGTGTGAAGGGTTGGAAAAGTCAATGGGACAGAAGATGATATTAGCGGGAAACGGATGGTTTGTTTTCGGCTTGTCAAATGAGTGTTGAATGATTTCTCGTTCACCCCCAAGCATATAAACAAGGAGCTTGTAAAACGTATAGATAACTAGCGCTTCGTAAATTTCTCTAATCGGTTCAATGATATTCCCTATGCTTGGGTTGATCAAAGTTACAAAGCAAGTGATCGCAAATAATGGAACAATAAGCAGTATTCTGATTATGAGTCGCTGTTCAAATGGTTTTCTGTAGTTACTCGACTGCAGATAAATAGCCAAGGTTGATATCATCAACGATGTCAAACTGGTCGTCCCGCAAACAGCGATCAACCATTTAGATATCACTGTGGACATACCTTGGTCTGTCCGCTGAAAGATTTCAAGGCGTACAACGGGCAATCGTGATCTCGGCAACTGTATTGACGTTGACTGGATTCAGATCCTCCACGACGATTTAGCAATCAGGAAAGTATCAGTTTGATGGAAGGTCGATAGTCGGGTCGAATTATTTATATTGATTTGATTGCAGAGCTTGAGAATGAGATCGCTTATATGGTTCCTCATACCCCTTGCAAGCTGTGCAGGCATCGCAGTACACATGAATATATTATCGAGAGTCTATTCAGATCTACCTGAAGACATACAAGATTTGACGGGATCTCTCCTAGCGGGGGCCTTTCATCCAGACTCGTTCTACGACTGTATGGGGCATTCGAATGCTGGCGAAGAAGCCCATTGGCCTCCTTTCTTGCGAGAACTTGTATTGACATATAAGCAAATGGCAGAACCAGATAATAAAATGAAAGCATTTATCTATGGTGTTTTCACACATCAAATTGCAGATATCAATTGGCATTCACTGCATAAATCTCAGGGACTGCTCCAATATTTGGCACACATCGAATTCAATGGAAACGTGAGTCAAGCGCACTCATTTTTGGATACAGGGGCAGACTTTCTCGTACTATCGCACCAGTTCGAGAACCTTGGACTCGATCAAAGAATTAGTCTTGCGGAATATTATTCCACTCCTTGGGACTTTCCTACAAAAGAGCTAGTTAAAACATACAGGAAGCTGGGGTTTGAAGTGACTGAAAGTGAGATCGAATTTTGCATGATGAGAGGCTACGCGGCATTACAGGGTGAATTGGGAACATTTAGATCTTTCACTCCAGCGGTACGATATAGATCCCCCCTTCTCAATGAAGTTCTGGATGATTACTACTTTGGAGGCCTGAGCGATATAATTTACACCATTAGTTGCTGCATGAAAGGTCTCTCTCGACTTTTTGACGGCACAATGGTGAACGATCCATGGCTGATTTGTTCAATTTTTCAACCAAATCACAATGATGCTACCACCTCAAGTAATTATGCAATCAGATCAAATGATCAGCAAATACATATGACACGCAAAGGTGATGGTGCGTTGCACCTCTGGAGTGATAGTGTAAATTCAAAGTTTGGCACCAGTTTGTTGTTTCATATAACGGCTTCCGGATACGCCGAGCTACTTATTGGAGCAGAGTACGACGGAGGACTAGGATCTGTATATGTCTTGCCACTGAAAAACTTGTTTGAAGGGCAGGTGCATGTTATAAGCACAAAGCCACACGAAGAAACCAACAAGCTTACATTTGCTCCCAGGTTCGGGCATGGAATGGCAAGATGGAATACATCACGGCACTCATTCCTTGTGATTTCAGAACCGGGACTATCGCAGCTAAATGTTTTTCTTGACTCGCGACTTGTGGCTGTGATCCATGATGAGAAGGCCCGAACACAGTTAGGCATTAGCGGCCCCAAACAAATGGGGCTGATACTTACGGTGAACGACGTGAATGATGATGGAATCAACGACCTTATAGTGGGATCTTGTCACTATGACACTTTAGACGCAATACAAAGAGGAATTGTGAAAATCTTGAGCGGAGCACATTTTGCGAAGCTTATTGAAGAGTACATCGATTCTGCTTTGGGAATACACGGTTTTCCGCTACATATAAATGACGAACAAATAGAGATCAATTGCTTCACCATCCCTCGCCAATTGCAGCGAGATTCTGGATATGATGAGTTTGCAACCTCAATTGCATTCTCAGCAGATAAGTTGTTTATTGGCTCAGCAGGAAGCGGTACGCTTGCTATATTTAATAAATCAGGGGAGTTTTTGTATAACATGATTCCCGACTTTCATGTCAGAGCTATCCAAAATACACCTTTTGGGTCTAATGGGCTCTATGGATATCACAAAATCATCACAGGGAGTTGGAACGAAATTGCATGGATTATGGTCTTTGCGAACTCCGAAACCGTTGACAATTGTCTGCTGTGTGGAGTAGCATACCTATATGTGGACCGTCAAAGGCTAGAATTGGTAGCAAAGGTCAGACCTGAGAAAGGACAACAACTGTTTTTTGGTGTCAATGCCTTAGCACGAGGAAATGATGTATACGTTGCTGCAGAAGGTTGGCTGGACGGTGCTGGTGCCATCTGGAAAATAAATGTGGGAAAGATATTGGAAGCTAATGCGAATACGAAATTCAAGCAGGAAATTCTACTATCTGAAGAAAAAACCGAGTTTGGCGGGATTATAATTCATGGTACCGTTGGTGAAGGTTATTCGGGATTTGGAAGGTCGCTGGAGGTTTTCGAATTTCAGCAAGAGCTATACATTGCAGTGGGAAGGCCCTTGTATGGTTATGGATCTGTAAGCGGATTGACTGGAGCGGTAGACATTCATAGATTGGAAGATTAAGTGTGTGGCATCTAATGTAAATAATCAATAAGAAAGGCGAACAAGAATGTAGTGATAGCACTCATTAGCAAATTAACGGCATTGTTGCTGAGCAGGTCCGCACCACTGATCGGCTTGGTTCCAGGCAAGTCTTTGGCCAACCTTTCACCTTGTGCACCCTCAACGACAACTTGAAGGTCTGAGTCCAGCAGACTGAGTTGGCAAAAAGCACCAAGAAAAGAGTCAATGAGTGAGCCGATGACTCCAGACACGGTGAAAAAGATCAGTTGCTTCCATCCAAACTTCAAGTATGCGGCTGAAACAAGAGCGATCAGGAAACTTCCACAGAACCCAGCCCACAAACCCAGCCTGGATATAGCACCGTTCGTTCCCCGGGGAACATGTGCGGACCAGTTGTAGCAAAGTACAGGAGTCTCTTGGGACAAGATGCCTATTTCTGAGCTCAAGGTATCTGCGGTAACAGCACAATAATTGACTATTGTTCCTACTTGGGCGAATCTCGTTGGAATCAGGGTCAACAAAGAACCGAGAATTAGTAGTGTCGCCACGAAACTATTCGAGAGCACTTGGATGTAGGAGCGTGTTGTGTCGTCAGAACCATTGCCCAGTACCTTGGTGTATTTTGATTTCAGGTCATGTTTATATTTAGTTGCCAGAGATCCGACCACAAAGAAGACCACCAGTAAGGTCAATTCGAGCGCAGAATCAGCTAAAGCATGAATAATTCCAGTGACAATCGCAATGAAGATCCCTGACTTGCTAAGCGATTTATGAGAATAAGCCCTGTAAGCGGTCAATGATAAGATGATAAATCTTCCAAGCATAATTGATGCAAACAATCTGAGATTTTTTCCTGGTAGCGACTATTATTTTTCAGGGCCATGACGTAAACTCTGCTGTTTAACGAGGCTCGTTTTGCGCAATCGCAAGACCTAAACACCATAAAAAATAGCGGAAAATTCGTTCAAATCCTGCTGCAAATTGAGAAATGCAACTCGCTATACTAGATCAGTTACCGGTGCCTCTCAGGCTCCGTAGGAGTGAGATCTTTGTTTTTTCAAAGCCGTTGAACACTGTGCTACGCGCCTACAACGTGCGAAATTTTTCGCCATGCACAGCCGTGAGCGAATTTCGATCAACGTCTTTTTGTCTAATTATGGATCATTCGTGACAGCTGAACTCTGAATACCCTCACCAGGGCAAGAATTTGCTGAATTTGGGAATCCTACTTTGTTTCACCGTAACGCTGGCTTCTATTGGCTGACTGTGGATGGCGGAGCCTCCAAAATGCCTCAGATGGTGCTTCTTAGAGACCTATAAAGGAGCTACAGCCTCCCTTTTCTAGCATATCGTAGTAACTACATGGTTTCTAAAGAGGTAGGTATTCAAGCAGGAGTCTGAGGACCTAACAACATACAGAGGCTAGGAAACGGACTAGGTGTCCTCAAAATGGCTTATGGCTCCGTGGGAGCCATCTACGGAGATTTAGGAACGTCCCCCTTGTATGTGTTCTCGACTATCTTCAGCGGAACCAGCAACCCAAGTCAAAAAGAAGTATATGGCGCAGTGTCGTGTATCTTTTGGCTTTTCACAATAGTTGTTATCTTCAAGTATGCTTTGATAGTGCTCAATGTCGGCCCCAATAACAACGAAGGTGGGCAGATTGCCATTTATTCCAAAATTGCCAGAACACTGAAGTTTGGCCCACAGGGTGTGAGGATTCCTGGAAGCAGAGAGTATGCCCAAGAGTTGGCTGACAATGACGATTTGCTCTCACTCACGCGAACAAACACCAATGCTTCCAATTACTCACTTGGAGACTCAAAACCCAATGAGCTCATTAAAAGCTTCCTGTCAAAATTCACTCTAGCCGTGTGTTTTTTGGGATGTTCCTTGGTGTTCTCAGACGGCCTTCTGACCCCAACCACGTCTGTACTGTCAGCGATTTCAGGCATTGCGGTGGCCGTCCCTTCTTTCGAGGACAAGGTGATGCCAGTTTCGTGTGGTGTTCTTATCATTCTTTTTCTATCCCAGAGATTTGGGTCTGGAAAGCTGTCCATGTTTTTCTCGCCAATTGTCACTATATGGCTGATTTGCTTATTCGTCAACGGAGTCATTTGCGTTGCCAGATATCATCCAGAAATTATGAAAGCGCTGAATCCATACTATGCAGTGCAGTTTCTCAAAAACCAAGGAATCGACTCTTTCAGCTCCATGATGCTCTGTCTGACTGGTTGTGAGGCAATGTTTGCCGACGTCTCGCACTTTGGGCCCTTCCCGATCCAGTTGGCTCTGTGCTGCTTCGTGTACCCATGCTTGATAATGTGCTATTTTGGACAGGCAGCCTACCTCATAGAGCACCCGACCAACATCTCAAATGTTTTCTACCTTTCGATTCCAGGCAAGAATGGTGACTGGTATTACTGGTTCATGTTCGTCATGGCCACACTCGCAACCATCATAGCTTCACAGGCCTTGATTCTGGGTGTCTTTAGCATTTTGAAACAACTCATCACGCTTGATTGTTTCCCACGTCTGAAGGCCATTTACACCTCAGAGAAACATTCTGGACAAATCTTTATTCCTGTCGCCAACTGGGTTCTGATGGTTTGTGTGGTTCTAACAACCATTGGATTCAAAAATAGCAATAACGTGACTGCAGCTTACGGACTGGGAATCTCGATTGACTTCATCCTTACAACAATGTTGATCACCATCTGTATGATCTACGTCTACCGAATAAACATGATCATACCGACAGTGTTCATGTTAGGATTTGGCACCCTGGACGCCTTGCTCATCATCTCTGGCCTGCAAAAAGTCCCTAGCGGTGCCTGGTTTCCTCTGGCAGTGGCTGGAGTCAGTTTCATCTTTATTTCTTTCTGGAGATGGTGCAGAAGTCTCAAAGTCAACTATGACCTCAGTTTCAAAAAGTCCGTAGACGAGTTGTTTGTGAGCTCGTCTACGGTCAAGGCTAAGAAAGAGGCAGTGGTGGTTCAGTTGAATAGCGATACTAGTAAGAAGAGAGACATTGGGGCTAACGACGAGGAGTCTGTGGCGTCTGTTCCCTCCATCGGCGCCACGGGAAACCAGGACGACCAATTTCTGGAAATGAAATACTACGGAAACGTTATGAAAATCCCCAGAAACAATCAAGTGGAAATCATGTACTGCACTTCCTCCACCGCTCTCACCAACAGGAGCTGCCTACCGCATTTATTTGAGCATCTTATCCACTCCTTCAATTCCGTGCCTAGGATATTCATTCTCATAGAGCCCCGTGTGAGCACGCTTCCATTCATCGAGGAAGAAGAATCATACCGTTTGCAGAAAATTGCCGGTGTTCCTGGTTTCTATAGATCCATCATCCGATCCGGATTTATGCACCAGACGTTGCTCACTAAAAAACTTTTGAGAAGCCTGCTTTTATCCATTCCGGAGATCGAAGAGCTGCAAGCTGTGTACGACACGGCTGATGTGATGGACGATAGCAACCATTTCACTATTCCTATAGTTCACCTGTTCGAGAGGGAATATGTGACGTCCAAAACATATGATAGAGAGGACCTGGACGAAGAGCCTAGAGCTATGCGGATTGCCAAGCTACCGTGGAGAATTTTGAGAGGATGGCTGATCAACTGCCTGTTTGCCCCACTCAATGGCATCTCCAACAACAGCACGATGGACTTTCTGCTACCGCAGAAAGACGAAGAACCTAACCAGGAGATTTTGTATGTGGGAAACCGTGTTACCATCTGACGGCCTTCAGTTGAGATTTGTGCTCTAAGAATATTGTCTCCACCACACTGCTTATAGAACAGGGCAGGGTTGTAACAAACTTTGATCTCAGTGTATTTCGTGTGTGCTAGGAATGGTGAGTCTATCACTTGATATTTCGCTATGCGTTTTCATTCCACCTCTTTCGCCTCCCAGATTCATGATCCTTGGAACTTAATTCCGATTCGAGTAGTGGCCGGTCGCAGCTACTGCTGACTCCCCCCAATATTTCCTATTTAGTTCTCTCCACACCCAGCATGCATTAGGCCCATTACACTACAAAACCCCCTATTCCCCCTTCCGTACGTTGGATCGCTCTGTGTAACATTTTAGCGAGCAAAGAGTGGGACCCCTTGACCAGCCCGACTTGATCGCAAGGGTCACCACGTAAGCTTGTAGTCCTGAGCCGAAATGGGCGCCAACTCGCGAGACTGATCGTAATTTTTTTTTTAACAATACCCCACCGTCGAGGCTTTATGCACATTAGCAAAACACTACTTGCCTCCATGATCCTGTTTGGGCGCTTACTTCGATAGTTTATTTCGCCAATTCAAAAGTTGATGACAAGATTTTCATTTGAGCATTTCTCGTCCGTCCGATTCCAGGCTTCAATAGGATATCCAGTCACCCTGAAATTCGAGCCCTTATAGATTGCTACAAAAAATTCAACCCCATTTTAGAAATCTAAGATCTGACGGTTACCAGATGAACTTCAAGGTCAGTCTCCTGTTACTCGCTGGGATGGCGCCCATTCCGATGTCAGGCGCCATTCCGCTGGTTCAAGAGGGAGCCTTGCCCTTGATTGCCAACAGATCACCTTATCCTACTGATGTCGCCTCGTACATCTCCCGTTTAATCAGACACTCGGCGACTGGCGTGGCATCCTTTGTCACGGCAGCCATCAGTACGACAGATAACTCGCCGCCCACATATCTTTCCAAGAGTGTTGTTTCCAGAGAAGCCGCCCCAGCCGACGACTTCGAGTCCTGGCTAATATCACAAAGAGATTTTGCTTTTAAGGGAATTCTTTCTAGCATTGGCGGATACCATAATTCAACCGATCTTGCTGGCGTTGCCAAGGGCGCAATAATAGCTTCCCCATCCAGATCGCATCCAGACTACTTCTATCAATGGACCAGGGATTCAGCAGTTACCATTGGCACCCTTATTGACTATCTGGATGATACTGGATTCGACGATGCAAAGTACAATATTCCTGAAATTATTGAGGCTTATATCGTCAACTCCAAGAAGCTGCAGCGGCTTTCTAACCCATCAGGCACTTTTGAGAGCCTGGAGGGACTAGGAGAGCCCAAATTTGCGGTCAACTCTACAGAATTCTCCGGTCCATGGGGGAGACCCCAAAGAGACGGGCCCGCGCTGAGAGCAAGCACGGTGATCAGCTACCTGAATATTCTCCGGAAGTACAACAAGGAGCTTGTTCTCAAGGATGAGCTTATCGATGAGGAGTCAATCTACCTCGAGGTCGTCAAGCCGGACCTTTCGTACGTGATCCGCAACTGGTACAAAAAGGGATTTGATCTTTGGGAAGAGGTTAATTCTGTGCATCTGTTCACCAGTCTCACACAGCTGAAAGCCCTGAAAATGGGTTTTCAGGAGGCTCTGCGATTCGAAGATAAGACCTTCTACGGGAACCTGACGTCCTCGTATGCCGCGCTGAGATACTTCATTTTAATAGATTCAGGCTTCAGACTCAACTCAATTCCGTACCTGATCGAGACTCCAGAGCTGCTAGCTACCGGTGAGAGAACTGGAATTGATGCTGGCACTATAATTGGAATCATTAGGACGCATACTTTCAACGTTGACACGCAAGATGACGTAGAAATTCCGTTCAACGTGGACGATCCTGCCTCACTCAACACCCTTGTTGCTCTGGCCAATGACATGAAATACCGCTACCCCATCAACCATCACAGACTGAACTTGAGCTCTGCGTTCGCGCTGGGCAGATACCCTGAGGACATCTACAACGGAGTTGACACTAGTGAAGGGAACCCGTGGTTCATTGCGACCGCTTCTGCCGCCGAACTGATATACAAATACATCTACAGCCATTACAGATACGAGAAAGATCTGGTTATTCCTATTGAACTGAGACAACTGTTCGAGAGCATAACAGATCTCAAGATACGCAACCAGACAGTCCTGCCTTTTGGCTCGAAAGCGTTTGCCGACACAGTGGGAGCGCTGAAAAGATATGCAGACGCATACCTAGCTATTATCAAAGAGCACGCGGCCAGAGACGGACACATGAGCGAGCAGTTCAACAGATACACCGGGTTCATGGTGGGGGCCAGGGACCTGACCTGGAGTTACAGCTCTTTCTGGAGTGCATGTAGATGGCGGGCAAAGGTGGCCAGCATAATTCACGCTCAGCGGTGACCGGCACGTGATGCCAGTAACATAGACAACATGTCATTTTCCCGAGTTACGATCGTCATGCTGATGAATGTGCTCTTAATATAATTATCGTATGCAATTTAAACGGCTATTATTTCACTGCTGCGGCGAATGCGACTTCTTCTGGTAGCGTGAAAGAGACACAAAACATGGGTTTGGTTGGGGCCACTAGTCTGACGTAGTGGAAGGAGAGGTTTTCAAAAGAAATCTCAAATTTCAGAAGGTCCACTAATTTGCGGTGGATTCTATGCTGCAATTCTTGCTCAGTCGGCTCTGGATTTTCGGTCGGTGCAAACTTCTCAAAATGGTGGACGTGGATGACCGGCAATCTGTATCCTGGCAGGTCTTTCACTTCGCTGCGCGTCAATTCTGGAAAAGCATTAGAAAAAAGACCCACGAATGCATCTACAAATGTTATGGCAGAGTCCGGCAGATTCATCACATAGTGTGAGAAGAAGCGTGGTATTTCGACCTTGGTGACCTTGTGTTTCTTTGTTCCGCGTGCATTTGGCTTGAACACTTCAATATCCTTGTGGTTTTCTGCATAATCCGCAAGCACTTTGGGAGAGCTTTTGATAAAATCTCTTCCATCCTCATTGAAACAGTTGACAAAGCTGTCGACCTTATTAATTTTCACATTCTGCTTGAGGTACTTGTAGCTTTCTGGGTTCAAGTCGTTGGCAAAGACGATGCACTGCTTTTTACCAGCGGGCACCGCAAAAGGCCCCACACCGGCCATGACGTCGCAAATAGCTTCTCCCGGGCTGAAGATTTTCACTAACCGTCCGTGCTCCGTGGAAAGCCGAGAGTTCCAGTACACTTTGGAGAAATCAAACGTGAAAACACAATCACTTTCTCTTTGTTCCACCAGCAAATTGTCCTCCCCTGCAATGACCTTCATTTTAAATGTCCGAAAAATGCTATCAATCGTGTCTTGTTTGTCCACCACAGTCTTGATGTATGGATTTTTGTCCAAAATCACCTGTCCTATGAGGCTGTCGTAAGGCTTGTATTCATCCTTCAGATTCACATGAGCGACATGACCCGTCTTGGTAAATGAGGTCGGCACCTCATGCAAAAGGTTTTCTGGAAGAGTGCTCTGGAGTATTTCCTCTGCTTTCCAGAAATCGTAGTCGAGCGTAAATCTGTGTTTGAAAAACTTCCCATCGCAATCTTGTATATACTTGCGTGCCTCGGGCGAAAGGTATTTTTCTATGTCTTCTAGCGAGTGGACTTTATGATTAAGTGCAACAGCCTTGTAATCTGGATTTTTGGGATAGTCCTCGAGATTATTCTCTGACTTAGACAGTTTGAACAAAAACGGCAACCGCGGGATTTGCACAGTATCCTGTTTAAATGATTTAATGAAATTACCCATCTGTGCAGCCTCAGGGAACAGAACTGTCCAGACATCAAAAGTCAATGAAAATAGACTTCTATCAAGTGACTTTATGTTACGGTGTACAGGAGGAACAATTTTTTCTGGCGCAATAAATCCCTGGTAGCTCATTCTGCGGCAAAATGCAATTCGGTACAAGGTTGTAGCTATTCGTGAACTTCCTACCGAAGATGGTATGCTCATAAACGTGAATGTGCTAGGATCTGAAAATATTTTAAAAAATAACAGGGCAGTGGAGGCAAGTGAGTGGCACGTAAAGTATGTGGCGGATTTACCACAAAGCGTTAAATTTAATAAGCGATAGATAACTTTAATTTGTTCTTCTATTTGCGTCTCTTCCACTGTTATTTGCACTGCATCGAAGAGGTTCTCAAATAGGTGTCATAGTTTTAGCTTACTGGCCTGCTTGTCAACAGTATTTTCCCCATTTCAATAAAAAAGATGCGAAAGGATCTTTGTTGTTCCCTCTTTACTAACTCCCTTTAGTGGCTGCAAATCAGGAATCAGAAGACCAGCAGTTCTACGATGCAATTTACCAACAGGACCTTCTTAGGCAGGACTACGAGGGGCAAAACGAGCCCCAGGAACTAGAATCAAACTACCCTCCTGATGTTCTTGGTAGACAACGTCAACAACAACCCCAAATCTCTTATGCGGATCCCAATTGGCAGTATATGCAACAACAGCAGTACCAGTCCAATTGGGGATACTATCCAAATCAATTTAGCGCACCAGAGCCAGCGGCTGAAGAACCTAAAATGCTGCCCCCTATCAGCGATGATCCCTATTACTCGTGGACAAGCGATGAGGAGGCTCCCATCACCAAAGACCAGATTTATGATATATTCATGGAATTGAAGAATACGTTTGGGTTTCAGCGTAGCTCTGCGCTTAATATGTACGATCATTTGATGATCCAGTTGGATTCGAAAGCCAGTAGAATGCCAGCCCCCCATGCCTTGTTACTATTACATGCAGATTACATCGGTGGAGAAAATGCAAACTACCGCAAATGGTACTTAAGTGCCATGGTGGACGATGATACCGAGCTCAGCAATGACGTTGATATCAAAATGCTGAAAAAAAACAAGAAGAAAAAGGGAAAGCCCGAAAAGTCAGATAGCTCAAATGATTTATCGGAGCCCTCTTTCCACCCCAGCAAGAAAACAGATGTCATTGAATATAGATGGAAGAAAAGACTGTACGACTGCACTCCAAGCCAGATGGTTGAACATATAGCCCTTTACTTGCTCATATGGGGAGAAGCTAATAATATGAGATTTTGCCCAGAATGTCTTTGCTTCATATACAAGTGCTCGTTCGACTACTATCAGCATGTCAAGAATGACGAGTCAGCAAGGGTGGTTTATGAGGAGGGAGATTATTTGACACGGGTAATCAACCCATTGTACAACTATCTCAGAGACCAACAATACAAGTTGATTGACGGAGCTTTCGTGAGACGAGAAAAAGACCACCATCAAATCATCGGCTATGACGACATGAACCAGCTTTTCTGGTACAGTAAAAACCTTCAGCGAATGATCACGACGGATGGCACTAAACTGATGGATTTGCCAAAGCACGAACGATACAAGAAGCTTGGAAACATCAAATGGAAGAAAGCCTTTTACAAAACTTACAAGGAAAGAAGAACTTGGTGGCATTTAGCTACCAATTTTAGCCGAATTTGGATCATCCATGTTTCTGTTTTTTGGTACTACTCCAGTTTCAATTCTCCGACCCTTTACACACACAATTATATTCAGCTACTGAATAATCAACCCACCCCGCAAGCAAGATTTTCTATCATGGCACTTGGAGGTACCATCTCCTGTTTGATTCAGATAATTGCCACCATTTCGGAGTGGGCATTTGTCCCAAGGCTTTGGCCCGGTGCAAAGCATCTTTTCAGAAGGCTAGTACTTCTGATGATCATTACAGTTATAAACTTCGGTCCGTCAGTTTTCATCCTTGGAATGATTCCCCTTAACACGGTTTCCAGACTAGCATACATTTTATCCATTGTACAACTGGTGACTTCTATCCTCACCACTCTATGGTTCGCTGTTCAGCCTTTGGGAAGTCTATTCGAGTTTTCTTTGAACAAAAGAGCTAAAGGTTACGATGCTTCCAAAGTCTTTACTTCTTCATTTCCCAAACTAAGTTCTAGAGGCTCAGTCTTGTCCATCATGCTTTGGATACTAGTTTTCAGTGCCAAGTTCGTCGAATCATATTTCTTCTTGACCTTATCTCTTAGAGATCCAATTCGAAACTTGTCTATTATAGATTACAGTCGATGCCACGGAGAAGCTTATTTTGGAACGATACTTTGTCGTAATCAGGGAAAGTTTGTTTTAACACTGATGATATTGACAGATTTGGTGCTCTTCTTCCTTGATACTTACCTTTGGTATATCATTTGGAATTGTGCGTTCTCTCTCTCTTTGTCATTCTTCAGTGGGATATCGATCCTGTCACCTTGGAGGAATGTGTTCAGCAGGCTACCTCAAAGGATCTATTCAAAGCTATTATCAACGGCAGACATGGAGGTGAAATTCAAACCCAGCACTCTTGCATCGCAGGTGTGGAACGCAATTGTTATTTCCCTTTATCGCGAGCATCTGCTGTCGGTAGATCATGTGCATCGACTCATCTATGACCAAATACCGGATGAGGCAGACGGAAAGACTGCATTAAGAACACCCACTTTTTTCTTATTCCAGGATGATAGCACGACCACTTTGCAAGATTTCTTTGTGCCAAACTCGGAGGCAGAAAGAAGAATATCTTTTTTTGCTCAATCTCTATCAACACCTATTCCTGAACCAATTCCAGTTGAGGCAATGCCCACATTTACGGTTCTCATACCGCATTATTCAGAGAAAATACTTTTAGGTTTGAAAGAAATAATCAAGGAGGATCCAAGCTCGAAAATATCCCTTCTTGAGTATTTGAAGCATATGCTTCCTCACGAATGGGACTATTTTGTGCGTGATACCAAAATAATATCCTATAGTGAGGGTGAGAAGATGCCGGGTGCAACTGTCAAATCAGAGAAAGACTTCATTGAGAATAAAATTAGTGATCTGCCGCTGTACTGCATTGGGTACAAATCATCGGCTCCCGAATACGTGCTAAGAACGAGAATATGGGCTACATTGAGATCCCAGACATTGTATCGTACAGTTTCAGGATTCATGAACTACCGAAAGGCCATAAAGCTGTTGCACAAAGTGGAAAATCCGGAAATGATTGAGATGTTTGGAGGAAGCTCAAACGCTGAAGAGTATCTGAACAGCATAGCAGACCGCAAATTTAGACTTTTGGTATCTATGCAAAGGTACCAAAAGTTTACGGAACAAGAGAAGAGTGACGTTAAAGTGTTATTGAATGCCTATCCAGAAGTTTATATTGCCAGCTTGGAGCAGGAAGTCCCTGAAGGAGGGTCAGAAGCCGAAATCAAGTACTACTCTGTTTTATATCAGTCAGACGAAAAGAAGAATGGTGAGCTCAAACAAATTTACAGGATCAAGCTCTCCGGCAACCCTATCCTTGGGGACGGAAAATCGGACAACCAGAATCATTGCCTGGTTTTCTACAGAGGTGAATACATCCAGGTGATCGACGCGAACCAAGATAATTATTTGGAAGAGTGTTTGAAAATTAGATCTGTACTGTCTGAGTTTGAGGAGATGGATTACGACACAACAAACCCATACATACCATCTGTTCCAAATACAGGAAACGCCCCTGTCGCCATCATAGGAGCAAGGGAATATATATTCTCTGAGAATACCGGTGTCCTCGGTGATGTGGCTGCTGCAAAGGAGCAAACATTTGGTACTCTGTTCGCACGTACACTGGCTGCAATTGGAGGTAAACTTCATTATGGGCATCCTGACTTCTTAAATGCGGTCTTCATGACAACCAGAGGAGGAATTTCCAAAGCACAGAAAAGACTTCATCTGAATGAAGATATATATGCTGGAATGAACGCAGTGACGCGTGGAGGCAGAATCAAGCATTGTGACTATTACCAGTGTGGAAAAGGCAGAGATCTTGGATTTGGTACCATCCTCAATTTTACGTCCAAGATTGGTGGAGGAATGGGCGAGCAAATGCTTTCCAGAGAATATTATTACTTGGGAACTTCTTTACCACTGGATAGATTCTTGTCATTCTATTATGCACATCCAGGATTCCACATCAATAACTTATTTATTATGCTTTCACTTCAATTATTCCTTTTAGTGATGGTCAATTTGGGATCGATGAATCACGAGTCGATTGCATGCATATACGATAAAGATGTGCCAATCACAGATCTCCAGATACCGGTTGGCTGTCAAAATTTGCAACCAGTGCTTGACTGGGTGACCAGATATGTTCTGTCTATTTTCATTTGTTTCTTCATTTCGTTTGTTCCTTTGGTTTTCCATGAGTTATCGGAAAGAGGAGCTTGGAAAGCATTTAGTCGACTGTTTTTCCACTTCCTTTCGCTCTCACCCCTTTTTGAGGTTTTTGTTTGCCAGGTGTATTCTAACTCCCTGAAAAACGACATTGTTTTTGGTGGGGCCAGGTATATTTCAACAGGTAGAGGATTTGCCATAGTGAGGATCCCATTTACAAGGCTATACTCAACATATGCAATAAGTTCCATCTATTCAGGTACAAGACTTTTCTTGATTCTGTTATTCGGAACGGTGACGATGTGGCAGCCAGCAATTTTGTGGTTCTGGATCACTTTGGTTTCCTTGTGTCTGTCACCATTTATTTTCAACCCTCATCAATTTGCTTGGACCGATTTTTTCTTGGATTATCGAGACTTCATCAGATGGCTCAGCAGAGGGAACTCCAAGTGGCACAAGAACTCGTGGATCGGATTTACACGTTTCTCAAGGTCCAAATTCACTGGATTTAAGAGAAAGATAATGGGAACAAACGTGGAGCAGGCCAAATATGTTCCTGTCAATATTCACCGTGCTCCGTTCGGTAATACATTCTTCGCGGAGGTGATTGTCCCATTATTCCAGACGGTGTGCATATTCATGGCTTATACATTCATCAATGCGCAAACTGGTGTCAAGGATCCGAGACCAGTAAACTCGGTGCTCAGATTGGCGATTATGGTGTTTGCACCACTGGTGATGAATCTCTCGATCCTGGTTGCAATTTTCCCTCTTTCTTGCTTTGCAGGTCCAATACTGAGCATATGTTGCAAAAAGGCTCCCAATGTGCTCGCTGCGCTTGCACATGGGTCTGCTGTGATCTCGCATATTATTGTGATGGAAGTGATCTGGTTTCTGGAAGGCTGGAACTTCTGCCGGTTCCTGTGTGCTTTTACCTGCTCGCTGTATGTGCAGCGGGTGATATTTCAAGCCGTGAAACTCATGCTTCTTACCAGAGAGATCAAGGAAGATTACACGAACCGCGCCTGGTGGTCAGGAAAATGGATAGGCAGTGATCTGGGCTGGTATGCAATCACGCAGCCAATGCGGGAGCTAATTGTGAAGACTGTGGAAATGAGTCTTTTTGCAGCCGACTTCGCCATTGGCCATCTGATCCTGATTGTATTTACGCCGTTGCTATTTGTGCCGTACATCGACCACTGGCACTCGTGCATGCTTATGTGGCTGAGTCCGTCGCGATACTTGCGGGGTCCTATTTACACCACCACGCAGCGCAAGGTCCGTGCGAGGGAGGCCACCAAGTACGCGTTTTTATTCTTCTTCATAATCCTGCTGTTTGCTGCGATTGTGGTGATTCCAGTGCTGGTGGACCTCACGCTGTCTGACTCCATTGCTGAGTATGTTCCCGAGGACTTGTACGGTCTGATCCAGCCGAATCGCCAGGACAACAATGATACCGGCGACAAGGCACCCTCTACAGTTTTGCGCTCGAAGCCGGGCGTCGAGACCTTCAGTACGTACTGGATCTAGTGGAATCTATACATGGTAGCGTCCTGTAAACGTGCATCTGCCAAATTTCAGCACGGGTTTTCACCGTAGCTAAGCCTGGCACGCGCACGAAAATGGAACGTAAAGGTAAACAAAAATAGCAGCACCACCAAAAATTTGCACGTTGCGGACAAACTTGAAAATTCGCTTATTGCAATCATGATCTTCTCGTGGAAAACGATCGGCGCCCTCTTTGGCGCCATGACCGCTGTGGCCAAGGCCGCCTCCGACTTCCCAACCATCGAAGTTGTTGGAAACAAATTCTTTTACTCGAACAACGGATCCCAATTCTATATTCGAGGAGTGGCCTACCAAGCCGACACTGCTCTGACCACCAACACGTCTTTTGTCGATCCTCTGGCCGACAAGACCACCTGCGAAAGAGACATTCCTTACCTGAAGGAGCTGAACACCAATGTCATCAGAGTGTATGCTCTGGATGCCGACGCTGACCACAGCGACTGCATGTCGCTCTTGCAAGACGCGGGCATCTATGTGATTGCGGATCTTTCGCAGCCTAAACTGTCGATCTCTACCACGGACCCTGAGTGGTCTGAGGCCTTGTACGAGAGATACACGTCTGTGGTCGACGTGATGCAGCAGTACGACAACGTGCTTGGATTTTTTGCCGGAAACGAGGTCATCACAAACTCTTCCAACACTGACGCCGCTCCGTTCGTCAAGGCTGCCATCAGAGACATGAAGCAGTACATGAAGGACAGGGGATACCGTACCATTCCAGTCGGATACTCTGCGAACGACGACTCCGAGACCAGAGTCGCCTCGGCCAACTACTTCGCCTGCGGAGATGAGGACGAGAGAGCCGATTTCTATGGTATCAACATGTACGAGTGGTGCGGAAGTTCCTCATTTGAAACGTCCGGGTACGAGGACAGAACCAAGGAGTTCTCCAACCTCACAATTCCCGTCTTCTTCTCCGAGTACGGCTGCAACACCATCCAACCTAGAAAATTCACCGATGTCCCTACCCTCTTCTCCGACGAGATGACCGACGTGTGGTCCGGAGGCATTGTGTACATGTACTTCGAGGAGGACAACAACTATGGTCTTGTCTCTGCCATCGACGACACCACCGTAAGCACCATGACCGACTTCAAGTACTACTCGTCCGAGATCAACAACGTGTCGCCAACCTCAGCCACCCTCGCCTCGGCCAGCAGCACCGCCACCGAGCTGTCGTGTCCAACCGGATTCAAGTACTGGAATGCGTCCGACACTCTACCGCCAACGCCAGAAGAGACTGTCTGTGACTGCATGGCCAGCTCCCTTTCGTGTGTTGTGTCTGACGACGTCGACAGCGACGACTATGATGAGCTGTTCGGAACGGTGTGCGGTCTTGTCAACTGCGATGGCATCTCCGCCAACGGAAAGACAGGCAAGTACGGAGCATACTCGTTCTGCAGCTCCAAAGACATGCTTTCGTTCGCTCTAAACCTGTACTATTTGGACCAGAACGAGGACTCCAGCGCCTGCGACTTTGACGGCTCTGCCAGCATCCAGAGTGCCACCACCGCATCGACCTGCTCTTCTATCCTGAGCGCCGCAGGAACCGCCGGAACCGGCACCGTCAGCGGCGTCAGCGGCTCTGGCTCTGGTTCTGGCTCCACAGCATCCGGCTCCGGGGGCTCGTCGTCTGGGTCCTCCTCAGGTTCTTCGTCCACATCTTCCGGATCGACATCCAACAGCGCCGCCGTTAGATCGTACAGCTCAAACAGCTACTACACCATCCTGGTTTCTGGCCTGTGTGCTGTTGGTGCTCTGGTTGTTCTGACAATGTAAGACTGTAAAGTTTAAATAGAACAATTAAACCCAGAAATGCGGTAGACTGCGGTAGTTATATCTGAGATGGCCAAGGCAGGAAACGTCACCAAGCGCGCCAAGAACGATCGACCGTACATGTCTTGGTTGCTATTTTAAAGAGAGCTCGAGCGAGATTCATTCCGTGGCAAGGGACCACAATAGCCGCATCGTACCTGATTAGGAAATGTTTTTAATTAGAACTGCAAGCACCTGCGTCATAATTGTTGTCACCGGGTGCTTGAGGCGGAGAACCCTGGTGACGATCCTGGAACGGGTGAGATACCGCGTCAGAACTGCCTCTTAATTCTCGCATATTATCCTGCTGATTGCCTGTTTGCGTTTTTTATTCACAGAAAATCCTGCAAGAGCTGGCTCCCCCCCTGTCAGGTGTCTAGACTTTAAAAGAAACGACAGAATGTTCTGATACACGGTGGTACTATCATTGTTTGTTTACTCGGGAAACAAGCCTGCCGTGCCTCGTTTGCCATTTATATATGGTAGTAGCTCGACGGTTTATATTCTCTGCTACAAATTCACTCGTTTTTTCCGGCCTGAAAAATGCAGCTAAAATCTATCCTCTCGCTCACGGGCCTGCTCTCCACCACGCTGGCTCTGCCTACCATTGACGTGGTGTCCAACAAGTTCTTCTATTCGAACAACGGGTCCCAATTCTATGTGAAAGGTGTCGCGTACCAGAAGAACACAGAAAATGCTACCGACGACGCAACCTACGTCGACCCGCTCGCTGACGAAGAGTCGTGCAAGCGAGACATCCCGTACCTACAGAATCTGGGAATCAACGTTATCCGGGTGTATGCAGTCGATGCCTCCAAGGACCATGACGGATGCATGTCTCTGCTCGAGGATGCTGGAATCTATGTCATCTCCGATCTCTCGACCCCAAACGAGTCGATCGAGACCACCAGTCCATCCTGGACTGTTGATCTGTACAACAGGTATGCCACGGTGATCGATATGTTCCAAAGCTACGACAACGTGCTCGGCTTTTTTGCAGGTAATGAGGTTATCACCAACAGGACCAACACCGACGCTGCTCCGTTCGTCAAGGCCGCCATTAGAGACATGAAGCAGTACATGAAGGACAACAACTACAGAGACATTCCGATTGGCTACTCGGCCAACGACGATTCCAAAACCAGAGTTCCTTCTGCGGACTACTTCTCCTGCGGAGACGACGACGTCAAGGCAGACTTTTACGGTATCAACATGTACGAGTGGTGTGGAAATGCCACGTTCTCGAGCTCCGGCTACGAGGCCAGAACGAAGGAGTTTTCAAATTTGACGATCCCGATCTTTTTCTCAGAGTACGGTTGCAACAGCGTCAAGCCACGTGAGTTCACAGAGGTGCAGGCTATCTACTCCGATGAAATGACAGACGTTTGGTCCGGCGGTATCGTGTACATGTACTTCCAGGAAGAGAACGACTACGGCCTCGTTTCCATCAAAGACAATGCTGTCTCGACTTTGGGCGACTACACTAACCTCAAGAGCGAGCTTGCGAAAATTAGCCCTACCACGGCGTCTGCCTCTGCTGCATCGCAGTCGGCCACAGAATTGAGCTGTCCAACCAGTCAGAGCAACTGGGAGGCATCCACAGACCTTCCTCCAACTCCAAACGAGGCCGTGTGCGACTGTCTCGAGTCGTCGCTCAGATGTGTTGTTTCCGACGACGTCGACTCCGACGACTACGGCGACTTCTTTGGTATTATCTGCGACCTCACCGACTGTTCTGAAATCTCCAGCAGCGGCAGTAACGGCACCTACGGCGCATACTCGTACTGCTCAGCCAAGGACAAGCTTTCGTTCCTGCTCAACAAATATTACGAGGAACAGGACTCCAACTCGTCGGCCTGTGACTTCAGCGGCTCCGCCTCGCTCAACTCCAACGGTTCGACCGCATCCAGCTGCTCTTCCTTATTGAGCTCTGCCTCGGCCTCACCATCGGCCACTGGCTCCTCAAACTCCTCCCCTGCATCTGGCTCCGGCTCTAGTTCCGGCTCCAGCTCCGGCTCCGGCTCTAGCAGCTCCAGCTCCTCGTCGTCCTCTGCCGGCGCAGGCGTCAACGCTGTCCCATTGTCGGCTCCACAACTGGGCCTGCTCTCCTTGTTCTCCACCTTCTTCTTGGGCGGACTCTCCTACATCCTTATCTAGTGCTTTCAATATACATTATGTTTTAAATTGCGCTCTGATGCTATGCGATTCTATTTCACCATGAAGATCTCTTGCAACGCCTTGCTGTCCACCACTGCAAGCCGCTTCTGCTGGATCCACTTCTGTCGGAGAGCCATGCGGCCGCTTGGCACCGGCGGCGTCTCGCTGCGGTCGCGTGGCGCCAGCATCGACTCGCGCGTAACCTCGGCATCCTCTCTCTTCCGTTTGCGCGATTTCTCCTTGTCTCTGTGCTTCTTGTCTTTGTGCTTTTTATCTTTCTTCTTCTTATCCTTCTTGTCCTTCTTGTCCTTCTTGTCCTTCTTGTCTTTCCGTCCTTCCCGCATTTTCCCCTCCTTCGCGTCCCACGTGCTCTTCAGTACGTCTCCCCGCACAAAGTTGATCCCCCATCGTCCGTTGATAATCCGGTTACGCTGCAACTCGTCCATCTGCTCATTTACCTCGGCCCCCTTGCCGTTCAGTCGCCCCAGAAGCCGCTGAAAAACGTCCAGCCCTGTACACTCGCCACTGTCAAACTCGTCCTTTTTCGCTGACTTGCGCGCAAGCGACGCTCCCAGCCCGGTATTATCATGCTTGATTACCACCTTGATATGCGAGGTAGTCGCATTGTTGGTCAGCCCAAGACCCTGGCCGGGTTTCCAGCCGTATTTCTCCAGATGCCTGTGTCCAAACCGCGAAAAATCATTCGACCAGTTTGTATTTCTGGGGTCCAACCCAAACCGCTGCTTGGTCCTTGGAGCTCCCAATCCCATAACCAATTAATTGTTTTATAGTGATCTAAAATTTTTTTTTGAAACTTTCCAACCGGTACACGCACGACCCCCAATTCGGGAACTTTTTTACCTTGTGAAAAAAAATCAAATCATTAGACAGCTAAGACCAACAAAGACGTTAAAGTAATTGGTGGTTCCAGTTTGAGTGGCGCATTTGGAAGAAAAAGACAAGTTGCTTCAACGAAATTAGTGGATAATTCATACAGGTAGTACTAAGTTTGGTCTTCCCGCTAAACACACCATACGTTCATTTGGCGTCGTTTTCACCATGTCGCAAATCCCACCAGAGATATCTGGTGTACTAGTCCAATTGCTGTCGGGTTTGGCTTCCACAGATAACGCCATACGTCAGCAGGCTGAACACACGCTCAACAAGGAGTGGACTAGGAAAGACCGCGTCGATATTCTTCTTGTTTGGCTTGCTCAGCAGGCTGCAACTGCGGCCGACGACAGCACCAAGGCCTTCTCAGCAGTGCTATTTAGACGTTTTGCCATCAAGTCGCCTTCTGAGCAGGGCTACTCCGTCACCGCAAGACAGATTGACCACATCAGCGAGCAGGCCAAGACGGAGGTGCGCAATGTCCTATTGCAAGGTTTCACTGCTCCCCAGTCCAATAATGTCAGACACAAGCTCGCCGACGCGGTCGCCGAGGTTGCAAAGGACGACTCGTTTGGCTGGCCAAACCTGCTGCCTACTATCATGCAGGCCACCACCAACCAAGATCCCAGCTTTAGGGAGTCCGCTTTTAGAATCATAAGCACCACTCCCGCAATAATTACCAACTATCAGCTCCAGGACACGCTCAAGATGTTTCATGTTGGTTTTGAGGATGCCAGCGACGACGTGAGAATTGCTGCGTGCTCTGCCTTCGTCGCGTTCTTTGAGAATTTGCCCAAGTCGCAGTGGACCAATCTCAGCTCTCTGCTGCCCAACTTACTTAACTCCCTGCCTAGGCTGCTGGAAAACGGCAAGGACACAGCACTGGCTTCTGTCCTGGAAAGTCTGATTGAGCTGGTGGACCTCGCACCGAAGATGTTCAAGCCTATGTTCCCCACCATCATTGGTTTTTGCTCCGAGGTGGCTCAGAATAAATCTCTCGACTCTACGGCCAGACTGGCGGCTCTTGAGCTGCTCACAACCTTCTGCGAGACCTCGCCGAACATGTGCAAGAGGGAATCGTCATATGCCACTACGATTGTGCTCGTGACTCTCAAACTGATGACCGAGGTGTGCATCGACGACGAGGACGCGTCAGAATGGAACAACTCGGACGAAATCGACAACGACGACGAAGAGGATGAGTACAATGCTGCAAGACAGTCTCTCGACAGAGCAGCTCTTAGACTTGGCGGCCAGTCCTTGGCTGGCCCGTTGTTCCAGTACCTGCCGCAGATGATCCAGTCCCAGGACTGGCACGAGAGACAGGCGGCATTGATGGCGCTCTCGTCTGCTGCTGAGGGGTGCAGAGAGGTACTTATTGCCGAGATCCCCAAGATCCTCGACCTGATCTTGCCCTCCTTGCAGGACAGTCATCCACGAGTCCAGTACGCATGCTGCAACGCTCTAGGCCAGATGTCCACCGACTTTGCTGACGTCATTCAGCGAACCTCGGGTGACCGCATTTTGCCTGCGCTGATCTCCATGCTCACCACAAAGAACGTGCCACGGGTGCAGGCCCACGCTGCTGCTGCTCTTGTGAATTTCTGCGAGGACGCTACGAAGGAGGTTCTGGAGCCATATCTGGACGATTTGCTGACCAACCTGCTGACGCTGCTGCAGAGCGCTCCAAAGAGATACGTCCAGGAGCAGGTGATCACCACCATTGCTATTGTGGCAGACGCTGCAAAGACCAAGTTCATCAAATACTACGACACCCTGATGCCGTTGTTGCTGGAGGTACTGAGAACCGACATGGGTGAGGAGAACAGGCTGCTCAAGGCCAAGTCGATTGAGTGCTCGGCACTGATTGCTTTGGCGGTCGGCAAGGAAAAGTTCATGCCGAACGCGCAGGAAATCGTCCAGCTTTTTGCTCACATCCAAAATAACCTAAGCGGGGAAGACGATCCGGCTAAGACGTATTTGGAGCAAGGCTGGAGCAGGATTTGCAAGCTGATCGGAAAAGATTTCATTCCGTACTTGCCTGGTGTTCTGCCTCCGCTGTTGGAGGCTGCCAAAGCTGCACAGGACATTTCGATCGTGGACGAGGACGAGGTAGATGAGCTCAACCAGAATGAGGAATTTGACGTTATCCAGCTGGCCGGCAAACACATTGCAGTGCACACGGCGATTCTCGACGACAAGACGGCCGCGATCGAGCTACTCAAAACTTACGCCGAAGTGCTGGGAGGAGACTTTTTCCCGTACGTGGAGGATATTGCAACCCATATTGTGATACCTGGTCTTGATTTCTATTTGCACGACGGCGTGAGAGGCTCTTCCGCCCTGACCATGCCTGCTTTGCTCCAGTGCACCATTGAGGCCACCGGCTCTTCAACATCGCCTCAGGCCACACAGCTGTGGACACAAATGTTCGACAAGCTTGTGCACCAGCTGGGAACCGATCCAGTTCCAGAACTACTTGTTGCGTACTACTACGCCATCTCGAAGGGCTTGGAGCTGATTGGCGCAAATGTGCTGTCGGACGAGCAAATCCTAGCTGCCGGAAACTCGATTCAGACCAACCTGACCGAGATCTACGAGAGAATCAAGAGCAGAGAAAATGCCGACGACGAGTACAACGAGGAGGTCCAGGAGGACGACGAGGAGTACACTGACGAAGAATTGCTCGACGAGATCACCAAGGGCATCACCGCGATGTTCAAGAGCACAAGAGAACGGTTCCTGCCGGCATACCAGTCTCTGATCCCGACTCTTGCCTCGTACCTGAATGACGAAAACACCTCGCTGAGATTGCTGGCGCTGTGCTCCGTTTCTGACCTTGTAGAGTACGCTGGTCCTCTGGCGTTCCAATACAAGGACTTCTTTATGAACCCTGTTGGCGAGTCGCTCACATCTCCTCAGGCAAGTATTAGACAGGCTGCCTCGCATACCGTGGGTGCCTGCGCGCAATACGGAAGAGACAACTTTAAAGATTTCTGCATTGCCACTCTGGGATCGATGCTGGCCATGTGCAACGTCCCGGACTCGAAAGCAGAGGAGAACCTATCTGCTACCGAGAACTCTATCGCTGCCATTGCCAAGGTGCTGCACTCCTTCGGCTCCAATGTTCCAAATGCCAATGAGGTGGTGGAGAACTGGCTCAAGCTGATGCCTGTGCTACAGGATGATGAAGCGGCACCGTATGCTTATATGTTCCTTGCCGAGCTGATTCAACAGCAGCATCCAGCTGTCGCTGGCATGATCCCCAAAATCGTGGACGATGTGGTACAGGCGCTACTTTTCGGCTCGATCTCCGGCAAGACCGCCGAGAAAGTCGTGGGAACCGTGAAACAGCTGCTGGGAACTTTGCCTCAGGACCAGGCCATTGCTCTTTTGAATAAATACAACACGGAGGGAAAACAGGTGATAAGCGAGTGGTTTGCATAGAGTACCTGGTGAGTCGTATATATTAATCTTCAACATTAATTTGATTTTGTATTGATAAGATATTCATTTCGAAAAGCAAAGACTAAACCAAAAAATAGTGATAAAATGCGAATTTAAACAGCTTGGCGCTCCTCCGGCTTTGACTCCAAATATGGGAGAAATTGCTGCAAATCCAGCTCAACAGTGCCCTTCGGAATTTTGGAGGGCTTGATTGGAGAAGGATGGATTTTCATGAAATCTAGTAATTGTCTGAACGAGCTTGAGCGTGCGTCATCAAAAAGCTCCACAAATTGTCTCACGAGATTGCACAAAACATCGCTCTGGTGAATAATGCTTGTGATGTACTGGATCTTTGGCTTACTAGACGAGTTTTCAAAGCCAACCAGGTTTGACAGCATCTTCGAAGCAATAGGTATCAGGGTTAAGTCATTAAGCAAAACCGTCTTCATCATCTTGAACAGACTAAGCAGCCCAAACTCCTTGTAAACAAGTAAGTAACTAAGAAGCGAGTCAAGCTGATAGTGGTACAACATATTGCAAAACGATCTGTCGTACAAAGACGAAGAGTCCACCAATTCTGGGAACCTGCTAAAATTGCCGCAGACTTTCAAGCTGCTGAGCGTAGCTGCCAGGTTCAGATCAACAGACTTGTTTAGTATCTTGTAATCCAACCCATGCTGTGACCTGAACAGAGCCAGCTGCGTAAAAGTTTTTTGCTTGAACTTATTCATCGTGTCATCTTTGACCGCAGATCTTTGTTCGGTTGAGAATTTCATTAAGCCAAGCTCATCATTGAACTCTCTCAAAAAATTGTAAACTTTAGACTTCACAATAGCACACAAAAGAACACAGTCCTGTAACACCCTAGTGCCCTTAACTCTATGGCAAGGGCCGGAATGAAGTGAATTGAAGGCTGCTTTTGTTTGTGCCCGAACTTTCTTCAGCGAATCGTCACCCATGATGAGATTGTTCTCAAAAATGAAATTGGATTTTCCTAACGGAGGAATGTACTCGAATCCAAACGGGTGCTTGAGCAACTCTGGAACTTTTGCAGATTGACCAATTAAACCAAAAAGCTCCTTGTTCAAGCTTGATGAAAGTACAAACTGCACAGTCTCCAACAGTGCGTAAATTGATAATCTGCTTCCCATGTCGTTTAACAGCGCAGAAAGCTTCAAGAAGGACTCGAAAGTATTCAGATTGTAGTCGATGTTCTTCAAGCTGACTTTCAAGTAATTTAGTAAATTTAACTCCTTTGGGTAATCAAGCTTAAAGTTTTGGTCCACAATCTCAAACAACATCTTCATGGTAGTCTCTGTGACTTCGTACGTGTAAGAGTCATTTGTGATGCCCAAACTTTCCTTGTAATTGGAGTTATTAATGTTCAAAAGGATCACGAGCAAATCGTGATCGTCGATATTAACTAGTGGAACATTGGTGACAATAAACTCACTAATATTTGCCAGCAAATAATAGCCCATCTTTTGCAAATTAGTGGTACTCCTTGATTGCAAGTTGACGATCTTGTGTAAGGTCTTCAACAGCGCTGGCCTGTGCAAAGAGTACAATGAGACCATCTCACTGTTTGCGTCATTTTCCAGGTAAAGCTTCAACACCTCGTTGAGCTTCCCAAAAGACATGTCAGATTTGGCACAAATATGATGTATTTTTAGTAATGCATCGACACTTTGAGTAGCAACCCGTTGATAGTTGTGAGGAAATAAAATGCCAAACAGGGTGCGCGAGTCCTTGTCTTCACACAGCGAGCTTTGTGCTAAAGTTTCACAGCGATTGAAGTTCTCAAAAAGAGCGTGTAGGCCTCCGCTGGCTGTTAGATGAGTTTGCGACTCTCCCGCAAATATGTGCGTGAACATGGTGTAAGTGTCTTTTTCAGTGAACGAAGACAAGAGCGTATCAAACATATGTTTGTTCATTAGATGCATAGCAATGAAAAGGGTGAAGTGTTGCTTGATCATGTTTTGCTCTGCATGGTTGTAATTTGGAGCCAGAACAAGAGTTTTCAAAATCGGTTTGACAAGATTGTACTGTTCAAGGCTCAGCAAAGAACCAAAGTTCCTGAACCCAAAGTTTGGGTGCGTTTGCTCTAGTTGGAAGTGATACTTGAACAAGCCCATAGCAGCCAAAGAAATACTTGCAGCTTTTTGGAACGAAAGCTCACTCATTTGACTAGTCAGTACACTGTTGAGCTCTTTGGTCAATTTGATGATAGTCAAAACCGTGATAAATTCCAACTGTAACTTGTCTTTGGTTTCGGGGTCTGCGTCCGTTAGCCTTTTGGCTAGATTCTCAATATCGATTTTTGTGCGGCTTTCTTGCACCAACGACTGTAGAGTCTCCAGAACACCTGTTGAGCTCTGTTGATCTTTGTTCAGAGCCGAGTTAAACACATCCTCAATTGTGTAAAGCTCTGAAAGGTCCGGATCACTATCGTGCTCGTCGTCATGGTCGATCCTGTGCTCCTGAGACAATCTCCTATTTGCTGATCCCGAGTCGGACGAGAACTCGGACGACGAGATCGAGCTTGCGTTTGATCCAAGCTCCAGGCTGAGTTCTGCTGATAACGGAGACTCGTCCGTGCATGCATCTTGAACAAAATCAGGCGTCAGGTTCATTTATGCGGCAAACGTGTAATTTCTCCCCCTATTTCGATGCTGTGTCTTGTCAACAGAGTGTGTGGTCAATAACCTCCAAGTGCCACAGAGTTGCTCTTGGTATACTTTAGGGCTTGGTCTAAGTGGCAAGTTAGTCAAATGTTCCCAAATAAAGATCGATAAACGAGTTTCGTGGTTTATAAGTGAATCAAGATTTAAAAAAGCCCCAGCAGTTCTACAAAAAGTCAGTTCCACACAGAAAAAATCTACCCCGTATAATTGATTATATTTTCTACATGTCACAAACAAATTCAGCTTTGATTATCGTAGATCTCCAAGAAGATTTTCTTCCTCCGACCGGAGCTTTGGCTGTGCCTCATGGAAGGGAGGTGATTGATTTGATCCTACAATTATTGGACCTCAACAAGTACAATTGGAAAACGATCATTGCCACTTTGGATTGGCACCCATCAGACCACACATCCTTTGCCAAAAATCACGGTCAGGAGCCTTACACCACGAAAAAGTTCAAACACCCCCACAATGGGACTATCAAGGAACAGGTGCTATGGCCAGTCCACTGTGTGCAACATAGCAAGGGCGCCGAGCTTGCAAAAGAGTTCAAACCTGTTCTGGAGGATCTGCTACAAAAACAGCAGGTTCCTACTTACACCGTGAAAAAGGGATATTTGCAGGATCGGGAGTACTACTCTTGTTTCCAGGACACCTGGGGGCTCCACCACACGGAGTGCGAGAAGATCCTACGCGAAAATGGAATAACACATGTTTTCACTGTTGGACTGGCCTACGACTACTGCGTCCTCAACTCGTCTATTGATGCTGCAGACCTTGGCTTCCAAACATTTGTTTTGAAAGACTGTTCGCGCGCTGTCGATCCGTCCGCCAATGATAAGACCGAAAGCGTGTATCGCGAGCACGGGGTGAAAATTATTAATCTCCAAGATGCTGCTCTCGCACAGGCTACTAAATGATTAATCACGCTATTCTGGCTTTGTGAGTGATGATCAAATATTTTATTTTATGGCCAAAAAAATTAGTTCGATTTAAATAATAACCAATTGTTATGCTGGGACTTCCGAAACTCAATACGGGAGGCGGGGGAAACAAGAAAGAGCACAAGTCTGAGACCGTCTCCGACGCTGTTGCAAAGTACAACGAGAGACGTTTCCGACAGGCGGCGCTTTTCTATGGATGTGCTGTAATGACGTATATTGCGTCCAAGATTGCCTATCGGGGTGTCATTGCCAGACGATACAACCCGACATTCTTTCAGCACAACCACGTTCCTCCTAAATTTTCGTTTTACCGAGATGCTGCCAGCGCGGTCGCACATGCCTCACTGCTCGCTGTTTCGTCGATGGCGATGTTTGTTACCGGAGGTTTCTGGTACTACGATATCTCAGGACCCCGCGAGTTTGGCCAGCGGATGAAGCTGCTGCTGGGTGGAGCAGAGGCAGAGAAGGAGCTTGCCCGGATGCCTGTTGACCAGGAAACTAACGACATCCAGGGCATGTTGACGAGCTTGCTCAACGGCGACGACAAGGCTCAGAAAAACTAAACGGCTTGTATATAGTGTTGAAACGCTTGAACGATGACTGAAGAGTAAAACGCCATTCTGGAGAGCTCGCTTGGTGCACTTAAACTCCTAGCAGAACATCTTTGCACATAATTTTTCTACTCTTCCATGGTCTCGGAAACCACCCCTCTTCAGAGACCCGATGGCTACGAGGACGAGGATTTCAGTCCATTTGAGCGGCTTATGATCCGCATCGGATCCTCCAGACGGCTGCTCTGGGGGCTCGGACTGATAATTGGACTGCCAATTGTATACTTTATGATGGTCTTCTTGCCTAGTCTAGCACCCCCGTCCGCAGACGTCCCGGACTTGATCAAAGTTGGAAAACTGCCCGTTTATCTACACCCCTTGATACCTCCAGAGAATCGTGAAATGGCGGATCATGAGAAATTTAATGACAACTTCAACGACCCCGAGTCGCCTATTACAAACGTGCCCAGTTTCGAGAAATGGGGCCTGCTGGACAAGGATTCCAAATTATTCAGGAGACATTTTCGGAAGCTGCAGGCTGCAGCTTCCCAAAGGCCCGCTAAACGACTCATTCTCATTGGAGACGTTCACGGCTCGCTGATCGAGCTGCAGAAACTCTTGAAACACGTTAAATATGACGGCGGACGCCACGATCACGTTCTCTTGCTAGGCGATTTCCTGGCCAAAGGCAAGAACTCGCTCGGGGTGCTGGAATACGCCATCCAGAACCGCATCGACTGCATTTTGGGCAACCATGAATGGGAGATTCTGAAACGGTATGTGCAGTACCACGGACTGCCGAGCGTCGGCTTTAACGAGTCGAAAAACGAGTTTAGAGCAGCAGAACAGTACGACTTGGACGAGCAGATGCGGATTGCAAAACGGCTCATGCCTGAACACATTGAGTATATTTCCAAGTGTCCGCTAATTAAAGAGTTGGGCCCTGTTCCGAGAACGACGAACAAAAAAGGGACGAAATATGCCTTCAAGCCGGCAACCGGAGTAGCCGTCCACGGCGGACTGGTCTGGAACATCGAAACCCTGCAAGAACAGGATCCAGAGGCAGTTCTGACTATTCGCGATCTGCTGCCTCCAGACTATATCATTCCGACTGAAAACCGTCACGAGGTGGTCAACGGAGAGAAATCCAAGCCATGGACACGATTCTGGACACGGCGCCAGCATGAGGTGGCTGCAAACGCGAGCGAGGACGCGTTGACTGCCGGGACAAAAGTGTACTACGGGCACGATGCCAAAAGAGGCGTGCGTTTCCGTGAGTTTAGCACGGGGCTGGACTCTGGGTGTGTCTACGGCGCCCAGCTCAGCGCGGAAATAATCTGGAGCGAGGTGGTGAGTACGGAGAACGAAGAACGCATAGTTTACAGAAATCTGTTCACCCAGGTCAACTGCTAAGGCCAATTAATGGACTATAGTTCGATATCGTACTTATCAACCAGCTGGACAAGCGCGGCCAATACGTCCTTCTGGCTGGCAGAGTCGTACACTTTGAGAAACGGTCGAATCATGGCAGCCGTCGGCTTGATTGAATGTTGGAGCGTGACGCCGTGAAGATGCACGAAATTGGACACCAGATAATCCAGAATGATGGTCTGGGTTTCAGAAAGAGTGTCGTGCGTTTCGAGCGTCGGGTTGATTTCATACACATGGCACGTTTGAACGAGGATGAAGAGGGCGAGCTTGATTTCGCCGGCCTTGATGAGAGCGCCTATAAACGATTCTATAAGCTGTGAGTCAAGGTTGAGTCGTAAGTCGTGAATCGTGAAAAATATGGTGTTGAGCACGCAATTGAGGTCACCTTTGCTGCCGTAGTGCTCCAGAAGATGGACCACCGTGGTTCTGTCGGGTAGGATGTTTGCTCTGTTCATTCTTGTCAGAAGGGTTTGTGGGTCCACGATTGGGAGCAGCAAATTAAAATGCGAAACATGTAATTTATATGGGTAGAGAGAAAGGAAGTCGAGGACGTTATTAGCGTCAGAACAGGCCAACTTGAGTCTTATCCAGTTGTGCGTTTCAATTTCTGTGAGTGGGATGCGGCTGGTCACCATTTCCGAGTAGAACAAACGGATCCAGTGTCGTGTTTCTGGAACCAGTTCCGTGATGTCTTGGGCCACAGTCTGATTAATAACCGCAGCGAGCAGCTCAAAATCTTCCCGGCCGATGTGGCTGTATTTTGGCCGAGGAAGAGACTCGTACCAATTTTGGATCGCTTCGATGGGGCCATGTTTTCCTTGTATGTTGCCGGGCAAAGCGTGCGTGCTGCTCTCTTTCAACAGAGTTGCTCTGTCTGCCGTGATTCGTGCATGGTTGGTGATCTGGTTCAGCATCAGGGTATGCTCGCTAAAACGCTGCAATTGCGAGTCGTCAAGGTTCAGCTTTTTGTACCTGCGCAGAGCGTTTCCATATTCATATATTTCTTGCTGGTAGAAGCTGGCTCTATTGGGCTTTATATTCCGGAAATATGCGTCGTCAAAGTGCTGGAAGTAGTCGTGCAGCTGCTTCACTCGGATCTTGTTCTGCGGCTGCGTGTGCGGCCTAAGTAGTTTGTCCAGCCATGTAGGGGCTCTCTCTGCAGCGGGCTCAGATCTGGCGATCCAGTCGGGTTTCTGCAACGGTCGCAAGTTTTGGGACCAGTACTGTTTGGCCTCGGCGGTGAAATCGTCCCAGTCACCATCGAAGCCATCGAAGTCGGCGTCTCGAAAAGCATTCTTGGCGTGATAGTCGTTATAGGACCGTCGCGCAGAACGTTGTTTGCGCAACAGCGTCTGTTGTTTGGTCCATTCTGGGTTCACAGGAAAGTCGGCACTATCAGAAAAGTTGCGGCGCAGGCAGGAAAGCCGAATGGGTCGCCAGGTCAGCTCCAAGCTCTCCTTGACGATGCTAATCATCATCTGTGAAGAAATATTTCTGAAAAATATTTTGACCCGCGCCGCCAGTGAAACAACTGAAAAAAACTAAACAAGGTGAATGAGTTTACAGCAATGAAGCCATATGATTTGCAGCGCAAAGCGCTGTCGTTGCTGAACCACCGGTTCAGAGTATACAGACGAGTAATAATACGGACATGGATGCTTTTAATTCTGGTGCTGGCCGCAGCTGGGCTCTGTGTTCGCGTTTTTTTTCACCGCTCTCTAGACTTAGCCGGTCTGGAGCAGATGGAGTTTGAGGACCGATTTTCCAAACAGGCCTTGCAGAAAGTGCCCATGTCGGAACGGCCCATAGAGTCAGCCAAGGACGCGGTATTTGAGAGCGGGTGCAGGGACCCTCTTATCGAGTCGAAAAACCCCCGTATGAACGCCGCATTCGTTGTTCTCGCGCGCAACTCCGAGATTGATGGCGTCGTGTCGTCGATGAAGTCGCTGGAACGCCATTTCAACCAATGGTTCAACTACCCGTGGATTTTTCTCAATAACGAACGTTTTAGCCAGGAGTTCAAGAAGAAAGTAGCACAGGTGAGCAGCGGGCCTGTGCGGTTCGGCACAGTGCCGGAGGCGAGGTGGAATTTTGAGGAGCAGCAGACAAACCCTGTGCTGTTCAAGGAGGCCATTGAGTCGCAGGGAGACCGCGAGATAATGTACGGCAACACTGGCAGCTATCATAATATGTGTCGTTTTTACTCGGGCTACTTCTTCAAACACCCCCTCGTGCGGAAATTGGACTGGTATTGGCGCGTGGAGCCGGATGTAGACTTCTACTGCGACTTAACATACGACCCGTTTCTGGAGATGCAAATGCAGGGAAAGAAATACGGGTTCACGGTGGCAATTAAGGAGCTGGTCAACACGGTACCAAATCTGTTCCGCTACACGAACGCGTTCATCAAGAAGCACGACGTTCCGCTGTCAGACGCATGGGAGTTTTTTGTCGACCGGTTCGACGTCTACAAGGGCCAGAACAGCGAGCACTATAAGAGCATCACTAATATAGGCGATTTTTGGAAAAAGCTCGAGGAGCGGGTTCCAATGTACCATGCGTTGCAGACGGCCGGTGAGGACGCGGCACGGGTGGACCAGCACTCACTTAATAGGCTCGTGGATCACAGCAACAAGCGCGGGCTGCACACGGTCAACAAGGACAGGTTTGACGGGACAGAGTACAATATGTGCCATTTCTGGTCAAACTTTGAGATTGCGCGCACAGACCTGTTTACGTCGGAGCAGTACCAACAGTACTTTGACTATTTGGAGTCGTCGCAGGGGTTTTTCATCGAACGGTGGGGAGACGCTCCGGTGCACTCTCTTGGAGCAGGAATGTTTCTCAATTTGTCGGAAATTCACTACTTCAGAGATATCGGCTACAAGCACTCGACTTTAGGCCACTGTCCGAAAAACTCGCCACACCAGCTGCCGTACAAGCCGGGCTCGCGGTACAAAAACGTCTACCACGAAGACGATGAGCGTAACCTGGCAAATTATGACCGGCCAGTGTCAGATGGCGGTGTCGGGGTGGGGTGTCGGTGCAAGTGTCCTGCAGATCATGCCGAAATCGAAAATTCAGGGGGATCGTGCGTGGCGCTATGGGCGAAGTTGACTGCTGACGAGCGGGAGCCCCGTGCGACCCTGGATCTGGACGCGATAGAGGCTCGCGCTTTGGAGATGTACGAACAGTATTTGGAGCAGCACGACAACGACGGGTCCAAGTGGAAGCTGAGCACTGCCGATCGTGAGGAGTTAGAGAAGCTGGGCTCGCTCTAAACACCCGCGGCCATTCTGTAGGGCTGTAAGATAATTGCAAATCTAGCGGATAGGATGCCGGGGCTTTGAATAAACTAGCTTCAAAGTGCCGCATGCGATAACGCACACATATAATTGTTTCACGTTCGATGTGGAGAATAAAAGCCACTCTTTGAATTGCCAAGCTTGTCTGCAAGTGACAACTGGGTGGACGTCGCGCAGAATGCAACCCCTACCGGGCGAAGAAAAAATCAAGATTGAAAGAAGCCGCGGTTAGAGTTTAAAGTTTTCCATGCATCATAAACTTAGGAAGTTGTATCCAGTATTGTCTCTCCAACTGGAAATTATTCGGTCACATTTGCTTCTTTATTGTTGCAACAATATACGCACTATTGCTTGCTTCTTCCCAGGATTGGCACTGTATATGTACACAGCTAGCCCTTCCCACGACATGCTGTCCTCATCTTTAGTGAGTCTACTACCGGACATGGACCAACCACATCTGTCGTCCTACCTAATCCGCTCTCCCTACCAGTCCTCGGAAAACTTGTCGTCGCCGCCAAGTCAGGACCAGGGCACCCAACAAAACCGCGAGACAGGTCCCGTATCGCATATGCCTCAAGTATGGCAATTTTATGACAACTACACCACAGACATGATCCTGGGCGACTACGATCTGTCGGCCAGCACGCACCTTGCTTCCTTTCAGCAAGCCCAGCCTCCGTACGCTACCAGCCCGCCCACAACGAAAAACATTTACTCCACAGAGCATCGAATTTCTATACGCAATATTCCCTCACTGGAGGAAGAAAAGCAACCTACATTTCCCGGCACCGACCCAACAGCTCTGAAAAAATTTAGATGCAGCCAATGCACAAGCTCCTTCACCCGGAGAAGCAGGCTCAAAGAGCACTGTCGCAAAGTCCACGAGGGCGAAAAGCTGGTGTTCAGATGTGACTACTGCGACAAAGTGATGAGCTCACGCGAAAACCTCAACAGACACATGATTGGCCACACCGACAAGTACCGCTGTGCCTACTGCGGCAAACGCCACGACAGATCTGACAGATACCAGCGACACATACAGAAATGTTTCCCCAAACACAATAGTACTTAACTCTCGGCCTAGACGGCTGTGTGGGACGGCCACACAGCCGGCCGGATCAGCTGCGTATCGCTGAGGCATCGCGCCCAACAATTGCGCACTTGGCCAGGGGCACCGGTCACGTGACCCGGCGGGACGCATGGTGTATGCGCGCACACGCGCATTTTGCTGCGCGCGCGCTCACACCCTGCCCAGGCTCTAAAAAAATACTTCACCCGAACTGGTACAGGCCAGATTAGCACCAGAATCCCGTTTGGTTGATGGCCACACGTGATGAACGCCGCCACCCGTACTCACCCAGAGTACCACGAACAAGGCGGCCTGCCGCCCACGGCCTTTGTTGACGCGTACGACGACAACATGTCCACCATCCAGCGTGCCGGACTTCGCCAGACATCGCTTTCTGCGCACATCCAACAGCAACAGAAAAAGAAGCACCGGCCGAAAACCATGTTGTTTGGTGATGTGAACGCGTCGGGCAGCTCTCCCACGACTGCTATGGCTCCTCCGTTTGCTCCTGGAATGGGAAATTACGGATCTCGAGTCCCGTCTATGGCGAGTGTCGGAAGCGCGTCAAACTCGTCCCTGCCGTACGGATACCACGACTTCCACCAGCCGGGCAGCCCGTACGGCGGCTCGCATCATTCTCTGCCTGCGAATCGGTCGCCCACGTTTTCTGGCTCGCCGGCCACATTTAATGCAGAATACAACAAGTTTGCTCCTTCGCTCGGCGCCGGGCCAGCTGCTACACAGTATATGCCTAATCGGATCATCACGCCTGGTCTGCGGAAAGTGTCGCCAGCCACGCCGCCGGCCAATCCGGCGAACCACTCCGCGCGCATGTCTATTAATTCGGCCCTTTCGTTCATCGGGTACTCACCCAAAAAGGAGAACGGCGTGTTGTCGCCGGACGACGGCTTCCCAGACACAATTGACGACGACGCGCCGCCGCTGAGCGAGCAGGTGGCTCAACTCAGAGAGCAGGTCGATGAGCTGGAGCTGGAGAAGGTACGTTTGGAAAAGGAGAAGTCCAACGAGCAGGAAAAATCTGGCATGCTCGAGCAGCGTGTTGGCAATATGAGCGAGAGCTACGAGTTGCTCTGCAGCGAAAACGAGGCATTGAAGAAGCAACTGGAGGCCCAAAATAAAAGTCTTGAGAGCAGCCATGAAGAGACCAGAAAACTGCAGGAGAAGTTAGATTCTGCAAACCAGGAGGTCGCGTCGCTGACTGCTGTGGTCGAGTCAGTTGTGCGGGTCCTTCCAGAGCATATTAAGAGCAAAGACCGGTTCATGGACTTTGTCACAAAGACGAAACTAGACTTGCGGTTCAAAGACCAAGTGGAAACCACGGCAGCCGCTTTCAAGCAGGAACTGGGCCTGATCGACACGGACGACAAAGTGCTGGACATGTTCCGTGAGGAGGTCAAGGCGCTGAGCGAGAAAGTGGCCCAGCTGGAGAAGCGCAAGACAGAAACGGAAAAGATCCTCAAGCACCACATATATACGGGGAACCAGACCATCAAGCATCTGGCCCAACGAAACCGTGCCGTTTCGAGCCCGGCAGGACCGAGAAAAGAGCTCAAGATCATCGATATCGTGCAGCCGACGCTCAGCGTGGCGGAGATGAAGAAAGGCCGGAATAAAAAATGACAAAATGTTATTGATCGTTATAGAAGTACGCTGCTACACTCCGTCGTCGGGTCTCTGCTGCTCGCGCTCAATCTTGGAACCCTTATCCTGCAGACTCTCATAACCCTTGAAGTTCTCCTTCACTTCCCGCTTAACGTTCTCTTTGTTGGACTGGAACGTTTCTTTCAGCTCGGCAGCTTCCTGCGAGGCATCCTGTTTTGCCTGGGATGCCTTCTCGGACGCCTTCTGCGACAGGTCGTCTTTTTTGTCTGCAACCTTGTCTTTCACGGTGGAGACCTCATCCTTGACGGTCTCGGCCACATCTTCGGCCTTGTCAAGTCCAGAAGCGAGAGTCTTTCCAACCTTGAGATTGATGTCTTTGAGTACTTCCTTGGTGCTGTCGACGACTCCACCGCGATAACGGTGCTGGATCATCAATGCGTTTGCAGGGCGGACGGTTCTGACGGTTCTGACGGTTCTTAATGCGGTTCTGTACATGACGATACTGTACAGAGACAGTGGGGAAGGCTGAGGTTTATATACCTGGCGAAAATTGCTGCGAGCAATCGACCGCAAATTGGGTTGCGCGAGAGCAATTATATGACGACATTGTTTACCAACGTGGGCAATCTGATTCGCAGCGAGAGAATTCGGCCACTTTCGATCGATCTGGGTCGCCACAGGTCCCGCTGAGGCGCACATGCCTGCCGTGGCGAGGCGCCGTCGATCGACCGGACACGGCGTCTGTCGCAGCCGGTTTCAGATCCCCACCTGTACCATACCTGAGCATAATTCAATACAATTCAAGACACAACTTCATACACAATTTGGCTGATATGGTCCCCTCAGCGTAGTTGGTGGATCTACTAGATATTTTTCTAGGGCCTTAAAATTTTCGTATTCTTTCCCCATGAGATTCCCGCCAAGGCTGCTTCGAAAGCGGCTGCTCGCGTCCTACGCGCTGTGCGCGGTGCTGCTAGTGACGGCGTACGTTGTGCTGCGCAACCCTGCCCTCAAGACCCAGCAGCAGAAAACCAATGCCCGCCTTGTTTCGCGAGTAACTTCTTTGTTTTCAGGCAAATTAGGTCTCCAATGCGACAAATTCACCTCATACAAAGAGGAGCCGCGCGACCACTGGCAGTATTACGGCTACGACGAGAACGAAAACAACCTTGCGCCGAACGAGCTCAACAATCTGCTATCTATCACGGCGGACCAGGAGCAGGAGCTGACGAGAGTCCATTCTTTGTTGATGGAGACGTATCTGACCGAGAAAAACTCGCTCTTCCGCAGTTTCCAGGACTTGTACGCCCACCACTACGACGAAAAAAGCACCGGAATCGTGTACGTTTCTGGCAAGGAGTACTACTGGCTCACAATTCTGTCGGTCAAATTCATCCGCGACGAGCTCAAGGATCGGACCCCGATCGAGATCTTCATCCCTTTTTACGACAAAAACGACCAGTATTGCAACAAAATATCCATGGTGTTCCCCGACGTATCCTGCTCCTACTTCAACAATTATCTGTCCACCCGCGCCGTGTCCAAGCTCAGTGGATACCAATACAAAGCGTTGGCGCTGCTGCTCACCAAATTCAACAACGTGCTGTATCTGGACTCGGACAACATCCCACTCGAACAGCCGTCCAAGCTCTTCGAAGGTGAAAAGTACAGCAAGCACGGCATGGTGTGCTGGCCCGATTTCTGGAAAAGATCGACTCACCCGGCCTTCTACAGAGCTAGCGGCCTCGGCCGCCATAGCCACATCATCGCGGCTACGCCCTCAGTCGAGTCCGGCCAGATCATGGTGAATAAAAGAACGCATTTCAAAACCCTGCTTCTGGCATACTACTACAACCTCCACGGCCCAGACTTCTTCTATCCGCTATTTTCGCAGGGCTTTCCCGGAGAAGGAGATAAGGAAACTTTTTACCTGGCTAGCAGAGTCACCGACGAGGGATCATTCTTGATGACCGGCATCAAGACTAAGATTGTCGGATACATAGACAGTCAGAATCTGTTCCACGGCCAGTCCATTCTGCAGATCGACCCGGACGACGTGCACAAATATGCGTTTTTCCATTGCAACTACCCAAAACTCCAGGTCGACAAGCTCACAAAAGCGTACTTTTTTGACCAACAGACCAATACCAGACGCAGATCGTGGCAGATCATGAGAGACGCCAAGAAAGATAGCAACGCGGGCGGCATGGTAACCCTGAAGAAGGGAATCAAGGTCGACCTCGAGCTGCGGGTCTGGACTCTAATCCACGAACTGCTTGTCAAGGACTTCAAGGGCTTCAGGCTGTTTGAGAGCATCGGCAACGACGAAATGGGCGACGTTGTAAAGGAACACATCTACTTCCTCAAAAACCAGGGGACACTGATTACGTAATACATACAGGAATGATAGAAAAATATTTGCAAACTACTTGGAAAACCACCATGCTACGACGACTGTACTCCACGATTCTCGGGGTTCCGACGGGCAAACTTGCCAAGAACATTGCCGACATGACGACGACGGAACTGCTGATTAAGGCTGGATACGTGAGCCAGCCGAATGCAGGGCTGACGCATTGGCTTCCGCTGGGGCTGTCTACGATCCGCAACATCGAGGAGATCATCCGCAAACACCACGACAAGGCCGGGTGTCAGGAGGTGTCGTTGTCTGTGATGTCACACCAGTCGCTGTGGGACAAAACCGGGCGCTGGCAGAACGACGAGCTGTTCAAAGTGGGCGATTTCTGTCTTGCTGCCACGGCAGAGGAGGAAATGACACAACTGGTCCAGCGGACGGCCGACAGTTACAAGAAGCTGCCTGTGATTGCCTACCAAATTGGCCGCAAGTATAGGAACGAAAAACGGCCAAGAGGTGGGCTCCTACGCGGCCGGGAATTTGTGATGAAAGATGCGTACTCGTTCGACGTGGACCAGTCCAGCGCATTGCGGTCGTTTGAAAAAATGAACCAGGTGTACTACGACATTTTCAAGGAGCTTAATGTGCCGTTTGTAAAGGCCAATGCGGATTCTGGCGCGATTGGTGGCGACTTAAGTTACGAGTGGCATTTTCTAAGCGAGTCGGGCGAGGACACCCTTTTGGAGTGTGACGCGTGCGGTGTTGTGGGCAATGTCGAGCGGGTGAGGCCGCACCTTGCGGGAGGCCATCTTGCTGACGAGGCAGAGGTGAGCTATCATCTTACGAGGGAAAACGATCTGTGTCTAATCTATTATCCTAAAGGCCGGACGGTGAACTTTAAATTCCTAAATGACGAAGATCTGGTGGAGTTGCGCACAGACATCAGCTCCGAGGAGGCTGTGCAGACCTACAAGCGATCTGGCGACAGCGAGTTCCGGAACATTGTCCGGATTATGGACGTTGGCGTCGGCCCCGGCACGCTGCTACCAGACCTGGAGGTGGCCTATTCTCGGTCGCGAATGACCACATTTGAGGGCGTTCCGCTGACAGAGGCACAGGCCGGCGATGTGTGTGCGCTGTGCGAGGCGGGAAAGCTGAAGAGCTTCAAGGGAATTGAAGTTGGCCACACGTTTTATCTGGGCAAACGGTACAGCGAGCCATTGGACGCTGGATTTGTGGACTCTGAGGGTCGCAGACAGCACTACGAAATGGGCTGCTATGGCATTGGCGTGAGCCGGCTAGTTGCGGCCATCGCAGAAGTCACAAGAGACACACACGGTCTGCGGTGGCCGGCCAGCGTGGCACCTATCCAGGTGGATATTGTCGTGGCTGGGTCGTACACTGGCGACCTTGGAACAGTGGAGAAATTCTGTTCCCAGCTGGACGGGCTGCGGTACCGCGTCGACGCCACAGAGGGCCATCTGGGCGAGAAATTGGCGCGGTCTAAAAGGCTGGGCACGCCTCTGCAGGTAATTATCGGCAAACAGTACCCGAAAATCGAGATCGAACTGCGTGGGCTCCGTCGCGACCTGGGGAAGCTCGAGTCGGAAGTACAGCAGCAGAATGGGGTCGACAAATTGGTGGTCGACGTGGAAAAAGGACCGCAAATCGTGCACAAACTACTGAGTGTCATGTAAATAGAAATATATTAGTATATTTATTGGACGCCCCGCCAGCAACACTAGAAAAACTTGCCGGTCAGCTTTGCCAGCACGTGCAACAGGACAACCGAGAAGATGAAGGAAACAGCCAGAACAAGCACGACGAGCGGATCGATCTTGAAGCCCTGCGACTCGTCGGTGTAAATCTTCAGCATGGTGGACGACGAGCCACCAGCACCTGCAGCCCGTGTGGATGTTGGCTGGCTCTGTAGCTGCTGCTTGAGCTTGTTTTCTTGCGTGGCCTTTCTCTTGGCCAATGTCTTTGCACCTCCTGGAACACTGCTCATGAATAATATATACGAAAAAGTGGTGGAAAAAGTTCGTTAAGCGTCGCGTCGACGAGCAAAACAGGCGGAGAGTTAAAATAGGTGTTGTTGCGTGCTGACAAGCAGTTTCATGGCTAAGTGTGGTTGTCTGATGGTGCTGACACAGACCGCAGACCTCCAAACCACTCCCGCCGCAGATGACTGGTAGGTGGCCATTCTGGCCTGCCTTTTTTACCCTACCGAGAAGTGGCACAGCGAATAAAAAAAAAGATATAGTCAGAAATTTGTCCTGTTCTGTTCCCCGTCCATTATGTCTCTCCAGTCTCAGTCGCCCTCCTACGAGCAGGTACCTTTGGATGTCTCGGCCCCAGAATACAACAACCGCCATACATCGGTGTCGTCCATGTCGTCTGCGTCCGGCTGCACCTCGTCGACCTACGGAGGTAATGCGTCCATGCAAGCGATGAACGCAAACACGACAGGAAACTCTGTTCTTTCTGGCCGCGTGTCTCAGAGTCGGCATTTTGGACAACATGGCACGTTCAATCCGAACTGGCTGCCGCAGCAAACTAACACCATGATGAACGTCACGCCATGGATAGAACAGCAGGCTCAGGTGGCTCCTAGCATCAACATGTCCAGTCTCAACATGTCGTCGATGCCGAGTGAGCAGTCGCAGACCACAAATCTGAGTGTGCTGACTAACAAAAAAAGCAGCAACTCCACGGTCAACGACAAGAGCGAGGACCGACAGCAGAGCACCGGGGCTCCTGTGTCGCCAGACAACTCTCACCAGCCCCACGAGTTCGAGAAGGACGAGGAAGATGTTATTCCCACCGCAATTGTGATCAAAAACATCCCATTTGCAATCAAGAAAGAACAGTTGTTAGATGTAATGTCCAAGCTGAGCTTGCCATTACCGTATGCCTTTAATTACCATTTCGATAACGGAGTTTTCCGTGGACTTGCGTTTGCCAATTTCAACTCTACTGAGGAAACGTCCATGGTGGTGAACGTTTTAAATGGTCGGGAGATTGGTGGCAGAAAGCTCAGAGTCGAATACAAAAAGATGTTGCCGATGGTTGAACGAGAGCGGATTGAGCGCGAGAAAAGGGAAAAACGCGGCCAGCTAGAGGAGCAGCACCGGTCCACCAGCGCTACCTCGCTGGCGTCTCTTTATAGTATCAGCTCAATGCCGAACTCGTCAACCCCCGCACAGACCAACATGTCGCTTCTCAACAACGCCAGCACTGCACACAAACTTATGCCGGACAGACTCTACGTGACTCTAAGTGCCCAACCTCCTTCCTTACCGAGCAACGTGGACTTTAATGACCCTGAAACGTTAGAAATCTATTCCAAACTGATTGTTTTTAGAGACGAATTTAAGAACCCAACGCTACCTGCCAGTGTTTCCGAGCTGGCATTTCCTTTGGCATCCATGAACTCCAATCAGCGCAAGGTTATATCTGTTCTGTGCCAGTTCTTGAATCTGGTTGAATCTTTCGAGTCTGGATTTATTACGGTGAGAAGGTCCGAGCTAGGCGTCCAGACCACTGGGGGCACCTCGGTCACAGGCGTTGCCGGTACCTCTGTGTCGTCGGCAGCCACCCCGGCCACTGGCGCGCAACCGGCCTTCCCACCTTCTTTGATCCGGTCTCAGTCGCACAACCTTGTGAGCACGGCGTCTCCACTTTCCATGAATGCTGGTAGATATAGACAGCAGTCTCCTCGGATTGTGACACAGCAGACCCAGCCAAACGCATTTGCACAGTCGCAACAGTTGCAGAGCGCCACCTCTTCGCCAAACATTTTTCAATTGCAGCATCAGAACCCATCCACTCTGCACCACTCGTCCTCTGCTGCGTCTCTGAACCTTTTGCGGACCAATGGCCAGACACCTCTTGGCCAGCAGCTGAGTGGTGGCACGTCTGGAGCTCGTGGGGGCGGACTTCCCTCCCTGGGCGGAAATGCAGCCTTTTTTGGACAGGCTCAGTTCACAAACACTGGACTCACTAGCAAGATGGACGACATATTCATTGGCATGGAGAATTTGAGTTTTGAGAGATGATTTATGAGATTTTCACGGTACGCCCACTTATGTGTAACGAGTGTTTATTACGAAAAATAAAATGATTATTTTACATTAAATCTTTTTCTCCATTTTCATGTTGGGACAAAGAAAAAAGCTTCCGGAAGAGACTGTGTCCAGCAAGCCTCTCGAGGAATTGGAGAAGTCCAAACACATTGCGCAGAACACCGGTGTTTGGACGTTCTGGGCGGCGCTGGAGTCTGTCGTTGGGCCCACTCTCCTCACCATGCTGGGGGCCTATCTGCGATTGTATGGTCTCGAGAAAAACCCCAACGTGGTCTGGGACGAGGCACATTTTGGCAAGTTCGGCTCGCAGTATCTCAAACATGAATACTACCACGACGTGCATCCTCCTTTGGGCAAAATGCTTTGCGGACTTAGCGAATATCTTGCCGGCTTTAATGGAACTATTGAAAATTTCAATTTCGAGAGCGGTAGCAGGTACCCTGTTGCATTCGATTATGCGCGGGTAAGATGGTATGGCTCGTGGTTTGGCAGTCTGGTGGTGCCTGTTTGCTACTTTACGTGCAAGGAAATGGGTTATTCGCTACTGACAACGTATCTTATCTCGTTGATGTGCTGTTTGGAACTGTCGTACATTTCCCTGAGCAAATTTATTCTGCTGGACTCGTCGCTGCTCTTTTTTACGGCCACTACGCTGTACTGTCTTGCAAAGCTGCACAACTTGCGAAACAGGGAGTTTTCCGCTCAATGGGTTGGCTGGCTCTGTATTACCGGAGTCTCCATTGGATGTGTGTGCTCCGTGAAATGGGTGGGTCTGTTTGTGACGGCCTTGGTGGGACTGTACACGGTTCTGGAACTGTGGCTGAAGTTTTGGAGCCCAAAGTTCAAATTGCACAGATACGCAAAAAGCTGGATCTACAGAATCGTGGGCCTGATTATGCTCCCGTTTCTGGTGTATCTAATTTTCTTCAAGATCCACTTTGCCCTGCTGTACAAACCGGGTTCAGGTACCGGCTCGCTGTCATCACTCTACCAGGCCAGCATGCAGGACACCGACGTGGGGAACTATCCACGAAATTTGGTAATTGATTCAAAGATCACCATCCGTTCTCAAGGCAAGTCGCCTAATTTACTCCATTCGCACCCGTCCAAGTATCCTGCCGGCTCCGAGCAGCACCAGGTGACGACGTACGGGTTCAAGGACGCGAATAACAACTTTATCGTGCGGCCGGCAAGAACACAGCGCAATTACGGCCCGTTCATCCAGAACGGAGACGCCATCAGGCTGCAGCACGAGCTCACCAAGGCCAACCTCCACTCGCATGCCATCCATGCACACGTCTCTGAGAGGTACTGGGAGGTGAGCGGGTACGGCGACGAGACTGTCGGCGACGCCAAGGACGATTGGGTGGTGGAAATTGTCGAGCAACTGCACTCTGGAAATAAAAGCTACGCGGCCACCGAAAATGGCCCAGAGTTTTATAACGCGGTTCACCCGCTCACTACAACCTTCAAGCTGCGCCACAAAGTGCTGGGCTGCTACCTAGCCACAACAGGAGAGTCGTACCCAACGTGGGGCTTCAAGCAGGGCGAGGTGGTGTGTCGTCCGGACACCAGGCTGCCGTTTGACAGATCGACGTTGTGGAACATCGAGATGCACGAGAACGACGATCTGGCCGTTGAAAGCGACTACGTGTATCCGAGCCCGCGCTTTCTGGTGGACTTTTTCATGGTGCAGCACGGCATGCTTGCGTCGAACAACGCGCTCGTGCCCGACGTGCACAAACACGACGAAATCGCGTCGTTCTGGTGGCAGTGGCCGTTTGCGCTCGTGGGACTGCGCATGTGTTCGTGGGGACCACACCTGACCAAGTACTACCTGCTGAGCCACCCGTTCACGACGTGGTTTTCCACGGCATGTCTGGGCGGGTTTGTGTTGCTGGTGGTGCGACTGCTGCTGCTGTGGCAGCGACAACAACTGGTGGTTACTGCAGACCAGCTCTGGAAATTCACGATATGTGGTCTGGTGCCGTTTGTTGGCTGGCTGTTGCACTATTTGCCGTTCATCGTGATGGGCCGCGTCACCTACGTGCATCACTACATGCCTGCTCTGTATTTTGCCATGTACGTGGCCGGGTTTGTGGTAGAGTACGTTACGGGCTCATTGCGAATCAGATATGTGATCTACAGCATTCTTTACGCTCTTGTCGGGTACCTATTCTGGTACTTTAGCCCGTTGTGTCTGGGCATGTCCGGCAGGGCGTCGGATTACGCTTACCTGAATTGGCTCCCAAGCTGGAATATCGCGAAATAATTTTTTATTTACATTCGCGACCAACGCGTTCCAAGATTGCATGGAAAAAAAACATTCCTCAACATTTCTCATTTCTCATTGCTCTTCTTTGCATGTTTTACTCTGAACAGCTGCTTTCTCGCGAGGGTCCGCTGGCCTACGTGTGGCTGGCAGCGAACCTCGAGAAGAAGCTCACCAAACACCAGCTGCTCAATACAGATATCTCCGAGAGCACTAGGGCGATTGTGTCTAGCAGCAGTGTGTCCACAGAGCCACTGGCGCTGCGCTTGACGGGCCAATTGTTGTACGGAGTGGTGCGAATCTATTCCCGCAAGGCTAAGTATTTGCTAGACGACGTGACAGACGCGATTCTAAAGCTCAAGTCGTCGTTCAGGGCGTCGCAGTCGGTGATCCTGCCGGCCGAATCGACCGTCCTGCCGTCGATGCGTGCCGTGACGTTGCAGGATACCGTCACCGAGACCGACCTGCTGTACCAGGAGCCGCTGAATTTTGACGATATATTCAACACTCAGCGATCGACGCAGCCGACGCAGCTGCCCGAGGAGTCGACCACTTTCGACCGTTCGGTGGAAGTTCCGCGACGCGCCGAGGTCGATGAGCTCGACGGCGTCCAGGACGATCTCGAGCTGAACCTCGATTTCGACCTTGGCGACGCCATGGACGTCGACCGCGACGCGTCAGTCGAGCTGGGTAGAGCCGACGACGAGGCCAACGCGTCGCAGCAAATGAACGACGTCCCTGACTTCGAACTGCCGGACTTCCACGAGCCTGTTCTCGAGATCGATGAAAACGAGCCGGCCACCCCTGGCCATGGCGACCCGCTGGGGCCAGAAATCCAAATCGATCTAATTTCCGACAAGCGTACGAGACGCGCGCCTGTGTTTGAGAACGTGGACGTGGTGCGCACGTCGCGCAAGCGTGTGATCATGGACGAGCAAATTGAGATACCGGGCGAGCTGATCCGCGAGTACCAGGCCAACTACCCTGCGCCGCCGGTGGCAGAGGAGCGGGCCGGAGATCTGGAAAACGTGATCGAACTTGCAAAACCGCGGTGTCTCACTTTTGGTGCGCTCGAAATGCCTGTTATCAAGAGGAGAAGGACAGACGAGACAGAACAAGTCGAGCCGGCCCCGGAAAATGAAGTCAGTCTGCAGCTGCCCTCGTTCGATGTTGGGACCGAAGATGCGGCGTTCGAGGAGGTGGTTGAGCCCGCTGTGCCACAGGACCTGCCGGAGCTCGACCAGGAGCTCGAGTCGTTCCAAACAAACAATGTCAGCGACTCGCAAACAGTGTCACGTGCAACCGCGAAAGTCGCCCAGGAGTTGCGCGGGCTGCTGGCAGACAAGCCGGCAACCACGTTCAGCGAGCTGGTGGCCCGTGACATGGACTCAGCCGAGCCGCTGTCGCGCAACCCGAAGAGAGAGACCACACGGACGTTTTTCGAGCTGCTGGTGCTTGCTACCGGTGACTCGGTCGAGCTGAGCCAGGAAAGGCTGTTTGGCGAGATCGGTATATCTGCGCGCGCAGGACTCGCTGTGTAACGAATACATTATTGCTAACTACAGAATTTCTAGGTAGACGTGGCCATCTGCCGCGGCGCAAGCGAAAACACGCCCGTCGGGACTCCATTCTACCCTGTTGAGGGGCACGCCCAGATTCATGGAGCCCAGACTCGCGTGTCTGTTTTCGTCCAAATTCCAGAATTCGACCGCCCCGTCGGGCCCCACCGTGACAAACGTCTGCGACTCGCGGTCCAGACTGATATCGGCCACGAGGTTAGAGGTGTTAATTGTGTGAAGCTCGTCGTTCTCGAAAACCTTCACTTTGTAGTCTAACGCGCATGAAACGGCCGTTTTCGCGTTATGGTCAATGCACACCACCGGCAGCGGATACGCCGTCGCAGACAGCAGCTGCAGCGCGGCTGGATCGTCCAGCGACCCCAGCTCGACTCTGTACACCTTGCCCGTGGAAAGGCCCAGCAGCAGATGGTTCTGTTTGATGGAGCACGCTGTAATGTGGAATTTCTGGCCCAGCGCGAGCCGGGAGCGTGAAATGGCCGTCATGAGGTTCTTCGAGTGAACAGAAACTGCGCCGTCGGACGAAACGCTCACCACCGAATTCGAGGTCTCTAAAATGGCAACCACAGGGTACTTGCCAGAGCTAGCTGTAGATGTAACTGGATATTTGGTAGCAGAGTCAAACTCGTACAGGTACAGCCTGCCGTCGATGCCGCCGGCAAGCAGCTGGTTTGAGCGCGACTTGACAAACTTCACCACGACGATGTCTGTGTACGTTTGGAGACTGAATTCCGGTGCAAGGGTGTGAGTGTTCCAAACGAGGATAGAGCACGGTGTGTGTGCGCCAGTGTATGCTGCAGCGATTAGTTCAGGATAATGCGGCGACCAGTCGATCGACGTGACGGCTGTCGACGCAACCGTGTCGTTGAAGAGCAGTTTTTGTGCTGTCACAAATGTGCTGGTCACGTCAGGTTCTTCTTTGGCAGCAGCGTAGATGCTGTTCCTGTTTTCGTTCTGCGGCGGTATCGGCGATCCCAGGAGGGGCGTGAGGTCCGGTTTATGGTTCTGAGCTTGCTGTTTGAGCTCGAACTCTCGCTGCAACTGCTTGCGGATCTCGTACTCGAGCTTTTGACGTATCTCCTGTTCCAGTTGACGGTGCACCTCTTCGTCGTCTGTGGACGTGGATTTCTCTAGTAGGATGGGGGGTTCAGTGAGACTGTCGCTGTGGACGGGGTCATTTGGAGTGCCTGTCGGGGTCAGTTCTGACACAACGGGTTTTGGGGGATGTGGAACTGGCTCATTTTCCTTGTTGTTTTGTTCCTCTTGATTCGCAAAATTTCTCTGAGGAGCCAGTTTCGGCGGGCCGGAAATTTGGGCCTCTCGGGCCAGCCGTTGTCGTCGCAGCTCCTCCAACTTGGCCCTCTTGGCTTCCAATGCTGCTCTGCGGTCCATGAATTAAATAAAATAAAATAAAATAAAATAAATAAATAAATAAATAAAGTAGAATAAATAATACATGAATTTCGATGACATCCTCAAAGAGTTTGAGGCGTCGAAGCGACCGGGCTACAACGAGGACGAACGCCGTGCAGAGGACGTGCGGCTGCTGCTGGACGCCTGGATCAAGGAGCGTACGGTGCCGGAACTGCTGCCGTACGAACAGGAATTAATTGATCGCATCCTGATCCGTATCCGCAAACAGATCGAGCTGATCGAGATGAACTCGATCGAACTGCAGACGCACGAAAGAGAAATCAAGCTGCGTCTCGTGGTGATCGAGTCTGAGCTTGACCGCGTCCAATTCATCATCAGATCGTACACCAGAACGCGACTCCAGAAAATTGACAAATACTCGCTCTACATCCGCTCAAACGACAAAGAAACCGCCAAACTCAGCAACAACGAGTTTGCATACATGGAGCGGCATCTGGAGCTGCTGCTGGAGCTGTATAACTCGCAGTTCATGAAAAACCTGCCGGAGTCGTTGCAGGCCATCGACGAGACGGGGGGCGGTGTGTCGATGATCGATGAGCCGGACCTGGACCGCCCCGTGTTCGTGCAGGCGACGGCAGAGAACGTAGTTGAGGTGGACGACGAGGAGATCGAGCTCACCAAAAACGGCATCTACGTGGTTCGCTACCGCGCGGTGAAGGACTTGGTGGAAACAGGCGATGTACGGGTGTTGTAAATAAAATAAAGTAAATTAGTCCATTTATTTATGTCCCACGAGTCGGAAAAGTCGCTCGACAAACACGGCGAGCGCGGGCAGGACCGCCCGTTGAGCAGCTCGCCCAGTGCCATGTTTGTCATGGACCACCACCGGCGCTCGAGCGGGCAGTTTTCCCGAATGGCCTTCAACATCTATGGCCTGTCCACCAACGCAAGCCCGAGCCCGTCGTCGTCGGCGAGCCACGCCGTGCCAGCTTCGTCGCTCTCTATCCTGCCATCGTCGGCATCTGTATCGAAACACAACGCCGAGTCCAACAGAACGCGACTGCACAGCGTCAACGAGATTCTCGCGTGCGCCAAGTCCAACGAAACACCCAACCTGTTTGTGATCGGCGGGCCTAAGGCATTGCAGCTTGTGAAAGTCGCCTCAAACGAGATCACTGTAGAGTATGACCTTGTCGTGCCGAACGCAGGCTCCCGGAGCAACAAGTACGGCCTTGTCGCTGACGCAAAGTTCGGCCACCAGCAGTACGGCAGAAACATCGCCATCTCGACGCTTTCGGGCTCTATCCACATTTACAACCTCGACCGCGGCACACGTATGCGCACCACGTTCAGCGACCACCAGCGCGCAGTCAACTCCGTCGATTTCAGCCCGCTCAGCCCGCACACGCTGCTGTCCGGGTCACAAGACGGCAAGATGAAGATATGGGACCTGCGAACCAAAAACACCAAAGCCCAGCTCACAATCCGCGGCAACTCCGACGCCGTGCGCTGCGTGCAGTTCAGCCCGCGCATAGCTCGCAGTTTTTGCAGCATTGCAGACTCCGGCGTGATCCAGAAATGGGACCTGCGCAGACCGACCACGTTCGAGCGAAAGCTCAACGCACACACGGGGCCGGGGCTCACTCTCGACTGGCATCCCGAACTCGACTACCTCATCAGCGGCGGCCGCGACAAACAGCTCCAGGTATGGAACATGGGACCCGGAAGCGACCACCAGCGTGAGCCGGATCACGTGATCAACACGGCGGGCCCGATCTCGAAAGTGAGCTGGTGTCGCGGGCGCGGCAACGGCTCCGTGTTGACGACCGACGTGGCGACGTGTTTCCTCAACGACGACCCATGCATCCAGATCTGGAGCCTTGCACGCAAACACGTCCCGAAAAACGTGATCGAGCTGCACACCAACCAGGTCACCGGGCTGGTGTGGAAAACGCCCAAGTACCTGGTGAGCGCGTCGAAAGATAAGACGCTGGTGCAGCACGACGTGAGCGCAGAGCCACGGCTCGTCGACACGCTGCCGACGATGGCCGCTGCCTGGGACAGCCAGGCGGGAGCACGGCTGACGTTTGTGAGCCAGGACCGCAACCAGTTTGAGGAGACGGAGGAACTAACCCCTGGCGAGCTGTACCACCCGACATCGCCCAATCTCGTGGCCAAGGGGCGTCCGGCCCTGCCTCGACAGCCGTCGCAGTTCCAACGGGCAATACGTTCTCCGTACGCTCTGCATGCTGACATTCCTATTCCCGACAACGACACCGACGTTTTCAGGTTTCTGAGCTCCAACTATCTCGTGCAAGTTCCGGACGGTATGGATCTGCTGCAAGTTTGCGAATACAACGCGTCGGTAGCGGCTGCGGCAGGCAGGTTTCGCGACTGCCAGGTGTGGAAGACGATTGAGGGCAGTATTCTGTGGGAAGAAAACGAAAAGGTGGTTCAGGGGCTTCAGGAGTTTCGTCTGGAGGAGCGCAACGGGGCTGTACGGACAGAAAGCCGGTTGAGCTTGAACAACAGCGACCATCTGAGCACGTCTGTGGAGTCGTATGATGGTGGAATAAACAGGGACGAGCAGTTTGGGTTCACTGCGAACACCAACGAAAACGAGAACGCCATTGTGGACGAGGACGACGATAGCACGAGTCACGTGACACGGGCAATCGACATCAAGCGTGCGTCAGACTCGCTGGCAAGGCACACGTTCTCGTTTACCGGGACGAGCGTCGACCTCGACAATGAGAAGTTGCAACTATCGGGCTCCCCACAATCCAAATACAGGTCCAAAAAGCTGTCGATGACGCAGATGACGTCGCTGAGCTCGTCGCCAGCCAAGAGCCAACGGCTGCTACCCAAAGAGGTCTCGGTGTCGAAAGAGCCAGCGACGCCGTGGAACCCGGTCGATCTCATACGCCAGGCTGCCTTGTACAGCAGCATGCAGGGCGATGCGACCATGTGCGCAACGTTGGCTCTGCTGTTTGGAAAAATATACCCCAAGGCGTTGTCTGAAATAGAGTGCCAGGACTGGATCCTCACTTACCACGACCTGCTGCAAAGGCGGTGTCTTTTCGCTGTGAGCGCCAACGTCCTCAAGACTGCAGCCATGCAATACGAGCTGTTCACCAAAATAGGCCAGTCACAGACGTCGTTTCGGCTGTTTTGCCAGCACTGCAACACGCCGCTTCTAAACGAGCACAGCAAAAATATGTGGCTGCAAGACCCGGAGATCGAGTTCGGGTTCTGGTACTGCGATCGGTGTGGCAAAACGCAGGGCGGATGTATTTATTGCAACGAGCCCGTCAAGGGCGCGTGTGTTGTTCTGGAGCGGTGCGGCCACAAGGGCCACTTTGGGTGTCTGCGCACCTGGTTTGTGGACAACATGGAAGACTGCTGTCCAGGCTGTGGCACCGAGTGTGTGAAATAGACTACTTTTCAACAGGATTGATGTTGCGCATGAACTCGTAGAAGTAATCCCAGTATTTTGGTTGCACGATTGTATCGTTGTGATGTGCTCCAGCAAACGCCTTCCAGATCTTGTTTTTCGATTTGCTCAGCTCGTACAGCGTGCGCATGTGCTCGGGGGGGACGATCTCGTCCTCAAGTGCGCTCAGAAATAGAATCGGAATGGTGTCTGGAATGCGCACGATTTCGTCCTCGGATGCCCAGATCTCGTGGCACAGGGCCTTGAATGGCGACAAAATCGGGAAGATGTACGGAATTACCTTGCGAATGCTCAGGAACGTGTTTTCCAGAATGATGCCAGAGACAAGATTCGCATAGTTGGCCGCAATGTAGATGGTGACGGCGCCGCCCAGAGACCGGCCGTACAAAACAAGCGACGATTCTACCAGCTGCGCGTGCGACGCCACATACTCCATCACGGTGTCGGCATCGATCTTGAGCCCCTTCTCGCTCGGCGCCCCGGTAGATTTGCCGTAGCCTCGGTAGGAATAAATCAGAACATTGTAGCGCAACTGTTGGTAGATGTATTTCACAACAGGCAGGAAATGGCCGATGTTGCCAGCATTGGGCGACAGGATCATCACCGTTTTGTTCGTGTAGTCGATGCTGTTCTTGTCGTGCAGAAGAAGATAGCCCTTGAGAGTCTCGCTATCTTTAGTCTTGAGAGTAAGGTCTTGGTAAGTCAGACCGTACTCGGCAGGAGTATCGACGTGGTCTCGCGCGCCGTTCAGGCCAGAGGGGTAAATGATGTTGGTTTGGTATTTGTATATTCCAAGCAGCGCAGCAACTGCGACGGTCGACCCAATAACGAAACTAATTTTGACAAGATGGAGAGGGAGATCAAACATAATTAAAATATTTAGTTTATTAATTTATTACTTGATTTATTTCGTTACTCATTATCCGTAGATGACATCCATTATCCAGCAAAAATAGCCTCCAAACGTCAAAGTTTTCACCAATTTCTGCAAAATACCCGGCCGTATCTTGTTGTATAGATTCCCGCAGCTGTTATTTCCTTCAGACTCAAAATAGCCGTTGCCGTACTTGATGTATCGCCGTACGTTGCAACCGCTCCAAAAATTCCACCACTTGGCCCGCTGGCACGGCGAGGTCCGCAGTAGATTCTTGCACAGTGGTCCGCACGGCCCGTCGATGTACTTCCACTCGAAAGGAGACCACCGCTGGCGTGGGTCCGACGGAGGCAGCTTCTTGTCGCCCCAGTAGCCCATGAAATGGAGCCAGTTGCCCAACTGTTCCTCTCTGCCCGGATGCGACCCGTTCGCATACTCCACTGTTTCACCGTCGTACGTGTATGCCAAAAAGTTTAGCGACGGGTTCCACAGCGGACCTCGATCGGTAAAGTCGGACAGTATTGAGTACGGTAGGTCATGTGCATGCTGTCCCGTGGACGCGTAGTTGGCGTGTGTTCCGCGAGCGGCAAATATCACCGGGTGCTGGTCCAGTTTCTCGAGGTTTGTATAAAAGTACGCTCCGCCGCCTCCGTGAGCACTCATCCACACAATCACCGGCTCGCCCTTGTAGAAACGCACAAGCGAGTGTTCCCAGTCGCCCACGTGGTCTCCAAAGGGCCCGGTCCCCATCACGTAGGGGCCCTCGTTGAAAGAGTAGAAGTAGAACCAGTAGGCGTCAACCCAGCCGTTGCCCTTGTCGACCACAATGAGCGTAGCAGGCACGTCTGGAAGCTCTCCCGTGTAGAAGTTCGGTCTGTTTTTGGCCCCTGTGATCCATCCGGGGTCCTTGTCGAAGTCATCGTTCGCCGTCATGTACACGGGGTTCACCGGAGAATGGTACCCCTGCAGAGCCTCCAAGGCGGAGAGGTTGAGCGAGGGGCCAAACTGGTCGAGTTTCGTCCCGTTGGCCAGTTCAGCGTGGAAATGCGTCACAAACTCCGCAATGTTGTATGGCATGTACCGCTCCTCAGAATAAAGATACACCAGGGGAGCGTAGTCTATCACGTACGCCGGAACATGTCCCGGCTTCAAGGTGCGCTCGTGCGGCTCCGGCCAGGCCTTGAGCGGCGGCAGGCTCTTGAGAGCGGAAAGCCGCATCTCGGGTAAGTACATGCCGTGGCTTGCGACAATCCAGGTGCACAAAATAAATATGGGTAGCATAGCAGAGGGAAGAATAATAAAATTAAAACTTAATTATACGATAAGGACGGATATTTATTGATCGACGCGACGATAATTTTTTTTTCATGATCCAAGCCCTGTTGCTGGTTGTCGCAGCGGTGTTTATCTCGTGGCAGAACGGCTTCATGGGGCCCTCCTTCCAAACCCCAGAGCCGGAATTGACCACGTCGGCCAAGTCACAACAAGATCTCCAGAACGCCACGCTGTACACACTGTGCCGTAACAACGATCTCTACGACCTACTCGAGACGATCCAAAACTACGAGGACCGATTCAACGGCCGGTTCCACTACGATTGGGTTTTTCTTAACGACAAGCCGTTTGATGATAGGTTCAAACTAGAAGTGTCGAACCTGGTCTCCGGAAAAGCCAGATTCGGCCAGATCGACGCACAACACTGGCAGTTCCCGTCAAGTCTAAATCGTACACTTATGGAGGAAAATATCCAGAAACTGCTTTCCGACGAGGACGGCGTGCTGCCGTACGCCGACTCTGTCTCTTACAGACACATGTGCCGGTTCGAAAGCGGGTTCTTCTACAGACATCCGTTGCTCCAGGAGTACAAGTACTTCTGGCGGGTCGAGCCGGGCGTCAAGCTCTATTGCGACATAGATTATGACATCTTTGCACACATGAACGCCCATAAATACGCATACGCATTTGCGCTCAGCATTTTGGAGTACCCAAAGTCTATTCCCTCGCTGTTCCGTCATGTTAAGGACTATCTGCTGTTGGCCGGCAAGGAAGCGCTCCTGCACGACGAGTCCAACTATTCCAGGTTTGTGTACGACGGTACCACAGATTCGTACAATTTGTGCCATTTTTGGACGAATTTGGAGCTCGGAGACCTCGACGTGTTCCGCTCGCAGGAATATAATGAAATGTTCGAGTACCTGGACCGGCAGAACGGGTTTTTCTACGAGCGCTGGGGAGACGCCCCCGTGCGCTCGCTGATTCTGTCACTTATCCTGAAAAAGGGCCAGATCCACCGGCTTGCAGACATCGGCTACAAGCACGAGCCGTATCTCCAATGTCCGACGGATGCGGCTCTGCGGCGCGCGAAAAAATGTTCGTGCAACCCGGACATGGACTTCACCCACAACTGGTACAGCTGCTCGTGGTGGTTCGACCGTCTGGACGGCTCATAGACTCAGATATTTAGTTTTGTACTCCGCAACGATCCAGTCGAGTCCTGCTCTAATGTTTTCTCCCGTGTACGCGCTGCCAAAGATGATCTGCCACGCGTGATTTTCAAGCCGCTCGAGTCCGAGAATCCGTATGATTTCGGTCCGTAGTTCGTCCCTGTCCCCTGTAAACAGGTCCATCTTGTTGACCATGATGACCACGCCACAGCCCGCGAGGCGGTCCTCGCCTAGTACCCTGCTGAACTCAACAAAGTTCTCCTGGAGCCTGTGGAGACTGGAACTATCTATGACCCACATGAGAAAGTCTGTTTTTTCGAAATAATTGAACCAGAACGCCCGCAGCGAGGTCTGACCCCCGATGTCCCAGATGTTTATGTTGAAGCCCGCGTACGACACAGTGCAGATGTCGAAGCCCATTGTGGGGCTCGTTTCCTTGACGTCCTGGCCCAGCATGCTCTTGACGATCGTCGATTTGCCCGAATTATCCAGACCCAGGAGCAGCAGGCGCACTTCTTTTTCCTTGAGCTTTTGTTTGCGGATGATGGACAACAGACCCATGAAAAATAAATAGTGCGCCCCAAATAAAAAAAAAATTAGATCAATTACCCAATTTGCTAAACTATTTTTCATGGCAAAACGTAAGGTGGTAGATAAGCAGGTCTCAATCCTCAAGTTTTGCCGAACAGGAAGCGGCCACGAAGATACACTCAAGAAGGAGGTCACGGTTATAGACCTCGTGAGCGATAACGAGCAGGAGTCGCTGTTTGTCTGCGATTCAGAGGAAGAACTGCCCTACCAGGAAGAGCAAAGCACGCAGTTTGCTTGTCCTGTTTGCGAGGTGGACATCGCACACTTGTCGCTGGACGACCGCACAGTCCACGTGGAGGCGTGTCTTGTTAACCCAAATACAAAAAAGGTGCTGTATAGACGGATCAAGACGACGGGGGTTGTGGAGCAGAGGAAAAAGAAATGCGACAGGCGACCGCGACCGCCGATTCCAGACGAGAAGATCCTTCGTTTTGAAAACCATACCATTGCCGTTGATGCTTTCTGCTACGCCCCTCACCCTGCCATTTGTGTGTATCTATTGACGCACTTCCATTCAGACCATTATGGAGGCCTCACCAAGAACTGGGACCACGGCTCGGTTATCATTGTGACGCCCATAACGCGCAATTTACTGGTTTACAAACTCGGGGTGAACCCCGACCTCCTGCTCAGTGTGGATTATAACCAGACAATCGAGGTGCCTCACACCGATCTCAAAATAACCTGTCTCGACGCGAACCACTGTCCCGGAAGTGGCGTCTTTGTGATCGAATCGCCTGGGTTGCGGTACCTGCATTGCGGAGACTGCCGAATCAACAAGCCGATGCTGGAGTCGCTGATACAGATCGGCCGTTTCCACAAGATATATCTCGACACCACGTATCTGAACCCGTTATACAATTTTCCCAAGCAGGAGATAGTTATAGACGAGTTATGCAAGCTGTTGCAAAGCAAGATGGAAACCATGCAGTTTTCGCAGCAGCGGGTTATAGACTTTTTCGTCGACCGCAAACCGCAAAAATTTCTCATCGTCATTGGCACGTACCTCATAGGCAAGGAGCGGCTTGCGATCAAGCTGGCTGAGGCGCTGCAGACCAAGATCTACTGCAACCAAGAGAAAAAAAACGTTCTCAGCCAATTTGGTTGGCCACACTTGGATAACCTACTAGACACGCATAAGCCAGAAAACTGTCAGATACATCTCGCCCCACTCCCGAAGCTGAACAAGGACTATCTCGCAGAGCAACTCAAAACGTACTCGCGCCATTTCAAGGCTGCGATCGGAATCCGCCCCACAGGGTGGTCTGTGCGGTACGGAAAACCAGTACCTTCGCTGGACGCGATGGTGGCCGCAGAGCCCCCGGAAATGGTGTACGCGGCTATCTCGAAGCACTTCGACCGGTTCCGCGAGGACAACAAGGCGCGCGTGCTGCAGATCCCATACTCAGAACACAGCTCATATAGGGAGTTATTCTACTTTGCAAATCTGCTCGAATACGACGAGCTGGTTGCCACAGTGTCCCCACATAACCAGGACGAGCAGCTCGCGATGCTGCGCGAATTCAAAAATTACGACAGATTGTGTATAGAAAATTTCTAAAATAACTGGATTATGCCGGCCGGGTAAGCCTGCCTCACCCCGGTTGCGGGTGGGCCTCCCATCCAAAACAAATTCACAAAGTTTGCAAACAAATAAATATTTTAGTCAAGCCATGGATGTTAGCAATCTGCTGGAGAACGCCATTTTGAGCTCCGACCCGGGCGAGCGTGGCCGCGCAGAGGCCGAGCTCTTGCGGCTGTCGGAGCAGAGCTGGGGCGCGTATCTTCTGAGCATGGTAGAAGTGCTGAGTAATGAAACAAAGAGGACGGAGGTGCGGATCTTGGCGGGACTGTCGCTGAAAAACCAGCTTGTGTCGAAGGATCCGGTCAAGAAGCAGCAGCTGGCCGAGCGGTGGGTGCAGCAGGACAACGATCTCAAGCAGAAGATCAAGGACACGGCGCTGCAGACCCTGTTGACGCGTGACGAACGTGTGGCGAACGCTGCGGCCCAGCTGGTGGCTGCTGTGGCCGATATCGAGCTTCCACTGGGAACGTGGAATGAGCTGATGCACATTATAGTGGACAATACCAAAGCAGACAAGCCGGTGAACGTGAAGAGAGCGTCGCTTCTGGCCATAGGATATGTTTGCGAGAGTGCGGATGCCACGAACCCGGCCGTGGTGGCGCAGGCGAACGGGATTCTGATTGCGATTGTGCAGGGCGCGCAGTCGTCAGAGCCCAGCACGGTTGTGCGGAAAACGGCCATCAATGCGCTGGTTAATTCGTTGGAATTCATTGCGGGCAATTTCGAGCGCGAGGGAGAGCGGAACTACATCATGCAAGTGGTGTGCGAAGCCACGACGGCGTCGGACCCAGAGCTGCAAGCGTTGGCGTTCGGAGCGCTGGCCAAGATTATGAGTCTTTACTACCAATACATGGGGATCTACATGGAGAAGGCCCTGTACGGTCTGACGGTTTCTGGCATGCAGAGCTCCGACGACAGGGTGGCATGCATGGCGGTGGAATTCTGGAGCACCGTCTGCGAGGAGGAGCTCGAGATAGCCATTCAGCTGGAAGAGTACAAGGACCAGCCACCATCAGACCTTGTTTCGTACAATTTTGCGTTGGTGGCAATCACGGACGTGCTGCCGACGCTTCTGAGCCTGCTGTTGCGTCAGAACGAAGACCCTGAGGACGATGACTGGTCGGTGGCCATGGCTGCTGGCGCCTGTCTGCAGCTTTTTGCACAGAACACCACGAATTACGTGGTGCAGCCGGTGCTGCAGTTTGTGGAGGCCAATTTGAATCAGCCCAATTGGAGAAATAAAGAAGCTGCAGTGATGGCGTTCGGCTCGATACTGGATGGCCCCGACCGGTCGGAGCTGACCGTTCTGATCGGCCAAGCGCTCAGGCCTATCTTGGCCCTCATGAAGGATGAGTCGCTGCAAGTCAAAGAAACCGTTGCGTGGTGCGTGGGCAGAATAGCAGACATGGTTGTCGAGGCGATCGACGTAAACACGATGCTTCCAGAGGTGATCCAGGCGTTGGCTGCCGGTTTGCAGGACCATCCGAAAGTCAGCACCAACTGCTGCTGGACCCTCATCAATCTTGTGGAACAGCTATGTGTGGATGCCAAGGACTCTCCTTCGAGCGTCATGTCGCAATATTACCCAATGGTGGTTCCGATTTTGATCCAGAACACAAATTTACCCGATAATGAGCACTCGGCCAGAACGTCGGCTTATGAGGCGTTGTCGACACTTGTATTGTACAGCAGCGCCAACGACATGCCGATGGTGAACCAGATTGCATCGGAGTCGCTTGCGAAGCTTGACCAGACCATTTCTGTGCTGATGCAGGGAACAGTGGTTTCTGGCGAGGAGAAAGCCGTTTTGCAAGAATTGCAAGCCAACATTCTGTCCCTGCTGACGAATGTGGTGCGTCGAATTGGTGGCGACATTGCTGCCGTATCGGATCAGCTGATGGAGAAGTTTTTGCGGCTGCTGCAGATTCAGGAACCAAATTCGATCATCGAAGAGGACATTTTCATTGCCATTTCGTCAATTGCGTCGGCCATCGACGTCCAGTTCGAGAAGTACATGCCGTCGTTCCTGACGTTCCTCACCAAGGCGCTCGAGAATACCGACTCGCCCGTCTGCGACGCTGCCATCGGCCTCGTGGTGGACATTTCTCATTCCCTCGGAAACGCATTCATTCCGTACTGCCAAGGGTTCATGGCCATCTTGGGAAACACGCTTTCGAGCCAGAACGTGCGTCGTGAGCTGCGGCCGTTGATTCTCTCGTGCTTCGGCGACATCGCGTCGTCCATCGGAGCTGAGTTTATTCAATATTTACAGGTCGTCATGAACATCTGCAGCTCTGCGCAGCAGCTGGAGCCCGAGGACGCTTCTCTGGAGACGGAGGACTACATTTTGAGTGTGAAGGAGGCCGTTCTGGACACCTACGTGGGAATCGTGACCGGTTTGCACGACTACCCGGATGCTTTGCAGCCGTACACGCTCCAGATCGCCACGTTCCTGATGCAAGTGTACCACAACCAGGCCATGTGTTCGAGCGAAAGTGTATGTCGATCTGCCGTGGGGCTGCTCGGAGATCTGGCCCAGATCTTCAGCGATGGCAGACTGAGAGAGTTGTACCAACAGGACTGGGTGGGTGAGTTTATCAAGAAGACCAGAACCAACCAGAGATTTTCTCAGGGCACCAGAGACACAGCTAGATGGGCAAGAGAGCAGCAGAAGCTGCAACTACAGTAAAAAGCCCGTCCTCTTCATCATTTTTTTCTAGTAGCATATCCCCCTGACTATATAAAATAATAATAACCCAGAAATTATTCTCCACAATTTATAGTATGTCTGCGTTTTCAGATAAGCAATTCGATGCGAAGCAGTACGCCGACTTCCGGCCGCAATACCCAAGCGCTCTGTTTGACATCATTCTCAAGTACCACGGTTCTATGCCAGGCAACAAGTTCGGCACGTTGCTGGACATTGGGTGTGGCACGGGACAGGCGTTCAAGCCATTGAGCCCCCACTTCCAAAAAGTGGTGGCCACAGACCTATCGACGGTGATGGTGGAGCGTTCCAAAGAGGTGGCACGCACATTGAGCACGCCTGTGGAGCTTTATGTGTGTCCTGCAGAAAAAGTCCCCGTCGAAGATGCATCGGTCGATGTCGTGGTGGCTGGAGAGTGCGTGCACTGGTTCGACACTGACAAATGGTTCGACGAGCTCAACAGACTGCTCCGAGACAATGGCACGGTGGCTTACTTTGCATATGTGGATCCCGTGTTTGTGGGCGCGCCAGAGGCCAACCAGATCTATAATGAGATGGTGTACGAGGACGGAGCGTTTTTGGGCCCATACTGGGAGCAGCCGGGACGCGGCATCTTGAGACGGTTGTACAAGGACGTGAATGAGAAATTGGCCGCAGATTCCCGATTTTCCAACGTCGAGGTGGTGTACCACGACCCGGCAAAAGAACCCGCAGAGCACGCAAAATTCACCATCTCCAAAAATTTGACCCTGGCCGAATATCTCAACTACGCCAAGACTTGGAGCTCGTACCACCGGTGGCAGATGGCAAACCAGAAAAAGCCTACGGCCCTGGACCCGCTGCAGGAAGTTTACACGCGGCTCAACACCAGGCTTGGCTGGGACCTACAAACGAGCATCCAGATCTCGTGGAAAACTGTGTACGTTCTTGCCCGCAAAGTCGGACACAAGTAACAATATCGGTTTTATTAGTATATGACACTTCTACTCGGCCTTTCCACCCTTTCTCTCAATCAAAGCCTTTCTGTCTTTGTCCAGGTGCAATTTGGTGATGACAACCTTGGATGGATGGATGTTGACTGGCACGCTGGCACCGTTGGATTTCTCTTTGGTCAATTTTTCGAGCTGGATGGCGTATTTCAGTCTGTACACAGAGGAGATGGTTCCCTCCTGGCCCTTCTTGGAACCTCTGACAACGAGAACTTGGTCGTTCTTTCTCACTGGGAGAGCCTTGATTTTGTATTGTTCTCTGAGCTCCTTGGACAGAGGAGCAGACATCAAAACTCTTCTCACAGAGGATGGAGCGTTGAAGTAGGCCTTTCTGGCCTTGGATCTGGAGGAGGAGACGTCTTGGGAAATCTTAGCCATGGTTGGTGGAATGAAGTTTTTTTTGTCGAAATTTTTCAAGAGCCAGATGAGAAGTGCTTAGGTAAGGAGCATAGGGCACGGGAGACCTAGAGGCACATCACGTGACAAATTTTTCGCCCCACCTCGCACCTGAGTAATTAGTCAGGCTCGCTCGCTGTTTTGTTTTCGCTCCGCTATTTCCTCGCGGGGGGTTACCCGCCAGCCACGCGTCTTACGCGTCGCGCGCACGCGTATATAAATCCTCTGTTTCACCCTAAACAAATTCACATCCACAATGTACGTTTTGAAAAGAGACGGGCGCAAAGAGCCAGTCAGATTCGACAAGATCACCGCCAGAGTGTCTCGACTGTGCTACGGCCTCGACCCAGAGCACGTCGAGCCCGTTGCCATTACCCAGAGAGTCATCTCTGGTGTCTATCATGGCGTCACCACCATCGAGCTGGATAACCTTGCAGCCGAGACCGCCGCTTACATGACCACGATCCATCCCGACTACGCCACCCTGGCCGCCAGAATAGCCATTTCCAACCTGCACAAGCAAACCACCAAGCAGTTTTCCCAGGTCGTTGACCAGCTGTACCACTATATCAACCCCAAGAATGGCAAGCCTTCGCCAATGATCTCGGACGAAACGTACCGGATTGTCCAGGAGCACGCCGACGAGCTGAACTCTGCCATAGTGTACGATAGAGACTTTTCGTACAACTATTTTGGCTTCAAGACGCTGGAGCGGTCATATCTCTTGAAGATTGATGGAAAAGTCGCCGAGAGACCCCAGCACATGGTCATGCGTGTGGCCATTGGTATCCATGGCGATGACATTCCCAGCGTCATCGAGACGTACAACCTGATGTCGCAAAAATTCTTCACCCACGCGTCGCCAACTCTGTTTAATGCCGGTACTCCTCATCCGCAGATGTCTTCCTGTTTCTTGGTTGCCATGAAGGACGACTCCATCGACGGCATCTATGACACCCTCAAGACCTGTGCTCTGATCTCCAAGGCTGCTGGAGGCATTGGTCTGCACATTCACAACATTAGATCCACCGGGTCTTACATCGCTGGAACCAACGGCACGTCCAACGGCATCATTCCAATGGTGAGAGTGTTCAACAACACCGCCAGATACGTCGACCAGGGAGGCAACAAGCGGCCTGGCGCGTTTGCTCTGTACGTTGAGCCATGGCACTCGGATATTTTTGACTTTATCGACATCCGGAAGAACCATGGTAAGGAGGAGATCAGAGCCAGAGACCTGTTCCCTGCGCTGTGGATTCCAGACCTGTTCATGGAGAGAGTCGAGCAGAACGCTGAGTGGACGCTGTTCTCGCCTTCCGAGGCTCCAGGGCTTTCCGACGTGTACGGCGACGAGTTCAAGGAGCTCTACACCAGATACGAAAAGGAAGGCCGTGGACGCCAGACGGTCAAGGCACAGAAGCTGTGGTACGCCATTTTGGAGGCCCAGACGGAAACAGGCACGCCATTCATGCTGTACAAGGACGCCTGCAACTCCAAGACCAACCAGAAGAACCTTGGTATCATCAAGTCGTCTAATTTGTGCTGCGAAATTGTCGAGTACTCATCTCCAGAGGAGGTGGCCGTGTGTAATTTGGCGTCGATCGCCCTTCCAGCCTTCGTTGAGTCCGACGACAATACCAGCTGGTACAACTTCGAAAAGCTGCACCAGATCACCAAGGTTGTCACTAAGAACCTCAACAAGATCATCGACAGAAACTATTATCCTGTTCCAGAGGCAAGAACATCCAACATGCGCAACAGGCCGATTGCCGTGGGTGTCCAGGGCCTGGCCGACGTGTTCATGCAGCTGAGACTGCCTTTTGACTCACCAGAGGCCAGAGAGCTGAACATCCAGATTTTCGAGACCATCTACCACGGGGCTTTGGAGGCCTCTGCCGAGCTGGCCGTTAGGGATGGCAAATACGAGACCTTTGAGGGATCGCCGGCGTCGCAGGGTATTTTGCAGTTCGACCTTTGGGGCAAGAAGCCAACCGATCTGTGGGACTGGGACTCGCTCAAGGCCCGTATCCAGAAGGATGGACTCAGAAATTCGCTCTTGGTGGCTCCTATGCCAACCGCGTCGACATCGCAGATTTTGGGATATAACGAGTGTTTCGAGCCTTACACCTCCAACATCTACTCCAGAAGAGTTCTTGCTGGTGAGTTCCAGATCGTCAACCCGTACTTGCTGAGGGACCTTGTTAACCTTGGATTGTGGAACGACTCGATGAAGAATTTCATCATCAAGGACAACGGCTCGATCCAGAACTTGCCAAATGTGCCACAGGAGTTGAAGGACCTGTACCGCACCGTCTGGGAGATTCCGCAGAAAAGCATTATCGACATGGCGGCCGACAGAGGCGCGTACATCGACCAGTCGCAGTCGATGAATATCCACCTCAAGAACCCAACCATGGGCAAGTTGACGTCGATGCACTTCTATGGCTGGAAGAAAGGACTCAAGACCGGCATGTACTACCTCAGAACCCAGGCTGCTGCTGCTGCGATCCAATTCACCGTTGACCAGAAATCTGCCGCCACCGCTTCGTCGACGGTTGCTTCGCTCGACAAGCTAAAACTCAAGAAGTATGTTCCGAGAAAAACCTCTTCGAGCGAGGACGTGTCGTTCTCGTCTGCCGACTCGTCTGCCGTCGAGACGCCTTCGCCGCAGACCGCTCCCACCAGCATTGAGGGCTCGATGGCCGAGCTGAGCATCAAGGAGGAACCTAAAGAGCCTGGGGAGGCAGAAAACAAGGACGCCTCGGATGAGTACGACATTTACAACGCCAAGGTCGTCGCATGTGCCATCAACAACCCAGAGGCCTGTGAGATGTGTTCCGGCTGATCAACTAATTGCTAGAAAATTGTATAATGAATGAAGTTTTAAGGTTGCAAATAAATCCCTTTTTTGGGCCCAATCTGCCAAAACGACACGGGCACACACCATCCTACTAATTTTCTGGCAATTGCCTGTTGACAAACACAAATAAATACGTGTTTATTATTAGAAAATGGTTAGTATCACAGCAATTCTTTGTGCGAGCGCTAACAAGGCAGAGCGAGAAGTTGACCCCAGAACAGATCGACGAGTTTAAAGAAGCGTTCAGCATTTTCGACAAGGATGGCGACGGCAAGATTTCCGCATCAGAGCTAGGCACAGTGATGAGGGCGCTGGGCCAGAACCCAACGCAGCAGGAACTGAACGACCTGGTGAACGAGATTGACACGAACGGCAACTCGCTGATCGAGTTTTCCGAGTTTCTCACCATGATGGCAAGACAGATCAAGGAGCAGGACGTGGAGGCCGAGATCCTGGAGGCTTTCAAGGTGTTTGACAGTGACGGTGACGGCAAGATCTCCCAGACGGAGCTGGTCCGCGTGCTAACGACCATCGGCGAGAGGCTCACTGAGGAGGAGGCCAGACAGATGCTTCAGGCCGCCGATACCGACTCCGATGGCCAGATCGACATCGAGGAGTTCGCCAAGATCCTGCGTGGGAAATGAGTGTTCACAAAATGTACTACTGATACATCTATCTACCGTTAATTCTTTCAGCCTCTATTAGTGCCCAGAACTTGGCCCCCGTGCGAGGGTAACACGTACCGGTCGCTGCTGACGTCCTGCTCGCGGATGTAGTGGATCTGGGGCGGCAGGCGGCCAATCACGCCTGCCAACGCCGATTCGACGCGTTCAACGATCCGGAACGGCGGGTTCGTGAAGTGTTTGAGATACCCGTATCCGAGCGCGTATCCGGCCAAAATGGCAAACAAATGACCGATGAAACTCGAGCTCGGCACCAGAATACCCACCACAAGCACCAGGATGAACGGGATCATCGTTGTAGGCACGTCCACGGTGTAGATCCTGGTGTTTTCTGCTGTCTGGGCCTGCAGATAGTAGTAGTAGCTGAGCATCGAGAAGCCCCAGCCAGAAGCTCCCAGCACGCTCGTGGTGGGAAAGAAAAGCATCCCACACAGACAGTAAGGGACGGCCACGCAAGTGGCCAGGAAGTTGAGCACGATGGCTGTGTGCACGGTGCCATTTTGCACCTCAAACTGGCACAGGGGCCCGTACAGCGACACCAGGTTGAACAGAAGATGGACGAAGTTTGCGTGCACGAGCGGGTACGTCGTCAGCCGGCTCAGCTCGAGGTTGTAGAGGGTCCACGGCGTCAGCGACCACTTGTCCAGAATGGCCGGATTGGCGACCGAATAGAGGTACACGAGCACCAGAAACACACACAGCCCAGTCGAGAGCGCGGGGGCACGCTCAGTGGCGGCAAAGAGCCGACGGCCCTGGTCGGATATCTGTTGGAACAGCTGTTGGAATGACATGAAAAATGACACAAAATAAATATATAGCCAAAAAGACCTGAAATAAATAGAGTAAAAATTCTGCTACTTGGGCTAGTGTACAAAATTAATGGTGCACAAAAGAGATCACGTTTGCAAGGTTGTCGACGCCGTGCCTGGTCTCAGGCACGTCGTGCTTAAGGTCGGCGAGGTCGCTTAGAATGCACTTGAAGTCGTGGCGCAGGTCGTCCATGTCGGGCACGGCTGCTGCCACGTCCGACGCGGCAGCACGGTTCTGCGCCGACTCTGCGACAACCGCGTCGACAACAGCCTCGTTTTCGCGCACCAGCGCCTCGTACTCGTCCCGGATGTTGGCGGGCTGCGTGCGCCTCAAGTTGGAGAGCGACTCCACCTTCTCCTCGACGCGCGTGTACAGGTCGCGCAACCTGTCATTGAGCGCAAAGTCGTACGGCTCTATTTTCTCGTTGAGCAGCGCAGGGTTGGCCAGCATGCTGGATATCGTATTGGTGGCCAACTGCGACGCGGCCACGTCGTCGATCTCGAGCGAGTGCTGTATATCGTCGAAGATCCCGTCGACAAACTGGGCCACGAGCCTGCGCACCGACTTCGCGAGCGCAGGGTCGCCCTTGTCGCGGATCTGCGCCAGGTGCGTGTCCACCTTGGCCGCCACGGCCGTCTGCAGCGCGTCGTACAGATACCGCAGCTCGCGCAGCTGGAGATGGATCTTGGTTGGAGAGGACATGGGACTGAATATTGTGTATTTATTTATTTATGTCCTCCGGGTAACGTTGCTATACAGCACAAATTATTAAAACTCACAAAAGTTACCGTGAAAATGTAAGTATCTCACTCCTGCCACTAACGCCAGGTCGACACTATTGGAGTCCGAGTACTCGCCCGCATTTGCGCCGTTCTTTGGGTTTGCCGGGTGCTGCGCAGCAATGGTTCTGAGCTGCGCCGGCGCAGCAATCGGCACTGCCAAGTCTGGCATAGGAATCTCTGGAATCGGCACATTTAAGCCGGAACTGATCATGAGATCGCTGATTCCCGTCGTCATGAGCGGTATTCTGTCCGTTTACGGGCTTGTCGTGGCTGTGCTGATTGCTGGAGGCCTCAGTCCCAGCAGTAACTACACCTTGTTCAACGGGTTCATGCATCTCAGCTGCGGACTGTCCGTGGGCTTTGCTTGTCTTGCCTCTGGCTATGCGATCGGCATAGTGGGCGACGAGGGCGTCAGACAGTTCATGCACCAGCCACGGCTGTTTGTGGGAATTGTGCTGATTTTGATTTTCGCCGAGGTGCTGGGCCTGTACGGCATGATTATTGGTCTGATCCTCAACACCAAGGGAAGCGGTTGAGCTACAGGAATGTACAAATAAAAGAGCTCGTTTTAGTGTACTGTAGATCTCTATTTCTAGGCGCCCACGTCCATGGCGTCCTCGTTCTTCGACAGCTGCACGCGGCCCTCGTCGTCGACGTACTGGCTGCTGTTCTCCTCGACAAACTGCACGCTGCGCACGCTGTCGATGAAGAGGGTGTAGGCCCTCTTGACGTCGTCAAGAGCCACCGTGTCGGTGCGTCTCTTCTTGGCGATCTGGTGGCTCACAGCAATCAGGTTGGCCGCGTATCTAAGCGACGTTTCCATGCCGATCTTGGTCAGCAGACTAAGGGCGTCCGCATTCAGCTCCACCTCCTCTTCCTGCGCTCTGATCGACAAAATGCTCTTAATCTCATCTTCCTTGTAGCCCTCGGTCCTGATGATGATCGACCGGTCCAGCAGGTCCAGCGGCAGGCCGTGCGGCGACTTGTAGTTGGTGCCTCTGGTCTTGGAAATGCCTCTGTTGGTGGCCATGATCACAATCGGCGAAAAGTCGTCCTCCAGAGCCCGGTTGATGTACGAGAAACACTCGATGTCCAACATGTGCACCTCGTCAATAAATAGCACGCCCGGGATGATGTCCGCCTTGCCCTCCTCCTTCCACTCGGCAACCTTCATGTTGATCTGGTCGCGCACCTCGGACCGGATTTCGCCCGTGTCGCCGCTGAACAGCGCCAGAAAACCCTGCTGCCGCGAGTTTATCACGTCGATCTCGTGCAACGACACCGTGTGCACCACCTCCTTTCTCGTCTGAAGCTCGCCCTCGGGACATGCTACAAATTTTGTGTCTGGGCCCATGGCGTCATAGTCCCGCGCACGGGTGTACGAGCGGCCCAACTTGGCAATCTTGCCGTTTGCCTTGTCGATGGAAATCACATCGCCGGCAATCACTTTCTCCTTGGTCAGCTCGTCAATCATCTTGTTTCCCAGCTCGTAAATTGTTTCCATGTCGGTGGTTCTAATGGTGAGCTTTCCCTGCTTGTGGCCGCCCGTCAACGACCGGTCTATCTGGATCTCCACAACCTCTCCTTCAATCACCTCGGTCTCTTCCTTGATCTGAATACCTATGCTTTTTCTGAACGCCTGGTTCAAGGCCTCCGTCTTGGACAGCTCCTTGGAGAACACCTCAGAGCCTGCGATGGCAGTGAACGGCACGTCGCTGCCCAGACTCTGCGAAATACCCATAGCAATGGCCGTCTTTCCCGTCGACGGTGGACCCGCTATCAGAATCGCCCGGCCCGCAATCTTGCCCTGCTGGATCATCTTGAGAATCACCCCGGCAGCCTTTCTTGCCTTCAACTGGCCCACCATGCCCTGGCTGTTCTCGCGCGGCTGCAGGTGGTCGTCCAGCCCGAGCCCCGTGATGTGCGAGTGCGCAGCAATCAAGGATAGGTTTCCCACGGTTTCTCCGTCACTCTTCGTGGCAATTGACATGTCAGCGGTGGTGAGTGCAAATAAACAAGTATTTTATTTTATTTTATTTTATTATTTTTCTTCCAAAGCAAATTTTACCTGTTCCGTGCAGAGATGTGCACTAAAAAAAGCATCTAAACAAGTTTTATTTATTATCATGGCTCTTCTGGACTGCGTGGGACTGTGCTTCCCGTGCATCTTCAACACAACGCCCGTGCTGAAGATCAACCAGACATCGTTCAGGATCCTCAATCTGCTGGGCGAGGGCGGTTTCTCCTACGTGTACCTTGTGCAATCGAAAAACAACCACGGCTTGTATGCGCTCAAGAAAATACGCTGCCCGTTCGGCAACTCTAACTTCAAGGCCGCCATGAAGGAGGTGGACAACTACCGCGAATTTCGCTCGCCCTACATCATCAAGTCGATCGACTCGTCGGTTGTCCAGGAGCCAGACGGCTCCAAAACCATATACATCCTGCTGCCCTACTTTGAAAATGGCTCGTTGCAGGACATCATTAACAAGAACAGCGTGAACAACGCGCGCATGGACGAAACTGAGGCGCTGCGATTGTTTGTCGGCGTCTGTCGCGGACTCCAATCAATGCATCGTCACCAGGTCTCTAAGAACTACACGATTGTCTCGTCGATGGAACCAAACGACAGCGACGGAGCCGACGAAAATAACCCCTTCCTGAGCAACGTTGAAGAGAGCATACGGGATGGCACAGAGCTACAGGAAACGGTTAGTTTTGCACACAGAGACATAAAGCCGGCCAACGTCATGCTGGCCAAGGACGGCACGCCGGTGTTGTGTGACCTGGGCTCGTGCGAAAGGGCGCGGGTCAGCATCAAGTCGCGGGCCCAGGCCATCACCGTCCAGGAGCTTAGCAATGAGCACTGCACTCTGCCGTATCGCGCGCCAGAGCTGCTCGACATCAAGGTCGGCGACAAAATCGACGAGAAAATCGACATCTGGTCGCTCGGCTGCACGCTGTACGCGCTGCTGTACGGCTACTCGCCGTTCGAGCGGGAGGAGCTCGTCAACGGGGCCAACATCACGCTAGCAATCAGCTCGGGCAGCTACAGCTTCCCACCAACGCCAGAATACTCGCCCGCGCTCAAGGACCTCGTCCGCTACTGTCTCGTGGTTGACCCGGCCCAAAGACCGTCGATCGAGGACGTGCTGACCCGTGCGCTAGCGGTGCAACGCGAGGTGTCAGGGTAGGGTGCGAGGTGTGACTAGAAGGTGGAACCGGAAAAAAAAATAAGTGTAAAGTATTTCTTTCGTGTTCATGACCTCGTACCAGAACGGCACGGCGCAGATTCCGGGCTGGAACGACTGTCCGGACACAGTGCTGAACCGGAGCCAGACGAATCTGGCGAGCTTACCGAGCGCAGACGCGGGGGGCGGTGCCGATCTGGCCGGAATTCGGGAGAAATTGCGCGAGATCTTGGCCTTGCCAACCACGCTTTCCGAGCGCGAGCTGGCCTATCACCGAAACAAGCTGGAGAAGGCGACAGAAAGCGTGGAGAATTTGATTTTTGCGGGCGCCATGGTCGATCTGAGCCGGCAGGGTGACCAAAAACAGCTGGAGCAGAGCATTTTGGAGTACATGATGGCCAAGTCGAACGGCAGCTGGTGTGGCTCGCTCAAGAAGGTATTGGTGCACGCCAAAAAATGAGGGCATGGGCCCATCAACGTTTTGATCCCCAACCGTCTCCGTTTGTGAGGATGGCCTGTCAAATTTAGCAGTGCTGGTTAACTCGAGCTATTCCCTGATGTGGAAAATTGGGCTTTCCGGCACACACCGTTTTTGTCGACAGCCACTTAAGGACACGAGCAGAGCACGCAACTTGATAGGATGTCCTGCTGGCGTGACAGCACAGGCGGTTGTCTTACTAGCGAATCTGTCGGGATGTGTATTGGGCTTGCTACCAACTACATTTGCTTGAATTACCATTAAAACTCATTTAGATAATACATGTCTAAAACTATATGAGCCTAAGCAAGTTACAATAAGAGAAGGGCCATACCTCCGAGGACGGCAGCTCCAGCAGGAGCAATGGCCATGGCATCGTTCTCAAACGTGCTGATGGCCGATGAGGAGCAGTTGCCCGGGCAGACGGTATTGATTTCGGTTGAGACAGCGGTGACTCGGGAAGTGACAGAAGTGACGGACCCTGAATGGTAGGTCGAGGTCAGGGAGGAAGAAGACGCGTTTGGACCGGTGGACGAGCCTGAAGCGGTACTGGCACTTGACAGAGGCTGAGGCTTGACGTTTTTCAATGAAATGGCGGTGCAGCTGTTGGAAGGGACGTTTTCCGAGTTTTTGTAGTACATGAGCTCATACAAGGTGCTGGAGTACCTGTACGGGTCGTTGGTGTTCTTACAGGCGTAGAAACCGTCGCTGGAGCCGTTCACCTGAAGAGTGCCATCGCTGTCAAAGGTGAAGCTTTCGTAGCCAATGGTGGCTCCCCAGGCAACGTATGGGGCCCCTCCCAAGGTGATTGGGAAGTCGTACTGGGCCTGTGGGGCAATAAGCTTTTTTGTGGCGGCGTCGTAGTCCCAGGTGTAGCTGGAGCCGTCGGCCAAGAAGAGGTAGTCGAGGGCGGCTCCCTCATGTCTTGGCTCGAGCCCCTTGCTGCGGAATTCTGCGCTGGGGGCGTCAACGTAGAGACTAACCTTTTCGGCCAGGACGGAAGCAACGGTGGTAGCAAGGGCTAGTGTGGAGGAAAATCTCATTGTACGACTCTCAGGAAAAGCAAATTGCTGTAGATGATGAGAGAAGCTGTGTTGGAGTTGCGAAGCTTTAAATAGTGAGAGAGAAAGAGCTGAAGGCGTGTTTGCGGAAGCTATTTTTGAGGTACCAGTGAATATTTTTAGAACAAATGCACACGGGCTCTATTATGTCGTGATAATTCCCTATTCAGACAACTAATTACAATACCAACCGGTGTGCAAAACGTCATTATTTATTGACTGCTCCGCAAATAGAAGCATCAGCGAACAAAAAGCGTAATTTTTCACAACTCCCCGGTGCCCCTTGCATAGCAGGACCGGTCCCTATTATTTTTTTCTTAATTTTACACTCTATTTATAGAAGGCCTCAAATACTCGCTTTCTCGGACAAGAACGATACTTGCTGGAGATTCTTGCCCGTCTTGTGATGCTCCTTCACGTGCCGCAGATACTTGAGTAGCCGATGCTCGTTTGGGTTTGAGGCCTTGTACTTTTTGAGCGTGATGCATTCCGAGCAGTACGGGCACTCCACCACCTCCACGGGCTCTGCCATTTCTTTGGAAAAAAGCCAGCCCCGTTTTGCAGGGTCCTTGACCAGTCGGCCGTTAGAAAACACCCCGTGGAATTGGATCATGTGATGGAGATAGTTGCTGTCGTTGCGTTTGAAAAACAGCTTCTGGAATTCGTTTCTGCTGTTTTCCTGCGTCATGGGACAGAACGGACACAGAGCAAAGTTGCCCGTATTAACGCTTTTTTTGCGCGACGCCGTGTCTGTCTCGTGCCCCAGCAGCTGCGGATTCAGCTTGCGGTTCACCGCTGGCTCGTACAGGTTCGTGCCATACTTCCTGTTCTCTAGGTAGATATACTTGGAGTCTGGCTTGTTGAATGCCTCGAACGCGCGGATGCTAATGTTGTTCTGTATGCGGTAATAGTCCAGCCCTCGACAGGGCGTCTTTTCCTGTGCCAGAGATAGATGTTCACACGGCTGCTTGGGAGTGGCCTGCGGCGACTCCAGTGCATCCAGAATCCCCACCTCTAGCACTTGTCTCCAGTTATAGTTTGAGTCTGGCGACATGTCGTGATCTTTGCATGGTTCTGCCCGTGTGCTCTTTTTTTCCAGTGCATTTTGGTCGATAAGATGCTCAAATTGGGTACTGAGATCGACAGTGCCGCAAGACGCCGGCTCGTCCAAATAGTAGCGCGGAACTTGAGCAGCATAGCGGGAGTCGCTGAACATCTGCGCCAGCGATGAGTCTAGCGGAGGTGTCGGATACAGGTTGTCTTCTGCAGAAGTTCCTCCCTCGGGCAGAGCACCGCTGTACTCCTCGAAATTGAGGTCGTCCACAAGTTGCTGCATAAATACGTCCGTTTCCTTCATGTTCTCGCGCGATTCCGTTTCAGTAGAATAGGGATTTGGGGCCTTTATACGGGACCCACAAAGCCAGATAATCCGCCAACAGACCACAGACATCGTAGCTCCCAATGTTCTGCTGCCAACAACTACACCTCACACCAACCACACCGCACACCAACGTACTGGTTGCAATGCCATCTCGAGAGCTACGGTTTGTCGGCGCTTAGGAGGGCTGCGCCGGCGCGGGAGTATAAATGGGGGCCAGCGTCTTTTTTTTAAGCTATGGACAGCAGATTGCTCATTATTGGTACATCAGATGTGCCCCCTTCAGGAAGCTCTCTGTTCATCACGGACGATACTCTCAGATTGGCTAGTTTGGGAGGACTCCGTTTTCCTCGCCTTGGAGTCTAGTCTAAGATAAATTGGGCCCATTGCGTTGATTAACCGGATCCTGTAAGCCAGATGGATAGCAGTCCAGTACCTGCAGTGCCTTCACGTAGACACTGGACTGTGGGGCATCCATTGTGGCTTGCAAGAAACGGGATAGGTTCTATAACCTGATCCGGGGGTACTGAAAGGACTAGGAACCTGTCAATGTGTGTGCAGATGCTGGCGCGGGTTTAATTACCGAGCGACGCTTTGCACAGGCTTGGCACGAAGTACGGCCTGGAAGCTTGAATCGAGGTCAGCAGATATCGAATTCCTCTGAAGAATTGCTTAGCAATTGGCTGACGACGTTGTTAGCGCTAACGAATAGAATTCAGCAATTTAACCATCCACTTGGTGCGTTTTGCTGGGGATGCCCCCTCCGGTGTATAACGTTTACCAGGATAGCAATTGGATGTTCATTTACTTTGACGTTTCTACACTTTGCTACACTTGTGACATTTCTAAGGTTTTGCTACCAAATCACGTTTTTTCGCCCATATTTCCAGCTTTGGAAGATTCCAGTTATACCACACATTGAACTACTACTATCACGACGGGGTAGGCCCGTGAAAGTATACTGCCATAGGTCGTCCGGTATGGGGTTCCACCACTGCCCTGTACTAGAAAGACGGGAAGTATACTTTCGAAACTAGGGGTGGATGCGGCTCTCCTGACCATAGGGGAGGGGGAGAGGCTACCCATCCCAAACAGGGAGGGCATGTAATTTGCCTTCCCTCTATTTGAAAGGGGGGATGCATTTCTCCCCTTCTATAGGGGGAACGCATTTTATATTTCTCCCTATCTGAAGGGGGGATATACTTCTCCCTTTCCATAGGGGGGATGCGCTCTCCCTTTCCATGTAAGGGGAGGTACGTTCAAATTCAGTTTTCAGTATTTCAAAAGTTCTATATGTCCCCTCCGCAGCATGGGCTGCGTCGAGGTATCCTCCCATTAGGAAAACCGGCGCTAGGATTTTCGCCGGGAGGATATAAACTGCTCTGCTCTGGAAATCTCCTAGAGCTGTCACAAGCAGGTGGGAGCGAAAGCTCCCAAAATTAGCGCCGAACATGCGTCAGACATAACAGGCAGCAATGAGAATGGTGAGTTGTGATAATATCTGGTATTTCAAAGAGATGGAATGATGATCAGCCTTGACGTGAGTCTCAGGGCCCGATGTGAACGATGTATGTCTGTAGAGCGGCAGACATTCGGATGAGATGTAGTTAACTCAATGGCTTTGTGAGCGCTGACTAAATGCCACTTGCGCCGTATTCATCGATTGTGAACCCTCAACTGCTCAAAGTGAGAAGAAGGAAGGTACAAAACAAAGTTATCTTTCCAAGGAAAAACCTCAAATTTATAGTACGTTAATCGCCATAAAATTAAAAAAAAATATAAAAATTAAAACAGACTAGCGCTTGGCCCTGTCAAAATGGACGCTATTGCGGATAGGGCATTTGCAGAATCACAGACAAACCCGCATAAGCTAGTAGACGAGACGCCGTCATTGCTGGCGGTAGTGGTCGATATCAATCCGTTGGAATGGCGCAAACTTGAAAAAGATCAATCAGTCTCCCTCAAGCAAGTGGTTTCCTCTGTTATAGTTATGCTCAATTCGCATCTGTCCCTCAACAGTTCAAACCATGTTGCAATGTATCTTGCAAATAGTTATTCGCATGGGGCTCAACTCATATACCCGCTTACAGAGTCTTCGACGTCTACCAGATTTTTGCACACTCCTGGAATGTACAGACAGTTTCGATTTATAGACGGCTCAATTGTGGACAAAATTGAGCACTTGCTAAATGAACAGCCGGAAACGCTTTCCCAGCTGGTTGGCAGGGAACAAGGAAATCAGCATATTAAAGGAACGCTCGCAGGAGCTATGTCGATGGCCCTCTGTCATATCAACAAAATCCAGCAATCTGACGAGCTGAACGCATTGAAATCGCGGCTCTTAGTAGTGAGCATCAGTGACGACAGCACGCTGCCGTACGTTTCGGTTATGAATACAATATTTGCGTCTCAAAAAATGAAGATATCGGTGGACGTTTGCAAACTAGGACCCAGCTCGACTTTCCTTCAACAAGCAGCCGATGCCACCAACGGAGTCTACATTTATATTACACAACCGGAAGGCCTTATACAATATCTCACAACAGCATTGTTTATTGACCCTATGTTACGACCGATCATTGTCCTGCCTACTGACGAGTCGATAGATTTCCGCGCTTCGTGTTTTATAACCAACAAAGTTATCGACGTGGGCTACGTTTGCTCCGTGTGTCTTTGCATCCTGAGTGTCATTCCGGAGGACGAGAAATGCCCTACGTGTCATTCCAAATTCGACCACAATCTAATTACCAAACTGAAGAGAAAGCCTAAAGTTTTGCCTCTCAAGAAGAAAGATAGGGAGTTGGGAGATAGGAACGGGGCAGCCGCACCAGAGTCTGCCTGACGAACACAAAACCTTTAACATCATTTATAACTTGTCGGTCAACACTCAAGCTTCAGTAGGTGCTGGTTTTTGGAGCCGAGCCTGCGGGTTGGTGTTTGGGAAAACAAGGTCCATATAACTGGTCAGCACACTAATAACCGCAAACACAACCTTGAAAATCGCTGGTTGCGCTTCATCGTCAGGCGACTTAATCAATGGCTCATTCAGATAGCTCTGCACAGCGAGCAAAAGACACGACCAAGCCAAAGGCTTGTTTCTCATAAACATGGCCACCATTGGCAAGTTCTGAGCAGCAAATCCAGTAGCGGAATTGCGGGGTTTCACCGGCACATGCACATATCTAAAGTTAGCACAAGTAGCCCGAATACTTACGGCTTGGCGAGTTCGGGTCTTTTGACGTCTTTGGACATTTTCCTATGGTGTGAAATAAATAATAAAATGGATGGACGTTTATAATTTTCAGTTAGATTTGGACAGTCTTTTTTAGTCACGTGCATGTATCACGAGTATACAACCCAAAAAAATAAGAGCATAATTTCGCTAGCGCTCGCGAAGAACACAAAAGGGGATTTCGTTTAGTGAAAAAATCTGATGAGTTCACCTTTTTGGTTTATTTAATCTAATAGCTCTCTCAATTTTCCTATATTCTCTGATCACGCGCCCTCAGATAGAACCAGTATTAGAACGAATACCTGCGCCAATTAGTACTTACTTACTCTCACTAAGATTGTCATTTTACACAAGACAAATTCCGTTTTTCCCACTGGCTCGTTCCCATCAAGTAATATATAATTTGACCACTATATTCAATTAGGCTGTTTGCTCACGTACACTTAGTGATTAGTCAGGTAATCCGATTGAGATCAGCATTAGTCAGGCAAATTCATCACTGTATCCAACAATCAGCGAGTTTAATCTGCGTTTCCCTACATGTCATCAGTTTTGGCGAATGTTAGCGCGTTTCTGGCGCAAACCTGTGCAAAAAGGCCCATCCACGTGATTATAGGAACCGCTCTGGTGGCATCGATCACTTATCTATCCATTTTGGACCACTACGCGTCCTCTCTGAGCATTGCTTCCTCTCAGCCCGTGCTGTTTTACCACCCATCAGGATCGTCAGACTACACCAAATGGTCGCAAGTCGATAATCCGTCTGCATATGAATCTGCAGACCATTACTGTCTTACTCCATTCAAGTTCAAAAGAGTCGGAGATGCCGACCTCCCAGTGTACGATAACCTGCTCGTGGGGATGGAGGAAAATGAAAAAATTCTGCTTTCTGATTTTGCTTCCACAGAGTCTCTATACGAGAAATTTGCGACAATGACAAACAAAGATGGCGTCCAGTTCAAAGTGAGGAGTATCCATCGTATCGGAAAATATTATGAATATCTTAAGTCTCTATTCATGAAAGTTGAGGGCTTAATCAAAGGTGCGGAGCCGTTCGATATCATTTTGGTAACCGTTGCATACGGTGCAATGTGGTTTACTTTTGCCCAATTGTTCTTTGAAATGAAGAAGCTTGGTTCTAATTTCTGGCTTGCGTTTGGCTCTCTGCTTTCTTCAGGTATTGCTTTTTTGTTTGCACTCGCTACTGGTATTTTCTTGTTCAACTTGAAAGTTCCACTTATCTCGCTGAGTGAGGGGCTTCCATTTTTGGTGGCAACCATTGGATTTAAGCACAAGATTGCATTCACTGAACCAGTGATTAAAGCTCTGAGATTAGAATCAAACACCGACATTCCAAAAACAATATCAAGCGTGGTGAAATCCACAACTGCGATCCCACTGATCAAGGACCAATCCATCATTATTGCTTGCTTTTTGCTATGCTCAATTTTGGCTCCAAACCTTACTGGCTTAATGAACTTCTGCCTTATGGCTGCTTTGATTCTTGCTGTGGACTTGTTTTTCACATTTACATTTTACTCTTCCATCTTGTCTTTGAAGGCTCAAATCAACAAAGTGCACAAGGAGATTGAGCTCAAACAGTTCTTGGAGGAAGACGGGATCATTGAGACTGTTGCAGAGAGCGTTGCTGCCTCCGCAGAACTTCCGACTGACTTGTTCCGTCACAACAGCAACATTGTCAGTTTCAAGGTGGCCATGATTGTGGGATTCATTTCGTTGCATTTGTTTGCATTGGGAACTTCCTGGCTTTACGATGATTCTGCTGACTACCAGCCTATCAACCTGTTCTCCACCTTTTCGCCATCTCTGTCGAAGTCCGTTGCCATGAACATTCCGATTGGAAGCCACGGAACCCTAATAACGGTTATGCCAACGAGAGTATACAGCAGAGTTGACTGGTTCACCAAGACAGAAGATCTTGCCTTGCATTTCTTTGAAAGACTTTCCAAAGCCATCTCGGACCCCCTTGTTGGAAAGTTCTTATTTGTTTTGGCTGGAATCAGTGTCGCAATCAATATCTACCTTTTGAATGCCACAAATGCTCATATAGATGAGACACGCGAAATCAAGAAGAAGGAAAAGAAGAAGCAAAGGGCTGCGGAACAACGCAAGGTCATTCCAACACCAGCTCCTTCGGTTGTTATCCCAAGATCCAGCAACTCAAGTTCTGACGATGTGAAAGAGGCTCAAATGATTGACGACGGATTTACTGACGAACAATCTGGCAGCGATGCCGATTCGTTGGAAATCAAAGCCTTGACACCAAAACGTTCTCTTGAGGAATTGACGAGTATCATGAAAGCAGGAAATGTGAAGGAGTGCTCAAATGAAGAAGTTGCAGAGCTGGTCACTTCGGGCAAGCTTCCATTGTATGCTTTGGAAAAACAACTGGAGGATAAGACTCGAGCAGTTGTTGTTCGTCGCAAAGCCATTGCTAAACTTGCTGACGCTCCTGTTTTGAACACGGGAAGACTTCCATGGAAACACTACGACTATGACAGAGTGTTTGGTGCATGTTGCGAGAACGTGATTGGCTTTATGCCTATACCCGTTGGTGTTGCTGGTCCCATGATAATTGATGGTGTTCCGTACCACATTCCAATGGCCACCACGGAAGGATGTTTGGTTGCTTCAACGATGAGAGGTTGCAAGGCCATCAATGCAGGAGGAGGTGTTCAGACGGTTTTGACCAATGATGGAATGACCAGAGGGCCATGTATCTCCTTCCCTACACTAGCCCGCAGTGGGGCTGCCAAGATGTGGCTTGATTCGGAGGAGGGGCAAAAGGTGATGAAGAGTGCATTCAACTCCACTTCCAGATTTGCCAGACTGCAGCATCTTCAAACCGCCATGGCCGGAACGCTGCTTTTCATCCGGTTCAAGACTACCACAGGTGATGCTATGGGAATGAACATGATTTCCAAGGGAGTCGAGTATGCATTAAATTACATGATTAACGAGTGTGGATTCGATGACATGGAGATCATTTCTCTGTCAGGAAACTACTGTACTGATAAGAAAGCTGCCGCCATCAACTGGATTGAAGGTCGTGGTAAGAGCGTTGTTGCTGCTGCCATTGTTCCTGCAGAAACGGTTAGAAAGGTGCTCAAGTCAGATGTGGATGCATTGGTGGAGCTGAATGTGTCCAAGAACCTCATTGGGTCAGCCATGGCTGGGTCAGTTGGTGGCTTCAATGCCCACGCCGCTAACCTGGTGACTGCCGTTTATCTTGCAACAGGACAGGATCCTGCGCAAAACGTCGAGAGTTCCAACTGTATCACACTGATGAATAAGCTGCCTAACGGTGACCTACAAATTTCCGTCTCTATGCCATCTATCGAGGTAGGAACCATTGGAGGAGGTACTGTTCTGGAGCCTCAAGGAGCCATGCTGGAGCTCCTGGGGGTGAAGGGTCCGCATCCAACCGAACCAGGAGCCAATGCAAGACAGCTGGCCAAGATCGTTGCATCTGCCGTCCTGGCGGCCGAGCTCTCGCTCTGTTCTGCCCTTGCGGCCGGCCATCTGGTCCAATCTCACATGACGCACAACAGAAAGGCCCCTGTTGCAGGAACCGGTGCCGTCGACACGCCCGCCACCACAGCGAGCAGCTCGGGCAGCGGCGACGACATGAGCCGTCTTAAGGATGGATCCAAGATCTGCATCCGGTCCTAATGCGGCCGCATTTTTGCTAGAGATGTATTGCTAATAGTCCACGTAATGTGCCCCGGAATTTTCACGTCCATCTTCGCAGATGTTTTTTTCTGGAATTTATTTGATAGCAACCCAATATTTTTTATCTCAAGGTGAAGTTGACTATAATTTGAAAATTCAAATATATCTAGATACTACAAAAATGACTCGCATTGACCCCAAAGATTTCGAATCGGCGCCGATAAAGGTGAGCGGACGGATTCTTAACTGCATGACGCAACTGCCGAACCAAATCTACAAGACAAAAAATGGCAAATGGGACTTGAAGCCGCTCAGAGGGAGCTCTGCGTTGCATGCGTCGAATGCGTTCTTGAACGAGGCGACCAATTGGGAGTCTCACTTGATTGCCTGGACCGGCGAGCTGTACTCGTACAACGAGAGTGTTCCGCACTCGATTCCCACGAATCAGTCCATTGAGAACGATCCTTTATATCTGAACGATAACGACAAGGAATACGTGACGGCAAAAATTCACGAGGCAAACAACGACAAGAACATCCATCCTGTGTGGCTTCTGCGCAAAGACCAGGAGAGGTGGCGGAAATATGCCGAGAACGTGATCTGGCCCACGTTCCATTACATGCAGCCGGCTCCCAGCGACGGCCGCGAGGAGGCCCAATGGTGGCACGACTACGTGAAATTCAACGAGGCCTATGCCGCCAAAATCAAGGCCATCTACCGGCCAGGAGATATCATCTGGGTCCACGACTACTACTTGCTGCTGCTGCCGCAGATTCTGCGAATGGAGTTTCCACAAGCCTATATAGGCCATTTTCTTCATGTTCCGTTCCCGTCGTCGGAATACTTCAAGTGCCTGAGCAAGCGCAAGCTGTTGCTGGACGGCATGCTGGGAGCCAACCAGGTTGGGTTCCAGAACCACTCTTTTGCCAGACACTTTATCAGCTGTTGTGCCAGGCTCCTTGGCTACGAGGTGACGCCGGACGGAGTGCACATCCACTCGTCCAACGTGAAAGTTGTGACGTTGCCGTTGGGCATTGATGTGGCCAAGCTTGAACAGAACGCGTTCACGGAAAGCGTCGAGTCGAAAGTGCAGACGCTCAAACAGCTCAACGGCAACCGCAAAATCGTCATTGGCAGAGACAGACTCGATCTGGTGCGCGGTGTGGTCCAGAAACTGCAGGCCTTTGAAATGTTCCTCGACATCTACCCCGAATGGCGGGGCAAGGTTGTTCTGATTCAGGTCTCTTTCAAGCCGTTCTACCACAGCTCCAAGCTGGACAAGAAGGTCAACGAACTGGTTTCGAACATCAATGCCAAGTACGGCTCGCTGGAGTACACCCCTGTGCAGTATTACAACATGAAGGTGGACAGAGACGAGTACTTGGCTCTGCTACGGGCTGCCGATCTGTGTATGATCACGTCCATCAGAGACGGAATGAACACAACGGCTCTGGAGTACATTGTGTGCCAGAAAGAGTCCAAGTCGCCGCTGTTGCTGTCTGAATTCAGCGGCACGGCAAGCGTTCTGCAGGACTGTGTTCAAGTGAATCCCTGGGATGCCGTTGGCGTGGCCAACTCCATCAACGAGTGTCTGCTAATGAGCGACGACAGAAAAGCCGCTTTGGAGGCCAAATTGTACCGGTCTGTGTGCAACAACACTAACCAGGACTGGACGTGCCATTTTTTGCAGAGCCTAATGGACTTTGTGGTGAAGCTGAACTCGAAGCACGGTACGCCGTATTTAAACAAACCGATGCTGCTGGAGGATTATACAAGAGCAGGACGGCGTTTGTTTCTGTTCGACTACGACGGGACGCTGGCCCCAATTGTGCGCGATCCAAACGCAGCCATTCCTTCGGCACGGCTGATCAATGTTCTCAAAGCTCTGGTCCAAGATCCCAAGAACGAGATCTGGATCATCAGCGGCAGGGACCAAGAGTTTTTGGAGAAGTGGGTCGGCTCGCAGTTCCCTGAGGTTGGCCTAAGTGCCGAACACGGGTGTTTCCTCAAGAAAGCAGGCCACAAAGAATGGATCAACCTGGCCGAACGGTACGAAATCCTTTGGAGAGAAGAGGTGGAGGAAATTCTCAAAAGATACACAGAGAGAACGCCCGGCTCGTTCATCGAGAAGAAGAAGGCCGCCATAGTTTGGCATTATAGACAGTCCGACCCAGAGCTCGGAAAATTCCAGGCAGCAAAGTGCAAGGCAGACTTGCTGGAGAGAATGGCCGCCTACGACGTCGAAGTGATGGCCGGAAAGGCCAACGTCGAGGTGCGGCCGTCCTTTGTCAACAAGGGAGAAATAGTGCGCCGACTCGTGCTCAATTCTGACCCCCTGGTACAGCAGCCGCGCACTTTTGAGCAAATGCCGGATTTTATTCTGTGTCTAGGAGACGACACAACGGACGAGGACATGTTCAAGGTGTTGAACGCTATTGAGCAAAATTGGAAAGACAAGAAACTAGTTTCGGTCAGGGAGCCGCGTGGCATCTACCCGGTGACAGTGGGCCCGGCTAACAAGGAGACGGTGGCCAAAGCGTATCTGTCAGACCCAGACCAGGTGTTGGACACGCTGGGTTTGCTTGTGGGCCAGGTATCGCTGTTTGACACCGCGGGAACAGTCGAACTGGACGACAGGGGCCATCTGAAAAACAGCGAGAGTGCGCTACGGTCTGAGAAGGCCAGACAGGCGTACCAGGCGACGGCCGGGTCACGTGACCGATAAATACGTCAAGGCTGCTCGGGCAAAAATGGCTGGGCAGATTATTATTTATCTAGACAATTGAATATACAGGCAACATAGTTATTTACCAGCAGCGTGCTGCCAAACTGAGACACCCGTTTTATAGCATCACTGCGGCTGTAATTTTTTGACGGCCCCCAGTTCCTGAATTCCGCCGCTTCCGAAAGAACATGACAGAACCATTTCCTAACCCGGCTCTGTCGGGACAGTCGATTGCGCAGGACGATTACCTCGGCCATCTTCTCTCCTCCAACAATTCCCGGTCTAACTCCCGCAAAGCATCTCTTGCTTACGGAAGCATTAATGATAATGAGCCGGTATTAAGGCGTTCTCGCAGTCTTACAGAATCTATAACAAACTCTATGATAGTGGCTACTAACGTGACCTGGGAGCAGATCCAGCGTCGCCGGTTTCTGTCTGTGTGCGTGTTTGGATGTCTGTTCATCTTCCTTTTCAATCTGATATTCCTTCCGCGGACCTCGTTGGACAGGGACTTACGACGTCTCCATGGCGAGTTTCTCACCTTTGACGACTGTTCGCGACTATTTTTGACCCAGCTCAACTTTAAGAACAATGTTAGGAGCTACATGGAGTTTATGGAGCGCGATGTCCATTTGCCTGGCAAAAACCACGAGGCCGCCGAGTTTTTCTTCAAGAACAACTACCAGTTCAGAACGTACTCTGACAAATACGAGACCTGGATGGGCAGGCCTCTGAAGACGCACCTGAAGATGTATGACGGAGATGAGGTTGTCTACGAAGCAAAGTTGAAAGAAAGCGAGCTTTTGTCGTTCCATCCGTACTCCGCCAACGGGACTGTCAAGTCCGAGTTTGTTTATTTGAATTATGGCCTGGAGCGCGACTACGAAGCTGTTCGCAAGGCCGGCGTCGAGGTGGGCGGTCTAATTGGCATTGTTCGACGCGGACAGATTAGCGTCGATCGCAAAATTAAAATTGCCCAAGAACACGGAATTTCCGCCGTTCTTGTGTACTCTGACCCGTACGACGACGGACAGCAGAGAGTGAAGAACGGCCGCAAACCGTTTCCGTCGGGGCCTGCTCGGAAACCGTCCAGCGTGGACAAGGAAACAGTCAGTTTTCTTGCTGAGCAGCCGGGTGACCCGACAACGCCTGGATGGTCTTCGACGCTCTTTGCTCACAGAGTGGAGCCGAAAACTATTCCAAAAATCCCCTCCTTGCCGCTCAGCTACGAGGACATCGAGCCTATATTAAAGACCCTGAAGGGACCGGACGTGGGCTGGCATGGGGACCTGGAATTTTCGTATTCATGCGGGCCCTCGAGCTACTCCCTTGATCTGCTCAACCTTGTTGAGTATAAAGTGAAGCCAATTTACAATATTGTGAATGAGATACCCGGCGTGATCAAGGACGAGGAGCTGATTATTGGCGCGTCTAGAGACTCAATCGGAGGCCTAGGGGGCGTTTCGAGCGGCCATGTGGCCATGATGGAGCTGGCTAGGGGGTTTGACGAGCTCGTCAAGCTCGGCTGGAAACCCCTCAGAACCATCAAGCTTATCTCCTGGGATGGGTCCAGCTACGGCCTGCTGGGGTCCACAGAGTTTGGAGAGTTTTACTCCACCAAGCTAGCGAAAAACAATATTCTCTACATTAACCTGGATAAATTAAATGGCTCGCAGCTGAAAATAGAGAGCCACCCACTTTTCAACGAGTTGCTGCAGAAAGTGATGAAGCAGGTGATGGTGGACGACAAGCAGACGCTCCATCAATACTTCACCGCATCGAATTCGTCGATGGAGCTGATCTCGACCGGAATGGGAGACTACTCTGTGTTCCAGAACCATTTAGGCATACCATCGCTAAACCTCGGCTTTTCAAACAATAAAGACACAGACCCTGTGCCCTACTTCAACTCCCTGTCTGATTCGCTCGAATGGTACACCCGTCTGGATCCAGACCTCAAATTGCCCAACGTCATGGCGCAATTTGCAGGCCTGTTTGTGCTCCATCTCAGCGAAAAGGAAATTCTCCACGTGAGAACCTACGACTATGTCGCAGCCATACATTCACGCTATAAACACATAATCGACAAGGTGCCATCTTATTGGTTCGACCGCATATGTGACGATGAGTCCAATAAGCGGCTGGGAACAAAAGTTGACGAGATGGAGACTCTTTTCCAGATATTGTTGAAAAAGAGCTCGAGTTTCGACTCCAACCTTACGCTTTTGCAAAAACAAATTCTCCAAGACTACCCGTGGTTCAAGCTACTCACAAAGATCAAGATCGCGATCAAAATCAAGGTGGCTAACTTGAAGGTGCGTTCGCTGGACCGGCTGTTTGTCACGGACCCGGTGCTTATAGACCGCGCGTGGATCCGTCACCTCATATTCGCCCCCTCCCGTGACTCACAGCACGCCTGTGTCCTTGCAGGGCTAGAGGAGCCGCTCCGCTCTGCCGACTACGACACTTTTGCCGCCAACCTCAACATTGTCGGCAACGCTCTAACGAAACTGCAACGCAAACTCTGATGACCGTCGCGTCGATAGACGCAAAATACCTAATTTATAAAGCAATATTTTTCCAAAAATTACCTAGTATACCAACATGTACAAAAGAGCTTTTTCCACTTCCCGTGCCAGCCTAGTCAAGTGCTACTTTGACATCGCGATCAATGGCGAAAAACAGCCTCGTGTGGTGTTCGACCTCTACGACAAGGTTGTTCCAAAGACTGCCGAGAACTTCAGAGCTCTGTGCACCGGCGAGAAGGGCTTTGGATACAAGGACTCCATTTTCCACAGAGTGATTCCGAATTTCATGCTGCAAGGTGGCGATATCACCCACTTCAACGGATATGGGGGCAAGTCCATCTACGGAGGCAAATTTCCAGACGAGAACTTCCAGAAAAAGCACTCCAAACCGGGTCTTCTCTCCATGGCCAATGCCGGTCCTGACACCAATGGATCGCAGTTTTTCATCACCACTGTGCCTTGTCCATGGCTGGACGGCGCCCACGTTGTGTTTGGCGAGGTCGTTGAGGGCTACGACTCCACTGTGAAGAAGATTGAGTCGTTCGGCTCGCAGAGCGGTCGCACCACTGCCGAGATAAAAATCGTCGAGTCGGGCGAACTGAAGGAATAGACGGAACGCTGTATATAGTGGCAAATAGTTTCGTTATCCACTTGAAACTGGCGGAATGATGCCTACCACGTCTCCTGATTGGAGAGCAATGTTTTTACCGAAGGATTCGGTGCATTTGCGCTCGGTCTCCACGTAGTCCTCGTTGACCACGACTCCACAGCAGAAAACGATATATTGAGCGAATTCGGGCGAGTACGAGCGACCGACGTGCTGGATTAGCGTGTTGAGCGTTGCCGGCTCTGCCAACTGTACTGTCTCGTGCGCCACGCCGTTTGTATGTGTTTTTGCGGGCCCGAAATATTCGATAGCAACTGCGACCATACCTTAAAAAAATAATAAATTTCGCAGTACGGTTTCCCAAAGAATACGCTTATTTCTCGCTTTCCTCGTCCATTGCGTCCTCATTCGCGCCCTCCTGCATTTCCTTAAGCAGCTCCTGTCTTCTGGCCTCTTTTTTCTCGCTGTAAACCTGGAACACCGCGTGGGAACTCATAAACACAGACGCCTGCAGCTCGCTGAAGTTCTTAATCGAGCGAAACTGCGTCGCCGTCTTGTCGCAAAGCTTGCTCATATACAGCAGGTTGCGCTGCAGCTCTCCCAGCTGGTGGTTTAGGTGTTGTATCTGTCTTTCTCTGGTGGACATGTTGTTTACGCAAAGAATATTTCCGACGCGTCGCGATTTATTTCGACTCTGCAGAGCAGCAGGTGGTGTCCAGCGACGAGGAGGGGTTTTGCAACGTTGACGAGCTTTGCGTCTGGAAAGAGACCCCGACAACGTCGTCCTGCGTGTCGCCATATCGCGAGGTCGCTGCGTTTCTCAGCTCGAACGCCGTTTGCGAAGGCTCTATATCCATGTAGGCCAGTGGATCCATGGGGAAACACCCGTCTTTTGTGCTGCCTGCTAACATTCTGAGGACGATGACGTGCTTGTGGGTCTTGAACGTGCCGCAGTTCTCCATCTCGAACGACTCGTCAATTCCTGTCAAACATGGACTGTAGGAGGCCTGGAATAAGGGAGAAGCGAACGTTTGGTCGCGGGAGACAAGACTGAGAGATAGGTAGCGTTCCAGAGGCAAGTCGTTCAAATTCTGGGCAAAGACAATCAGCCTTTTCAGTATACGATACAATTGAGAGTTATAGTCCTGGTGGGAGCTGTTTGTGTAGTCGATCTCGAAGAAGTAGGACTCGATAAATGAATTATGGGCTGGGTGGGGTTTGACATAAAAACAGAAAGCGGTGACTTGTCTGGAGACTATTGCTGCAATTACGTTGTCCATCCAGTCGTTGAGTACATCTGCTCTGAGGGAGATGCCCCTTTTGAGAATCTTCACGTTAAGGGAATCTGTTCCGTCAAACACCTTACTGTCATCGAAATGCGCTTGATCAAAAAAGTTGCGAAGATACGCAACACACGATACTGCAAGTGTCACCAGGACAGCTGTCGGGTCATCTGCGTCTGATTGGAGCATTTTCAAAAAAAAGGATTTTTTTGCTACGGGGCCAGGAATTATTTTATATTGACTTGACATTTTTTTAAGTCATTATGATTGCACGGTGGATTATGCCAGCGGCTCGGACAGCGTTCCGCCAGCGGCGATTTGTGTCGACGCCCAAGGAGGTTTTCACAGAGCTCAGCAACGAACAGGACCCCAAAAGAGCGTCAATTTTCGAGTATAGCTGGGGCTCGTGGCTCGAGAACGACATCGTCGAGAAGGAAAAAAGACGCACCCAATTCTCCATCAAGGGGCTCAACGACCTGCTTGCGCAGGTTGTCAAGCCGTTTCAGGGCTCAGTGCTGCTGCCAGTGGCCCATAACGTGAGTGTGCTGAAAGATAATGTCGACCTGGTCAAAACCGGCTTTTCGCACATCAAGCAGATCAGCTCCATTCATGAGGGCAAACATCACCGTATTTACAAGCTGCAATTGGACCACCAAGAAGACGAGCTGGTTCTGAGAGTTCCATACAAGCTGGACTCGGAAGTGTACACTGACCGGCGGATCAAGTCTGAGGCAGCAACCATGGACTTTCTTGACAAAAAACTAGGTCTGAACGTTCCCAGGGTGCTGGCCTACTCCAGCGTGGCAGAGAACCCTGTGGGGATCCCGTTCATGCTGATGGAGTTCAAGAAAGGCGAGCTGTTGATGAGAAACTGGAACCCACTGACTCCCGGTCCTGTGAACGACGAAAAGTCCAAAACGCAGCTAATGAGCGTCATTTCGCCCATTGCCGAGTTCAACAAGAAGGTAACCGATCTTACGTTCACTCATTACGGCTCGTTGTACTTCAAAGAGGACGGATTCGAGCACATTGTTGACGAGCCATATGTCGGGGAAACGCAAGAGTCGCTCAAGAACAGATGGGTGATTGGGCCCACAGTGGAAAAAGCGTACTACAGAAACAAGGACGTCGAGGTTGCCGTGATCGACAAGTTTGTTGGTCCATGGACCGTCGAGCAGCCGCTAAAAATGGTTGCAGACCTTGCTCAGCTGGAACTGGAAAATCTGCAGAAACAAGGCCACGACCAGGCCATTCCGGTGTACAAGAAGCTGGCGCAGGTTGCTGAGAAGCTGTTTGAGGTCGAAAGCAAGACAATCCCCCACATGGACGCTCTGCTTGCTCCGAGACTGGCGTTGCCGGACCTGGACCCCATGAACGTGATTATAGGCGACGAGACCTGGTTTATTGATTTTGAGGGCGCGTGCATCAAACCGTTCCTGCTCACCAGCTATCCGAAGTTTGTGCAGTACAGCGGGCCCAAGATCTTTGATCTGGAGGCCGACGTCGAGGACTTTGACAAGCTGGACGACGTGGCCAAGCAGCAGTACGAGTACATGTTCTACCGGACGAGAAACCAGTTCTACTGGGAGCTGGCACTGAACGAGACTAACAAAGAGCTGCTCGGGGTGATTTCTCCGGCTGTGAAACTTATCAAGAACGCATATCTGAGTGCCTTGGATGCCAAGACAGAGAAGGACTATCTGTATGTGGAAAACGGGCTGGTGGAGCTGTACACAATGTGGCCCCATTACGAGAGCGCTGCCATTGTCAAGGGCCCGAATCCGTTGTCGTTTAGCGAGCAGGAGCTGCAGGCGTACGAGACGGCGTTCCGGGACTATCAGACGGAGCTGTCGTCAATGCCTTTTGCTGCAACAGGCGGCTGGGTGCCACAGGACATGTTTGCGCGGTTGCTGGAGCAGAAGCTGCTTGTTGAGAAAAATGGCAGTTACACGTTCGATCGGGACAAATTATTACAATAGATAAGACTGGAGAAAATTTCTGCAAAATACCATGCCATGTATACGGCATTAAGCAGTTTCGGGGAAGGAGGTGTAATTTTACTGTATTTGAAGCCGGAGGAGCTCGCAGCGAGGGAAGGTGCACTGTTTGCCGTCCCACAAAGGCTACCGACGCCGATCGCCGTCCCCGCACCCTCCTCCGTCCACTTCCGTGGGCCCTGGAACTAGACATGACGTGCGGCATAAAATCCCAAGTATGCAGGATTTTATTTTTTTCTAGGCAGCCCGTATGCACCACGCAAAAAAATACACGGCATTCTGGTTTTTTCACGGCAGCACAAGGCGAATCTCGTCTTGTGCCATAGTCAGCCCAGTTGTTTCTTTTCTGATAAGCTGATAAGACTCCGCACGGTCACATTTAAAGAGCAGCGTTCGCCCTCTGGCATTTCTCTTCAACATGTCGTACACCAAAGAGAACAAGACTGACATTGACACCTCGGTGTCTCCAATCCGCGAGACAGAGATTACCAACTCTGGCTCCAAGGGCTGGTTTGGCGACTTTAAGGACTCCTTTAAGCCGGCTGTCGTCGAAGAGCTCGACCCCAACCTCACCGACATCGAGCGTGCCAACATCCTCAGTGCTCGTTCTCCGTTGCAGAGAAACCTGAGGCCAAGACACATCCAGATGATTGCTCTCGGGGGTTCCATTGGAACAGGTTTGTTTGTCGGTTCCGGAAGCGCCCTGTCTACGGGAGGCCCTGCTTCGCTCCTCATTGCATGGGGATTGGTGGGTATCATGATTTACTGTACTGTCCAGGCCATGGGTGAACTGACTGTCACGTTCCCAGTTTCTGGTTCGTTTGTCCAGTACAACACCAGATTCATTTCTCCGTCCTGGGGTTTCTGCATGGCGTACAACTACGCTCTGCAATGGCTGGTGGTGCTGCCGCTGGAACTGGTGGCTGCCTCGTTGACGATCAAGTTCTGGAACTCTACGGTCAACTCTGCTGCGTGGGTGGCCATTTTCTACGTGGTCATTGTGATTATCAACTTCTTCGGTGTCAGAGGCTACGGTGAGGCCGAGTTTGTCTTCTCCTTCATCAAGGTCATCGCTGTGATCGGCTTCATCATCCTCGGTATCATTCTCAATTGTGGCGGTGGTCCAAAAGGTGGCTACATTGGAGGCAAATACTTCCATGACCCGGGCGCATTTGCGGACGGTTTCAAGGGTCTGTGTGCCGTGTTTGTGACCGCTGCGTTCTCTTTTGCCGGAACCGAGCTCTGCGGACTGGCTGCAGCAGAAACTCACAACCCTAGAAAGTCGCTGCCTTCGGCCATCAAACAGGTGTTCTGGAGAATCACACTCTTCTACATGATCTCTCTCACCATGATTGGTCTGCTCGTGCCATATACCGACGATAGATTGCTCGGTGCGTCCTCTGTCGACGCTACTGCCTCGCCGTTCGTCATTGCCATCAAGAACGGAGGAATCAATGTGCTGCCTTCCATTTTCAACGTGGTCATCATGGTGGCCGTGCTTTCTGTCGGAAACTCCGCCGTGTACGCCTGCTCCAGAACCATCGCCTCGCTTTCCGAGCAGAGCTTTGCTCCAAAGATCTTTGGCTACATCGACAGACGGGGAAGACCTCTCGTGGCCGTCTGCTTCACTCTTGCGTTTGGATTGCTCTGTTTCCTGGCCGCCTCGCCTAAGGAGGGAGAGGTCTTCAACTGGCTGCTGGCTCTTTCTGGATTGTCGTCCGTCTTCACGTGGGGATCCATCTGTTTCTGCCACATCAGATTCAGAAGAGCCCTGGCTGTCAGAGGCAGAGGCACGGACGAGCTCGCGTTCACTGCCCAGGCCGGTGTCATCGGCTCGTACTTTGGTGTTCTTCTCAACGTGCTGATTCTGATTGCACAGTTCTGGATCGCCCTGTTCCCAGTGGGCGGCTCGCCTAACGCGTCAGACTTCTTCCAGGCCTACCTGACCGTGCCGGTGCTGATTGCGTTCTATGTCTTCTACATGGTCTGGAAAAAGACCTTCCTTGTGTACCTGCGCGCACACGAGATCGACGTCGACACCGGAAGAAGAGAGCTCGACCTCGACCTCATCAGACAGGAAATCGCGGAGGAGAAGGCGTACATGGCAACAAAGCCGCTCTTTTACAGAGTCTACAAGTTCTGGTGTTAGGATGCGCGCCTTCTATACCTTATGTAATCTAAATCTTTGCTTGTGTGTTTTTGCCGTGGATAAGGCACTAAAAAAAAAGTGCATTTTTATTCTTTTTGTTTCGCGCCGCACGCCAAAAGAAATTCCGCGCTAGCAAGGTCCTCCGTTCCATCTCAGCCACTATCTACTTTCTGTCTCAGGCACCACCGTCTATCCTACACTAACGCGATATGATGGTACTTTAGGGTTTTCTGCAAACGTCTAGGTCGAATTCCCGCCGTTATCGGCCCACTCTAGCTGCGACCGTTTACCGCGAGGACACTTACTTTATGCAGTAATCAGCCAGTAGATTTTTTTTCATCGCTTGCCTGCAGCCCTCGGCATTGACGTAACCCGATCTCGCAACGTCGAAACGGTGAAGTTGGAGTCATACTTTTTCTTCCACTTCTTTCATGCTCAAAGACACAGAGAAAGGCAACTTGTCCTCGTCCGAGCCGTCCAGGCACTCGGACTCTGCCTCTGGAGCCGTCGAGACGACGACATTCCCCGAGGCAAGCATATGGACTAGGTTCATCGACTCTTTCAAGCCGTTTCCCGTCGCCGAGATCGACCCTAATCTCTCCGAGGTCGAGCGCGCCAACATCATGGCCGCTGCCTCTCCGCTACAAAGATCTCTTAAATCCCGCCATATCCAGATGATTAGTATTGGGGGCGCCATCGGAACAGGGCTGTTTGTTGGTTCTGGCTCCGCGCTCTCCTCAGGCGGCCCCGCCTCTCTTCTTATTGCATACTTTATTGTTGGCATTCTCATCTTCTGCACTGTTCACGCCATGGGTGAGCTGGCTGTCACCTTTCCTGTCTCCGGCTCCTTTTTGCAGTACAACACCCGATTTATTTCTCCCTCGTGGGGCTTTGCGATGGCCTGGAACTACGCCATGCAGTGGATCGTGGTGATGCCGATCGAGCTTGTCGCAGCATCCATTACCATCCAGTACTGGAACGACACCATCAGTCCTGCTGCCTGGGTGGCCATTTTTTACGTGGTGATTGTGTTCATCAACTTTTTCGGAGTCAAGGGCTACGGTGAGGCCGAGTTTGTCTTTTCCTTCATCAAGGTCATCGCCGTGGTGGGTTTTGTTATTTTGTCGATTGTGCTTGTGGCCGGCGGAGGCCCTAAACACGAGGTTATCGGTGCTCGCTACTGGCACGATCCAGGACCTTTCAACCACGGCTTTAAGGGACTGTGTACCGTGTTTGTCACCGGAGCGTTCAGTTTCAGCGGCACAGAACTGGCGGGCCTCACCGCCGCAGAGGCCGCCGACCCAAGAAGAACCCTGCCTAGAGCCACCAAACAGGTGTTTTGGAGAATCACGCTGTTCTACATGTGTTCGCTCACCATGGTTGGCTTTTTGGTCGCTTACAACGACGAAAGACTACTTGGTGCGTCTACCGACGCTGCGTCCTCGCCGTTCGTCATTGCCATCAAGGACAACGGCATCAATGTTCTCCCAAGCATCATGAACGTTGTTGTTCTCGTTGCCGTGCTCTCTGTCGGAAATTCAGGGGTCTACGCCAGCAGTAGAACGCTTGCCTCGCTTGCACAACAGGGCTTTGCACCAAAGATCTTTGGCTACATCGACAGACAAGGAAGACCTCTCGTCGGCATCGTTTGCACGCTCCTTTTTGGCCTGCTCTGTTTCCTGGCTGCGTCGCCTCAGGAGGCCGACATCTTCGCCTGGCTGATGGCTCTGTCCGGTCTCTCGTCCATCTTCACGTGGTGGTCGATCTGTCTGTGCCACGTGAGGTTCAGAAAAGCGCTTGCCGTGAGGGGCAGGGGCACGGACGAGCTCGCCTTTACAAGCGCGGTCGGTGTCTGGGGATCCATGGCTGGCGTGATTTTGAACTTCCTCGTGCTTGTGTCCCAGTTCTGGACAGCGCTGTACCCAACTGGGAAGTCGCCGAACGCGTCAGCGTTTTTCCAGGCGTACCTGACGGTGCCTGTGGTGATTGTGTTCTACTTTTTCCACGCTATCTGGAGAAGGAAGGAATACGTTCTTTTCATCAGATCCAAGGACATCGACATCGACACAGGGCGTCGCGACACCGACCTCGAGATCCTCAAGGCTGAGATTGCCGAGGAAAAAGCCCATCTACGCTCGAAACCGTTCTACTACAGAGTGTACCGGCTCTGGTGTTGAGGTGTGCGAAATTCCCGGATGCAGGGCATGGATATCCGGCACTGTGTCTGCACAGAAAACTAGAAGTGGAGGGGTCTGCAGCCCCGTGTGGACCTCCCGCCACCCAGCCCTAAACCATAGACACTATGCATGCCCATATAGTACGCCTTTTGCAAGCTGACTTCTGTAACTCCTCTTATTGGTCCGCACGTTGTTTTTCGGACCCGGCCCTAAAAAAATTAAGAGTCGTGCAAACGGCAACCCAGAAAATATATTAATTTGTTTCCGTTGTTCCATTTCTGACCCAGTATGCTTTCCATCGCACGCCAATCTATCTCCGCGATTCCAAGACGCCAGCTCGCGGGCGCTGCCCTTGGAGTCAGAAGCCTCGTCACCATCAAGGCCACGCCCGCCGAAGAGCAGGCGATCCTTGTCGCACAGAGAAAGAACAGACCGTCGTCTCCACACCTGCAAATCTACCAACCACAGCTGACGTGGATTCTGTCCTCGTTCCACAGAATCACCGGTGTGGGCCTCGCTGCAGGCTTCTACGCCGTCACCTGCACCTACGCGTTCACAAGCCTCGCTGGCGTGCCTTTCGACTCGGCCACCCTGGTGTCGGTTGTTGCCGGTCTGCCAGTGGCCGCCAAAGTCGGCCTCAAGGCAGCAGCATCGTTTCCCTTTGCATTCCACGTGGCCAACGGGTTCAGACACCTGGTCTGGGATTTTGGCAAAGAACTCTCGCTCAAGGGTGTGTATAGAACCGGATACGTCGTGCTCGGCTTCACCGCCCTGGTCGGAACATACCTCACTTTGCTCTAAATAGTCAATAACATCCATTAAGTTTATTCGTACATCATGAAATCGTTGCCAAACTTGAACTCGTCCGCCGCGGCCGGCGGCTCTAGAGCCAGCAGATCGGCGTCGTCGAACGTGCGACCCATCCACTCGCTCGTCAGGTCGCTAAGCTCGCCGCAAACACAGCTGCCCGAAACCGAACAAACACCGCACGGGTGCAGCTGTTTCTGCGCCTGTTCCTGGCGCTGTTTCTCCAGTAGCAGCTGTTTCTGGCGCATCTGCTCCGCCAGCAACAGTTGCGCCTTCTGGCTCACCTCGTCGGCCTTGCTGTCGGGCTTTTTCTTGCTCCTCGCAGTGCCCAGTAGAATGTCTTTCGACGACACCGCGACCTCTGAAAGCGGGCCGATGCCCACGCCCACCACGCCGGGGCTCTTTCTCTTTGAATCAGCGCTCTTTTTCGCCCGTTTGCTCTCCAGATTGTAGCTGAGATTGATAGGGTCGATCGTCGTGGCCTCGTCCAGTTCCGGCACCGAAGGCGTTCGGCTCATCAGGGCCTCCGTTGCCGCTCCGTCGTTCTTCGCCAGCCTTAGGTTTTCAATCTCCTTATTCAGCTTCACCAGTATCTTCTTCAAATTGTCGTTCTCCTTGGTCACGTTCTGCAGCTGCACTTTCAAATCCAACTGGTTGTTCGTGTAAAGGTTGATGTTTGAGTGTATTTGTGAATTCACCTTCGGCTTTTCTGGTTTCTCGTTCTTCTTCATGGGCTTTGTCTCCGCTACCGCCTTTTGTGCTTTCCCCTTCTTGATTTTCGGCCGGGGGGGAAGAATCCAGTTTTTCGAGGTGGTCAGTACTATCTCCTCCGAGCCCTTGTTGGCCACCATCGACGTACCCTTCGCCATCTGCACAGATTTGGGCGTCCCGCTGGTTCCCTGCGCGCTTGCCTTGGCCATCGGCTTTGGCTTAATAGCTATCGGATGCAAGGGCATCCGCGTGCTAGCCGGTACTTGCTGCTTGTCGTTCACCAAAGGATCCTCTCCGCTATGAGTCATCTTATATCGCAGCCATAGACTTCGTGCCAAATGTGTACGTTTTGTATTACCAACCTGTTTTAACGGTCTTCCGGGACTTCCTTCGATAGTAATTTTTCTTATTTAAGAGCTACTCCTGAATTGGTGTACCTACTCCTCGCACCAGATCACCCACACCCCTGGAGTCAGGCTCTTGCGAGGAATTTCCAGCCGGTGATGTGGATGCGGGCGGTGATCCAGATGGCACAGGCGATTGCTGCCAATATCCCCGTGTAGGCGACAAAGTACTGGTACGATGCGACCGACTGTTTGCCGATGATGGCACCCCCTGCCGTGAGCCCGCCCAAGAACAGCACCCCTATCACAAACGAGAGTGTCGCGTATCTTTTGCCAAAGTCTTTTGTCGGCGAGACGGCTGCACAGCAGGCCGGGGTCAGACTGAGTGCCGAGGAGCTGAAAAAGCCGTAGATCGTCGCAAACGTGTACAGCGAGGCCAGGCTTTTCGACGTCGTAGCGTAGCCGAGCCACAGTGCGAGGTCCGAGAGCGAAATTCCGGCAGACATGACGATCATCACGTTGAATGGCCCGATTTTGTCGGCAATGACGCCCGGGATGAAGCGGCCTATCACGCCCACCGCGTTGACGATGGTCAGCATCGTGTTTCCTTGTGTTTCCGTGTAGCCAATGAAGATGATAAAGGAGGCATAATAAGTCAAAGAGCACACGAGCGACACTTCGGTAAATGCTCCGCCAAGAGTGCAAAATAGAAACTTTGGGTCTTTGAGGGCCTTGAAGTCGATCGACCGCTTGCTCATAAAGTAGACATTCTTGAGCACGAGCTTGAGCTTTTTTCCGAACGGAAGTTGTGTGTCTGCGAACGGCGACTCGGGCCTCAGTCTTTCTTTACTCAGGGTAAACGAGACGACCAGCAGGCCAGAACAGATAAACGCAAGAATTCGCATGGTCCACTTGAAGCCGACTGTCGTGTACAGCTTGTTGAGAATCAGCGGGAACACCACGCCGCCCACGGACCCGCCGAGGGTGGCTATTGCAAATGCACGGGCCCGTTTTTTCATGAAATAGTGCGACACCACTCCTCCAAGCGGCGACATCAAAAACCCGAGCGACGTACCGGAAATGACTCCAAACACGAGCACAAACGCAGCCACCGACTCGCATTCGCCTGTCAGAAAAAGCCCTAAAAAAAGCAGGACGGTCCCAGTAGCCATGGGGATGCGGCTGCCGAACTCGTCAAACAGCACGCCAGAAAAAATGCCGGCAACATAGCTGATGCACAAAAAGATGGAGAAAATAAGCGACGAGATGGAAGACGACACGTTCTGCAACTGGTGATTATTCAAATACGACTGCACCGCTCCAACAGAGTTGATAAGCCCGAAATTGACGGTGAATCCTAGAAATGCGCCAAACAGCACAGTGTATGCCTTGATACCCCCATCGGGATACTCGATTTCGTTCTCATCCACAGACACCGACTCGATGGTCAGCGTACGGTGGCGCAGCTCGATGGTTTCGGAGCCAAAGCGCTCGGAGCTTTGGGTGGTAGGTTTAGTCATAAGATAAAAAAAAAGACGATCGACGCATATGAATAAGCGGACTGGTTGTGTGCCCCGGCAGCGTTGTCCAATGACGGTGCGAAAAAAAAATACACCAGACAGCTTGTTTTCCCTTAACTCCCCTGTCTGACAGCATTAGTGAATCAATATGAAGTTTTTGGGTGTTAAAGTGTACCGTTTCCCGCTGGTGAAGTACTACTGGCCATTTTTCGTCGGATGTAAGTAGCAATTGCACAAGTTCTAACATTGCCAGTTGGCCTGACTTTCTACGGAGTCGCCAAGATCCAGAATGCCATGATGGACACTGCTGAGTTCATTAACGACCCAAGACACCCAAGATTCAAGAAGGGTGACTTGGAGAAGAAATAGAGACATAGAACCGATTTACAGCTATGAATACGATGTCCACTGTTTACTACACATGGTGTTGCTCTTCGGCAGTGTCGAGAGCCTCCTTCAACGTGGCAAGCAGTTCCTGGGTCGGCTCCAGCCCAATGCTTAGTCTCACAAGGTTTCTGTCCACTCCCCATTGCTCAATGACGTCCAGTTCCTGGTAGTGAGCGAGGATCGAGTACGGACATATTAGGGTGAAGTTGGTCCCCAGAGAGGGTCCTTTGGACAGCTTGACATTGTTGAAGAAGCACACTGCGTCGGTCTGTTCCTTGAACACGATCGACATGAGTCCTCCGTAGCCGCCGTCTGGTTTTTTCAGCGCGTCGTAGTGTTTTTTCGACGGCATCGTCGACGGATAGTACACGCTGTCGAGCAACGGCGATTTCTTGAAAAATTCCAGCACTTGCACCGCGTTGTGGTTGATCTTCTTGGACCGCGCCTCGAAGTCTCGGGAGTTTCTTTCCAAGTAAATCGCGTCCTGGTCCCACAAAATATCCTCGAAATTCTCAGCGAGGTAATCCTTAAAAATCTTGTAGTACTTGGAGGCCGGGTTCAGCACCATCGACCCTCCCATCACGTTGGAATCTCCAGAAAAAACCTTGGTCAGCGACGATGTGACAATGTCGCAGTATCTGATAACGTCGATGTTAGTGATGTTCCCCACGGTGTCGTCCACAACAACCGCAAAGTCGTACTTGTCGGCCAGCTTCTTGATCCGAATCAAATCCGGAGTCTTGAGCAGCGGATTCGACGGACACTCGCAGAACAGCGACAGAATAGGCTCTCCATCTTCCAGTCGCTTTTCTAGCGCGTCCAGCGAGTTGTCATCGCCAAACCCATAGAAATGGACGCCGGCCCCCCATTTCTTAAGAATATTCAGGGTGTCGACGTACGGGAACCCGAAACAAACAGATTTTTGGTCTCTTTTCTCCAAAGTCTTGAGCAGCATCTGGTGGGCTAGAAATATTGCATTCATGCCCGAACAGCACAGATACACGTTGTCGTCACCGAGCTGCGGCGAGATATGCGACGCGATTCTGTTTCGCAGGATCGCCTTGGCCACCTTGGCAAACCGCAGGTCCAAGTTCCTACCAAACCGTTCCTCGACAAACGTCGAGTACTCCTGGTTGTTCTGGAGCGACGAGATCGACGACCGCGAGTTTCTGCCCGAGGATGGGTGGCGGCCCTTCGCCGCAGTCGATTCCAGCTTCTCTCCCATCTCGTTCAGGACATACTCGCCGAGCCGCGACGACACGCCCTCGCCGGCGTGCTGCCAGTACGCCTTGGCAAGCGAGAACTCGGATCCAGGGAAAAACACCACTGCGATGTGCGCCTCCACCTTGTAAGATTTTTCCTCGTCCGTCTTAGGGGCCTCCGTGCTGAGCTGAAGAATACGCACGGGGCAGTTGGGCAGCAAGGATTTTGCCCTAATGAACTCCCGGCACCGCTTGGCCACCTGGTACGACGGAAAGATCATCGACTTTTCGTTTTCCTTGGCATAGTTAAGCTCCAGCAGCCGTGAGAGCTCTTTCACTTTACTGTGGATAAAAAACCGCGGGTAGCCCGAATGCATCTGGTTGACGACCCAGTCCTGGCCCTCTTCGTAGCCAACAGTGGCTTCCCACGTGGGCAGCGTCACAGACACGGCGTGTTCGGTGTTGTTGGGGATCGGTGCCCCGATGGTTTGCGAAACAGGCATATTTTTGGAAAAGGTTACGAGCGAATGAGTAATAAAATGTAGGGGGACAGAGCAGGACGGAGCCTCGCAGCCGTACATGAGGCAACGGCCCTGGAGGGCGTTTCTGCACAGGCTAGAGTTCCCAGCCCGCCACGCAGCGTTTTGGGCCCCAAGGCTCAGCCCATCCTCCTGGTCTCCTGCCGACCCCTATTGTGCCATTGCCCTGGCTATTTTTTTTATTTTCTGCTTTTTCGTCCCCCCATGTCCACATGGAAATCCAAACAAAACGTCGGTTTGCCGTTGTACTATAAAGACAAACTTCAGCGAGACTCCTCGACCTGGGACAGGTGCAAGGACGTCTGGCGCGACCGCACACATACACAGAAATTGGCGGCGAAAATCGTACTTTTTCTTATTGGATCATATGCATTTCTGAACACGTTTGTATTCTCCAGAAAGAGCGGCAACGTGTGGCTGGCCCGTCGCAATCAGGTCCGTACGGTGTTTCTTGAGAGCTGGCACGATTACGCGCGTCACGGTTGGGGCAAAGATGTCTACAAGCCGATCTCCCAAACAGGCACCAACATGGGAAAACAGCCTCTGGGGTGGATAATTGTGGACTCGCTGGACACGCTGATGCTGATGAAGTGCGACGAGGAGCTACGCGAGGCCCGCTCGTGGGTCAAGCACGAGCTCGACTACGATTTTGACTACAACGTCAACACCTTCGAGACCACCATCAGAATGCTAGGTGGCCTATTGTCGGCCCACTATCTTAGCGAGGACGACGTGTATCTGGAGCAGGCTGCGCGGCTGGGAAATAAGCTGCTTGGTGCGTTTGGCTCAAAGAAGGGCATTCCGTACGCCTCGGTCAACCTCAAGTCGGGCCAGGGCATCCCCAGCCACGTGGATAGGGGAGCCAGTTCCACGGCAGAGGCCACGAGCGTGCAGTTGGAGTTTAAGTATCTCGCGCAATTGACCGGCGAGGAATTGTACTGGCGTGCGGCCGAACAGGTGATGAAGTCGTTGGACGAGGCAGACCCAACAGACGGCCTGGTGCCGATCTACATCCAGCCAGAAACAGCAAAGTTCCAGGGCAACTTGATCAGACTTGGTTCCCGCGGTGACTCATACTACGAGTATCTTCTCAAACAGTACTTACAGACCAGAGAACCGGTGTATCTCGAAATGTATCTCGAGACCGTTGCAGGTATCCGCAAACACCTTGTGCGCTACTCGAAGCCAAATAATTTGATGTTCATAGGAGAGCTGGAGCGCGGCATTGGCGGCCCGCTGAGCACCAAAATGGACCATTTGGTCTGTTTTGCCGGAGGCATGTTTGCCATGGGGGCCACCGAGGGACTAGACTACGAAACAGCAAGAAGACTGTCGACCTGGACCGACGAAAAAGAACAGCAAATGAACATGGCTAAGGAGCTCACACACACGTGTTACAGGATGTACCACGACGTGCCTGCCACGGGGCTTGCGCCGGAGATTGTGGTCTTCAAAGAGGATGCAAATGCCGACAAGGACTTCTACATCAAGCCTGCAGACAAACACAACCTCCAGCGTCCAGAAACCGTCGAGTCGCTTTATTACTTATACAAGATCACCGGTGATATCAAATACAGGGAATGGGGCTGGGAGATTTTTGAGAACTTTGTCAAGCACACCAAGGTGACGTCCGGGGGCAAGGACAGCAAGCCAAGATACACGAGTCTGGACGACGTAACAGTGAGCCCGCCAAAACTGCGTGACAACATGGAATCATTCTGGCTCAGCGAGACCTTGAAGTACCTGTATTTGTTGTTTGACGACGAGACGGATCCCAAATGGGATCTAGAGAACATAGTTTTCAACACCGAGGCACATCCGTTCCCACGGTATACCAAGGCACCATTTGCCACAGGGTGGAGACGGCAGGGGAAGCTTGAGAGCTTGGAGTCGGAGAAGAAGGAGACTCCAGCGCAGGAGGCAGAGCTTGGAAACGCGGACACAGACCTTGATGTTTCGGAGGCGAAACTCAAAGCTTCTCGCGACAATGAGGCCGTGGCAGAGGCTCTCAAGCAGAAAGGAGAGCTGCCCGTTGCCAAACAGCCTGTGGCCAAGCCGCTGAACGAACAAGTCGACAGTGTCAAGGAAGAGCTTGTGAAGCAGGATGATGTGTAGCTATTGGAACAGTGCTCAAATGTTATTTGGTTTCGGTCTCCACTTTGACCTCAATCTTTTGCTTTTTGACCAATTTGGCGATAGTGGCCTGGCCCTTGGCCCGTTTGGCCGGTTTCTTCTCCTTTTTTTTTCGAATTTGGCCAGTTGCTCTTTTCGCTCCTTTTCGCCCAGTTTTTGCAATTCAATGCTCTTTTCCAGCACCTCCTTGTCGTCCTTCGACTTTCCGACCAGCCATTCCAGCAGCTTAATATCCTCGCCAAACGCAGAGTCGTCTTTTGGCTCTACGGGGACCTCGAGAATGAGCGGGATGCCTTCGAGTCGCGGGTCGTTCGCGAGCAGTCTAAAACACTCGAGCCCCAAAAACCCCCATCCCAGCCGCTGGTGCAAGTCTCTGTTGGCTCCCAACGGAGCCTTGGAGTCGTTGATGTGCAGCGCACTCAGATACTGGAACCCGATCTTGGAGTCGAACTCGTCCCAGAACTTGGTCCATGCTTCTTCGTCGCGCAGGTCGTAGCCGGCTGCAAACGTGTGGCACGTGTCTATGCAGACGCCGACGCGCTCTTTTTTGTCAATCATCGAAATCACCTTCTGTATGTCTTCCAGCTCTCCTCCAACGAGGTTTCCATGGCCCGCCATGTTCTCGATGACTATCTTGACGAAACTGGTCTGCTCGATGGCCTTGTTGATGTTAGCGGCCAGCCGTTTTAGCGACTCCTCGTGGTCGGACCCGAGCGACGAGCCGGGATGGAAATTGTAGTGGCCGATATCCAGCTTCTCGCAGCGCACCAGATCGTCAAGAAAACATTCTAAAGACTGTTGCGCTTTGGCTGGGTCCGGGTTGGCCATGTTGATGAAGTACGAGCCATGCGGCAGCACGTCTGTGCGCGGATTAAAGCCGTGCTCTTTGCAGTACTCCACAAACTTGGACGCGTCCTCATCGCTGAACATCGGCGACACCCACCGTTTCGGGTTTTTGAGGAATAGGGCAAACGAATTGCAGCCGACGTTCATGGCGTTGGTCACAGAGTTGAAAATGCCGCCGCCCATGCCCACATGCGCGCCGAATTTGTGTTTGAAGCCCGTCTCCCGAATAAACTTGAAAGACATTTAATTTAATTCAAACATTTTTCAGCTATTTTTTTTTCCTGATCTGCTTGAGCGGCTCTGCAAACGTCCATGCTGAGTAGCTGCCAATAGAGTGGGCGATATGTATGCGCCGCAGAGCCATGGTGAACATCGTGTTGACTGCCTGCATCGTGTGAAACTTGATGTGCTCCTGCGTGCCTGTCTCGAGCTCGTCGACACCGTAGAACCGCAGTATCGCGTCTGTGTCCTCGAATTCGACCGCGTACTGCTCCGAGCCGTCCTCCGATGATATGTAAACCTTGAAGTCGTCGACTATCACCAGCCGATTCTTTGTATTCTGTGCGAGCAGCGGTACCTGCGAAGGAACATAGCCGATGATCTGTGCTGACACGCGAACAACGTCTGCGTCTGTCGAGTCCAGCTGCGACAGCCGCACTTTTGGATACTCAAAGTACTCCTGCACGGCGTTTGGGGCAGTCACGAGGTTCAGCACCTCGTTGGTGTCGACAAAATTGGGGGTGTGAGGTTTAAGAGGACGAACGGCCCGCTTGCTCTCCTGTATCTCCTTTTCCGAGTTTTCAGGCTCTACTTTTCGCTTGGTTCTCAGCAGCTCCGATAGCTTATACCGCTGTTCCATCGGCTCGCGCAGACTTCGAGGCACATGCTGTTGTATGCGCCTGAGAAAGTCGCGTAGATTCGCGTCGGACGGCAGCTCCTGCTTGATCATGTCGGGCGTGAGCAGCTTCAATCGCGTCTTTTTCATCTCTATTTCGTTTCTGTAGCTGTGAATGTACCCGTCTAGCTGCACCAGGACCATCCGCTCGTACGGCAGATCGCACGGGTTCAGACCGGGGTCTGGGTAGTCTGCTGTCTCACGCAGTTGACCCAGGATTCGTTCGAACTTTTCCTGGTGCATCTCTGCGCCGAGAATCATGGTGTTGGTCGCGATCTGGCCGGACTTGAGTCTGAATCGGTCGTCATAGAGCCCTCTTTTCACGAGATCCATGGACGTGGTGAAATCCATTGCCTCGAGCAGAATGAACTGCGATCGCTCAAGCCGTCGGTAGCTGCATAGCACTGCGTTCAGGGTTTTGTACTGGCCAATAAAAGGCGCGTCTATCAGCAGGTCCTCTATTTTAATAGACATTTAATGTAAATAAATAAAAAAATAAAAAATACTTATCTATGAAATCAAAGACTTTTCAGCCTTCCAGAAAATCCAAGGCGAAAGCCAGTCAGCCAGACTCGGCAGAAAGCCTGTACATCCAGGCCACTGAAGAGGAAGAGTTTGGCGATAGGTGGTTGGGCTCAGACCTCGCCAAGGCTTTGAGGTTCTATCAGAGAGCATACTTTTTGTATCTCGAATCGCTGCGGTTGCAGACGGACTACCTGGACTCAGGATACAACGTGTCACGGCTCCTTTTTTTCGTGTATGATCGATACGTTAAAAACGAAGCTGTTGTATTGGACGAGCTGGAAAATTGTTCGGAAGCGTTGACGGGCACAGCAAGCAGTGTGGTGAGACCGCTGCAACAAATCATCCAGGTGTTCCAGGAGTGGATTCAGATCTCTCAAACAGCCAAAGACTTTCCGTGGGATCTATACTATAACGCTGTGCTGTGCTATCTCGAGTACATGGAGGAGTTAGTGCACAATGGGGATAGTTTCGATGAGCTGGTCTCCTGTGGCCAAGAGTGTCTGGAACTGCTTGGGAAAGTGCTTGAGCACCAAATGAGAGAGCTTGCTGCACTTACAAGTCCCGAGGAAACGCAAGTCGACGCCAAAGAACACGAATACGAAACACAGCAAGAGGCAATAGTTCCACCGACTGTTCTTGAAACCTGTGTCACTGGGTACAAAATCTTTGCGACCTTATATGAAGGGGCCATTTCAGAGGACGAGAGAGGGCTGGTGGAGTCGAAGTTTGCAGATGCCGCGCTTAAACTCGACGAATTCGCGTCTACTCTGGTCAACCAGTACTCTGCTCCCGTCGACGACTCCATTCCGCCGTTGTCTGCTGAAGACCATGAGCAGCTTCGGGTTGCAAGGCTGTGCTATGAGGCTGCAAAAGCCGATACTTTTGACAAGCTACGCGAGCTCTGGCAAGGCTCGAAATCGGTAGAGAAGCTGCTCTTGGAGAACGAGTCCTACAGAACATTTCTGGCGAAAAATGATACCATACCCGCTGCGACGCGCTGGCATGTGCTATCGTCTATCAGCAACCGCTACAAAGAGGCCTTTGAGCTTTTAAAGCAAGAGTACGATCAGCTGAAAAGAACTGCTGCCAATTCACAGCTAGGAAGTAAGATCGTCCAGATGTGCTCTATTTTGATTGAGAGAGCAGACGTGGAGCTGGAACGATCGCAGACAGCAATGGTGGAGGAAAAGACGCAAAATATCCTTGCCACAAATGCTAACAAGCTGCTGAGAAATGCCATTACGTATTCGCAGCAGTCAGGTGGCCTGAGAGAAAGCGTACTTGACAAACTCGCAAGAAGAAAGAAATTGAAGGAGGCGTCCACTCGGCTATGTGTTTTAGAGGGTAAGACGTCGAGGGAGGAGTTGGACAAAATAGTAGGAAGGACGTTCTGGCCTCAGGAATTGCACGAATTGAAGGAACTGGGGATATATAAGGCTGACCTGGGATGGTCATTATAGAGAGTGTATATACGGAAGGATTACCATGCTGATGTGAGACCCGCGGTACTCTGGATTCATTCTTGCTTACGAGAGTCCATCCGGAATTTGATGTTCCGCAGAACGATAATCCAAATAAAAAGGCAATGTGGCCTTGCCCACATCAACGGAAGCTTTTGTGCCTTCTCTGAATTACATCTTTATGGTTCAGGTCTGAGCGTTGAGCGTATTGTTGGCTAGCTCATTGGACCCCGTGGATAATCTTATTGGTGAAACAAATCAAGCGAGATTAGCCGAAAGGTAGCAGGAGTGCATCCGTATAAACGTCAGTGTACTACTCTATTTTTGACGTAAAATTAAATATTTTTTTACTTTGTGGCTATCATGTTCATAGGGAGACAGCTTGAGCCCGCGTTGCCACTTGACTGCTCCAAAAACCAACTTAATTCCGACTACAAGCTGCCTCTAGACGTATTGCCCCAAAAGGTGCTCAATTGTGTCTTCAGGTATCTCGATATACCCGACTTGCGGTCCCTTGCCCGTCTGGGGGACCCCTTCTCGTCGGCAACGAGACCATTCATTTATCGATCCATAGTATACTCAGAGAAAATCAACGAGAGAGTCGACACAAGAATATGCAATTACAACAGATACCTCCATCTAGTGTACACTCTCATCGAGAACCCAGAATGGGCCAAATACGTAAGTCACGTCCGACTGGAAGATCCAATTAGACAGAGGGGCAAAATATGGACTGTCAAACTGCACGAGGTACTTCGTGAAAACGAGTTACGGTTGATGGAAGGTCTGGCCAACAAAACACTGCTTGATTCCTTGGTTTGCCTTGTGGATCTCACAACTAATTTGCACTCGCTGCATGTGCCGACGTTAACCATTAAACAGCTGTCGCTGCTGAATTTGTCGTCCATCCGGGAATTGACGGTTTTGGTAGGCGAAGAAGACAGCATTGACGATTTTGTTGGCATTGATTTGCGAAATCTTAGCCGTTTCTGCCTTCTCTTTGAAAAAGGCACGGATTCACTTCTTAGCAAAATGTCCAGGCATCTACGGGAAATAGGTGTTCTGGAGAAACTGGAAGTTCTCGAGTTGAACTATCGACAACAAGAGTTTAATGAGGTGCTCTCTCCAACCTGGTACGCTTTCTTCCATCCTCATGTCGAGCTTGTTTTACCAAAACTGCGAAAACTGGTCTTGGATCATTGTCAGATCGGTAGCAAACACGAATTTTTTTCCAAACGGCTGATCCAGACCGTTTCGCTTGGTCAATTAGAATCGCTTACGCTTGGTGTTCACGAGTCGTCGCACAAAGGCTCGAAACATGGCTCCGAAACACATCCGACATTTCTAAATCACATAACCTCGCAGTTCCGCAACCTGCGACGCCTCATTCTCAAGCCCTCAGGAAATTGTCTCCTGTGCCAGGTGAGGTCTGTTATAGACTTCTTGAACTGTTATCCGCATTTACACAAGCTGTGTCTTTTCACGAACACGCTGAATTCCATGAATCGTCAGGACCTCGCCACCGCGCTGACAGGCTGCACGCAACTACACAAGCTTGCGCTTTTCGACGAAGCCATCCACATGAAACTGGTCAATCACCTCAAAAGATGGTTTATTTACGAGAATTTGGTCAAGTTCAAAACGTACAACCATTTTGAGTGCGAAATCTTGCAGCAGGTGGAAAATCTGCAATTCGAACGATACGTCAGCACGTCATTTGAGACGTTCAATACGGCCAACTCGAGCCTTATGATACTTTTTTGGCGAACCTTCCTACCACACGTCAAGGCCGACGCTCTGATCAGAGACCTGAGTGCAGACGAATTCAAACTGTACGGCTATAATTTCCGGATCGACCGCAGCCAAAATTTGATCCAGATGTACACCGGTTCTAAATTTGGATACCAAAACCTGCTTTACTACTAGGCAACACTGCAGCTGCGATTTTGCGACATTGCTTTTTTTTTTCCACCCCTGGAATATTGCATCGTGCTGTAACACTAATTGGGAACGAGGCGGTGCGGCGTGACGACAGTCCCGTACTTGCAAAACTTTTTGCCTTTCCCGCTAATCAGCATGTTGAAGATCCAGGTTGTGCTGCTAGTCAGCGCTGGCCTGCTAGTCGGGTCTCTTCTGACACTGCTGCATCCCAAGGTCGAGATCGTCAAGGACAGAAATTTGTACCTGGAAGCTTATTTGCAGAGTCCTGAGTATCTGAACAACACACCGTACTCTATCGGGTCGAATCCTTTCGACGCGGACGTGACTACGAGACGAATCATGGAGGCGTTCCCGTATGTTGCCAACTACAGCGAGCCTATAGAGAAGAACATTCTGCAGATGTGGAAGGTGGGTCCTGAAGACCCAGACTTCCCCTACAGGCCGGAGTTTGAGAGCTGGACAGAGATGAATCCGGGCTACAACCACGTGCACTACACCAACGCGAAGCTTGGTGAGTACGTGCTGGGAGTGTTCAACGAAACGGTGCCGGAGGTGGCCGAGACACTCAAGCAATTTCCCAAGCTAATTTTGGAGTCTGACTTCACGCGTTATGCCTGGATCTTCTTGAACGGGGGCGTGTATGCGGATTTGGACACAGAGTGCACAGAGCCGATCGACAACTGGCCGGACGCGCACGACCGGTCCATCCATGCGCTGATCGCCATGGAGAGCGACTATAACATCCCGGAGTGGGACGAGATGAACACTGGTCGGCTGCAGTTTGAGAACTGGGGCTTCAAGTTCAAGAAACACCATCCGGCGCTGGCAAGAACCATCGCGAACGTGGTGAAGCTGACGTTCAATCAACAGGCATGCCGCAAATTCGAGGACAGGTTCAAGCACATGGGACTGGATAGTTGCCATCCGCTCGGGGTGATCGAGTGGACCGGTCCCGGCGTGTTCACACAGTCGATGGTGGACTTCTTCAACAAGGAGCAGAGGTTGGAGATCAGGGACTTCGACTTCTACCGAACGAAGAAGGAGATTTTCGGGCCAGACACAAACGACTTTGTGAGCTACAGAACCTTCACCGGAATCGAGTCGCCGCTTATTCTGAACGACGTGTGTGTTCTGCCGCCTCGCGGCTTCCAATGCCAGGACGAGATGATCGGTAAGTACTGCTACATGAAGCACAAGTACTACGGAGGATGGAAGAACGAGTGATGTTTGCAGCTGTGTATAAATTATATTTCATTTAGCTTTCTCGCATAGTACAGGGACGCATAGCCCCTGGAGATGGAGTTGTCGTTGTCATATTGGATGCCACCGGTGGCATCGTTGAGGTCCAGCAGGCCGTTGAACGAGATTGGGGGAAGGACGATGGTCGAGTCGATCTGAATAGGCCCCACAGCCATGGAGAAGGTTTTGTACGAGAATTTCGACTTCTTCGGCACCTCAGGCCCGTAGATCGGCATGTCGTGCTTTTCGACGCGGCCGGCACTGTCCTTTTTCGTGGCAGACACCTCGTTCGGGAACAAATACGCGTGTTCCTCCTTGAACACAGAGGATACAAGCCTCCAGTCCTGGGAGTTTAGATATTCAAACAGAACGTCTGTGAACATGGAGGGGCCAGTGAACGAGGCAACAGGCTCGGACGCGGCGTCCAGCGCAGTCAGTCGGTCTTCCCAGTTGGCTGCCTTTATTTTAGCTTTATTTTTCTGCACATAGTCGACGATCCGACCGATCAGCTTTGCCAGGAATGGATGGTGTTTTTTCGCCATGAAAATGTGCGTGCCAAACGTGAGTCGTCTGTTGTAGAGCTCGGCCCAGTTTTCGGCGTTATGGTCTGTCTGGACACCCACCAGCAGCTGGGTGTTGAGCACCCTGGGCTCGAACCAGTGTCTGACCGGCTTGAAGATGTCTGTGTCAATATCTGCGTAAAGACCGCCCTCGCAGTAGATCAGGAGATATTTCAGGAACTCGTGCTGGAGTTTTTCGTGCGGCAGCAAGTCCAGCGCCCGGAGCACCTCCGGTTCCTTTTCAAAACATACTTCGACCCTTTTTCTTACGGCAAGCGTACCAAGAAATCGGTGGGCATAGTCCGGGGCGTTGATGTCTCGCCAGCGATTGACAAATGGCTTCAGGTTGTCAGGAACAAGCTCTCCACGTTCCCAAAACTGCCAGATGGTCCGCTCCGTAGCCCCATCGGAAAATGGGTGGTGCAGAAGCAGCTTGTGCTCTGTGGAAGCCAGCAGATCGACCGGCTTCGGGGCGGCCTTGAAGTACTGGGACGGCACCAGCACGATGAGCACAAACGATATCACAGACAGAACTAGCGGCTTGGCCACAAACATGGTTTTTGAAGGAGAGGACAATATTTTTACAAAAGCCTACTTTGCAGATCGTACAGCGCACCAGCTGCATATTCCAGCAACAATAGAAAAAGCCCAGGGGAAGCAAAGTTAAAAAAAGTTTCTACAATACTTTTGTCGTATGAGAATCTCCCGACTGCACTCGAAAGTCGCCATAGCGGGCGTGGTGTTGTCAGTGATTCTACTGTTGCAGCTGGGTGCCTTCTACAGCAGAACGGCCCCGGTGGTGCCCAAGGTGTCTGCGGAGCCTCTGCACGATATCACTCCCAAACGTGGCTTGACTCCGGCTGATTTGGAGGTAATCAAGAAGCTGGAGGCCCTGCGCTTCAGAAAAGACCAGCAGAGGCTCGCAGACGACCAGCAGCTGGATGTTTTGCGTGTGTTTGCTGCCCAGGAAAAGGAGCTGGAGGACCGGTATCAGGCCTCGTTGCGCGTGTACGAGGAGTTGGCGCAGCAGAAGCCCAACATCATCAAAATCTACTACACGAGAAAGGACATGCGCCACGGCTCGTCCACGGTGTTCCGCAGGCTGATGGAGTCGTTTTTGGAGGTGATTGATAAAAACAGCGTGGTTCTGCAGAGCCACGATTTGGGACTGGAGTGCAGCACGCACGCTCCCGAATTTTCTGTTTTGGACATAAAATACTCCAATTCATCGCTCAGGAGCCTCTCCCATGCACACAAACAGGTTGCGGATGCCATTCCGGGCGGCAACCCATTCCCAGACCTGTACAACCACAACGGCTACGTGATGCTGGGCGGAGGATACCGCACGTGGGCGTCTCTGCTGAGCATCAAGGCACTGAGACGCACAGGCAGCACACTTCCCGTGGAGGTGTTTCTGCGCAGAAAGAGCGACTACAGCCAGGCCATGTGCGAAAACGTGTTCCCGTCGCTAAATGCCGAGTGTGTTGTGCTTTCTGATAGGTATGGCGACAAGATGTCCCAAAGACTGGAGTCCCTGGAGGACAAGTCTCTGGTGCCGTTTTTGCTGCTGGCGTCGTCCTACCAAAAGGTTTTCTGGATGGACTCGAACGTGTTTGCTGCGGTGTCGCCCGATGACATGTTTGAGAGCTGGCTGGGAACTCAGTATGGATTTTTCAGCTGGAGCAGCAAGTACGTCTCCACGCTGAATCCTGCATACTACGACGTGGTAAGGCTGAAACCACGGACGCCAGAGTACACGATGGACGAAAGTGCGTTTTTGCTCGACAAACAGCAAAACTTTGAGAACCTGATGCTGGCCGCATACTACGAGCTGGAGGGCGAAAATAGCTACCACCAGCTGTTCGGACAGGCGAAATGCGGAGCGGGAAAACACGACTCGCTGACTTATGCAACGCTTTTCTGCGACAGGCGAGAATTCAGATCGCAGCTTCTCGATGACATGGGTGGGCTGCAGTTGCAACGGGATCCGATCGGAGAATTTGAGAACAAGTTTGAGGAGTACACGCCGGTTCGTCCTCTGTTATACGAGGTCGACCCTGCCAGACTAAACCCGGAGAAGCTGACGACTCCGGGCCGGATCTTTGGTAGCCACAATCTCACGTACGACCTGGACATGCTCGTGTTGGAGACGATGGATTTGTATGTGTGCCACGCAAACGACCACATTTTCAAGAACGTGGGCACGTTCTGCAACGACTACGTGGAGCAACAGCGCAGATATCTCGTTGATCACGAGATTGCAACTGTCGACTCCAGCCCGCGCGGATTGGTGAACCGTCCGGACGACACCTCGGACGAGGTCAAGGATAGGGCGAACGCGGAGGTGATTTCAAAGTTGGTGGGGGTGGACAGGTTACCAGAGTGGGAATAGATAAGTTATTTATAGAGCAGTGTCTGAGAGACCAATAGAATAGTTCAAGTGTCGAATAAAAAAAATAGCTTCATTGAGCATAATACGTCTGTAGAATGATTTTCTTATGTACAGGAAAATGCTATTTACCATTTTTCTTATTCACCTTTTCACCCTTCTCTCTCGCCTGTGGAGCTTTGTCGGCGTTGAGGATCTTCTTTATATCCTCGACCATCAGCTGACTAGCAGCCTTGGTCCGCCAGCCAAACCCGTGCTCCTTCTTCAGCTGTGCATCTTTCTCTCTCTTCTTTCGCAGCAGATCGCCGTACATCTCGTCTATTTTCTTGCTTCTCTCGACGTAATCGATCGTGTCGTCGCTGAAGAGCAGGTCGAAAACACGTCCGTCGCCCCAAAAGAACCCTTTTCTGTCGATGAGCCATGGCGCCCGAGAGCCCTTCTGGTTCAGCCAGAAAATGAAAATAGAGTCTCCCGTGCCGTAGAAGCCGTCTCCCGTGTACACCTTGGCAAACTTGTTTTTGCGCAGATGGGACAGAGGCATCGTGTGGACCGGCGTAGGCTTGTAGGGAAGCACAGGGTGCGAGGTGAACCTAACAAACGGCTCTTTGAGATCCCCGCCAGGAAGATACCACATTCTGCGGACCAGTCGCGACGGAGCAAGCGCGAAACCCACGCCACACAGCGCCGTGAGGATTCCTGCTGCCGCAACGATCGACAAGTGCATGCCCAAACGCAAATTGTTGTGCAGATCACTCAGGTTGTTCTCGTTTTCCTCGTATATGTTCATGGCCATTTCGTGGCCTATCGACAGGACGTTGATGCCGTAGATAAGGAACACGAGACCGAAACAGTAGCAGAAGACAAAATACAGTCTGTGGTTTTCGCTCTCGTATATGAGCTCCGGCTCTTTTGAACGCTTCAGCTGCGCAACCATCTTGGCCAACGGATACTTTGAGGGCTCTGGGGCATTGGGATGGGGCAACAGAGACGGCATGGCCTCCTTCTCGAGTTTCAGCGAGCGAGGAAGTCTATCTGATAGGTTATTTGTTTGTTTTGCTTGTCCAGGGATTCTAGCCGCGATTGTTTTTTCCAGGTCCGGAGGTATGCTGTACATCCTGAGCAGCACGCTTGGCCGCAAAACATGGCCCAAAGTTTGTCGCAAAACAATATTTCTGTGTATTCCAACAAGTAGCATGAGGAGAAAAATAATTGACTGATTTATTTTTCATGTCTTCGCACAAGATAATCAATACTACCAAGACGTCCGATCGCCGTGCCGCGGCCGGCACAAAAGCCACGCGATACCTCCACACAAATCAGGAGCTAGGCATTGCCGACGACAAGAAGATTGACAAATCATTCCAGTTGCTTCAGGAGATAAAACAGAACTCGAAGTCGGATTGGGACCCTTCGCACTTTCGACTGTTTGTTGGCAATATTGGCCAAGATGTTGACGAGGAGCTTCTACTGCGCTCTCTAATAAAGTATCCTTCGGTCTCAAAAGTGCAAATCCCCAAAGACCACAGGAAGGGCGAGAATAAGGGCTACGGGTTTGTTTCGTTCAGTGATCCAGACGACTATATTCGGTGCTTCAAGGAGATGAATGGTAAGTACATTGGATCGAAGCCGGTCGAGCTTAAGAAGGCAAAAAGCAAGGAGCCGGCGACAAAGAAAAATAGGAAAAGGTAAGTGGAGTCCCGCATGGAAGATGTGGAATCTCAGGAAGCACAATATTTTTTTTTATTTACCAATTTTACACTATCGGTACGCGCATGGACGTCTTGGAAAAAGGCCTGCAATTATTTGAAAGAGGCAAGTACCAAGAGGCCCATTGCGTGCTTTCCAAAGCAGTTGACCTTGCACAGGAGGAGCTGAAGAAAGGACAAGCCCAATGGCGCAGTAAGCTGGGATTACTGCTTGATTCGCGTGCAGCGTGCAATCAAAAGCTGGGTGACCTGGACGCGGCTTTGCAAGACGCGCGCCAGCAGATGGCCCTTGAGCCGTACAAGTGCAAAAGCTATTTGCGGGCGTCGAAAATACACGTTCTGGCCGGCCGCGACAAGGACGCATTGGACGTGCTGGAGACTGGTGTTCGTCGTTTGGAGCGGGGAAAGACCAAGTATGGAAGCCGGCTTCAGATCAACGAGCGCTTATTTACTAAGATGACGGCAGAAATCGAGGAGCTTCGACAGAAAACCTTTTCCGACCCGCGTGCAAAGCGAAGGAGAGTCAAGTCTTACGATCCGTTGGATTACCTGCCTTTCGAGCTCCAGGCCACGATTTTCTCGCATCTGGACCAGCCAAGCTTGATGAACTGTCTACTGGTGAGCCGTAGATGGAAACAAACGCTTGAAAATTTGCCGACACTGCTGCACAGTCCGGTCCTGAAACGGCACTTATCTCTCAAAGAATTTGTAAAGTTTCTCAACTTCTGCAGGACACGCCGGTGTCGATCGTTCGAGAACTTGTCGCTTTCTCCGCGTGTGGTGGAAGAATCCAGCATGCTCAAGCAGCTGTTGTCGAGCGGTTTTCAGGTGAAGAGACTCAATCTGAGTTTAGCTAAATACGACAATTTCGAGCTAGCTAAACTTCTCAGCAGCATTGCAACAGGCCGCAAACTGTTTGCTGGGCTGGAAGAATTATCTCTCTCCTTGCCTGTCGTGGAGAACGGAGCTGGTTTGACGGAGCTGCTTGGCTTTTTGGGGCCGAACATAACCAAATTGAACATAGTTATCACCGACTTGGTGGTCTCGAAGCTGGTCCGACGAGAGCCCAGCAAAGTTGATTTGCCACGACTTAGCAGGATGGTCATCATGGCGTATCCCAAGCTGCACGAGAAGCTGAACAGACGTCTGATGCGTGTGCTATTTGAGAATTTCACAATCGACAATGTGCAAAGTCTCCACTTAATTAATTGCGATATGGAAGCTGTCACCATGGAAAAAGTGTTGCAAGGCCTCGAAAAGTTGGAACATTTTTCTGCAGATTCCTGTGGAGCGCTGATCTTGGGAGACTACCTGAGATTTCTGTCCAGGAATGGGGTACCTCTGGAAAGTCTTGCTGTCCGGGAGAGCGCGCTCCCGCGGCCCTCGAGCTCAGTCTCGGACATTGATCTTCGATTTTTATGGCGACTGAAATCGCTAAGTTTGGAAAACACCTCGCTCAATTTCCAGCAGCTGTTCCTCCTCCTGCAGAGCACAAATCACCAACTACGACACCTTAAGCTCAAGGCCAACTACAAGCTTATTTTCATGCGCAGTGCATTTGACATTGGCATCCCGAGTGCAACCACGCTTCCAGTAAATTTCCGTGAATTTCTGCAATGCGTGCCAAAACTGGAGTCTTTGGCACTGATCCAGTGCACCAATCTCACCGACTCGGCCTTACGAAGCCTGTCAGCCGAAATGGTGAACACCTCGTGCCCAAAGGGACTGAAGCTGCTAGATCTTTCTGCCAACGAGGTGAGCGGCGTGGGCATCATTGACCTGTTTCAGAGACCCAAAAGCTGGCTCCGCCTAGACCAGCTTCTGGCCCACGGATGCGATTTGCATCCTGACACCCTCTCACTTCTTGTTCGCCGCGGCTATTGTGGGCAGATACAGAGTTTAGCCTAGTGGACGTGCAACCTTGATTAAACCCTCATAACCAATAGAGGTACGTTACGTTTTGTACGCTTGCATGAGTATTTGCATAGTTAAATCCAATATTTTGAGAACCCGGTGATCTAAGGCGCGCACCCCTCGCGTGTTCGTTGCTGGTAGCAAGCATGGCTGTTGGAATATCATGTAGCGTTTTCCGAGGCAGCTATTCCTTTCAGAGACATCGCTGAAGTGGCCTGGTGAAGTGGCCTGGCTGTTTAGAGGACATCAAAACCGAAGAAACTGATTACTGACTTCAGTATTTCAATAGCCTGAAACTTGGGCTTGGGCCAGTCACCGAAATGCACTGATTTTATTCTACTATACACTTGAAAATTGAAAAAGACTAGATGGACGGCTGCCCTGTGCCATAGATGCCTCGTTTGGGAATCGATCTGTTCATGTCAGATTACGATACGTGACAACACTTCAGATAGCAAGCTTGAAATCGAAAGCGGTCTATGCAATATTAATGAGTTGACGTAGATGAAGTCAATATGGCCGACTCCTCAGTATTAGGCGTGGCTCCTAGCGCAGGGAGTCCAAAATGCAACGATGGCTGCGGAAGATCATTTGCGTTCCGTATTATCCTCGCTCCCTTGATCATGGCTCTGTTCAACGTCGGTCGGTTTTTGCGGCTCTTTCTTTTCGGCCACGCCCTGCAGTCCGCGATCTCTAATCAAAAACCCTAATAGAAAACAGGTTCCTATCAGCGGGATAAAGAAAACAAACACTGTGTGCAGTCCGTGGTAAGTAATGTCGCGCAACTTGGATTGGATCTCAGGACTGTACGCCGTCAAATCTATGGCGAAAATGTGTTTGCTCAACTCTTTGATCTCTTGGCTGGTCAATCCGATATTCGAGGAGCGGAGCTTGTTGCGGAACTGGTTGGACATTATTGCCGAGCAAGAAGCCATTCCAACGGCTGCCCCGACGGAACGGTTGAAATTTCTGGTTGCAATCACCACTGCTCTGTCGGGCAAGCGCGTATGTGCCTGTAGCGCAATGATGGTGGGCTGGAACACAAAGCCGACTCCGAGTCCCTGGACTAACACAATGAAACAGATCCCCACCATTGGGACGGATTTGGTGAAAAGCCCAAACTCCAAACACAGGCCCAGCAGCCAGAGTCCAAAGCCTGGAATAATAATAAAGTTATAATGCTGGAAACGGGAAATCAAGATTCCAGAGACCGTACTGCTGAGCGCCTGAACAACCACCATCGGAAGCAACAGACACGCGGACTGGTAGGGGCTCCATCTTCGCACCAGCTGGAAGTACAGCGGCATGAAGTACATGTTAGCGAAGAACACCATGCCGAATAGGAAGTTTTGCGTCATCATAATTGCAACGCTTGGCGTTTTGTACACTCTGAGAGGCATCATTGGCAAACGGGAGATCTTCCACTGTGTGAACAGAAATATCAGGAAGAACACTCCGCCAATGGTGAGCAGACTGATCACCAGCGGAGAGTCCCACTCGTATGTGTTTCCGCCGCCAGAAATAGCAACTAAAAACAAAATGATGCCAATGGAGCTTGTGAAAAAGCCGTAGTAGTCGATGTTCTTGAAATTCGCCCATTTGATCTTGAATTCTGGGGGCGACGGCACAAACACGGCACTAACCACGGCTATAACTGCGGTGAGCGGACACAGAAAGTAGAAATTTCCGTGCCAGCTGACACTGTGTGCGAAACCACTAGCGACAAACGGACCTAGAGCATTTCCGAGCCCCACACAAGATCCCAGGATCCCCTGGTACTTGCCACGCTGCTGCAAGGTCACCAGATCGCTCACCAAAATCATGCTCAAGGAAGTGATGCCTCCGTTGGCTACTCCGGCAAATCCCCGAAAAACATACAATTGCGTGGCTGTGCGGCAAAAACAGGTCGCCAACTGACTCAGGCTGAGAAGACACAGACAGAACACCAGCAGGACTTTGCGGCTGAAGATGTCTGACAGTCGTCCTGACAAGATTTGGAATGAGGTTTGCCCGATCATGAGCGAGGTGCCCGCCCAGGAAACCGTTGCTTGAGCATTTAGGGCATCGGCGATTTCAGGTAGGATAACGGAAATCGATGTTTGGTCTAAAAACGAAGCCAGCAAGCCAACTGACAACGCCGAAAAGGCTATCATCAGCTTGTGAAAAGGAAGCCGGTAGACTTGGTTCTGGAGGGCGACTTTGTCACTCATCTCTGCATGGGATTGATTCGAGGGGTAGAGGCGCTTTTATATGATAAAATCTCGCATGCAACTTTTTCCGCGGAACCATTCCGCACTACAAAATCGGTGCGCCCAACTACCTTAGTGCCTGTACGATTCAGGGGTTAAAAGAACATTTAGGCACAACTGACGCTCCTGAAGCCCGTGACACCACACGCTTAAGCCATGCGTGACAGAACTTACTGCTACTCGGTCCTGCAAATCCGAATTCCAGACGTTTTAGTAAGCCATACATCCAGCACGGTACTTATTCGGGCATGGGCCCAGGGCTCGGTGTTTAGAATTGCAAGTTCACGTTGACCATGTCTTTCAGGTTATCCATGGTAGCCAGTCTCACCATGGCTTTATTATCTTGTGTCATTAGCTAATCAGGAAAAAAATATTGAAAATTTTTTGTAGGCAAATAACACTATCAGACAAACTTGCATTGTGCGCTTTAATGCAAAACATGATGTCTGTACAGAATGCACCACTCATTGACGAGACGCTTAAGCGAAGGTACTCGGACAATGAAGATGTCAAGCGGCGAAAGCTTGATGTGAGCGAGGAGCACGGTTCTCAAGTACAGGAGGAACATGCCTCAGATCCAGACTTCTCGGGCAAGGTGTATAGTTCGCTGGTCCGTTCCGCCCTCGACAGGATGGAAAAGGTAAGTATTGTGACATTTACATTGTTCCACTAACTTCAGGACGATTACTCTGCTATCGACGCATTGGCTGCACAGCTCGCACTGCCTCGAAGCAATGCCGAGTCGATCTCGTCAGAGAAGCTGGTGCAAATGCTACGTGTTCTGACTGGAGAGGTCACGAGACTCGACAACAAGGCCAGCGTCGCGCTTGTGCAGGCACTCCTTAAAATCGACTGGTTTGAGTACGAGAGCGACGACTTCTCCAGGGCATACTCCACCTTTCTGTCTGTACTCGTATCTGGAATACCGAAGTGGTGGAACGAGGTCGCCACGATGCTTGTTGGTGATTTTACCCGCAGAGAGCAGCTCGACTCGCACCATAGTACGCTCAAATATATTATTCAGGTGATTCCGACATCGACGAACGCCATTCCGGGTATTTTGAAGCGCCAGTTCCCCAATAAGACTGCTCCCAAGGCCGATTTGGTGAACTATGTGCGCAATCTCCTTTTTCTGCTGGGCTACTGCGACCAGGTGCGCCACGCAGTTTGGCAGCTGATCGTTGAGAACTGCATCAAATTGGACGTGGAGCTACAGAACGAGCTCGAGGAGCTGGACGACGAGGATTTGGAAGAGGCCTTGAACAGCGACGAGGAGGAGGACGACGCAGACGACGCGGACGACGCGGACGAGCTCAGCGACGAAGACGAGTTTCTGGACGAGGAAGAGTTCCAGGTCGAGATACACAAGGTGAGCAATCTGTCGTCGAAGCTGGATAGCGTGATGCGCCTGCTGATGGACTCCACGGCGCCCGTTTTCAAACAGGACCTGTCTGCGGGCATTGCTCTGTTCAATACGCTGGCCACGCTCTTCAAGTCGCATGTTCTTCCAACACATTATACCCGATGCATCCAATATCTCATGTTCTATGTTGCGCAGCAGCATCCGGACCTCACAGACTCGTTTCTTGTGATGTTGATCGATATCGTCTTCAACGTCAACGAGATCGGCTCCAACAGAGTCAAGGCCATGCAATACGTGTCGTCGTTCATTGCCAGGGCCAAAAGTCTCTCAAAACAGCAGCTGGTGTTTGTGATCAAATACCTCACGTCGTGGTGCTCTGTTTTCGTAGCAGAGCGCGAAAATGAAATTTCTAACGGCCACGGCGGCATGGAAAGGTTCAAAATCCTCTACTGCGTGTTTCAGGGTCTGCTGTACATCTTCTGTTTCCGCCACAGAGAGCTCAAGAACGAGAAGGACGAGTGGGAGCTGAATCTTGACAAATTCTTCAACAAGCTCATTATCTCGGGCTTCAACCCACTCAAGTACTGCAACGAGACCGTTGTGCTGATTTTCGCGCGGCTTGCACAGCAGGTCGACCTCTGCTACTGTTTCTCGATCATCGAACGCAACAAAAGAGAGAGACTCAACGGAATCAAAAACATGCAGGCCGGCTCCGTTTTTGAGAGCAAGCAAGAATTCCTCGACCTCGAAGCTTACTTCCCGTTCGACCCGCTTATTCTCAAACGCTCTAAAGAGCTTGTTGAGGAGCATTATGTTGAATGGGAAAGCATAGACGACAGCGAGAGTGAATAACGTGAATAATTAGTACGTACACTAAATCATTAATTATATCATTAATCTTCGTATGTTGGTCACCTTCCACTCTTTTGCCGACTGGCTGTATTTGCAACCAACCAGACGTTTGCCCGTTATCGGGCACTTGCCGCCATTTTCGTCGCCCTCGCGCAGAAACGTGTAGATGCATTTGTAGCAGAAAACGTAACCCGTCTCGATCACTGCCGGGTTGTGGATTTCCTCCAGGCAGAGCGGACAATTTGGCGATTTCGTCACCATTCTGCTGCGCATCTTGCGCAAAGCGGCAACCTTGCTGTTCAGCAGCGGCGGCACCTGTGGCGTTCTTTCGGTGACGGTGTGCGTCTTGAAATTTTTTTTCACGTCAGACGTGTTCCACCACTCGAGGAATTTGAGCAGGAAAATCGACACGGGGAGAACAGACTCTGAGCCAAAGAGCAGCGACTTTTTAAGCGGATATGCCACTTGCGAGTAAGCGGCAACCACCGATTCTGAGAGCGAGATCGGCCTTATGCGACTGGATTTGGGCTCTGTGGACACGCCTTGGAGGTATGCCGCTGTACGGTCCTCTGCCAGCTTGTAGTCGAACTGGTTGAGCCTGGAGTACTGGATTTTGAACAGGTATTGGAGCACACTTGCGGACTTGAACTTGCCCGATAAATACAACACTTTGAACACGATGTTGGCCAACTTTAATACCGTTGATATCGCAGGATATAGCTTGAGAAACCAGTATTTGGCCAGATCCTTCTTGCTCTCGTCAGGTTTCAGTCTCTGCATGAGATATTCTGGCAACAAGCTGTCGTAGAGCTGATCAAGCTTCTCCTTCAAGAACGGGACCAAAACAACCTCAGCGAGCGAGACACCCACCTGGCTCCGTGTGAGCCGTTTCAAAGTTTCGTATTTAGTCAGCTGCCCCGCAGCCGTGGTTTCGAGTGTTAGGTCCAGGTGATTGCACCGTTTGAGCCCGTAAAACTTCTCAATAAATGTAGAGTTCCAATTGCGCAGAAAGGAGTACTCCACCAGTCCTCTGATTGCAAGATTCAGTTCATCGAAGTGGTTTAGGATCCTGATAAGATAGCGGGGGTATCTATTGGCGTAGTGGACCAGAACAAACCGGATACTTGGAGAAAGCAGGTTTTCCAGCTCCTTGGCGCTGATCACCTCAAACAGAGTTGGGGTGTTTCTGTCCAAGGAGCGGGAGTCCAAATTGGAGTAAAAGTCCATAGCCGGTAAATAAGCGAAAAATAATAATTTGTATTAAAATAATAAAATAATTATTTATTTACCATGACCGACAGACTCACGCAGTTGCAGATCTGTCTCGATCAGCTTTCGGACATGTTTTTTGCTTCGCTATCGTACGTTGACCAGAACCACGCTGCAGTGCGATTGACGGAGGGAGATGAGATGCTGCCGGACCCAGATCACAATCCCCCATCGGAAACAGAATTCAAGGCGAATCTGAGAGAACTGACGTCGGATATAATACTAAAGACAAAGCAAATTCTCACAATAATAGACACTCTTCCGGGGGTGGGTGTGAGCAAGGACGAGCAGCTGAAAAGAATAGAAAATCTGTCTCAGGAGCTGGCCGAAGTAGAGAGATTAAAGACACAGACATTGCGGAGAAAAGAGGAACTCGGGAGCATAGTGGACGACCTGATAGTACAGGCGAGCGAAGGAATAGCGCAGACTAGAGACTGAATGCTTACAAAGATCTATATGCTATCACTAGACAGGATATCAGCACGGCGAGTGCACTGTCCACCTGAAGATAATTGAGCCACTGGCAAAAGAGCAGGAGGCCAAAGTACAGCGCAAAAAGATAGTTTTCCGGGCCGCATTTGTGGCGCGACATCAAGAAGGGAACAAAGTGGATCACAAAGCCAAACAGGAAATCCGTGGCATGATGGTCGAATTCGATGGCATCCGGTAGCCATTTTGCAGGCTTGTATGGATTGGTGGTGACCAGTTGCAGTATCTTGAAAATGGCAAAGCCGATAACAACCATTATCGCAGGCCAATAAACCACTGGGTTGCCTGTCGACCAGATCTCCTCGTTGCCGTCTTTCCAAAGAAGAGTTTTCGTTTCCAAAAACGGCCATTGCAGCGGTTTCAAGTCCTGGAGCTGCCACTTTGGCAGTTTTGCATTGAGTCGTCTCATGTGCACGTGCAATTCCTCCAGCTTGTTCCAGAATGTGAGGTTCTTATACTCCACGGGCGTTCCTTCCAGTTTTGGATGGATGTTTCTGTCGAAGTACCACAGAGACCGTATATAATCTGGTTTCTCGATACAAATGACCTCGTCGTGTCCTTCTGCCCATTTTGGCAATGCGTTCTCGGTGGCCATCACAAAACACTTATTTTTCAAGTTGAATATCTGGAACACGGACTCAACGGCTCTAAACCGCTTCGAACCGATCTCTGTGGAATACTCGACCGCTGGACGGAGCTCAAAGTTGAGCCAATTCTCTCCGGTCCACGACAGGTTGCCAATCGTGCCGACTTCTTTGTTGTAGTCTGTCTCTGAAAGCGGCGGCTTTTCATCTGCGTTGATGTATAGATATCTTTGGGTAGCGTTGTGGAACAGGCGGATCTGCCTGCCTGTCTCAATGAATTTTGCTTTGCGCACGAGCTCGCCCATGCTGGCTTTCACTCGCTGCTCAACAAACCACAGGTTTTCGTCAGAGTCGGTTTCTGAGGCAGTGACCCGCTGGTTGCCCGATTTCGGGTAGTTGCTGCTCTCAGAGTGCAGATATTTGCCCGTGTACAAGCTGCGCAGCGAGACTGAGGAGCCGTAGGAAATGTCCGCGATGCGGGGCGAGGAAGAATTCAGAGAGTGCTGGAAGTGAGGCGATAGCGACAAAGCCTCGGGGCCAGGGTTTGGTAGCAAGCGCAAATGCACTGCAAACACACAAGCGTAGATCAACACTGGAATTATCAGCCATAGCTTAGCTCTGATCAGTGCGTTCTTGACTATAGTTCTTGGTTTTATGGTCAGATCGCCGACCTCAAGCCATATACTTCTGACGAAAACCACCGCCATCCACGCAGCGGTGGCCAGTCCTATCCAGTTGGAGGCCACCAGACAGCCTAATGCAATCGAGCTGCCCAAAAGCGCTGCAACCTTGCGTTTTCTGCTAGGCCTCGCGTCCAGAGTCTTGGTCATGGCTATGGCCAGACTGAAGAAAAACAGCGTCTGCGAGATCCCGGTGGCCAGTCTGGACTCCTGCACAAACGAGTTGTCGAAGGCCACCAAAAGAGCGCCAGAAAGTGCGATCTTGTGACTGACCCGACACGCTTGCAAAGTTTTGTACGTGAGGAGCACGGTAGCTGTTCCGAAAAGTGCGCTCAGCGATCGAAGAAGAGACCATGATACACTCCCGCCTCCAAGAAACACAACAGCCGTGTATATGAGGCCTGGAAGCGGCGGGTCAGGAGCGATGAAAAAACTGCCCGACTGGTAGTTTAGCACAGCGTCGTGAATTTTGGACTCCTCGGGAACCAGGACCTGAGGAGAGCCAATATTGTACAGTCGTAGGCCCAATGCCAGTGCTGCAACGGCCACCAGTTGTATTCGGTATTTTTTGGGCATATCCATTGTCACGGATTTGGGGCTGTAGTATTGCCTCACCGGGCCGTTTAAACAGGACATGAGTTAAAATATTTAAACTATCGGACAGTTAGAAAAATATTGGCAGAAAAAACTAAATGAATAATAATAATAATAATAATATGTCAAGCTTACGCTATCGTTCTACCTGGCGAGGGACTGCTGAGTCTATTTTTACGACGCGTAGAGTCGAGTCAACAGTTGGGTCTATTTTCTGCTTATCCAAGGACTGCCAAATGATAAATACATGTATCTCTTTTCTTCGGGTTGCAGTCCCCATATTCAGCCTAAAAAATGAGGGCTGGAATACATTAGTCGTAGTGAGAACAGTGTAGAAGCTACAGCCTTACGTAGCTGCTGTGATAGAAATTCTCATCTGTACTGGGTGTTCCTGGAACGTTGGCTTCGAATAAAACCCAAACCTGAATAGTAGCTTAGATAATAGCTGCCACAGATTTGTGCTTTTAATTAATTTATTAATTTATTTTATTGTAATATTAAAAATAATTTAATATAAATGGCAAGACCAGAATATGGGACAGCCAAACACGCGTCCAGCCAGATGCGCAGGCGAGGGCTACAGAAGACCAAGTTCTACTGCCAGGTATGCGAAAAGCAGTGCTTGGACGAGAACGGATTCAAATTGCATATACAGTCACCATCTCATATCAAGAAGCTAAACTCGAAACTGGAAAATTCGCACAACGACTCGAGGGCGCTTATTGGAGAGTACTCGGGACGATTTCTGGGGGATTTTCTGCGCCTGCTCAGAATAAATCACGGGGAAAAGCTCATTGGAAGCAACAGATTTTATCAGGAATACATTATGGACAAAAACCATATCCATCTCAACTCGACAAGGTGGAAAAGTCTGACGTCGTTAGTGCTATTTCTGAAACATCAGGGATTGTGCAGGGTGGAGGAGAACGAGGAATACGAGGAGTACGATGCAGAACGCTACTCGATAGCTTATATTGACAAAAGTCCGAGAAAAGAGACCAAAGAGCTCAAAGTGCGCAGCGACGACGAAGCATCGTTGCGAGGGCTGCAAGAGCAGATAGAACGCGGGAAACAACTACAGGAAAGCGCGAAGCCAGACACCATACAGACAACAATGCCGGGGCTGGATAATCATGATAAAATAAAAATATCTATGAACAAGCCTATCAATAAGTGCGGCATGAAAATCGTGCCAGGAGTTGGACACGCTGTGGCGCCACAGGTCCGTAAAAGCTCCAAACTCAAAAGCCGCATTGCTGCGAAAAACGTGCTAGAATGAGATTATGTGAAACTTAACACAATCTTCTTTTTCTTCTTTCCGGTAGCATTTGCCGATTGTTTGGCCTGTTGAATAATCAACTCTGCTTCTGCATCGTAGTCATCCGACTCGGGGTCTTCAGACTTCAATATTTTTGTTCCCCAGACCGTGGTTTTGTATTTCGACTCGTCGTCGGGGAGCAGTACGTCCTCACCTAAAGGTGGAGCATTGGACTCCACGACTCTGCGTGGCGACGCCTGCTCGCTGTAACCGTAGTCGGTCAGGCTCAAATTGTTTTCTTTTGAGTAGAACTGCAGGGTCTTCAGTTCCAGCTCCCTTTCAAAGGCCGCTTTGCTGCGGTCTTCTCTTCGCTTTTTATTGCGCGACGTCCGACTGCGCTCGCTGAGTTTTTTGCTGAAACGAGCGGAGATTTCTTTAGGGAACTGCGGCAACTGATCTGTCCAGTTAAGCTCCAAAAACCCTATTTCTGTGCCGACAGGCAAATGTCCAAGATATTTCAGTCTTCCAATGGTCTCCTCAGTGAGAGGCGAGTATTCGTAATTAATATTTTCGAGAATGGGATGCAGAGTGAGCGGGAACGCGGAGTAGTCACCATACAACGACTTGAGGATTTGAACGTCCAAATTGGTGAGGAAGTACTTGACGCTCGAGTTGAATGCAGTTTGGTAGAAAAAAAAGCCCTTCTCTGTTTCTTGGAATTGGTGCTGACGGAGAGTTAGCTCATCGAAATGCAGTCTCAGACTATCTGGAGACTCTGGCATCGTGGCCTGCGAAGACTCAGCAAAGGAAGCCGCCATAGCCTCCATGTGAGACCGGATCTTGAGCTCGGCCAGCTCGTAGTGGTGCGTGCTATCGCCGTATAGCTCGGAATCGAGAGATCTGTGTAGCTTAAGTGTCTCCAATTCCTGCTCAAAACATTTAATGGCGAAGCCTGGTCCACATTGCATAATCCTCGAATATTTCACATAGCGCGAGTCATTCAGGAAGTTGTCAACAGTGGCGAAATCGGATATCCAGGGGATGTCGCCGTCAAACTGGCAGTTTTCCAAGTAGAGACGGAACGGCTGCGCAAAGACCCGCGAGGCAGGCCTGTACATGAGCTCCAGCTCCACAGGCTGATCAACAGACGGCTGCTCAAACCTCTCGTCAATTTTTGTGATTAGGACAGGTAGTAACTCGTGTTTTTCTCGGATATCCTCCGAACAGAGCGGACACTTGACGCGGCCTCGATAGTCTTCCTGGGCTGAAAACGCGGCAAACAGACGCAACAAGCACGTGTAGCAGAATACGTGGCCACACCGCGTCATCCGCGGAGCAATAAACTCGTCTCCAAGGCAGATAGGACATTGGTGATCATTTTTGTTGATCAGCACGCGCAAGATTGAGGCGTCGTCCAAAGGCACGTTTGGGTCCAGAATCTGCGTCCTATAGTCCCCACGGTAGTCCACAATGAACCTGTAGTTGACATTTACGTTTTGGCGGCCAGTCAAATTCAGTCGGATACTCTGAGAACGATGTTTTTTGGAGCCCTGCCGACGTCCGGTATCGGTCACGATGTTATGTTCTGGTAGCTGGAATTCTACCAGATGACTAATGTCGATGCCTTTCCGTCCTCTCCCCAAGGCTCTGTCAAAAGGAAAGTCGTCCACAAGCACAGGCTTGTTTGCTTTGTTGGATCTTTTGGAACCGTGCTTTTTTGACTCTCTCGGCCGGACCTTGGAGCTTGCCGCCGATTGGCTGGAATGCGCGGCGACGGGCAAAGTGGTAGCCCGCGGAGCATACACACGCTCCTGGGAACCTGAGGAAGGGGCTTTCATCTCCATAAAAGGAATAAAGATAATTATTTAGGCAAATAACTACCTTTATTCAAGCAAATAATTAAATTACCTTTAATAAATGGCAAAAACATCACCCCCCACGTTATGTAATAAGCAGATTAATTTTATTCTCTATTTACACGGTCCTTTATGCCCCTCTGTCGGCTACCTTTCTCTCACCTCCCAGATATCCTCGCTGCTGCCCCTTTTGAGCTGCTCCACAAGACGGTTTTTGTAAAACTCCTGAATATTCTTTTCTTTGATCTCTCCAGCGTTGAGGGAGTTTGAGAAACAGAAGCTGAGCTTCTCGTTCTGTTTCTCGCACATGCTCAAGTCGCCGTATCGGTAATAATTACGGACTTGCCCTCCCAAAGACATACATTCCATTAGTTCGTCCATGGCAGTGAGACATGACATTTCTTTCTGGCATGTTAGATTCGGACAACCACTTACTTACAGGAAACTTGTCCAGAGAGATGGACTCGGCCCTCTTGCTGGCCTTTTCCCTCATGGAATTAAGACTTCTTTCTGTTGCCTGCGACGACGACTCCGCGGATTTCGAAGCGTACGCATCGGCAAGAGCATTCTGGAGATCAGCCAGACCGTCCTGGCCAGATGTGGCGCTCGTTTCGGTTGGCTCCATTTGCTCTGGGACCGACGAGTCCTGGGCACGCTTTCGCCAAAACATATATTTTCTATTCGTAAATTTTCCTGCACAGCCAATATCTAATTAGAGACTATCTATTGAACTTCCTGGGAAAGTAGCGCTTCAGACTCGCCAGAAACGTCGCCGGCAACCACGCTCATGCCAATTTTGCGAATCTCCTCCTCCATGTTTGCGTACGTGGCCTCCACCAGCTTGTTCACATCGTCCTTGGTGAGCCCCTCGGTGCTGATCGGCTCAAGAACCTTGACCTTGATGGTTCCCGTGTTGAAGTTTCTTTCTTTCAGACTGTAGATGTTGGAAGTGTTGGAAACAACAAGAGGAATAATCGGGATCTGCGCCTGGACCGCCAGATGGAAGGCCCCTTTTTTGAATGGCAGCAGAGTGGGCCTCGAGGAGTACGATCTCGTGCCCTCCGGGAACATGAAGAGGCCACCGCTGGTAGCCTTGAGGTCTTCGAGAGCCTTGTTGAGCACACGGATGGCCTTCTCGCGGTCGGATCTGTCCAGGAAAAAGGTGCCCGACAGAGTCATGAACCAGCCCAAGAACGGCACCAATTGAAGCTGCTTCTTGGCCGTCACGACACAACGTTTGGGAAATATCCTGCCCAGCATAAACACGTCAAGCTCGGATTGGTGGTTGGAGATCAGAATGGCGGGCAGACCACTCAATTTCTCCTCACCCTCGATTTCTATCGTGATGCGCATAACCGTGCTAAACAGGTAGTAGTAGAAGCGCGCAGTGCTCCACTGGGCCAGATTGCGTTTGCCAATCAACGAGAGAACCACGGAGCAGAGGACACCGTAAGATGCGCTGATCATCAGGGTGCAAAGGGCAACAAAACCCTTGGTGTAAAACTTGAAGTGTTTTCCAATTTTTTGCAAAAAAGACATCTGGGACACTGGCTGGGAGGTGTTAGGTATTAGCACCCACGAAATGAAGCAGCAAAAGATTAGAAGGGGAAGAAATACGCCGAACAACACTTTGGAATAAGAGAAAATTCTAAGATAAATTATTTTCGGGGGTCTTGTCTCAGACTCTATTTCGGCCGGAGGTGGATCCGGCAAGTAAGCTCTGCAAGCAGCTACAATAAATAACCTATTCCACTATATTCTATATACATTTTATTGAGTTCTGTTGAGCTTATTCAAACGTCTTGCAGTACGGGCGTTGTACTTGGTACGTTGACCGTGCACAGGCAGTCCCATTGCGTGTCTGAGACCCTGGTACGAACCGATCGCCCGCTTGAGCTTGATGTTGGAACGCACCTGCTGCAACAGTCTCGATCCGATGGTCATGTCTGTAAGTTCCTTGGTCACTGCCATCACCTGTGTTTCGTTTAGCTGGTGCATGCGCATGCTGGGGTAGAGGCCGACCTTGGCGCAAATTTTCTCGGCCGTTTTGAGCCCGACGCCGAAAAATGTGTGTGCGAGTCCGATCTGGAGTTAGTGGGGGCTCAGAAAAGTACTTACGTCGACCTTGGCCTTGCCTTTGATGGCTTTTCCGAGGATGTGGACGACCATAACTAATTAAAACTGATGAAAAATATTTTAGGTGCGAGGAGGATTTAGGTTTCGCTACGAAAAATAGCCAAGTGCCGGCAGCACTACAAGTCTTTTTCCATCACCGCTTCTAGCCGCAGGATCAGGACCAGCCGGATCAGGCCTATCATGGTCACAAAGCTAGCCAGCCCAATGGGCACGACTGCGAAAACGGTGATGTTGTAGAGGTCCACGGTGCGCGGCACCTTGCTTCGTTGCTTGGGCTCGTCTTTGTCCTGCAAATGGCGGTCCAGACGCAGATTTGAAGTGACAAAGTTCTGGATAATGTAGATGAGCGTCATCACGCAACTAATCAAAATCCACACCGGCAAACAGTACTCGTTCTGCTTGTTATTGAACATGAACGTCAGCACTTCCACAAGAGCAACGATCAGGAGCGACATGCTCAACATCCGCACTATAGCCGCCTGGATCGCATACATCACGATCCACCGCACCATCAGCCCGTCCAGAATCGAGTACGACAGAAATCCAGACACCATGCACCAGATTCCGGCAAGAAAGAATTCCGACGCCCGCACCGACGTCACGTTGATCTGGAACGGCTCGTCGTACATCATGGTGTACCAGGAGTGCCACAGGACAACCAGGTTTTTAATTATCACCAAAAGCGAGAAATCCCGGCAGATCGCAACGGCAATGTGTTCCCGGGGAGAGAGTCTTTTGAGTCCCAGCTCTTTGAGAGAATTGCGTTGTCGGTTGAGGTCTGTGGTGGCTGTGGAGGAAATACCAAACAGGATCACCTGGTTGACCAAGTCCTCGTTCTCCAGAAGCGTCTCGCGCGAGCCGTTTCGAGAGTGCAGCATGTTGGAAGGCGGTCGTCCGCCCCTGTTGTTCAGAGTGGCCAACGACGTCGACGATGAAACATACACGGGCAGTGGCTCATACTCGGCCTCCGAATCCGTGGGAGGCGGGTGGTTGGCGTAATCAGAGTCTGTATCAAATACGTCCATTAATCATAAAGGTATAAATATTAGCATGCTCAGTCGAGAAAAATTAATTAATTTTCAACTATGCCTTCTGATCATCTGGTAAATGATATATAACACCTGCAATGGCAAAGATAGCCAAATGAGTCTGGACGGCATGCTCGGCGCCTCCCCACTAGAGGGAGGGTCCAGTTCGAGTTAGATGGCCTCCAATTGCGCGCTAATCGACTCCAGCTCCTCCTGCGCAGCCTTGTATTTGGCCTCCAGCTCCTCAAACTTGTTCTCGAGGTCGGCCTTCTCGCTTTCAAGGGAGGTGACCTTCTTCTCCAAGGTCTCTGCACGAATATCGGTTTCTCTCAGCTTGGCGGTGGTCTCCTTCAGGTTCGCGTCGGCAGCTTCAAGCTCTTCCTCCAGCATCGAGTGTTTCTTTGTGTAGTTGTCGTTGGCGGCCTTCAATTGGTGAGCATCTCCTGCAACCTTCTTGAGCTCGCTAAGCTCCTGTTCGGCCTTCTCCAACTCCTCTTCCAGAACTTGGTTTTTTCTAGTCAAGGCTTGGATCTGGTTGTCTTTCTCTAGGGCTTGTTGCTCCATCTCTTTCACCTTGGCCGCGTACTCATCAGCCTTTTCCTGCCAGGTCTCGGCGTCCAGCTTGAGCTTGTTCAATTTCTGAAGAGTTAGTACTCGCTCGTGCAATTAGCTATCTACCTACCTCCTTTAATTTGTCCATTGTGATTTGATCCGTAATAAAAGAAAACAACAAATCAATGGGAATACTCTATTTATATGAATATTTCGCGGGCTAAACACGAAACAACCCGCGCCAGCTATACAAGAAAATTAAAATACCCGGGTAACTCCAATTGATTTTCCCTATTAGTATTACAAACTCAAACCCTACAAAAGTCACAAACTGGAAAAAATGAGCAATATCAAATAGAGCCCTGAGTAGATGCCTGTCATCCACTTTTAAATCTTTTCGATTGCTGCTCAGCGTCCCATTCCCTTGCTTGGGTCTCGAATTCGGGAAAGTCGGTCAAATACACAATGTCGCTATCATCACTTTCCTCCTCTGTCGCCTCAGCAGGATCCTTCAACCCTGTGATACTGGCGGTAGCGGATCTCGTATTACTCGTCCTGGTCGACCCAGAGAGAGGCGAAAAGTCTTCGACCGACACGTCCTCCGACGAAGATGAGCTTGATATGTTTTTTGGCTTATAGCTAGGATCAAGTGCTTTGCTCAGCATATTGTATTGCACTTCTGATAACTCGTTCATCTTTGGGAACTCTATGTTAAATTTTATGATTAGGTCCCCATATTTTGTTTCTCCAAAGTCAGTTTCAGCATAAATTGGCATACCATATCCCTTAGCTACCATTATAGTGTTTGGATTAGCCAAATCCCCCCTGTTGACGTATATTTTCATTATTTTCTTGTTCAAATGTTCGATCTTCAATAAACCACCACAAAGTGCCTTGGCGAGCGACAATGTGACTGATGTTATCAAGTTGTTACCTCGGCGCTGGAAATTCTTAGTTGGTCGTCTCTTATCCTCTTGCAATGTTATCACCACATCGCCAGGAATAATATTAATACCCTCGTCGGCCTCGTTTTCAAAAACAACCTGGTAACCGGGTTTGACTCCCCTTGGAACTTCCACGTCCAATATGACTTTTTTGTCGATCAATCTGTTGCCATGGCACGTTTCACATGTAGACTCCCGGGGTATGTACATTCCCGAGCCGTTGCATTGGTGGCACGTTGTCTGCACGCGCTGGTACACAATTCCCATTCTTGTCTCGTTCACAATAGTTCCGTGTCCCAAACAAGCGGGACATTGCAATAGCTGCGTGCCTCCACGACCAGCGCACTCTGGACACTTGATCTTCTTCGTCAAACTTAGCTTAATAGTCTTTCCGTTGTAAAAATCTGCAAGCGAGCAGTATACCGTATGCAAAATGTCCCTGCCCTTCCGTAAGCGTCTCTGGGAGTTCCCCATGGGCCTGCCACCGGATAGAGAATCGAATAGCGCGTCTAGATCGGAGGCAGGAGACGAGCGGAATAACTGATCAACGAATGACTCAGCCTGTTGGAAGCGGTCCGAGAAGCTTGGGCCAGGACCACCCTTGAGCCCTGCCTCTCCGTATGTGTCGTATGCCTGTCGTTTTCTCTCGTCCGAGAGAATCTCGTATGCGGTGGTTATCTCCTGGAAGACTTTGGTTGCCTCCTTCTTCTTTTCCTCGCTCTCGCCACTGGCAACTATTTTATCGGGATGGAACTTGAGGGCCGCTGCACGGTATGCCTTTTTCAGCTGCGTGAAACTGGCATCTGGAGAAACGTTCAGTAAATCATATAGCTTTGTTTCCTTCACCATCAAAACACTAATAACCTGATTAACTTGTCGTTTCTGCTCAGATACAACTTCTACAACCTCAAGGTTAAAATCCAATAAACTTGGTCTGTTTTCTAATCCAAGCAGTAACCTGGTCACCCGTGTTTGATAAAGACGAGACAAGAAAAATATAGGCGTGCGACGATTTTTTCTTTTGGCTTCCATGGTTTCTTATGTCATCGGCTTTTCCAAGAACGGAAATGCTGCTTCAAAACCTTATTTTCCCCACCGATTCGCCAAATCCAGACGGCACCCGTGATTCAGGTCCGGAAATCTACAGCGGGGTATCGATTTCGGCAGCTTTAAAATCGTAGACTACTCGCCAAATCAGATGGCTATATAACAATGTGAGTGAAATTTCTCCCCATCAGCATTTTTGCAGAAAAAAAACCATGTCCAGCCAGCCAGCGTCGTCGTCTTCCAAAACAGACCTGCCGCCTCCGGTGGTGTCTCTTGCCTTCAGCAATGCGTATCTTCCAACAAATTACGATCTTTCGCTGGATATCAGCTCCAAGGCGAACTATATGGGTTTAGTGGTGATGGATCTGGCTCCTAACGAGAGGGCCTCGGTTTCTGGTTCTGATCCGTTCCAGCTGGTGCTCAATGCTGTGGAGATCGTTGTCACGGATGCGTACCTACTAACTGACTCTCAACACAAGCTCAAGGTGGAGCAGAACAGGAAAACAGAGACCGTCAAGTTCTGCACAGACGTGACTTTTGACAGTCTCAAGAGCCAACATTTGCGACTCCGTGTGCACTTTATTGGCGTTGTACGCGGCATTGCGTCCATGAGGGACTTCACCAAGGGTGTTTTCAAGACCAAGTACAAGGACGGGGCAGATGACCGGTACATTATCTCGACACACTGCCAGCCGTCGTTTGCCCGGCTGATCTTCCCCTGTGTGGACGATGTGCTAGTGAAGACGAGTTTCAAGCTGTCGCTGACAGCGGACGAGAAGTTCACGTGTGTGTCAAACACGCCGATCGAATCAACTACCATGATTGACCAAGGCCGCCAGCTCGTGATTTTCGAGGCTTCGCCGAAAATGACCACCTCTGTGTTCTCGTTTGCGGTCGGCGAATTCGATTTTCTGGAGGAAAAAATCGATCTATCCGAGCAGAAGAACTTCCCGCTACGTGTGTACACGCAGATCGGCGAGTCTGGCCGCGCCAAGCTTGCGCTGGCAACCGTTAAATCGACTCTGCCTAAACTCGTGCAAAAATTTGGTGTTGAGTACCCAATTACGAAATTTGACGTTATTGCATTGCCGTTTTTGAGTGACGGCGGAGTTGAGAATTGGTCGATGATCCAGATCCTCAAAGACCATCTTCTCACTCCGGACTCGGCGTCGCCCGCAGAGATGTTGAAAATCACCTCCATGATTAAAAACGTCCTGGTCCATGAAATGGTGCACATGTTCATAGGCGACCTGGTAACATTCGAAAGCTACGACTATACGTGGCTCAACGAGGCGTTTGCGACTTTCATGTCTAACACGATACTGAACGAGGAAAGCGACGACAACCAGGTCTGGTTCGACCAGCTCGTTAACGACGGCTTCAACATGAAAAGATACCAGGGACTCGACAACATGAAACCTATTCACACCGAAAACGTCCCAGCAGACACTATTCAGAGCACTTTCAGCAAACACTCGTACGACAAGGGCATTTTTGTGCTGCGGATGCTGGCCGGACTGTTCAATGAGACACCATGCGAGAATTATGACAATTTCTTCAGTGCGGTCGGGGACTTTATCAATAAGAACAAGTACGGCCTGTTCAAACCGACGGATCTGTGGATATTTCTCAAGAATCATACTCTGAACAAGTTCAAGTACGATATCCCCACAATCATGTTTTCGTGGACCAGAACTGCTGGATACCCAATTTTGAAAGTGAGCAAACACAGCGAAAAGCTGCTGGTGGAACAGCATAGATTTTTGTACAACCCGGAGTCGAAGGTCGAGGATGTTCCGTACCAGGTGCCGCTGTTGGTCAAGCATTCAAACGGGACGTATGCTAGGTACATGTTGTCGGATAGAAGGCTAGAAATTGACAATTGTTTGCTGGTGAATGCCAACAACAGCGCTGTTGCGACGGTGAAGTATTCTTTTCCTCAATACGAAGCCATTGCTAAGAATCTTGAAAAACTGAGCAATATCGAGCAGTGTCAGGTTGTTCTCGATTTGTCGACTGTTTTCAGCGAAAAGTACCAGGACTGCGATGACATTCTGGGCTTTGTGGTGCTGATGAATAAAATTGTCCAAAACCCGAAAATTATCAACGCCACGGCATTCAACACGGCACTGTCGCTGTTCAACACTCTCACCAAATCAATTCTGTCAGTGAGCTATTTTGACGACCAGAACACGTACAAAACCATTGCCAAATGGGAAAATACGACTGTCAGCAGTCTTCTAGCTTCGTTTGAGTGGGACGGGCTCGATTTCAGACAGTTGCCTGCCACGGAGCTGACTGTGCGTGCCACCCTGTTGAAGCTGGATTATTCGAACGCGCAGTCTCAGGCAATAGCGAAAAAACTGTACAAACAGCTGCTGCACGGGCCAAAGGGTGCCGTCCCGATCAAACTTGTGGCTGCGGTGTTGAACAACGTCCAAGCCGGTGGCTCGGCCAAGGAATACAAGGAGATCCTCGGTATAGTGAAAAATCCAGACTCTGTCAGCAACCACGTCTACGAAGAGCACAGCACGGCCGATGTGCGGACGGCAGCATTGACGTCACTGGGATACGTGACTAAGAGCGATCTGCAGCAGAAAACACTCAACTACGTGCTGAACAACATGGACGTGCCGTCGGTGGAGCTGGCTCTGGTGGGCCTCAAACACCAGCCTGAAGCGTTTGCGACGATATGGGTGTGGTTCAGCATGCACTACAACGGCTTCTACGCCAGATTTATCAAGGATAGCAAAAATCAGAGCTTTATTAGAACGTTCCGTGGCATTGTGCAACTGGTGTTTGAGAGCTGTCTGTGCAGCAAGGAGTTGACGGACAAGCTGGAGACTTTCCTCAAGGCGAAGAAGTTTGAGCCACTCAATGGCGAGTTCCAGCGTGTTCGAGCTGCGTTTGCCGACAGACTCAAGCTCAACGAGGCGAATAGCCAGCTATCGCGGGTGATTGCTGCTTGAAAATATTCGTTTGTTTGTGGCCGTACACCGCGGAAAGTAGCGAGTCATCCCATGTTCCGGCTCCCCTGCGCGCGTTACCAACACCGATTTTGACTGCCATTCGAGCAGCGACGACGCGGCGCAAATACACCTCAAAAAGCAGTCTTGTGAGCAGATACTCGTTATTCCACATGTCGTCATTTTGTCGCAGATACGGCTCCAGGTCACTCCAGAGCATGCGTTTGTCAAATATTTCCCGTTTTATTCTGTTGTAGTGCTCTGAATTTGACTCTAGACTGATTTCTGCCATCGTGCTCAGCCTGTTGTACGGCGTGTTGTACTGGTAGCAGGATTTTGGCAGCGACTTGATCTGCGGGGCCATTTCGAGCTTCGTGAGGCTCTGTAGCGACTTGGTCAAATGTCGTGGCAGCTCAACAGAATGTGGTGTCATGTAGTCCTTGATACTCATGTCGGTGGGGTCTAGAAACAGCTGGCGATTGGTTACCCTAGTCCTGGCTACGGCGTACTTGAGCACCGGGTTGTGCTCGTACTGCGTTCGCGGCGGCGAGAGAGTATAAGACATCATGTACAGAGGGACGTCATGGAGACTCTCTTTGGAGTCGAACACGGCGCGGAGGTCTGATTTTGAGGAGAAGTGCGCTCTGTTGGCATGGAGCTGTGATTTTTTCCACGAATGTTGGCGCACGAGGTTAGCGCGGTGCCAGGGACGTTTCGAAAACGACCGGTGGGCCAGCACTGCTTGGCTCTGGTGCCTGGCAAAGCCTGTGGTAGAGGGCTCCATGAGTTTGTTTACAGGAGTTTGATTTTTTTAAATCATGCAGAGGTTGGCTGGTTACAAGCTATTTCCACATTGGGAACGCACTTAATTTATTTTATTTTATTTTATTTTATTTTATTTTATTTTCATTATACCAAAATGCTCTCCTTCTCGAGAATCCGCTCGGTCTCGCGCGTGAGCTTCGAGAAGCTGCGCGACGGACCTTTAAGGTTTATGAACACCAGCAGCGAGCCATTCTCCTCAGGATACGTCTGGCATTCGAATTTACACGCCTTAAGCCCGAACGAGTTGTGTTTCGAGACCGTGGCCACCAACCGCCGCATCTCTTTATCGGCCTGCAAGTCGGTGATTCCATGTTGTTTCCAGCTGACCAGCAGCGATATGAGCGCCTCGAACAGGTCGTCCTCGCCCAGAACAGTGTGCAGTTCCTTGGTTTCCTGCTGCTCCGCAATCTCGCCCGTAAACAGAGCCAGGAACGCCTGTGTAATACTCACTTTTCTCCTGGTCTCTTTGGTGTCTCTGGCGTCGCTCTTCTTTCTCGTGCCAAACGACAGCTTGCGGAAGAACGATCCGCCAGAGCCCGCGCGTTTGTTAGCCTCGTTGCTCTGTTTCTGCTGGTCCAGCTCTCCGAGTGGCTTGCGCTGTTTGCTGAACTGCAGCGAGCCGTCATTCTTTTTGCTGGCCGCCACAGGCGACTCTGGCCGGCATTTTGCATTCTCCTTGTAGTCTACCGCCTTATCTTCTTTGATTGGCGAGCCAGGGATCTCCGGCAGTCTGAGCGACTTGTACAGGCTCTTCTCGGCAGAGTTGGCCGAGATCATCGTGTCTCTGGACGCTTTGTAGTTGAGGTTTGGAATGTCCTCCGACGATAGCAGCATCGACTTCTTGTTGGTGCTTTTTCTCTTGTCATCCACGAAATACAGGCCCTCGTCTTTATCCAGTTGCAAATTCATGTCTACAGTGTCATCAGCGTGACCGTCTATGTCGTCCTGGAAAACCATGCTCAGCCGCGTGCCCTTGGACGTGCGGTCCAGTGTGGCTCCGTCCTTGACGTTGCTGGCAGAGTAGATCGACAGCACGCTGAGCCTCTTCTTGTCGGAGAAATGCTTCGACTTACGCGTCACCTGCGGAATCGTCACATCGGAGATTTTCTGCGGGTTCTTGACCCTTTTGGGCTTTTCTATGTCGTGCTTGTCCTGGCCCTCGTCGTCGTGTTTTTCCTGCTCGTCCTGCTGCTGCTCTGCCTGCTCCTTGGCCCGTTTCTCGTCTTCCTCCTTCTGCTTCAACATCTTCTCTAGTGTCTGCGACACGCGCTTCTGGTACTTTTCGTACGCTTTCGCGCGCGGATCTAGCTTGGTGACCGGCTTCGGCGGAGGGTTCACAGACGGCACACGTCCGTGCGACACAGAACGCTTATTAATCTTGTCGAGGTCGGACGCGTTGAGAATGCGCGATATGCGCTCTATCGGGTTCGACGAGTATCTCTTGCTGGCAAGCGAGTGGCTGGACGCGCTGTGCACAGACTGCGAGGAAGTGGTGGAGCTTGCCGAGCTGGCCTGGGCTGCCGCGTCGAAAAGCGACGCAAACGTCGATTGACGTTTTTTCGCGTGGATCAGCGACTGTCTCGCAGCCTTTTTGGACCGTCGAGTCGGCTGCTCCTCCTCCATCAGCATGGCGCTGATCGTCGCCAGCGAGCTGGACGTGCTAAGCCGGCCCGACTTGCCGTCGAACAGCATGTCGCACAGCGTCGCAAAGTCCGCTGACGCACGCTTACCGTACTCCTCGACGTTTTTCGATTTTTTCTCGTCGATCGCCGCGAGCTTCGCGTACGTCGACAGCAGCTTCGACGTGACGCTGTTCCGCTTGAGCATCGTGCTGGAGGAGCGCTTGGAAACGCCCTTGTCGGCGAAAACCATCGAGTTGCGCTTGCTGCTCACCGACGCCCGCTTCCGGAACGGCGACCGCTCGCCAGACCTGTCGGTCTTGGACCGCTGGAATGACACAGGGCGGTTCGCAGAGGTGGCCACGCTGAAATTGCGCACCGAGCGCCGCCTGCTGGGCGAGCCCGTCTCGCTCGAACCGGGCGTGACGCGCGAAATCACCGACGACGACCGCACAAGCGCCTGGCCCTGGTCGTGGTGGTCGTGGCGGTACCGCAACAGCAGCGAGTAGAACGTCTTCTCCGGGTTCGCCGCCGAGCTCAGCAGACTCTCGACAATCGACTCTGCCTCGCGCCCGTGCCACAGGATCACCAGGTTTTCCAGGATCTGTCTGTCGATCTCGTCACGTGATCTCACCGGCTGCGTGGCCGAGTTTGGGTTCGGCAGGTTGAGGTAGTCCTCGTGGTCCTGCTTGTTGAAGGGGTACTTTGTGATGAGCGGGTGTTTGAGCACGTCTCTGGTCTTGATGCGCGCCTCTGGGTCTACTGTGAGCATCTGCGCGATCAGGTCCTGTGCCTCGGGCGACAGGTCTTCGTGGATTTCGTAGCTGCCCTTTTGCACCTTGAGCAGCAGCTCGCGGATGTTCTCGTCGTCAAACGGCAGTCTTCCTGTCAGCAGCGCAAACAGGATCACGCCGCAGGACCACACGTCCGACTCTGCGCCGTGGTACTGCAGCCCGCTCACGATTTCGGGCGCCGCGTAGTGGGGTGACCCGCACGAGGTCTCGAGCAGGCGGTCGCTGGACTCGAGCGCGGCCATGCCGAAATCTGCGATCTTGACGTTATACTGCTTGTCCAGCAGCAGGTTCTCGGGCTTGAGGTCTCTGTGGCAGATGCCGAGGCTGTGGCAGTACGAGGCTCCGAGAATAATTTGTCTGAAAAACTCCACAGCCGTGTTTTCGGGCAGCGGGCCAGACTCCACCAGAAGGTCGAACAGTTCGCCGCCTTCGACGTATTCCAGCACCAGGTATAAAGCGGTGTCTGTTTCCCACACGTCGTAGAGTCTGAGCACGTTTTTGTGGTTGAGCAGCTTCATGATGATGATTTCGCGCTCGATGCCGTAGCTGAGGCTGGCGTCCGGCGGCGACGCGTCGCGGCCGTCGGAGCCCAGCATGCTCTTAGAAACGACTTTCACAGCCGCCTTCTGGCCCGTGTGGACGTTAGTTGCGAGCAAAACGCGGCCGGTAGAGCCCTTGCCGAGCGTCTTGCCCAACTTCCAGGGCCCTATCTTGACCGGGTTTTTCGCAGCGCCCGACTTGGAGCTCGGGTTCGAGATGCCCAGTCCCAGCGCCGAGGACGACACAAAGGACGAGGCGTACGATTCTTGTCGAGAATGGGGCATTGAAGTTGAGAAAAGAGTAGAGAGCGAAATAGGTGTATATGTGCAAAACGTTCCTGCACGCGTTCGCCCAAATCGATCAATCACCTTTTCAAAAAGGGAACCAAAGGAGTGCCTGCAAAACGCACACGCGGGACGCGTCGGCAGGAGAAAGGAGACACCCCTGCACCACACAGGAAATAATAGCTATCGTGGTAGGAAAAGTTTCGTGCTCCCTGTTCTGTCATTTATACACACGGTCATTTAGTAGTTGCACTCTGCTAGCACCCGCTAGCACAGCTGCACTCTATATACCCCCCAACCTGCTCGCGATGGGCCTCGATCACATCGCTCTCCTCCATATCTAGGTCCTCCGGCGTGTCCTCTGGGTTCACACGGTGTCCATCAAACAGAAACCGCAGACTGCTAGAGTCCTTGCCCTGTCTCTTGCAGAAGGCGTCCATCAGTCTTTTCAGCGGCGTCGACCGCTTGATCTTGAAGAACACCTCTGACGTGCCGTCCGACACCTTCAGGTTGATGTGTGTGTCGCTCTTGTTCTCCGGCTTTGGTGTGTTTTCGTCCGACATGCGTAGATGTTTGTTTGCCACTTTTTTCACCGGTGGTGTATCTTTAAAAGCGGATTTGGTGCTTACGTAAGCAGACAAGGCTAGACGGGCAGCACAGGCTGCTGCGCGGGCACGAGCGGCAGCTCGCTGTTGTCGTCCGCCACGCGCGGGAAGAACTGGTGGTACGACCACCACGACGCCGCGAGTCCCAGCAGCGACCCGCACGTGATGTCCAGCGCGTCGTGCTTGTAGTCCTGCGAGCGGCTGATGCAGATATGGAGAGCCGCGAGGGCAGGCACCAGCGGCACTAGCCTGCCCGCGGAAAAGCCCGCACCGCCCTTGTACAGCCCGTAGTGGCCGCTGATCCACAAGTTGAGGAAATTCATCCCGCACCACGCAAAAGACGAGTGGCCCGATGGAAACGACTTGAAGCCGTCCTGGAGCACTTTCTCCCCGTACGGCGCGGTGCAATCGACGACCGTGTACAGCCCCGGGGCCGTCGATTTTGGCGACAGGCCGCATCGGTCCAAAAAGTCCGGTCTGGGCCTGCCAACCTTGATTTTAATAAATTCTGTCACGAAGCCGTTGAGCCCCAGGGCCAAGGCAAAAGCAAGACACGAAACACTGGCTAAGTGGACACTGCGCTGTTTCTGGTCGCCCGACGACCTCAGATACTGCGTCGCCGTCGCCAGCACGATCACCACACACGGCACCACACAGGCATACACCACCAATCGAGCGTCAGGAACGCTGTCAGCAGTGTACGGAAAGCTGATGCGTGGGTCGGGAACGTAGAATTGGCGGTGGAAAGGTGTTGCCAAGGTCTCCAAAAATAGGAACCCGCCAAGGAGAACGGCCACCACGCCCCAAGTTGGGGATAAGTACCGAGCGTACGCAAAAACCATAAAACGGGGCGAAAAAAAATGTTCTTAGATAAATTCGAAATATTTGGCTACACAGCAGTAATTGCTCAAGTTGTAGTTTCTCATGGAGTAGCCGTCGATTATCTGCTGGAACTCGTGGTTGAGTGTCTCCGACCACACCTCGATGTTGCGCATGTTGCACGTATTTGAGCTGTTGCACGATTTGACCAGCTCCCAGACCTTATTCATCATGTTTTTGAGCGCCGTGCGGATCTCCTCCTTCGAGCTGTGGCAGTACGTCTTCTTGCTGAATACCTCAGAGAGCAGAACGCGGTTGATCAGCAGCTCGACCTGCCGCTTCACGAAAACAGCATCCTTGACAGCAGAGAGACGAGCAACGATAGGTAGACTGAACTGCGACTTCTCGAGCCCCGCGTTCGTCACCAGCAAGTTCAGTGGCATCGTCGACGCATTCGATAGTGTTCTGTCCAGCGACATCCTGATGCTGGCAACGCTCTTGAACTGCTTTCTGCCAGAGTGAAGATTGATACTGGTGATTGTTTTCAGCAAATCGACCTTAAGTCCCCGTACGAGGTCTTCCACCGTGAACGAGCTCAAGTCAATGCGCACATTGATCATCGTGGACTTTTCAAAGCTGCTCGGTATGTTATTGAGATTGACAACCTCAAACAAACGCCTCAAATCTGCAGTCTCCAACTGCCCGTTTCTCTCGATCTCCGTCACCCGCACGCCTTCACAGACCTCAATCCGCGTTTGAAGTTGTGAGATGGAAACGTTGTGGAACTGGTTGATTAATCGTTTGATTAGAAGCTGCAGATTGTCGAAGTCCAAAACGAGATGGTGCTCCACACTGCGTCTGACATGTGTCTTGGACGAACCCATGATCCCATGATAGTGGTCCAATAACTCTTGCGGGTGATAGGCGTATTCATCAAACAGCGAAACCGAGTGGAACGCTGCGCCATGTTTTTCGCATAGCGTTGTGATCATTTCGCTGACACTCTTCTGCGGTTTCTTGTTGTAACGTCCCCACAAACGATCGACAGTAGAATTCTCCTCAAAGTAGTGGACTGTCTTTACGCGCTCGGTACTAATAAAGATGATCTCATGAATGTGTGAACCTGCTTCTGGAAAGCTCGTGGTTGCAAGGAGAGAAACGTACTTCAAGCCGTCTCGCCACGTATCATACACAGAGCTCTGCACTTCATCTCCAGCAACCGCAGTATAGCACTCAATATTGGAAATCACCTCGGACCACCCTTCCCAATGCGGAGACATACATCCGTAGTAGTTGCCCAAAAGCGAGTCAGGGCGTTTGTTGCCTAGAAAAACAAGTCCAAGCTTGTCTTCTGGTTGCAAACTTTCGAGCGTCTGCGTTATTAATCGGCGCACCTCAGATGTATAGTCCGCGTCATCCAGAAAACTGTTTCCGTTGTTCACCATTGGGACGACCAGAATGAGAATCAATGGGTCAGCGTCTGGTTTTGAAACTTGCCGCTTGACAAATCCCAATGGCAGATCCAATCCTTTGGAAACAAGCTTGTTGAACTTGAGTACCTCCTCTGGGATAACTTTTTCGTTTCGTTCCAACAGGCCCCATGCGTTCGTGGACATTTGGATTAATGGCACCACGTTTGACAAAGACAGCGAATCCTTCGAAAATAGATTCGATGGACTAAACTCACTCTCGTCAAAAGGGTGCTCTGCGACAAACGGATTGTCAGGGTTCGCACGGGGCTGCCGTTGTGTTCTTTTCACAATCCTGGAAAGCAATTTCAGCCACTTGTCGTGGATAAGCTTATTTTCACTCTTCAGCTCAACATCGGGAACACTCAAGCTTGCGAGGTTGAGCGTGATCTCTAAATTTGATTCGTCATCAAACACAGTGGACAGCTTATCCATGAGGTATATGTTCTGGATTAGCTCATTTCCAGATTCACTGAGAATCAGAAGCCGCCGGTCAAAAAAGTACACCTGCGGATGGTGGAAGCTGTTGCCGTCAATTGAAACACTGACAAAAATATCAAATAGCACGAGATGACCAAGCTTCGCGACATCCAGATCCGTATCTGGATGCAGTTTCGATTCAAAGTTGTGGATCACTTCCTTTGAGATTTCCTGCTTCCTGTCCCATTCTCTTTTCTTGTGGTCTTCAGGAAGCTCGGACAAAGAAGGCTCGTAATCCAGTGATTTGACGTTGAGGACACAGGAAAGATCGTAATATTTTGGAATTGCGTGCTCGTTGGCAAGGATGATCTTCGAGAACTCTGGTATGATCTCAACTTTAGCCTCAACCAAAGACTCTGCAGGGAAAGCGGACGAAGAAAGGGTTGCAGAAATCGTTGAAGGGAATGTGCTAATGATGGGCGAGTCCTTGAATAGAGGCTGTGTCTTTGGCGAGGGATGAGGAAATTCTGGGAAGGAGGGCAGAACTGGAGTGGCGGGGGTTAGCGGGTCCGGGAAAGGGGCCAGTGGAGTGATTTGGTTCATTAAAGTTGCCGGCGTCGATGCAAAAATATCCTGATTGAACTCGCAAGAGCTGGATGACAAGAGTCTGTTCCTGATTATACTATCGTTGACCTCGTCATCGTTGCAAGTATTCGAAGTTCCGCAGATCGGGCAGTAGACAGTAGTTTTGCCTCCACTTGGAGAGCTGAAAAGTTCGGAGTAGCACACAAAATGACAATGGTGACCGCATGACATGTCCAGCAGTGTCTCACCCTCAAAAACATTCAAGAGCGGCTCTTCGCAGAAGCAGCAGTTTTCGTCAAAGGAGATCTTTGATCTCTTTCTATCGACCAAGGTGCTTGTGACCACACTAGGTCTGTTGTAGGGCGAGCTTTGGCCTGACGACACACTTGAGGTGCGTTGTGTGTATGAAAGCATGGAAGACCGCGACGAAACAGACGAAATTTCATGGTCGCTTGGGTTTCTTGGGGATCGAAAAAAGGGAGGAGGTCCAAGCTTGATAGATGAGACAGAGGAAGATGTGCTTTTTTGTCTGAAGAAGCTAATGGGCGAGGGAGTATGATGCGATGCTTTTCTATGGTTTTGGGACGAACACGCTGGACCAGCAGACATGTTGAGTGAAAGCAATGATAACAAAAGCAGCAAAATTAAGGGAGCAGGGGGGAGGAGTTTATATAGACGGCGAAAAACACACTTCAAACATATCTGATCCTCTAAATCATAAACTTCCCGAAACCGGTTAATTATCTGCATGCAGAAGCTCTACTCGAATAGGCTGCTGTTGCAGCAATGGGTATTGGGGCAGTGTGTGGTACTTGCATGAGCAGACTTGGATATTTAGTCAGTATAATATCATATCTCAAACGCCATTTTTACTCCACACAATAATGCATCGAAGTTTCAGATGTTCAATCACAGGAGATACGAGTGAGATGACCGGGCGCTGTCTGCGTCGGCTCGCATCCGACAACTATTGGTGAATGACAACGGGAGGAGAAATGGGCATTCAAATCGGCCACTATGGCGGCTTCCAAATCGCTTCTAGATGGGTCGCTCTGCCCCCACGTTGAGCCGAACAAATAATCAATTTTCAAAATTATTTTTCCTATGTGCTTTATTCGCCCTGTATCGCATCTTCCGACAGTGGAAAACACCCACTTGTTCCAGAACTACCAGCTCACTATGCCACAGGACTGTTTGGGTGACGATGCCGTCCTCTTCTACGGCCATGAAAATTGGAGGGCCCAATTGTACGTCAATTTTGACACAGACACCAACAGGGTCAAACTTCCGTTTTCAAATTTAAGGTCGCTCGATCGCCATGAGTGTACACTGACTGGGACAAATCCCCCCTCCACTGTGCTGGATATGTGGCTTTTTGTGCTAAACGAGTGTTTGCTTTGCTATATCCCCGCTGCGGACCTGATATTCGAAATACCGTACGAGGCCATCACACTCGTTGGTCTACGAGGATCCCGAATCTATCTAAACATAATAGAGGGTTCGGATCTGGGGCAGGCTCCTATAGAGTGCGAATTATGGCCAGAAGAAGATGCAAGCAAGTATCCTTTGTTTAGTGCTTTCTCTGGCTTCACTATAGAACAGCATCTACAAACAGCCCTACGGGCAATAAATGAACGCATTGCAGCTACATCCACTTATCATAACTTTGACTCCGAGGAACTGCACGAAGAGCCCGCAGATGTGGAGGTCCACTTGAACGACCAGGGCGAGGCAGACGACGAGCTGAACGACCAACTGCTTCCTCTGGATACAGCCAAGAGCAGCATGTACGTTGAGCTGGGGATCATGAGTGGGAAACGCGCACGTGAGGAAGAGGACACCACAAATGGGGTGAAAACAAAAATTAGATAGTCTTTTGAGAAACCGGCAGTTTTGCGCCCTGAGGAGGGCTATTTTTGGCTCGAAAATCCTTATTGACCTCGTCCATGGTCAGCCACTCGACTCCCTCGTGCTTGTTGATGTGCTCGATCAATCTTTCGTGCATCATTAATACGTGGGGGCGGCCAGAAACGTCTGGGTGGCACGTGATTGGAAAAACAAACTCGTCGTATTCGCGATAGAAGTAATCAAAGTGGTCGCGCCAGATGTCCTCGATGTCGCGCGGATTGGCCCAACCGTACCCATCGGCGCTGTTTTTGATGAACATCATGGGCGGCAGGTCGTCAATGTACCAGTTTCCGGGAATTTCCACGAGACCAGTCTCCTTTCCGCGTTTCAAAGGTTTCATCCACTCGTGGGCTGTTTTCGAATAGTCAATTTTTGTCCACGAGTCGCCCGTCCGGAACCAATAGCACTGGCAGTCGTGGTGCGACATGGAGTGGTCGTACTCTATGCCGTAGTCCAGCAGCATTTCCACGCCCTCCTGGCTAGTTTCCCACCAGGGAGCAACGGAACCTTTGGGCGGCTTTCCGCAGAACTCGGTGAGCAATTTGAAAGTTTTGTCAAGGACGTCTTTCTGCTGCTGCAAGGTCATGTCACTGGGGTTTTCGTGCGAGTAGCCGTGAAGACCAATCTCGTGACCTGCGTCCCTGATCATGGCGCACTCCTCTGGGAAAGTCTCAAGCGAGTGGCCTGGAATGAACCACGTGGCCTTGATACCGTACTTGTCGAGCATCTTCAGCATTCGCGGAATCCCCACATGCCCTGCAAACAAGCCTCGCGAGATATCGCTGGCGGAGTCCTGGCCCCCGTACGAACCGAGCCACCCAGCAACCGCATCAATGTCAATTCCGTAGCAACACAAAACTCCTGGTTGTTAGCATGGTGGTATATACTACTAACTTTTCGGCATAATTTGATAAGACAAAATTAAATTAAATAATATATTAAAAATTAGATAAGCTAGATAAAACCAAAACGGATAATATTAGATAACTTTATTGGTAGCTGTCAATATATAGACACTCACTATTTGTACCGAATCCGTTGAAGTTGGTGGCTGCAGCAGACGTGTAGGCGCCAGTATCCTTGAAATACAACCAATCGCCAGCAACGACCTCCTGCGAGAGCTTACAGTTTGGACTAATACAGTCCAGTCCGTCGCATGTCGGACCCCACAGAGAGTACTGTTTGAATGGGTTGGCTGCTGCAGCCAACTCCTTCTCTGGATGATTATAGTTCGAGTGGAACACAAAGCGGCCATGCGAGGTGAGTACTTTCGGCTCAACCTCCTGATGGTCAAACAGAATACAGTTGAGGTTGCCGTAAACACCGTCGTTCACGTAGATTCTTTCTTGGAAGGCGTCGGAGCGCTTGGACGTGACGTTTACAGCGAGCGTGAAGCACGAAGCGGCCAAAAAGCGGCCCAGTTCGGAGAAGATGTAAAGATCTGGGAACTCCTCTGCCGCAAAGTGGGTGTCCAGCGCAGACCGGAAAACGGCCGCAGACGCGTGGAACGTGGGTTTCGAAAACCCGCCTCCAATGTCGAGCATCTTCAAGCTGTAGCCCAGCGACGCGGCGTAGTCAAAGACCATCCGCGAGTCCCTGACGGCCGTCTCGATAGTGTTGAAATTTTTGCAACCTGAACCGACATGAAATGCGACACCCTTGAGATTGAGCTTTAGTCTGGCGCACTCCTGAACCAAAACCCGCGCCTCCTGCAACGATGCGCCAAACTTAATAGACAACGGGCACGTGGCGTCGGCATCGTCCGTGTGGATGCGAATAAGCAGTCCGCAGTCAGGGTGGTGAGCAGCTATCTTGCGCACCTCGTCAACACTGTCGACAGTGGTGAGGTTGACGCCGTTTTGCCGTGCATAACGTAAGTGGGGAACTGCCTTGCACGGGTTGGCGTAAATGATTTTGGTCGGATCTGCACCCAAGGACAGCATCTGCTGGATCTCGGTCTTGGAAGCACAGTCAAAGCCGAGTCCCATCTGGAGCAGCGTGCGCAGAAGCTTTTCGTCGTTGTTGCACTTCACCGCGTAGAAAGGCTCGACACGGGGCATTTCTGTGCGCCAGAGTCCGACAAGCCGTTTCAGCTCGCCCAGGTCGCACACAAAGAACGGATCGAGCTCGTCTGGTTCACAGGTGTTGTGGTCGATGCTCTGGACTTTAGAGAGCAGGGTGGCACCCAGGAGTGACTCTGCGTGGGAAGGAAAGTCAGAGACACTGCCCCACGCATTTTTCAAACCGGCATTCGACAAAGTGGCCGGCTGGACAAGCACCGACGGAGCCATCGAGTAACTTTTCGCTAACAAACGATGAAACCAGTTCTTTTGGGAGATCTGACGGACAAACATACACCCTCGAGGGACAGCTACCTTATGGAATATAAGGCACAATAGAATTAGCGGACGTTATGCGGCAGCTCTCGTGAGGAATTAAGAATAACTGAGAAAGAATATTTGGGAAAAATTTTCACTGATACCAAGGCGGGCTGCTGGAAGGGGTGTAGAACGACCACTGTGTCTGGGACACCAAGCATCGGCGGATTTGATGTTCAAGCCCGCTTGTCTGCATCTCTTACGGCTGACACGCTATCGGGACACCAAGAAACACTTCCTGGCCACGCTTGCATTGAGATTGCACACCGCGGCAAATTACGTAATATCTAAAAATTGGTTCCAAATCGGTTGCTCACCAACTTACCGAGAGCCTCTGGCGAACTGTAATGAACGCCTCGGCCAGCCAACCAGGGCCACATTTTCCTATGACTTGCATTACATTACATTACTGTACACGTATTATCCACCGTCTATTCGTCAACCTCAACCTCGCCGTCGCAATGGAGGCAGCGGTACGCATAGTGGTCGTTGACAAGCACCTTGCCCTTATTCTTCATGAGGGTCCACTCGCCCTTGGCAGGGATGCGCAGACAGTGCGAGTTGAGACATCTTGCCCGGGTCTTTTTGTAGCGCAGGCCGCAGGAGTTGCACAGCTGGCCCTCGGACGAGGACCAGGACGGTCTCCAACAAGGCGACTGGGCCGAGTGGCACGAGATGCACTTGCGTACGCCACCGGCGTACTGTGCGGCGGCCGGCGCGTGCGTGGCCTCGTCGGGGACGTTGGCCGTGGTGCGGAGGTGGGTCTGGGGCGAGGCGGGGGTGTCGAGCGAGGTGTGGATAAATTTGGAGATGCCGACGCGCGCGTAGTCGCGGTGGTCGTGCTGGGACGACATCAACATGGACGAAGGCATAGGTGGCAGCTTGAAGTTATCGGTGGACTCCGCCACGTAGCTCTGCTTGGGGCCCTGTGCGTACAACTTGGCCGACGACGTGAGCATCTGCACGTCCTTGAGGTATCCAGTTGTCTGGTAGGTGTAATTATTAGAGTACGGGTAATCGACGAGTCCGTTGTATTTCTGGTACTGGGACTCAACGAATGCGGCAATCTTGGCAGGCTTCCTTGCGCGAGGCGGCTTGGACACTTTGGAAGCGGTTTTTGAAGGTTTCAGCCGCATCGAGGTGCAGTATTCCCGGTATTTTTTGAACAGTTCTGTGTTTTCGTGCTTGCACTTGTTGGAGTAGAAGTCTCTCCATTCCTCGTTCTGCTGTTCGAGCAGACACCCGCGCACGTTGCTTTCTGGTGCGGCAGATCCCAACAGGTTGAACGAGTAGCAGGTATCTGGGAAATAGAAGCAGGATTCGGACTCAAATGAGCGCAGCTTGGTTGACGGTCTTAGCGGCAGAGGCAGCTGGCGCGGCGAACTCGACGCCGAGGCCGGGGGAGTCGCTGGCGATTGTGCAAGGGTATGTTGGGACGCCGAAATCGGCGTGGAGATCGACAGCGAGGACAGCACCACGCTGTTGGAGGGAGGAGTGAGAGGCAGGTCGGCAAAGTTGAGTTTTGGAGTCTCCGGGACCGGGGACGATGGGGCTGTTCTGGACCGTTTCGCAGACGGACTCGACGTCGAATCGGAAACCAGCGTGAACGAGTCGGACATCTCAGCAAACGACCGCTTGAGCTGGGAATCGTGGATCAAAGTGCACTCCTCAGACCGGGGCCTGGACATCTGGTAGTAGGAACTGGACTTAGTGTTGGTAGAGTCGGAATGTGACCTTGAGTGGTTGAGTTCGGCAGCGAGAGTGGACATAACGAGTGACAGTTTGGAGAATTGAGTGAAGGAACGAGAGACAGTCGGTTGAGCACAATCCTTCGCGTGTCACAGAGATATATATTGTTAGGGGATCGCTGATTTTCGTGGGGCTAGTTTTCTGTTTTTCCTAAATTTAGGGAAGAATAGTTGTGATCTGATCTGCCCCCTTTTCCAACTACCAGATAATTTCATTGATCTAAAGAGATCATGGTGCAGAATAATAGCAAACTGGCAAATTACGGCAGAAGCCTATTGTTTTGCGTTCTAAACGGGAAACAGGTGTCCTAATTGGGAACCGCATATGCATGCCACCCAATCAAGAAAAACCAGCATCCGCAAACAGCCACTCCCCAACTACGGAAATCTGGGTTTGCCCGCACATCCTTGCACGCGGAAAACACACCCTTGGCCCCGGTTATGTTTTTTTTTCACAGAAAATATAAAATAAAAAAAAATCGAAAGCCATCCCGATGTCCGATCCAACAGCCAAGCTGGAGAGTTTCCTCAAGACTCTGCTGAAGTCGCTGGATCAGCCGCTTCTGCCAAATCAGCCGCCCGACGCGTACGCTGCGTCGGTCCTTCCTCAGCTCCAGACGCCGTCCAGGGTCATCGTCAATGGCACCCCGTACGGCTCAAAGCAACTGTTCCAGCAGACATGGGCAACATTGCCCGCCTCGCAGCATCAATTGCTCAGTTATGATGCCCATTTGATCCCCACAGGCCATCCGCAAAACATTTACAGCATTCTGGCGCGCGTGAGAGTGCGGTTTGACGAGTCTGGTCGCAACCGACTCGGTGAGACAGCAGACCTCGTACCAGTCGACAGGCCCGCTAGACCGCTGTATTCGCCGTGGTTTGGCGTGTCCTTGTACTTGATTGCTGACGAGCAGCTGAACCACACCTTTGAGTGCGAGTGCATCAGCTCCTTTAATTACAGAGTGACCGAACAACCAGAGAAGAGTGTCTTCCATTTATAACTCAAATAACTCTTTTTATCCACGGCTTGGCCAGCACCAAAACAGTCATTCCCAGGCTGATGGCGCACTGCAGTGCCACACACCCCATTTGGACATAGAGCCCCATTCCAAAGTCTACTGCAGCGAGCTCGTTGTCGTTGGTGAGCTCGTTCAACTTCATCACGTACACGTATTCCACGATCAGGTCTCCCATGTTGAGCACGAGCGACGCGAAATTCAGGGCGTTGAGGGCTCCGAGGATGAATGAGACGCGCTTCTGCATCTTGTAGAACCTGCTTTTCGACCTCAGCAGACTCACAAGCACCACCGCATACGCCAGAGCCGCGCAGCAGCAGCCAAAGCTGCACAAAATGACAAACGGCAGGATCTGGCCCAGGTGCTTGACCAGCAGCGCCTCGTACGCGATCTCGTTGTCATCTCCGAGACTCTCCAAGATGGCGTGAAACCCGGTCACAAGCGAGTCGCCCACGTCTTGCGGCTGACCCTGGCTAGAAATGATGCTCAGACTCATTCCGGCGTCTTTAACCAGCACAGACGGAAGATCCAGGCCGCCACGGAAACTCGTGCATGTTCTCCCGTTGGTGAGATAGTTGTCCTTGCAGTATCCAAAATAGTTGATTTTGAAGATATTGTCCACTGAGAAGGTGTCTATCTCCTTGATGTCCTTGTCGGTAAAGTCGACGGCGGGCGAGTCTGTTCCCAAGTCCATGGCGAAATACGTGATCACCTTGATGCTTTCTCTGATGGTGTTTAGCGGGCTCGCCCGCGAGTCATCGATGAACTGGAACTCGATTTTGGGCAGGCAGTACACACTGTCTGCGCCACACGAGATGGATACGCCGCCGATCAGCAGCGGTGGAACGAACATGAGCAGCGCCAAAAAAGAGAGCACCACAAACGTGCGGTAGTATCCTTTTGTGGGTGCTATCAAAGGTTTTGTTTTGTGGGCGTACGACGTTGTTGTTGTTGTTGTTGTTGAATAGTCGTTTGTTTTCGCCGTGCTCATGAACTGGTCCGAGCTGTTGGCGTCGGTGAGTCCCGACGAGCTGTTGAATGGCGACACCGACATTTTGGACGGCCGTGCTGAGCGCTCGTCCTTGAACGGGTTTTCCACCGCGGCGGCTGGTTCGTCCATCGGCGACCGTTGCGCCGCCTCCTCGTTCGGGTCTGTGAAGAAGATCGGCTTGAACGACTTGCTGCCCGAGAACGTGTCTGGGAATCGGGGGGTCTGGTTAGAGAGCATAGGATTAGCAATAAGCGCGAAAGAAAAGGGAGAAAATTTTGGGAGGATGCATTGCAAATAGATGATAGAATATAACACACGAGCGACGAACGTAAACCTAGAAAGACGCCGGCGGTGTAGTGTGAAATTGCCCCAGGGCTCTGGTAGACTGCCAAATGGCGCCCGCGGAACCTGGCATGCCCGCTGTTTTGAAGAAGCGGGCAACTCCTCTGACCCAGCTCAAATCTCTCCGGGCTGTGCAAAGTAAATCTATTTAATTTCTTCCATGTCCCAGAAGTCGCTGCAGGGCTGGAGATTTGAGCTCGAAGAGCCTGAAAAAGGCACGCCGCGACGCTCGCGACGGTCGGCTGCCGCGAACGTGAGCCAGATCCGTCTCACGCGTGACGCCGATCGGCTCGAACTCAAGAAAGGAGACACGGTCCTTGTCTCGAGCGGTTCGGGGCCTCCCGACGTGGCGCTGATCAGAGACATTGGTTTTGGCACAGACACGTTTCTGGACGTGCGGGTGCTGTGGTTCATGCGGCGGTCAGAGGCAAGCGACGACGTTCTGCCGGAAGACAGTCGGCTCGAAAACGACGTGTTTCTGACACCCATTGTGGAGAAAATTCGGCTTGACGACATTGTCGGGCAGTGCACAGTGCTATCGGCATCGCAGTTTGTTGCCGTGAGCCTGGACAGCTCGAATAGCGGCTCGACGTTCCGCTGCCAAAGGTTTAGCGACAGAGACTCGTATTTCTCAGACCCGGTCGATTGGGACGATTACGTCAGCCGAGGCACGGAGTATGTGTACGAGCGTGTGAGGGAGCTGGCTATTCCACCTCGCCAGGAGTCGCCGCGCAAGAAAAAGCGCATCGACACGCCAACGCAGCAGCAGACGCACAAGGCGGCTAGTCCTCAGCTCGTGGTTCTGTCCGATAGCGAGGAAATCGACCTGGAAGATCTTGATTCGGCATACGAGAGTCCGCTGGAGGACAAGCCAAAGCGCAGAGAGCGGAAAAGAAAGCCCAGAACAGCCCAGAAACCGGCGAAATCCAGCTCTCCTTCAAAGTCGACGCCACGAAGTGCACGCAAGGCCAATAACAGCGTGCCTGTTCTTCCGACCGTGATCCGGCAGAAATTCTTCGAGGACGACAACGAGCTGGTTATAGACGACGACGATCTACAGGAAGTGGTCGACACGGACGGGAAAGTCGTCAAGACGTTCAGAAAGGCCAAGGAGAAGCTGTTGCCGTCGGCCAAGCTGCAAACGCTTCCGTGCAGGGACCAGGAGTCCTCGCAGTTGTACGGCAGTCTTGTGGACGCGATCTTGAGCCAGCAGGGCCGCTGTATCTACGTGAGTGGCACGCCCGGCGTGGGAAAGACGGCCACGATACGAGAGGTGATCAAACAGTTGTTTGTGAACCTTGCCAATGACAACAATAAGAAAATGTTCAACTATTTGGAAATAAACGGTCTGAAGCTCATGTCTCCGCCCGCAGCGTACGAGGCTCTGTACCACAAAATATCTGGCGAGAACGTCAAGGCCGGCGCGGCGCTCGACCTGCTGGAAAGACATTTCGAGACCAGGGACGAGACACGGCTGCCGTTGGTTGTTCTGTTGGACGAGATGGATCAGATGGTGACCAAGAACCAGACGGTGATGTACAATTTTTTCAACTGGCCCACTTACGAGAACTCGAAGCTGATAGTGGTTGCTGTGGCCAACACCATGGATCTTCCCGAAAGACTGCTCACCAACAAGATTTCCTCGCGTCTCGGGCTCACCAGAATCCAATTTCCCGGATACACGTACGCACAGCTCAGTGAGATCATCAAGCATCGTCTCGAGAAGATCGAGCGGGCCAATGAGAACAAGCTGGTGATTTCTAAGGACGCAATTGAGTTTGCGTCCCGAAAAGTGGCCAGTGTGAGCGGAGACGCGCGCAGGTCGCTTGTTTTCTGCGTGCGAGCCTTGGAAATTGCAGAGATGGAGTTTCTGAGCAAACCGCAACAGGAGCGCGACGCGCTCCACGGACGGTTCACCGTGGGCATCGTGCACGTGATGAAGGCTGTGAACGAAGCCACATCGACCCCCTTGGCCAACTATCTGAACTCGCTCTCTTTTGCCGCAAAAATGGTTTTGGTGGCATTTCTTCTGCGTCGCAAACGGACTGGGTCTGCCGAGCTTCCTTTGGGCGAGATCATTGACGAGATGAACAACCAGTTCGGCATGGTGCTGTTTTCCGAGCTGAAGCGGCAGCTAAGCCACGAACAGCTCGAGATGCTGGAGGTGTTGTATGGCCACGAAAAGTCAAGGCTGCGAGTGGACGGGCTGGGGTACATTGTGCGCGAACTGGACGAGAGCGGTGTCATTGCACAGCAACAACTGCGCGCAGAGCGATTGCGGCTGGTGCGCCTCAACGTCAATGAGGACGAAATAGTCGGGTGTCTAAAAAAAGACGCTTTGATGGCCGACCTGATAGCCACTATGTGACTAGTGTCCCCTCACCTCCTCTCTCGATGACACTCTGCGGTCGGCTCTGTCGCTACGCTCGTTGTAGATCAGAATCGGCTCGCCCACGTTTTGAATCTCGGGGATTTTCAGTTTCAGATCGAATGCTTTACTAATCACAATCTTGAATATCTTCTGAATATTGATCGAGGCACTAGTAGAGCAAAAAATTAGAGGAGCGTTCATAGCCCGCGCAAACTTCTGTGCATGTCTCGTGATCTCCTCCTGGTCCGCGTCGCTCAGGTCCACAAACAGATCGTATTTCGTGCCCACCAAGAACGGTATGGCCGTTCTGTTGAATCCTCTTGTTTGCCGGTACCAGTCCTTGACGGAGCTCAGGGTAGACTTGCGGGTTAGGTCGAACATGAACAGCACCGCCACAGCGTCACTGGCCACCAGGGGCAGCATGTTTGTGAACTCTGCCTCTCCGCCCAGATCCCAAATGGAAAATGTGATCTCTGTCGTCTTGATATTGATGGAACGTTCCATATAATTGACGCCTAGAGTTTGTGTATACACCTCGTCAAAACAGTTTTCCACGTACTTGACCATCAGCGAGGTCTTTCCTACCTGTGCGTCGCCCACAAGGCCGACTTTGAGCGTAACTGTGTTCTTGTCCATAAATATAAACATTACACAGCCTGAGGAATTTACGCTACGAGACCACGCACACACCCGTGCACCAGAAAGGGCTCCCTGGGGCGGGCGGATTATTTTCAGTTTCTGCACACGTGACGTTGGAGCGGGCAGCTCGCATTTATGAAAAATTTATCGTGAAAAATATTTTGAAAAACTCTCTTTACGCAACATGGCTATTGGAAAGAACAAGAGACTGTCCAAGGGAAAGAAAGGTATCAAGAAGAGGGTTGTCGACCCATTCACCAAGAAGGAGTGGTACGACATCAAGGCCCCAACCACCTTCGAAAACAGAAACGTCGGCAAGACTTTGATCAACAAGAGTACCGGTTTGAAGAACGCTGCTGACGGTCTCAAGGGCAGAGTTGTTGAGGTTTGTCTTGCTGACCTGCAAGGTTCCGAAGACCACTCGTACAAGAAGATCAAGCTGAGAGTTGACGAGGTCCAAGGTAAGAACCTGCTCACCAACTTCCACGGCATGGACTTCACCACCGACAAGCTGAGATCCCTTGTTAGAAAATGGCAATCCCTTGTGGAGGCCAGCGTCACTGTCAAGACCTCCGATGACTATGTTTTGAGAGTTTTCTGCATTGCTTTCACCAAGAGACAAGCCAACCAAATCAAGAAGACCACCTACGCTCAGTCCTCCAAGTTGAGAGAAGTGAGAAAGAAGATGATGGAGATCATGACCAGAGAGGTCTCTAACTCCACCTTGGCTCAGTTGACCGGCAAGCTGATCCCAGAGGCTATCGGCAGAGAGATTGAGAAGAGCACCCAATCCATCTTCCCATTGCAGAACGTTCACATCAGAAAGGTCAAGCTGCTCAAGCAGCCAAAGTTTGACCTCGGTAACTTGCTTGCTTTGCACGGCGAGGGTTCTGTTGAGGAGAAGGGCAAGAAGGTTGCTGGAGGTTTCAAAGATGTTGTTTTGGAGACCGTTTGAGCGACCACCGGGCGTAGCCAGGTATATGATAAATAATTGAAGTTCAATTAAGATGAATAGTGAAGCGGTAGTAGCAGCAAAAGTAAATTTTTTTTCACCAAACGGTATATCTTACATTATATATAAACCCGTGCTCCTAGTTGTGCAGTCTCTTTTCGAACGAGTACAGTCCGTGGACGCCACCCTCCATCTGGGCGGACGCAGTTCTGATCTCAAATCTGACGTTACCCTTGATGGTCTCCTCTCTTAGAGCAACAATACTCTTGACACCAATATCCTGACAAGAGTGCTGCAGTCCGTTATACAGGTATGGAACGAACTTGGTGACAGACCCCTTGTCCAAAACGGATCCACTGACACCCTGTGCAACGAGAACCTTGTCGCCCTCACTAAAGTATCTCGACGTGGAGGCGTTGGCGTTGGTAGCAGTTTGTTGCATGGCGTCGATCGACCCCATACCTCTGTACGTCTTGAGTCTCTTTCCGTCTCTGTAGAAGTACTCACCTGGAGATTCAGAAGTTCCAGCAAGCATGCTTCCCATCATGACACAGGATGCTCCCAAAGCAAGGGCCTTGGTGATGTGGCCGATATTGGAAACACCTCCGTCAGCAATACATGGCACGCCGAACTGGTTAGCAAACTGGGTCACCTTGTAGACGGCAGTACCTTGTGGTCTACCACAAGCCATAACCTCTTGGGTGATACAAATAGATCCCGAACCCATACCTATTCTGAGACCGTCTGCACCAGCCTCTATCAGTTGCGCAGCCTGTTCTCTGGTGACAACATTACCGGCAATGACCTGCAAGTCTGGGAAAGTCTGCTTGATCCACTTGATCATGTTCAGCTGGAAAACAGAATTACCTTGAGAAGAGTCTAGGACAACAACGTCCAAACCAGCGTCAACCAGCTTGGCGAGCCTCTGTTTGTCACTGTCCAGAGTACCGATGGCGGCACCACAGAGCAGCTGCTTGCTTTGGAAAGATTTGGAGGCGTGAGGATAGTCCTGGTTTTTCTGCAAGTCGGTTCTGGAAAGCATAGACACCAAGTTTCCCTCGCTGTCGACAATTGGAAGCTTACCCTTTTTGGATTTCCTCAGAATGTCGTTTCCTTCAGCCAGAGAAATTCCAGCCTTGGCGGTGATCAAATCAGTAGTCATGATCTCCGAAACAGGGCTGGCATCGTTCTCGTGGAATTGGACATCTCTAGAGGTGATAATACCAACGAGTTTTCCTCCGACTTTACCAGTTTCTAGATTGTTAGTACGAATGAATGCTCTTCTTCAGGATATTGAATTTCCACAAGATCGTTTGATCGTATCGGTAGAACGAAAGTTATTTTAGAAGTTCGATCATCACCAAAAGAGCAAAAGAGAAGTACTTACCGGTCACTGGGAAAGAAGTGAAACCGAATTGCTGGCCCATAGCCTTGACGGTCTCAACCGTGGTCGAAGGCGAGATGGCAACCGGATCGTTGATGAACCCATTCTCGTACTTCTTGACCTTTCTCACCATTTCTGCCTGCTCTTCTGCAGTGCAGTTGTGGTGAATGATACCAATACCTCCCAAAAGAGCCATGTGGATGGCCATGTTGGACTCAGTAACGGTATCCATCGGAGAAGAAACAAAAGGGGTCTTCAAGGTGATCTTCTTAGTCAACTTGGTCTCCAAATCCACGTCCTTGGCAGGGAAATCAATCTTACCAGGCAAGATAAGGAAATCGTTGTAGGTGAGCCCACCGTGGAGCTTGTTGTCCATCAGGTCGTGGACAGAAAGTCCATCCTTCTCCGAGTAGGTCGAAAGGTATTCGACAGCTTTAGAACAGTCCAACGTTTGAGCCATCTGGAATAATAGGGGCGGTTTGCCAAAAAAGAAAAATGGGAATTCTCTAGCCTTTTATACTTTTGACAGGACAAAAAAAATTTTAATCAAATTTTAGTAATAATCTAAAATTTTTCACCGTGTATCTCACGATATATAACAGAAACTATATGTTCTTTCCTTAGTAATAACCGCCTACCATGCTTTTCTTGCTCAAGATAAGGACATGTAATCCAGACAGCACTTATCCACCCTGGGTACAGACAAGTGTTTGCCGGACGTGTATTTCCTAAAGCAGTAATTCATTATCCCGATTAGCACACCGGAGATTAATCTGGTAAGATAACTGTAAACTGGAAATGGTAATTCCCCGGCCCAGTCAGAACCCCATTGAACGTCAAGCTCCATCTTTTGGCCTTCCAAACAGCTCCCACGACCTGGCTATCCACGGTCCCATTCTCCCGTGTAGGGATGTGTATATGTATGTTATCTTGTTTATTTTTATTTATTTTACTTCAAACTCCATCCAATGTCGCAGCCGGAGGAATCCCCGCAGACGCGGTACATGAGAAACATCCAGCTCATGGAGAGCCAGTTTTTTCGTCAGATGTCGGCTTTTGGAGCACAGCCTGTACCGCCGCTCAGCTCGAAAACAGGAGCAATGAGTCCACCCTCAGATCCCTCAGATTTACTTTCTCGGTCACCTAGCCCGCCTCCTCCGGTGCCTCCAAAGACCTATCTTACACACAGCCCTCAAAAATCCTTATTCAGACCGAGTTTCGCAGAAACAAACAAGAATTCAACCCCAACACAAAGCCTTTACGACAAGAATCGCATGAGCAGTGTACGTAGCGACTCATCGGCATCCGCGGCGTCAAGCCTGTCACGCAAACCTTTTTTCAAGCCAAACTTATCGCACGAGTCGCAGAAATCGCTTTTCGAGGAAGCAAGTCAGCCCGTGGCCAGGCCTGCTCTCCGATCGGACTCTGTTGAAGAAGACGAATTGCGCGACTCTGTGGGAACCCTGAACTATTTTGACCGCAAGGGGTACAGAGTATCCAATGATACATACAATTCGCTGCTGTTCAAGAACTCAGGCGGTTCGATGGTTAGCATAGACGAAAGCCCTGTTACGATAGACCACTTGCCCGATAGCATCAAGCTAATTGTCGACTCACGTCCCAGCGGTCAAGTCCATGATCTCGACTATTTCGATGGTGCTCAATACAGTGCATTCTGGCTCATAACTGAAGATGAAGCACAAACTCTCACAGACTGGAACTCGTTGGAATTCCATCGCCAGAATGCAATTTTTGAGCTGTTTTTGCTGCTTCGCAAGTTCAGAATTAATCTGAAGCGCATGGTTTTCCATTACGGCCCAGCATTCAAAGAGGCGAAGAACCTCCCTGCAGACCAGGAGGCAGATTTCCAGAAAACTTTTGTTCCCCTGAGGGCCCTATACGAGTATCTGGAGAAACTAGTGCGCAAACGATTGAAACCAGCCTTTGATAACCACTTTTTCGTCAACGACCGTTACGTATTAGACTCATTGAAACACTGGCTCTTCAAACTTGAACGCGATTACGAGTACATCTCCCGAAGCATGGTGTATCTGGCGAAAGTTGCTGCCAACGAACAATTTAGAGAGTGGATTCAGGTCACTGAGCAAACGGACGAGCTGGCCCTCGGGAACAACTATCTTGCATCTGCCAGAGAGCTTTTCCACTCTTATTTTCTTCAAGCGTTTGCTCCAATGAGACTTATGGTGCTTGATCTCAAAAAGCTGTACACCAAAATGGAGGACGACAAACTTGTTGCATTGGCTCAGGACATTTTTGACCTCCTCAACAAAATCAACAAGATCAGCGACTTTACTACTGATCTAGACAAGAAGATCAAATTGAACGAGAAGCTGGTCTGCACGGACTATTTATACTTGGAGATGGTGGATCTCTTCAATGCCAAGAGAAAACTTCGCGTTCCAATAGACATCAATCTTCGTACAACCGTTTCTTCAGAAAGCGCCATCCTCTACCTTCTAGACAACTATCTACTTCCTCTGGTTAAGCGCGAACATAAAGAGGCCACCTACTTGCTCAACAAGCCTCCTATTGCGCTGCAATATCTTGAACATACGGTACATGAGGAAAACGGAGAAAAAACACTAATATTGAAAGACGCTGGAAACTGTTACACCTACAATGTCCGGAACGAGCGTGTAGATGCCCCTACTCTTTTCAACAATTTCATCAAAGACATTCCGAAATATAAGGATGAACTGTTCACCAAACTAAGCAAAGCATACGAACTCAAACTAATCAACGGCACATCATTCCAGATTCCGGTTCCCTATTACGAGTTCACCATGCTGCCAATTGAGAAAACTGAACTTGATCTTGTACAGCAGGCTCTTGCTCAATCGAAGTTCAAGCCATACTCTGTCCCTCCAATTGCTAATACCCAAGTGCTCAGCGTTGACACTTTCCGCAGGGGTAGAGAACTTTTCTTTGTTGTTGGAACAGCCGACGGGATCTACATGGGTAAACACGACCAGCCAGCAACGTGGAAGAAGATCTGTTCGTATCCTGATGCCGTCAAAATTACCATCATGCATGAGGATATGGCTTTCCTCCTTCTAAAGGACAAGCTGTACAAGGTGGACACAAAGGATATTTATGACTGTTACGAGCGAAATCTGCCGTGCAACTCCAGGCTGTACCAGATTGCTAAGGGCGTGAACTCTTTTGAAGTAGGCCCCCAGACCATTCGTCGCGGACCCATCGTGATGGAGTGCGATATCTTATTTTGCTGGACGGACAAAAAGATTATGTTCAGCATTGTGACTGCCAGCAACGGATGGAAGCTGAAGTTTGAGTCGATGAGGCCAATCTTCAAGGTTCTTGGGCTGCATCTACTATACCCAACAGACTTTGTGATCAGCCACATCAACGAGAACAGTCCCATTTTTTACCTATCGAACCTCAACACGATGGGCAACACCCAACTCAACAAGACAGATTCGCAAAGGGACCTCAAGTCGCGTGTACGTGGCCAGAGGCCAATTGCCGCTTTCAAGCAACCTGTCAACGACAAACACACCGACTATGACCTGTTGCTGGTCTACTCTCGGTACTGTATGTTTGTGAAGTACAGCAAAGAGCATGTTGTGACCACTTCACGAACAGAAATTCTCCGTTTCGGGTTCGAGGTTCAGGATGCCACGTACGACAGCTGCGAGCAGATCCTGGTTGTATGCGGCGAACAGAATATTGAAATCTGGAAGATATTTAGGGACCGACAGGCCAAGTCTGAGCTTATAGGATGCATTATTGGGTCGCAGGCCAGACTTTTGAACAAGACGCCCGGAAAAATCATCATTGGCGTGATGGACAGCGAGCACTACGCTGGGAAAGGCAACCAGCTACTTTTGCACTTGCGCAAGCGCAAATAGGGTCGATTGTATATCCCTCTGTACTTTTATACCCATACGTCGATCGACGCTCAACTTAAAAAAAAATAAAAAACATTCATCTGTCTTTCCCAATTGCTCCAGCCATGAGTCAATCTCCGCCAAACACGCAAGGACAGCGCAACATTATGCAAATCACTCCGCAGCATGCGCAACAGCTTTTTAGGCATTACCAGCTGGAGAAAGACTTGGCCGAGCGCGCAGGTATCGACACTCCCGAGGGGAAGGAACATATGGAGAAGGCGCAGAAAATCAAGGAGGTTTTGATGAAGTACAACAGGAGACAGCAGATGCTGAATGCTCAATCGCAAAACAGAGGCTCTGGAACGCCTGTGGCCGGACAACAAAGCTCTCCGGCACCAAACATGGCTTCTGGAATGTCTTCCCAAATGGGTACACCGCAGCAGCTTGGAAACACACAGACCGCGACTGCGCGGGCTCAGGGCGGCATGAGCACGTCTCCACAGCAGAACATTCCGGGCTCGCGTCCGAACATGGGTCCACAGCCGGTACAGCGCCAGCAGTCGTCGCCTTCTCTGGGTGCAGGCACTCCTCCTCCTCAGGGCTCTGGAGCACCGAGTACACAAGACCAACACGCGAAATACCAGCAGGTCTTTCGGCTTGCAGAGCAGTTCAAGGCTCATTTGGCTGTAATCCAGGGCAAACTCAATGATCCAAACACGCCGGCAAACGAGATGGCGCAATACATGCAAAAAGAGAGAGAACTGAGCGGCAAGGTGGAGCAGTGCAGACGTTTTGCCCAGCAACTGGCCCAGCAGCTGAATCTTTCTCAGGGCGGAATGGCCAACCAGTCCCGAATGGGGTCCCAACAGTCACAGGGAGACGTGTACCCGCAGCAGATGATGAATCCACAACAACAGGCTCTCCAGCAGCAAAGGATGATGCAACAGCAGCAGATCCAAGGCCAAAATACCAATTCTCAAGCACAGAGGATGTCGCAGCCAGCGCAGTCGCAATCACCAGCCATGCAGCAGCAGATGATGGGCCAGATGCCGATGTCCGTACAAATGCAGCAGATGGCCAGCGGGAAGATGCCCCCCCAGAAAACGCCCGTGCAACAGCAGCCGCCAATCAAGAAGCAGAAGGTGGGAACCTCCGGAGCAAGCACTCCGATCACTAATGTCAATGCTGCCGCGTCCAAGCCGGTGCCAGGGGCTGGTCCAGGCACCTCTGCCACGCCTATGGCCGGCAATGTCTCGTCGGAGTCGTCGCGGTCGCGGTTCCAAAACATGCCAATTCCAGAGGAGCTCAACATTGGCACTCCGCAGCCGGTCTCTGTCAAGCAGAACAACAGGCCGTCCATTCTGAACGGCAACTCCATTGGTGCAGCCTCTTTGACCACTCCTGTTCTCGTTCGGCCACAGAACTTCGAGCTGGAAGGCGAGCGAGTGCTCAACCGCAGAAAGCTCAAAGAGCTTGTTAGGTCTGTTGGGGCGGACGAGGGCGACGCTGAGATTTCGATCGACGGAGACGTGGAAGACCTGTTGCTGGACCTCGCAGACGAGTTTATCACCTCTGTGACCTCGTTTGCATGCCGTTTGGCCAAACATCGCAAGTCTGAGAGTCTCGACGTGCGCGATGTGCAGCTTCATTTGGAAAGAAACTGGAACATTCGCATTCCTGGCTACTCGTCGGACGATATCCGCACCGTCAGAAAGTTCATCCCGACTCCGTCCCACAACACCAAGCTGAATGGAATCTCCATCAACAAGAGTGTCAATAAGAGCCAATGATGTATTTTAGCTAAGTTGATTGGTAATGTACTGCTAGAAATAACACTATGTAGAGCTTGCTAGTAAGCCTACGGCCGGCTCTACGCATGGCTCCGTCTAAATATCTAAAATTTGTCTCTTACGTAATACTTCCACATGTTTTTTGATGCTAGCTACATAAGGCCATCGTCCCTGCTAGTGAGCAGTAACCAGATCTCTATTGACTGGATTGTGCACCTACTTTTGTGCACCCTTCTGAATCCCCTAGGGGTCTGGGTCTACGCGGTGCCAATGTACCTACGGATGAATGACCGTAAATACTTGCGGTTTGGATCTTATGTGGTCATATGCTGGGTTCTACGATATCTGAACCTGCGCAGCAAACGGTGCAAGTATCCGCGGCGCAAGCACATGAATGTTATTATAACTGGCGGGTCTCACGGTCTTGGACTGGAAATTGTGCGCAGAATTTGCGATAGCGCAACGGTTTTCGTTTTGGACCAGGAAAAATCCGCTCAGCTCGAGCCGCTGCTGGTTTCGACCAAAAACGTGCAATTTCTGCAGTGCAATGTGGCGGACCAAAAGTCGCTGCAGACTGCGCTGAACACTATCTTTGGCAGCGTCGACCGGTTAGATGCCGTGATTTGTAATGCTGGCGTCCGCCAGACCAAACAAACTCTACATTTGCAACCGTCAGAGCTACGAGAACTTTTCGATATCAATTATTTTGCCAACGTGCAGCTCATACAGCACGCCATCAAACACCATAGACACCCAAACAGGCTCCATCTTGTGTGTGTGAGCTCTGTGCTTGGGTTTGTTTCTCCACGCGGCCTGTCTGGCTATTCTGCCACAAAAGCAGGTCTACATACATTTTTCATGGCTCTCAGACACGAGGTTCCCGACAGCGTAGTCATCAGCACGATTATACCTGGCCAGTTGACCACTCGGATGTTCGAGGACGTGCGTGTTGACAGGTATTTTTGGGCTCCTCTGGTAGACCATTGCAAGCTGGCACAACGGGTTGTCGAGTTGATAGAACGCGGCGAAAACGGGTTTTTTGCATTTCCGCTGTACGCGCGGTTCATTCCAATTTTGCAGGTGCTTCCATACTCGTGGTACCGCGCTCTCAAGAAATTCAGTCGTATGGACGACGTGATAGAGGATAAATAAATTCAGTTATTTTTTTCCACTTCTTGCACCAGCTGTTCGATAACTTTAAGTAGCTCGGTGGGGACAAGATATCCATCCGAATTAAACACCTTGGGCATTTCGAGCGTATGTTGGATGGTGTTTTTGCCGTCTGCAAGCGTCATGTAGTAGACAGGCTCAGCCTTGGACTTGAGCTTGGTGCTGATTGTCACTTTTTTCGAGCCCTTGGTGCCAACGTACTTGACGTTCTTTTCGACAAACTTGGAAAATCCAACCCATATGCCGTTCAGGATGAAAAACACCACCACTAGCACCGTCGTGTAATTGACATATTCCGAGTTTGAGAAGTCGTTGTTGTATTTCTTCTCCAGCCAGTACATCAACGCGCTAGCCCCAACCGATAGATACCCCACGAGAAGCTTGAAATCGGTGTTGAAAAACGATTGGCTGTATCCCAGCCGAGCCATTATATCTGGCAGCGCCTCGTCGCACTCATTGCGGAGAGCAATGGCGGAATACAAATTGACCTTTTTCATAAATACAATAATTAATTTTTCGTGCCAAAATTACACTATATACGGCTCGGAATACTCGTGCTTGAAAATAAGATTAGGTTTTCTTTTTGCCAGGTCGAGGATTGTCTTTGCAAATTCGCTGTTGCACCAGCTAAACCACGGCCTTGTATACTGGTGGTTTGGGGCGTTAACGTGGATGCTCTCGTGCATCAGGCCCAGACCCGCTGTGGTAGTCTTGACGAGTTCCAGAAGCTCCATGATTTCGTCTTCGTCGTCTGTTGTGCGGATTTGAAGCAGCAATGACATTGGCCACGCATTGGAAAGCCCCACATGCGGGCCACCAATGCCCCTGAAATATTTTCCTTGGAAATAGTACGGGTTGCCGTCTTTGGAAAGAATCATCTTTCTGGTATTCTGGTAGATTTCGTCGCTTTTGTCTAGATATCCCATATCTGGCAGGGCCAGAAGCGACGGAATGTTAGCGTCGTCCATGATGTTTACCCCGCCAAAGCCGTCAACTTCGTACGCGAACACGGTGCCATACTTTCTATGGTTCACAACGCCAAACTCCTCGATGCCCTTGCGAATGGCCGCAGCGTAGTCCCGCACTGAGTCGGCAAAATCTCTAAGTCCGTTCTCGCGCAGAGCGGGCTCCAACGTAGCCAGCTCAACCTGCAATTGCGCATTGGCCGGGATGAAGAGTTGATAAATACACGCGTCGTCCGACGGTCTGAACGCCGACCGTATAAGCCCCGTGTTGCCGCAAACGGGGTTGCCTGAGCCCGCAAGACTCAGTGTTTCCGTTCCTATTGTCGTTTCTCGCTGGAAAACGTAGTAGAACGGCAGCAGGTCGCCATTCTCGTCGAACGTGGGGATAGACTCGCGGCGCAGCACAGTCAGAACCAGCTCAAATGCGTCTTTCCAGCTCTGGTGGCGGAAAATTGAGTTGTCGCGCGAGTTTTTGTAGTACTCGTTGGTCAGGGTGAGAAACGAAGCAAGCGAGTCCAGCTCCCATTTGCACTCGAAAACGTGTTTCCAAGGCGGACGAGGTCCAACATGGTCGACGCTCGACGGCTTGCGGACCACTCCAGAGCCTTCTGGCGGCTGGAACGCGTTGCAATAGGGCGCCTTCTTGATGTACAGGGCCTGCTGGATAATGGCTCCCTTGATTAATTGCTGCAGCTTGGCGTCTTTCTTGACGAGTGGCTGGTACACACTAAGCTGGCGCGCCGAGTCACGCAGCCATTCTGCGTGGATGTCGCCTGTCGAAATAAAAGTGCGGGGGCTGTTAGTTTCTGCATTATCTGGATCGTGCCACAGAACTGTGGTGTCCAAGGTGTTGGGGAAGGCGTTTTCAAACAAGCGGAACAGGTCGGGATCGGCCATGCGCAGCCGCATGTCCTCGATGACGCTCTCGACGGCGCTGCTGGTGAAGGTGCGGCAATCTTTGGCCGGTCGCATATATGCCAATTTTAGGGGTCCTTCGGAGTACGGCTCGTGTCTGTGCTGCGAGTACTCGACATAGTCAGGACACCGGATATCGAGCTTGTTGCCTTTGAACCACTTGGTCTCCATGACCTGCTCGTTGGCCATTTCCAGGGCCCGTTCTGTGATCATTCGATCTCGTTCCTTCTGCCGGAGGGTCTCCAATGCTTGCGAGTGCTCGTCCAATTGACTGTCGGAATCATTATTGCGTGAGCGCACATATAATACCACCACAACTACCAGCAGCAGGTACGTCAGCCTGGCCGAGCGGGCCACCCGTGCTATATTTTCATACCGCAATGCCATCAGTAAATAAATCTAGTTATCTCAAAAAAAAACACTTTCTCGTATTTTCCCATGTCAGAATTAGCACAGTAAGTATCTGTCCAATTGCACTGACACAGATTTGTTTCTACGATTCCGCCGGTCACGCGCACAATCACGCTCACGTCGCTGGCTATGTGTGCGCTGAACGCGCTCAATCTTGTGCCGTATGTGTCATTTGTATGGTACTGGCCTGCTGTCTGGAACGAGTGGCAGTTCTACCGCATTTTCACCGGCCTGCTCGTGCCACACCCGCAGCCAATGCAGGGACTGACCGAGATATACATGGTTTACAGTTTTTCGCGGGGCCTCGAGGAGGGCAAATTCTCCAGGATCCTGCCTGACTACATCTACTATCATCTCATTATTCTGCCCATAATAGTGCTGACCACATTTTTCACTGCGCCGCCCCTGATCTCGTCCACCCCTTCGCTGCTCTCTGCGCTCACATATACGTGGTGTGTGGCGAACTACGACCAGACGGTCAACTTCTACTTCATGCAAATCAAGGCGTCGTTGCTGCCAGCTGTTTTTCTGGGCTTCAGGCTGCTTGTCGACGGTCGAGCAAGTTTTTTCCAGGCCCTCACTGGCATGTGCGCCGCGTACATTTACAACTGCATCGAGACCGCCTCCCTGGGGCCTCTGATGTCGGTCATCACAGGGCAGCAGATGCTCGAGCCCCCTCACCGCGTCGGCACCACTGCCACCACCACAACCCACAACGTGTGGTACTACTCGCAGGGGTATCTACCGGCCCCCGTGTGGCTCAGAACGACCATTTCGAGGCTCACGGGCATCGACTATAACTCGCGCATTTTCCAGCGGCCGTACGGTATGATGTTCCAGGCCAAGCAGCCGGCAAAGAGCGCCGCGACACAAACTTCGTTTTTGCGTAGAATGTCCAACAACGCGTTCCAAGGCCGCGGCCAGAGACTCGGGTCTGCAAAGGAATAAAAAAAAAGCATCCAAAAAAAAACAAAAAAAAACGGTGGTGTCCCGCTATATATAAACCATGACAAGAGACTCGCCGCTTTGGGTCGTCGGCTACGGCTCGCTGCTGTGGAAGCCGCCGCTCCACGAACTGGACATCTCGCGCGAGTTCGTCAGGTTTCCCGGCTACATACAGGGCTACGCTAGACGGTTCTGGCAGAGCAGTTACGACAACAGAGGCACTCCCGAACAAAAGGGCCGTGTGGTGACGATTATCCCGAGTGACAAGATCGTGGATACGCCGGAGTTTAAGCCGGATATTCTGAAGTACGAGCTGGCAGACAACCCAGAGGCACAGCAGATCATCAACGACAGTGCGCAGCTCTATTCCGAGCTCCGGGTCTGGGGATGCATTTACTACATTCCGCCGCAATATGCTGCTATGGCAACAAAGTACCTCGATTTTAGGGAAAAAGACGGCTACACGATCCACAAAATCCACTTCAACGTGACAGACCCCTGCGGCCACGAAGACGTGTTGCAGGGTCTGGCGTGCGAAAACGGGCGGTACGTCGTGGAGTCGATGATCTACATCGGAACGGTCGATAACGAGTCGTTTGTGGGTCCAGAGGACGTCGAGACGACGGCAAAGGTGATTCACAAGTCGGCCGGCGAGTCTGGGCCCAACGACGAGTATCTGCTTCTGCTGCATCGCGAGGTCGAAAAAATGGGCGGCGATCCGTATTTGGAAGACCTGGTGAGCCACCTAGCTCGGCTCGAGTAGAGCCTCCTGCATACAAGATCAATACCAAGTAGATTTTACAATTCCCGCGCAATCGACTAGCCAAATTTCCATGCGGCTCAGTTTTAAACACTATAAAAAAGTCCATCGTCCTTCTTCAGGCCATGGGTAATAACACTGCTGCCAACGTCCTGAGCACGATCGGCACTGTTTTATGGTGCATCCAGCTGTCTCCCCAGATATATTTTCTGTGGAAGCGCAAGGATGCCACCGGTTTCCCCCCGATCTTTATGTTTCTATGGGTCTTATCAGGCATACCCTTTGGCATCTACTTCATCACGTCTGACTCGTATATCCCATACCAGCTTCAGCCCCAGATGTTCTCGATTCTCTGCGGTATAGCCTGGCTGCAAAGCATGTACTACCCGCCATACAACACGCCGCTTAAACGGGTCTTATTGTACGGCTTTTGCTATCTCTCGACGTCGCTAGCAATGCAGCTGGGATTTGGTATTCCTTTGAAGAGGCTATACAAGGAGGGCATTACGTGGCCGACCACGGTGTTTGGGATCATTGCGGCCGTGTTCCTGGCTCTTGGACTTTTGCCCCCCTACTACGAGTTGCTTAAGAGGAACGGCCGAGTCGTTGGCATCAATTTTATATTTCTAATGATGGACTCTGCAGGGGCCATTTTTTCCATGGCCGGGACCCTTGTGGGCGAGCTGGACGTGCTGGGCATGATCCAGTTCGCTGTCGTTCTGGCGCTCGAGGTCGGGCTGTATTTGAGCCAAGCCATATGGTACATTCGGTTCCGAGTACTCAGAAAGGAGGAGAAGGAGGAGCCGGAGGGAGCGAGCAAAGAGCAGGCTCAAGTGTGAGATTTCCCTGGCCAGTCCCATGATTTAATAATGTCCCAATTAATATCTAGAGCATCGAGGAACTTGGAAAACGTGCCGTCGCTGAATTCAACGCGGCGACTCTGTTTTAGTTTTGTCAGTTCGCCTTCTGTCCGCACTTCAGCCAGCGACGCTCTGTATTCAGCATACTTTTCGAGTCCGTGGATCAGCTGTTTAGCGTCGTTTCTTGTAAAGTAGGATAGATACGCTTCAAACAGCTCGGCTGTCATTGGAAACCGCAGATCCACCAGTTCCCATATCAAAGAGGCCAGCTCGGCGCGCCTCTCAAACTCTCCCAAGGCTTTAATATATACCAGCAGAAGGTTCTCTGTGGGATACATGAGATCTGGGTTGTCCTGGTACGCCTGGTTGGTTCTGAGCTTGAATTCGTGTATAGCAAAATCTAGAGGTGTTTTATCGTCCCAAAAGATGGAATCATAACTCCCAAGCTCACGGAGCCTTAGAGCCGCCAGAAACAGCGACGACAGCGCCAGCGGGCTATTCTCGGCAAGAAATTGTTGATATCTGGTGTGTGCGCCGGCGGGATCTATCAGACACTCGCCCAAAAGGTGCTTAGCTACCATTTGCCGGGAACTGTGGTCCTGCTCGAAAAGTGCCCGTGCCAGCTCAATGGGTGTCTCAAAAACCCCAATAGACAGATTCTGCCGAATGGCGCGCTCCTCCATTATGGAATCCTGTTCACGCTCGTAGCGGTCAATTAGGTTATTTTCTCGAGCTGGTCCAGATTTTTTGGGAGGCAGACATAGCTTGCTGAGAAGATACAACTTGGCGACAAGGTGCGCAAGATTGATGTTGTCCAAAGCAAAATCGCCAGCCTCCAGAAGCCGCACCAGGCTGCTACGCGACGGTATGTTGTCTATGAGAATGTCCACTGCTCTATGGTTCACGTGGAAACTATTTTTTGCAACAAAATGGTTCCAGATTTTCTGGTGACGGTTGGGAGACACGTTTGTGGTGAAGATTTTGTACATGACGAAAAGCCATATTTCCGGGTACCGTTCTGTGAGCTTCCTGTCTAGAGATGACACAAGAGAGATGAGTTGGTCGGCAAACTCGCTGCCCCAGGACGGGTCATCCTGAGTGTGCAGAAGAAGAATGGATGTACAGAGCGACTTGACATTGAAGTCTGTGCGCAGCCGGCGCAGTTCCTCGATCGTGTGAGATGGTGCCGGCCGTGGCTGGCTCAGGACGCGCTCGAATCCGTCGATGTCAAACGAATCAAGCTGCCATCTGTCGAATTTGGCCTGTGCTGCCTTAAATAGCTGGTATGCCTTGTCGCGGTCGTCAAAGTACGAGATCACAGACGCCACAAGCATGGTGTTGAAATCCACCAAGTCGGTTTCCGAGCTCTCGTTCGCCGCGTGGATGGCCGCAATCAGCTTCGACTGTGCGCGATAGTAGTGTTTGCACGGCCAGCTATTATTCTCGCCAGAAACGTCGAGAGCGGTGTGCCATAAAATTTCTCTTATTTGCGGCACAAGCTCTGCTGAGTTGCCCAAAAGGAACACGTCCAGTATGTTCTCCAGCGCTTCCGGGCTCTCGCGTAGCGCAAAAAAGTAGAGATTTGAAAAGACCGGCGGCAGTAGCAGTTTCCGGTCAAACATGGGATCTGTAGGTTCCTGCAACTGGCTGCGATACCACCACTTTTCCTGGTCCAGAAGAACCACTTCCTGGCCCCAATGCTTGTAAAGCTCCACAAGCGAGTAGAACTCCTGCTTGTTTTGCGGCTGGCGGAGCAGAATGTCGTATATCACCGAAACAGGCACTTTGGGCACATCTTTCAGAGCGTAAACAGAACGGAACAAATCCGGCGCCAATATGCTGTTTATCCAGCTGAGAACTTCGCTATCGGGCAGATCTGCAGTACTCCAGCCTTTTGTCTGGTTCAGTTTCTGTTTTAGCAGCTGGAACGCGATCCGCGTCGTCGTACTGGAGCTGATAGCGCGCCAGTGTTGGCGTAACATGAATGTTTCCAAAACAGACGACTCCACAACCAGCGGAACAGGATCAACTCTGCCCAAGAAAGACAGCGCGAGACTCTCAGCCGGCGCGTTTTTGTACTGGGGATCAACTGCCGAAATCATGCAATGAAGCAGCAGACTCAGGACAGACTCCTCGTCGGCCAGCTTTCGCAGGTCCTTGTGGTAATCTGTATTGTCTGCAGTTTGATTCAAGCTCAGTAGAGTGTCCTGGATGCTTCCCGAGCAGCTCGACGCCGGGGAGGGGCCTATTCTATAGTAGGGCGAGGAGGAGTATTTCGATACGAGTATTGAAGAAACACTCTCTGGAGTCTGCGAAGACGGTCCCTTTGGCCGATTTTTATCCATCCGGCCGTTGATAAACTCCAGCAGCGCCCGCGTGGACCGGATTGTGTGCTGGCGGCGCACAGAGCCTGCGACGGTGGCCCTGCGTAGCGGCGTCGGAATCAATCTTAACATACTTCTCCACAAACACAGCCTGGAAAAAATAAATATGTCTCATGGATTTTCTCACGAGTATCGGGAGATGCTTGCTGAGGCGCTGCGGGAGTCGAGCGGCTCCGATACGGGATCCGAGGGCTCGGGACGGCCATTGAAACGGCGCCGCGGGCGTCGATGCCACAGCAACGAGCACGACTCGGGAAACGACAAGCGAGCGAAAATCGAGACGGCAAACGACTGTGTGGTCGAGATTCAGCACGGAAGCTCGGCGTCGCCGCAGCCACCGCAACCCGAACCGGCCGGCACAGAGGTGATTAGTGTGGACAGCGAAGAAGACGACTATAGCGAGTTTGACGAGGACTTCGAGGACGTCGATCTAAGCGGCACGGCCCCAGATCTCAACCGTGAAAGCTTGTCCGAGGAAATCACAGTTTCCGTCTCGCGACCGACCAAGCCGACGCGCAAACAGAACGTCGTGTCGGCGGACGAGCGCATGTTCCGCAAAACGCTGCACATGTTGTATTTGTTTGTGATGGTGGCCCACGGCGTGGTGCGCAACACCTGGTGCAGCTCGCCCGAGGTTTTGCGCGTGTTGCGCGGCCAGGTGCCCGGAAAGCTGCTTGCAGAGGTGGACGAGTTTCACGAGCAGCAGCAGCGTGCCGACGTGACCAGCGCGGCCAAGTCGCGCCGTCTGCTGGACCTGCTGCGCCACCTGATGCAGTACTGGTACCGGAGCTGGACCCTCGAGCCACGCCACCGGGGACTGTACAAGAAGACGTGGGAGGAGATTGCGAAACTGTGGGAGCAGCCGGCTATGCAGGGCGAGAACGTGACGAAGGCACGGTTCATCAGGCGGATGGAGCAGCGGCGCGGCTCGCGAGACCTGGCGGCGCAGGGCTTTGTGGCGCTGCTACGTGCGCTCGACATCAATTGCCGGCTCGTTTTCTCGCTGCAGCCGCCAGACTTTACCAACCTGGCCGTCCTGGCCCCTTCTACGCCGTCCAGTGGCCCTTCCAAGGAAACAAGCCCTGCTCCCAAGTCTTCGCCGCGCCGGCGCAAGACCGCGTCGCAGCACGAGCGGCTGCTTTCTGCTCTGCGCGTCAACAGGCCCGTTTACACCAATTTTCGGCCAGAAGCTCAGGACGACGTCCAGTATCCTGTTTTCTGGTGCGAGGTCTGGGGCAGCGCCAGCAAGCGGTTCACCAGCATCGACCCGATCGTCCAACGGTACATCGAGAACGTCGGCACGCGGTCCAAGTTCGAGTGGCCGAACAACACCACGTACGTGCTGGCGTACGACCGGCTGGGCGGCGTGCGCGACGTCACGCGGCGCTACAGCGTGCACTTCAACGCCAAGACGCGTAAGAAACGTATTACCAGGGACCCGCACGGCCAGGATTGGTACGACAAGCTGCTGCGCGGCGCAAACTCGCGGCGCCGGCTCGCGAGCAACAAAATCGACCAGTACGAGCAGGTCGAGTTTGAGCAGCGCTCGCTCAAAGAGGGTATGCCCAACTCGATCCAGGACTTTGTGAACCACCCGGTGTACGTGCTGGAGGAGCAGCTGAAGGCGAACGAGGTGTTGAAGCCGAAAATCAGCTGCGGAACGATCCGCAAGAAGACGAAGGCCGGAAAGGAGGGCGAGCTGGTGCCGGTATACCGTCGCTCGAACGTGGTTACCGTGCGGTCTGCAAAGGCGTGGTTTCTACGGGGCAGGGTGCTCAAGATCGGGGAGCAGCCGCTCAAGGTGCGAGAGCAGCGAAAACAGCGGCCAGATGACGACGACGATGACGTGAGACTCTATGGAGAGCACCAGACAGAGAGGTACGTTCCGCCGCCCGTTGTGGACGGCAGAATTCCGCGCAACTCGTACGGGAACATCGACTTGTACCAGCCGTGGATGCTGCCCGAGGGAACGGTGCACATTCCGGAGAAACAGGCCGAGAAGGCTGCAAAGCTGCTTGAAATCGAGTACGCACCTGCTGCGGTGGGTTTTGATTTTGGTAGTGGTAGTAAGGGCCGCGGAGCAAGCGTCAGCGTGCGAATTGCTGGCGTTGTTGTTCTGGCGGAGCATAAAGAGGCTGTCGAGACAGTGTGCGAGTATTTGAGGGAGGAGGAAGAGGAGGCGGCTCGCAAACGCCGTGAGGCTGCCGCACTGCGTGTGTGGGCCGTGGTGCTAGCCAAGCTTCGGATTTCGAGGCGACTAGACAGGGAGCATGGGCTGGTGGAAGATTCCGACGACGACTCAGGCGACGACGTTCCGTCTGTCAGTCGGCACGAGTTGCTGTCAGAGGACGATCAAGACACAGCAGGCGGCTTTGTCCCGGAGGAATCCATTTTCCAGCAGGTCGATTCCGGTGGTTTTCTGCCCCAGGATACTGTAGCACCGCCTGTTTCGCAAGACTCGTCTACGAGCAATTCAGGGGCCGAGAGCGATGGCGACGCCGCCGCTTATTCTGACTCCGAAGGCTACGAATTCGAATATAGTGACTAATGCATTACACCTTCTTGCGCTTGAGTTTTTCCTCCTTGAGCCTGCGCTCCAGCATTTCCTCGCGCTTGTCGTCGAGCCGTGCCTGGCGCAGCGCCCTCTCCTCCTCCTCCAGAATGTCGGCGCCCGTGGCCTCCATGTCGTCATCGTCGTCGTCAAAGTACTCCCGCTTCTTGCCTCTGTTGAAGAGCTGCCAGATTTCGTCGCTATTATAGTCGCGTCGGCGCTCGCGCAGGTCGTCCACAACAAAATCGTCCAGACTATCGTCCTCAATGAACGAGTCCTCGTCCTCGTCCCCAGATTCCGCCTCAATGCCGTAGCGGTCCGTGCGCACGATCCGCTGCACCGGCCGTTTGTCTCTTTTTGCAACGCTCGGCTTCTCCCGTTTCGACAGCTTCTGCAACAACGCCGTCGAAGGCTGTGCAAACTTTGTCTCGGGCTGTTTGCTAGTGTCCTTCTTCCTCGTCTCCGTCTTGATCGGCATGTAAACCAGCTTGTTCCTGTCCACAGTCTCTGCCCGGGACATTAGCTCCTTGAACGACATTTTCGGCAGCGGAGGCCGTGCCGGAGCAGCTGGCTTCTTCGCTGCGTCGTTTTTGGGCACAGGCTTCTGTCTGCTGAGCCGTTCGCGCTCGCTGTCACGCTTCTTCAACGCCTCCAGCCGTTTCTGACGCTTCTGCTCCTCTTGCTTCTCTTTTTCGTGTCGTCTTGCCTCCTTAAGCCGCTGTACGGCCGGGTCTGGTGCCGGAGTGGTCAGAACAGAACGACTAGGTTTCCTGGCCGGTGTCGGTGGTTTCTTGGCTTCGCCGCCCGATTTCGGCACAGACACGCGTACAGGCAAATTAGGTGTCTGTTTAGCCCCGGAAGAGGGCGTCTGCGTGCCCTTTCCGGTGATCTGTGTCAAAAGCGAAGAGAAACTCATGGGAAAAAAAGTCGCGACGGCGACGACAGAAATACGGTGATGTTGCCAAAGCAATCGTCAACGCGAAAACAAACCGACAAAGATGTCACAAGTGAGACGTACGGAGCTCAATGTGTCGAGGCTGTGTGTACGAGCTGACTCAGCACCATCTCTTGTCTACTGCGCTACGTGGTGATCATTAATACAATTTATTCAGATCCTGTCTTGAGTACGACAAAGCCATTTCGTATCTATGCCGGCAGTTCTCGCCCTCAATATCCGCACTAAACAATCAGATATCTAATTGGAATATGGATCAGCTTGATGGCATATCCAACAACGCCCATCATCAAAAAGCCTAGACCCACAGCACGAATCAGTCTCAGGTACTCCTTCTTAGACGGCTTCGTGCACTTGGCAACAAATTGGGAACCTTCTTTGAGAAACTCCACAGGAGCCTCGGTCAGCTTATCGAACTCAGCCATAACAACTAACGGAAAATAATTAACGAAAAAAAGCAGGGTAAACGAATTTTTAGTGCTCGTTCCAAGAATTATTCTGCCACTATATAATTAGTCAAATCCGGTCCATTCTTCCTCTTCCTCCTCTTCTTCCTCTTCCTCCTGTCCGTCGCTCTTATTCGCTGTGTATCCCCATGTCATTAATCTCTCGTCTCTGATCAGATCATCCCGCACCTTTGTGCGAAGAGTCTTCATCAGAGCGTCTTTCACCAGCTTCTCAAATGGTTGCAAAAGTTCTGCAAGAGGAACATTATCAAACTTCTCTCTGGCCTTGTCTGCCTCAACATTCTCCTCGTCTCCAACAACCACGTGCTCCAGCTCGTCCAAATATACATCCACCACATGGTATGTGACTCCGGGAGGAACTGCTGGTCTGCCACTCAGAACGTCGGCCTCAAGCGACTTGACGTAATTTTCAAGCAATTCCAGCTCCCAATCTTCCTTCTGTAGCCTCACGAAGCACTCACGCACCACATATCTCATCAACAAGTAGAACTTGTCCACTCTCCATTGGTCTAGAGTAGGCCACTCTTTACAGACAACTGCCCAAAACGCCTGGACAAACGAACAGAACTGCTCCTTGGAGATACATTGGGAAAAAAGCTTGGCAAGGTCATCGGCCAGTCTCTGCTGCGGCCGTGGTCTATCGCTGAACCACATTGTATAGTACAATCCTTTCCATAATTTCTCAAATTCAGGCTGTGTGAGGGGTCGGACATCTGCTCTAGCCCCAAGATATTTCTTCAGAGTCTCCAAAGCATGGTCTCTGGTCTTGCGATCCGTAGAGGCCAGCTTTTTGACAAAGGTCTTGGTCTGCACTTTCTTCATGAATAAAATTTTCAGCACAGCCTTTTCCGTTTTGAATAAATCTATATTATTTATTCTATGGATACCGATCACCCAGGCTACAACCATTTTGGAGCGCCAATCCCTGAGGATGAATCGAAATATGACGATACGGGAAAGCCAGTTACTGACTATATTCCAAGCTACATCTCGAGTAAACCCTGGTATTACGAGGAAGACGCCCTCAAGGTCGACTCGAACCTGCGCAGGAAACGAGCGGCGGAGCCTGCATCTGTGGACAAACTGCGACATCAGCGGCTTGACCCTGACGCAGAGTTTGTACCAAACAGCGAGCCTCGAAAGGGCTCTGGGATCGAGGACAAATACGATTTTGTGACTGAGGAAATCCAAAGACGACGGAAGCTGCTCAGAAAGGGAGGCTGCGAGAACTGCGGCAGCACCAAGCACTCGAAAAAAGACTGTCTGGAGAAACCGCGTAAAATCAGCTTCAAATACCGCAAAGAAGAGCCCAAAATCTCGTCTGGAGAGGTGCTTCGTGTTAAGAAAGACGCTCAAGATTGGGAAACCAAACGAGATCGATGGCACGGCTTCAATAACGAGGAAGACTACGAAGAGCATCTTAAGACAATGCGCGAAATCGAGCACAAACGGATCAAGCAAACGGCTGAGGAGGACCATGAGTATGACGAGGACGAGCTGGCAGAGATGCAAGAGTTGGGCATTGCCGAAGCTGTGGCTAATTCCAAGACCATGACCGCTAGCGGTACAAATATTCCAACCAGAGCTTTGGATGAAAAGGCCAAATATCTGGAGGGTGTTGGCATCACGGAGCAGGAGGAGCAAATTGAAAAGGCAACCATAGAAGACAACAAATCGAAGTTTCTTAACGAAGAAGGCGAATTCGTTCGACAGGAATCTGGCGAAGCTGAGGAGTTTGAAAAGCAGAAACGATTTGCAAACACAAAGCAGAACAAAGACGGTGGGAGATTCGTACTAGGAGAGCCATTGACTGGCCAGAATTTGGCGTCTGAAGCGTCGCCAACTGCAGAAGCGCAGGATATGAATGACAAGGAAAAAGAGAAGGAACTGATTAGAGAAACAAAGAGGAGACAGCTGCTGGAGAAGTATGGAGCATTGTGATTCGTCCGGGTAACACTGTTTTTTTTTGGTGAATAAAAAAAAAAGGAGGGACAAACAACAGCATTTAAACATAGGCAATAAAGATGCAACAAGAGAATCCAGGGGCTCCAAGCTCTGAGGAGACTCGAAGAGACCAGGAAGTCGCATTGAAGGCGATTCGCACATTTCTCCAGAGCAAGAATTCATTCGACGTTCTTCCGGTGTCATACCGACTGATTGTTTTCGAGACTTCGTTGCTGGTTAAGCGGGCACTAAACATCTTGCTACAAAACAGCATTGTCTCCGCTCCACTATGGAATAGCAAGACCTCCAAGTTTGCTGGATTGCTCACTTCCACAGATTTCATCAACGTCATCCAGTATTACTCTCAAAACCCAGACCAGTTTCAGTTTGTGGATAACTTGACACTCGATGGCTTGCGAGACGTAGAGAAGAAATTAAATGTTTCGCAACTGGAAACTATCTCCATCCACCCATTCAAATCGCTGTATGAAGCATGTGTGAAGATGATTGAGAGCTCTGCAAGACGGATACCCTTGATTGATAAGGACGAGAAGACAAATAGGGAGATTGTTGTGTCTGTGCTTACGCAATACCGGATCCTTAAATTTGTCAGTATGAATTGCAAGGAGGCCCATATGCTGCTGCAACCGCTAAGCGAGCTCAACATCGGAACAACCCAGAACCTGTCGGCCGTTCGAATGGAGACGCCTGTGATGGACGTCATCCATATGCTGATTTCGAACTCTGTGAGCTCGGTTCCAATCGTTGACGAGCAAAATAAGCTGGTGAATGTTTACGAGGCCGTAGACGTTCTTTCACTAATCAAAGGTGGGATGTACGCAGATCTGTCGCTGAGCGTGGGCGAGGCACTCATGAAACGATCTGACGATTTCGAAGGAGTGTACACCTGCACGCTGAAGGACAACCTGTGTGTGATTCTAGAGACAATACGCAAGTCTCGTCTTCACCGTCTGTTCCTCGTGGACGATGAAGGCCGCTTGGTGGGGGTGCTTACCTTGAGCGACATCCTTAAGTACATTTTGTTTGCATGAAAACGCTGATTTTTTTGCTCTGCACAGCCCTAAACCTGATAAGTATCTACCTGAAAAATGGAGCAAAGCGATAAATTATTTTTCTCCGTTCCCGTAACTTAGTCAGCAAATTTTCCACCTCTTTATCCCCGGCTGCTGTCTGCACACATTGCAGAGTCGATTTCCTTTGCCATGCCAATAACAACAAAACTCCCCAACGACATGCCTTGGGAATCCAAAGCCGCTTTACCACAGGTCACTTTGAGATCCACGATAGCCGGTCTTGTTATCGGCTCTGTGATTCTTGTTTCCAATTTTCAATTCGGGCTGCAAACGGGCTGGGTTTCGATGATGTCGCTACCGTCAGCGCTGCTCGGGTTCTCAATATTCAAAACATTGCAGCCTCGGCTTCACTGTTATTTCACAGACGTTGAAAACGTCTTTGTCCAGAGCGTCGCTGTTGCTGTTGCCACTGGACCGTTGGCGTATGGATTTATTGGCATAATTCCGGCCATCGAGAAACTCATGACCGACGCTGAAAGCGGCTCAGGCTCTGGAATTGACCTGTCTCAACTGTGGAAGCTAGTGACGTGGGCTTTTGGACTGGCTTTTTTTGGAGTCTTCTTCGCTGTGCCTCTTCGAAAACAATTCATCATCAAGGAGAAGCTGGCTTTTCCAAGCGGCAGTGCCACGGCCACCCTGATATCTGTTTTCCACGGAACAACACTCAACGTCGAGTCCCAAATGAAATCGCAGCCTAAACAGTCTTCATCTGCGGGGGAGCACGAGAATCATCCTGAAAGACCCCCAACGCCGAACAATATCACAATCATCGAGTCGCAAGATCTGTGCCAGCTCCAGCAGGTCGAGACATACCAGACGAACATTAAACTCCTTGCGGCGACCTCTAGTGTCTCCTCTATTTATACCGTTGTCGGTTATTTTGTTCCTCAAATAAAACGCATACCTATTCTGGGCAAAACCATTTCAGAGTCGTATCTGATCAACTTTCAGGCATCACCATCATACATTGGCCAGGGAATGATCATGGGGTTTACGACAACCGCCTACATGATGGTCGGCATGGTATTTGGCTGGTGTATTCTCAGTCCTTTAGCACAATATATGGGCTGGGCTCCTGGACCCGTGGACGACTGGAAAGAGGGAGCCGAGGGCTGGATCATGTGGATTAGTTTGTCCATCATGATCAGCGACTCTATTATCTCGTTTCTGGTCATTGTTGCCAAGTCGCTGGCGTCACTATATCAGTCACCTTCCTCTAGACCTCTCTCCCGAGCGGGCTCCGTTGATTCCCCACATGAAGAGCTGGAAAGACTGATTGATGAAAATGAGGTGGCTTCTGATGAAGACATTTCAAGCAGCACGTATCACGACGAGGCGTCGAATGATCATACCCCGAAGAATTCTTGCTCGTTGTTGCCGGAAACTGATCAATTCAGCGACCGCTCCACATACGTGGATCTGGACGAGTCTCACCAAGTATCGGCGACAGTGACCATTGTTGGGTTAATTGTGTCGTCGGTTGCATGTGTGGTGTGCACGCGGCTGGTTTTCGGTCCAGTCGTGCCAATTTACACCATCGTAACAGCAATCATACTATCTCTATTTTTGTCTGTCCTCGGTGTCAGAGCACTGGGAGAGACAGACCTGAACCCTGTTAGTGGGATCGGAAAACTGTCACAGCTGATTTTCGCATTGATCATACCAAAATCTCAACCTGGCGCAATCCTCATCAACCTCATTTCAGGGGCCATTTCTGAGGCCGCAACGCAACAAGCAGGCGATTTGCTGCAAGATCTCAAAACTGGATACCTCCTTGGAGCATCCCCCAAAGCACAGTTTATTGCACAAATTTATGGATCGCTATTCTCCGTGTTGTTAAGTGCTGTGATGTACAAACTGTACAATAGCATCTACAAAATTCCAAGTCAAATGTTCAAAATTCCTACGGCTGTGATCTGGATTGATTGCGCTAGACTCGTGAACGGTTCAGGACTGCCTCCAAAAGTCTTTGAGTTTGCCATAGTGTTGGGTATCGTTTTTGCAATTATTTCATTTGTGAAAAACACTGTTACTCCTGAAAACAAGTGGCACAAGTACATCAAATTTCTTCCTAGTGGAGTCCCTGTGGGAATTGGAATTTACAACGTGCCCTCCTTCACTCTTGCACGGTTTGTTGGAGGACTGGTTTCGTACTTCTGGCTCCGCAAAGTAACTCCCGGGAATTCTGACGCCAGAGTTCGTCTGATTATATTTAGCAGCGGATTGGTTCTTGGAGAGGGTCTGTTCAGCGTCTTGAACATGCTTTTGACAAGTCTCAATGTGCCTCATCTATAGAGTGATGGAATATTTATGAGCAGTCACCGGCTGCGCGTTATGGGATAACCATGTGTGAAATTTCCGATATTCTGGAGGATTGGCCGAGTGGTCTAAGGCGGTAGACTTAAGATCTATTGGATTAAATTCCGCGCGAGTTCGAACCTCGCATCCTTCATTCTTTTTGGAAAACAGAAGGTTTCTATTTTATTTTTTTTGGCTAACCTTTTAAACACTCTATGGACTATCAGAATAGAGTTGGCTCCAAAAAGGGCAGCGGTGGCGTTGCAGGCGATGCAGAGACCAATCAGTACCGTCGTGAGCGCTTGAGACAACTGATGCTGTCTCAGATCGATCTAGACAATGACCCTTATGTCTTTAAAAATCATCTGGGCATGCTAGAATGTCGCCTTTGTCTAACCACACATTTATCCGAAAGCTCTTATTTTACACATACCCACGGCAAAAAACATCAATATGCTCTAATGAAAAGGGCCGAAATGGATAAGAAGCCCACCAAGCCTGAGCCTGGTAAGGTTGTTGGGATATCTGCGGTTCCTAAAAAGAGGTATACAAAAATTGGAAGACCAGCATACAAAGTCAGCAAAATTAGAGATCCGGAGACTTTTCAAAAAGGACTTCTGTTTCAGATACAAATGCCGGAAATAGCGCGAAACGTAAAGCCCCGATACCGTTTAATGTCGTGCTTCGAACAAAAGATAGAACCACTAGACACAAGGTTCCAGTACCTGGTTGTCAGTGGTGAACCGTATGAGAACATTGGATTCAAGATTCCAAGCGAGTCGATCGATATGACAGAAGGGCGGATCTGGGATTTCTGGGACAGCGATACCAAAGAATATTTCGTCCAGCTGTTTTATGTGGACAGTAGCAACTAATAATGTACATTATAATGACTAGAATGATTCTGTTGCATATTGGTTGATACGATTGGCCATTTCGTCAATGTAGAAGCTGATTTTAGAGTTGAGCTCATTCATCTCGTAGCTGGCACCTTTACACTCGGCCTCAAAGTCCTTTTTGAGTTTTTCGGACTGCATTTCCCAATCGATGGCCTCATTTTCTTTGTTTCTGATGATTTCATCTTCCTCGGCTTTCCTTTCCATTAGTTGAGATCTTTCTTCCCTTAGCTCTCTCAATTTATCCTCGAGTTCCAACAACTTTTGTCTCGTGTTTTCTTTGAACGCCGCGAGCTTTTCCTTTTGGGAATTCAACTGTTTCTTCAGGTGGCTAATCTGTCTGGATTTATCGTTAAGCTCCACTTCCATTCGTTGGATTTCGTCTTGCATATTTTGAATGGATTCGGCTGACTTTTCTTGTTTACTGAGTTCAGTTTGTATTTCTTCCAGCACGCGATGGTAATTCCGGAACTCGTGTGTGAGCTGTTGGAACGAGTCTATGGAGATTGAGATATTTTTCGATCTCTGCTCTAGCTCAGTCAAATGTTTTTGTTCATTCGCCAAACTGTCTTTCAAGCTCTCGATCACTTCTTTCACGCTTTCTGGAGACTCTCTAATATAAGGAGTCAGTCTTTCCAACTCTTTTTCGCACTCCAGCAGAAGGGAATTTTGATTCTCTAGTTCTCGAATAAGCCCAAACTTCTGCGTTTTGTACTCTGCGCGAGCGGCCGCCAACTGCTGTTGAGTTTCGGTGAGAGCCTTGAGTTCATTCTGCAATTGTTGGTTTTTTGCCATTATTTCGTCTTCATTGTACCCTTGTCTTGACATCTTGTTCGTCAGGTCTTCGTAAGTAGACTTGAGCATGTTGTTGATCTTCAACGACTGTTTATATTGAGATAGCGTATTTTCACTGGAGACAAGCAGCTGCTCACAATCGCCCATTCTTTCCTCCCTAAATCTCGCATAGTTTATCAAAGCGCTCAATATTATACGGATACGAGTTGGTTCAGGTTTTGCCATGTCACGAATGCTAAAGTCCTCAACACCACAATCGCACAAAAACTTGTACATTATTCTTTGCGAAGCAACAACGCTCAACGAGTTCTGTAGTCCTTCCCGGTCATCGTCTTCATTGCTTTCCATTTCTTGAATTCTTTGTTTCAGAGAGTGGGGAGAGACATACAGAAACTTGTCCATGATTTGCTCGATCAAGCTCTTCATGAAACTCGGTGTTGGTTTCGTCAGCATTTCTTCGCTAACATTGAAGTCCATCGTATCAAACAGGGAAACAAGTTCTCTTGTCTCAAGAATGGGAAATTTGTAACGAGTACGTGGTATTGCTGTTGGCTGTGACGATCTGTAAATTGCGCTGGGGCGAGCCATGTTGAGTTAAACTTAAAGATTTAAAACAAAAATCAGAAATTGTAAACAAATAATATATACGCGTACACGACTGATACAAATAATTTGATCCTGGAAATTATGGAGATTCTTGTATTTTTGCATGTCCTATAATCTCCAGTACCCTCCAAGGTTTTACTGCGTATATTTGCTTCGATCGATAGCCAGAAAAAACTCCTTTTACATCGGCTCGACGCCTGATCCGCACCGACGACTTCGCCAGCATAACGGGGATCTGGCCTTTGGTGGAGCAGACAGAACGAAGAAAAACAAATTAAGACCATGGCAAATGACTATGGTTGTGTATGGGTTTCCATCGAAAATTTCAGCATTACAGTTTGAGTACGCGTGGCACCATGCCTACCGGACTCGACATATTCCGGTCAAGAATCGTATAGGAACGAGAAATAGTGGCAACAGTGTGCATATAAAAATAGCCAATCTCAAGCTTTTACTGAGCGCGCACGCCTTTAGACGCATGGGACTTCGAGTTGCAATTTTTCAAAAGGACATATATGACATTTGGGTCGTCAATCGCTACAACGTTTCAGTCTCGGAGTCTGTCCTTTTGAAGCTTGATTTTGAGGAAAATCAACAAAAATTAATACAAGGTGGAAATTACGAACAAATGAAGGCATTTGTAAAATCCTTGGAGAAGGATGAAGATGACTATTTTGAAATCTCTTTGGAAAAATTGGAGCAAAATAACACTCGCATATGTTGCGTCTGCAATAGAGTAGTGGATCAGTTTGAGGACGTGTTAGGTTTTTGTGCTAGCAAAAGCTGCCACGCTCTGTATCATGTCCAATGCTGGGCAGAAGAGATGACTAAAGATCTTATTTCTGAGCCGCTCTCCCACACCGTGCCTCCGCTCACTCCTGTTAAAGGCAAATGCGTCAAATGCCAAAAGGTCAATTGGTGGTGGCCAACAGTCAAAAACTCTATGAGGCTACACCAACACTTTACAGAAATCGGAAGACCTTTCATTAAAAATTAGTTTTATAGACTAGAGACCACTATCCTCTCTTGACAGCTTCTGTCTCATTGACCTTCGAATCGGATGCGGTAGCCTTCTCTTTCACAGACTCGATCCGCTCTTTAGCCTCGCTTCTTTTGACTGGCTGAGGAGTGGATGGAGCAAACAAAGTAGCAAATATACTGACAATGGTAGCAGAAATAGCAAAAGTCGTGGTAATAGTGCCAACAATCACGGAAGCAAAGAAAAATGCCTCACCAGGGCGGTTCAGAAGAGTTTTGGTTGGGTCGTCCAAGAAGTCGGCCCAATATGCTTTTCCAGAAGCATAAACTTTCAAAACTCTATCCACCGACTTATCCAACAGGTCCGAGACCAAAGATTGCTCTTCAATCTGTTTTTCAGGCTCTTCAGCATCATACTTGGCTTGAGGAGCGTTGGCAGCAGCTATCTGTTCTTCAATCTCGACCTTTGGAAGGAATGTGTTGTTACCAATGTACTCTGCTTCCTCGATGGAATGGCCAAGATATATGTTGTCAAACATAATGGAGTCAGTCATAGTCCAAAGCTCAAATCCCAACGCACCGATAGGCTCGAGATTCGAGGGAGTTGGGTCCTCATAGTATTCCGGGTTAGGAATCTTTCTTGGAGACCATGGCCCCTTGTAATCTGGGTTCTCAATCAATTCTGGGGTCCATTTGCCTTTGTAATCTGGGTTCCTGATTTTTGGCGCAGACCATGGTCCACAGCCGTGCTGTTCACAAGCTGGGTTTGGGATTTTCGGAGCAATCCATTCTCCGTCCTCTTCCTCGTCCCAGTACTCAGGTTTGACTGCATCTGGATCAGGAATGTATGCTTCAGCATCTTCATCCCAGTCCTCCGGCTTAACTGCGTTTGGATCTGGGATCAAATATGGAGCGTCTTCATCCCAATCTTCCGGCTTGACAGCATTAGGGTCTGGGATCAGCTCGTCGTCAACCCAGTCAGCTGGCTTCTCGTCGTTAGGATCGTCGATTTCCTTTGGAGGAGTCAGATCGAAGTATCTGGAATCCAACAGTGAGCCTGCTTTTGCAACTTCGCCGTTGATTCTGATCTCAAAGTCTTGGTTAGGCTTAATTATCAACGTGTAAAGTGTAGATGTTTTCACGATCCTTGCCATTGGAGGCACTTTGAGATGTTTTTCCTCGTATTCACCTGTTTTAGGGTTTTTTCTGCGAAGTATAAAGTGGACCTTGTTGGACATTCCACATTTGTCAGGACCAAACATGACCTGGTATGGAGTGTCGTTGCTAAACTCAACCGAGTCACTAACTCCACCTTCCTGGCTCAGCAACTTGATATATGCACCACCGCATTCAAGTCCTTTTTGCAACTTGACCTCGTATTGCAACACCAAGGTGTTGTTGGTGTTGTCGAAAGGAGTAGGCAATCTTGCACTGATAGCATGATGGGCGGCCTCTGTCTTCGCAACAAGACCCTTGTCGCCTTTCAATCCAGGATTCACAGTTGGCTCTTCAACATCCCATTCGCCTCGATACACAAAATTTTCATCGCGCTTGCTGTGAGAAGGTTTCCACCTTGAAGCCCATGTCTCGTTAAATTGCTCGAAAAAAGCGTCGGACTCAAGACTCAATGGCAAGAAGTCTTTCCGCTCAACATCCGCCGCATACGAGACCAGTGAAAGAAACAGAAGAATGATTGGACGGCTGACTTTCATAAGTGAATAGTGGATGCGTTGTCACTCTTGTCGGAAATAAATTATTTTATTTTGACAACTTCTCCGGATTTTCTAGAATCGGGACTCGTCCCAATTTTCCAGGGTCCAGGGTGCTGAAATTAACCTATGTAGCTAGTTTTGCATTTACAGATCTTAGAGCTTCACCAAAGCGCTGGCTGGCTTCCACAAGCTCCTCTTCTTCGGCGAATGCGTAAGTTGCTCTAAAACCGACTTTCTGGAGGGTTTGGTCGACCATGAACCAGTGGCCCTTGGCCAAAAGCACACCCTTATCAATGTTGGCATCGAAAATCATGTTTTCCAGTTCTGTAGCCCATTGACTTGCTGGTATGTTTTCAGGCTTTGAAAATGCTTCCTGTTTGACCTCAACCCACAGAAACATTCCGGAGTCAGGTAGGTTCCATGAGCAGAGATCTTTTGGCAGGAACTTTTCGAATGCGCTATTGAGCAAGGCTCTTCTCTTTTTATAGTGTTTGCACAAATGCTCCACCCATTTCTCGAATCCCTGGGTCTCCCACGTTTTTAAAAGTTCGTGCAGGATCAGTTGAGATGGAGCAGCCGAGGAATGAATGCTAACTTCGTTGTGCACCACCAGTTTGTCAACAAACACCTTGTTTGCAGTCACAATTGAGCATCTTGCACCCGGCGTCATAATCTTGGAAAACGAGTCGAATCTGATGACTCTTCCATCAATATCAAATTTCAACAGACTTGGAAGCTTCTCTTCGTAGTCAAGTTGCAAGTGGTAATATGGATCATCCTCCACGATGATCAAATCGTGCTTCCTACAAACCTCGTAAAACTCACCCCTTCTTTGAAGCGACATAGTGATTCCAAGTGGATTCTGCCCCACGGGCATGGTGTAAATAATCTTGGGTTTCTTGTGAGGTCCACTCCAGCTAGCCAACAATTTGTCCAGATCTTTTGGGCAAACACCGTGCTCGTCTACTTTAACAGGGAACACTTTCAACCTCATTGGACTGCAAGTCTCCAAGAAAGCAGGATAGGTAAACTCTTCAGAGAGGATGGTGTCTTCATTGGGATCACAAAGAAGTCGCAACACGGCATCCAGAGACTGTGTAGCTCCGGCAGTGACAACAATGTCCCAATCATTATATAGTGGTTTGTGATATGTTTCGATATGTTTCTTGCTAAACTCGTCGAAATACGAGGTTCCTCTACCTGAAGTATACTGCAGAGCCTCATATAACAGTTCGTTGTCTGGAACGTCAACTTTTTCTGTTGACGTGAATCCGGTCTTTGGTGAGAGGAAATCAAAACTGACCGACTTCAGGGGGAAACAGTCAGGGTGAGGCAGTCCGGCTCCCAATGAGATAATTTTTCCAAATCTACCCATCATTTTCATCACAGATGGCTCACGAAGGGTTGCTTCATGACTGAGGTACTTGGACCAGTCGACAGTCATGATATAAAACAAACGTAAAAAAGTTTAAAAAATCCTTAGATGTTCGCGCTATTTTATCGATACCTGATAAACAAACAATAGTCTTGACAATAGAATAAATTTCTTTGAGATCAAGCCAATCTACCAGTAAAGATATGTGGTATCTACATATGTTTTGGAGGAGGCCAATAGAAGTAGCTTAGTCCAATTGAACTGTTGGAGGGTATTCTTGCTGTCCAGCTTTCTCATCCGGCTTCAATGCACAATGGTCAATTTCACTTGATATGATATTTGGTGTACGGATGTTGTATCTGCCGTGTATTTAATTTCCACCTGAAATAAGCAGCTCAAGAAGAAATAAAAGGCAAATTAAAAATTATCATTAATTGCCATGTCCAACTTCCAACAATACACACTGGAGCTCGAAGAGCTTGACAGGCAATTCAAGACACAAAACCCAACCGATGTGCTTCAATTTTGTTACAATTACTTTGGCAACAGATTGCAACAACAAAGACAATATTTGTGGAGTCAAAAGCAGAAAGCTGATACTTTGGGCTTGACACTTTTTCCTTCGACTGATGAGATCGCCCGCGATGTACAGCGCAAGTCAGTTCCGCAGTTTAAGAACACCCTTTCGGATAATGACCCTCACACGAAATACCAGACCCTCGAGTCAGAGGATCCTCACCCAATATCATCTGGGGAGCCATCTGCGGGCCTTTTCAAGACGTCTTTTGAGTCGTCCCAGGCCTCGCCATTCCATACTACCACATCCTCATCGGGTGCCGCATTGAGTCCTACGGACGGCCCTCGACCTTTCAACAGTACCAATTACTCAGGCTTTGCTGCGTTGTCTGCAAAGTCCACCATGAGAATCAACGCCAACAGGAGAACAAGTGTTTCTGCAGAAGCCCTGAACCCCGAGACATTTGGTGAAGATGGGTGGAAGCCTCCTGTGCATCAGTTCACGTCTGAGCAGTTGCAAAGGTTAAATGCCAGCGTCGTCAAGAACTTCTTGTTCAGTCAATTGGACGAAGACTCGCTCAAAACAATCATATTTGCTCTGGAAGAGAAGCGCGCACCTCAAGGAACAGAGATCATTAAGCAGGGAGATGAAGGAGACTTTTTTTATGTGGTTGAGAAAGGAACAGTTGATTTTTTCGTGAACGGCCAGAAAGTTAACAGTTCTGGACCTGGCTCCTCTTTTGGAGAATTGGCCCTCATGTACAACTCGCCTAGAGCAGCGACTGCTATTGCTCAGACCGACTGTATCCTGTGGGCATTGGATAGAATGACGTTCAGAAGAATTCTGCTGGAAGGAACTTCCAAGAAAAGATCCATGTACGAGAAATTCCTCAAAGAAATTCCTCTCCTCAAATCTCTGTCGTCATACGAGCGCTCGAAGCTTGCAGACGCACTCAACTCGGAATTCTATTCTGTTGGGCAAAATGTCGTGACAGAGGGAGAAGCTGGTGAGAATTTCTACTTCATTGAGAGTGGAACTGCAGATGTTATCAAATCTGGTGAGGGTGTGGTGTCGAAACTTAACAAGGGTGACTATTTCGGAGAGCTTGCACTGCTATATGATTCTCCTAGACAAGCAACCGTCAAGGCCACTAGTCCACTGAAAGTTGTCACTCTTGGAAAGAGCGGATTTCAGAGACTTTTGGGACCTGCTGTTGACGTGCTCAAATTACAGGACCCTACAAAACATTGAACTCGTATATTTGTTCTTAATCAAATATTTGACATATCAGTTGCAGTATTCATTTCTCTGCGACACCATCCACACGATAGAGGTGCTAGCGACAACTAAAGGGCCCAGCAAGCCCTTTCCGAATGTTGCAGTCTTGTACACTAGCCACTCGAGGCCGAAATGGAGACCTGCTAGAACGTACGAGTAAAGACACATGTCATATATCTGAGGATTTGAGATGTTGTACGAGGCATAGATTCTCACAATCGCAGCCAGTAGTGTCCAAGTTCCAAATGTGCGGGCAGACAATGGCGTGACCTCGCTCGGCTTGCCTTCATAGACGCGTTTGGTCAGATCAATGTTGACATAGGTTTGGACGGAATTGAAAACGCTGACGGCAGATATCTTAGAGTTAGGAAATCTGAAAGTAGGCACTTACGAAAAAGAGCCATTTTGGTAGATATCCGGGAGTCTGTGGCAAATAGGAGAGTAGCTCAATCGCCATGGTGAACTTCTTAGCTTTTAAATAATATGTCCGCCATTTATTTTTTGGGTAAATATAATTTATTTGAACAACGTATTACTCTTCTACAATGGTAAGAATAAACAAAATTTGCCTGCATTGGCTAACATCATAGTCTGAGGAGAAACTTGATGCATCATTGGACCTGCTCAGGCGGTTGGATCCAAAGAATATCAGTAAAAATCTAGACAATATATGCCGTCTACAGCCTGACCTAGCGGAAGATTTGCTGTCTTCTGTTGATACTCCGCTCAAAACAGCACGCTGTGAGGAATCGGGCAAAACATACCTATGCTGTGACTACAACAGAGACGGCGATTCGTACAGGTCACCGTGGTCCAACGTTTTCTATCCAAAGATCAACGACGAAGATGAGGCTCCACATCCTTCCAGCCATTTGAGAGAACTTGAGATCTTTGCTAACAAATCATTTGACATATATCGCGAACTATACTACGAGGGAGGAATTTCTAGTGTCTACTTTTGGGACTCTGAGGAAGAGGATGCGGATGCCTCGGGCACAATCGGTTTTGCTGGTGTCGTTCTGCTGGAGAAAACCATTGATACGGTGAATCCGAAAGATGGAGGATCGTGGGACTCGATCCATGTTTTTGAGATTCTCCCGGGCACAAACCAGAAGGCAACGTATAAGGTGACATCTACTGTGATCTTAGACATTTCCAACTCTGACGACCTGAACATCTATCTAAGTGGAAACCTCACCAGACAAACAACAAAAGAGTTGCAGTTCAAAGACTCTGCTTCTCACGTCTCGAACCTGGGTTCACTGGTGGAGGATATTGAAAGCAGACTGAGGAACCTGCTCCAGGAGGTCTACTTTGGAAAAACGAAAGACATTTTGGGCGATATTCGCTATCTTAATCCGCTGGAGTCCGAGTCAAGCGAAAGAGAGAAGCATGCAGAGCTCATTAACAACCTTAAGAACCTGTAGCTGCAGTATATGTATATCGTGCTATAAACATCCGTGCACCCGGACGGTGCTCACTAGAAATAATTCTAGTACGCAATTTTAGTAGGCAAAAATCTTGCGAGAGTTATTGTAATTTGATGACCAGTGTTGCACGAGTGTACGCTGACGTGAACGACAAAAAGCCCAAGTCCTACTGGAATTATGAGAATCTGTCTATATCATGGGGTTCGCAATCAAGATACGAGGTGACAAAGAAGATAGGAAGAGGCAAATACAGTGAAGTTTTCGAAGGATATCAGCTTCCGAACGGCCTCAAGGTTGTCATTAAAGTCTTGAAGCCTGTTAAGCGGAAGAAAATCAAAAGAGAGATCAAAATTCTTCAAAATTTATGCGGCGGACCTCAAATAATCCAGCTTTTGGACGTCGTGCGGGATTCGAACTCTAAAACATCAGCCCTCATATTCGAGCATGTGGAAAACCTTGAGTTTCGTGTGCTATATCCGCAATTGACAGATTTGGAAATCCGATATTATATGTATCAGGTGCTGGAGGCTTTGGATTATGCCCACTCGATGGGTATAATGCATAGGGATGTAAAACCCCACAATATTATGATAGACCATCGCCAGAAAAAACTCCGGCTCATCGATTGGGGTTTGGCAGAATTCTACCATGCTGGACAGGAATACAATGTCAGGGTTGCTTCGAGATACTTCAAAGGACCCGAACTACTAGTGGATTTCAAGTTGTACGATTACTCATTGGATATATGGTCTTTTGGTGCAACATTGGCTTCTATCGTATTCCAAAAAGAACCGTTTTTTCACGGAAAGTCCAATACAGATCAGTTAGTTCAGATTGCGCGTGTTTTGGGAACTGATGGCTTGTATGCATACTTGGAAAAATACAATTTGACGTTAGGCCCTCAATACGAAGACTTAGGACACTATATGAAACGCCAGTGGATTCGTTACGTCAATCAGAACAATCAGCACTTGGTGAGCGATGAGTACCTGGATTTCATCGACAAGATTTTGCGATACGATCATAATGAAAGGCTAACTGCGAAAGAAAGTATGCTGCACCCATATTTTGATCCGGTTAGGGATTCGATAAGACGTGTTTGATTATGGACACGTTACTTAATATATTGCATGATGAGGTATGACCTATAATTGGCATTGTTTGAGTAGCTGGAGCAGTTCGATGTTTTTGTTCAATATCAAGAATGCCTGTAGTTTTTGCCTTCTCGAAGTAAACCCAGGTCTTAATTTTCGTCTAGCAAAATTGTCCAGCAATTGTATGATTGTGTTTAAAAGCTTCATCAAATAGTAGAGAACAAGTTGCAATTGCTGCTTTGAGAGTTCAATCGCTTCGTCCACTCTAAGACTTGGCTTGAATCTATGGTCTGATATAAGCTCTGCATATCTGGATCTATCTTTAACAAAGTTGATCCCGTGGGCAGCCATTATGATGTCTTGAATCATATCCATCAAACTGTAAATGCGCAAATTTAGCTTTGTTTTGTAGTGTTTCGCGAGATGGAAATACGTGTTAATCAGCATTGTGAAATGAAAGGTTGCATTTTTCGTTGTAGCTGTAGAGACAAAGAGATTTTGAAGTAAGCTCAGTAGTCGTCCCTGCTGGACATGCGAGTCAAACCGTAACGTAGACAGCCCAATATACTTTACGATATGCCTTTGGGTTTCAAATGTCGTTGAATGGTCTGTTTCAACGAAATATTGTAGAAGCTCGATCACACCCTTCATTTCTGATCCTTTTAGGGAGCTCAGGGGTTTGTTATTAATAATTCTTCCATTGAAAGAAATGCCGAGCTTGTCAGCAATATCTCTGTACTTGTCATCTATTACAATAGCAGGATAGTATGCAAGCCTTTTAACTGGTTTGTTGGAACAGTTTCTCAGTTTCTGCTTTAATGACCGGACATAGTCTTTTGTTAGAGTCCAGATGATTCCACTTACCCTTCAATGAAAGCTTTGAGCTATTCTTGTTTTTCACAATCCAAAATGCCCAGGTTAGTTATTGGAAGAGATCGACTTACCAGTGCAAGATCCAGCTCTTCGTTGCTCACAATTAATGGTTTCATTATTGCAAAAAGGATATAGTTATATAAGGGGGAAAATGAATAGGGAATTTTTGTTCTTTTATTTTGGAACAGAAAGATTCATTGCCTTCAGTTCCTGCAATGGCGGAATAGACTCATACATTTGTGGGTCTAGTAGATCCCATAGGATTCCGCAGTATGGCTTAGGAACGGGGTCCGCTTTTATAGTCTGGGTGTTCGTGACAACAATGTCGCAGACAGTGTCGAAGATCTCAGGCTGAAGCTCTTGTTCCAAAAGCTGACAATCATGCACAAACGCAACTGCCGGAGTGGATTTGCTGATGCAACCAATAGTATACAACATCGCCCATTCACAATCAAAAAATCCGTGTCCTTTGCCAAATCTTATACCTTTTTTGTTAATCGCACCAGTTCCCGTGATCATCACATCTACACGAAGTTTCATGTCTATTAGTTGTCTCAACGTCATATGTTTGCCTACTTTCTCCATACCATCCAAGGTTGAAGCATACTCGTATCTTTGTGGATCGATTTTGCTAGGGTCAAGCATCCAAAAGCCTCTATAGATCCCGTATGTGGTCATAAGCACAGTTTTGCCATCTTTAAGAGCCTCATACCTGAGCTCTTCAAGACAATTGTCCGGGGTGATGAAGAGCACCTTGGATTCAGTGTATGAGGGCTCTCTTTTGAATCTGGAGGTGGCCTCAGAAGAGCCCTCAAAATCCGCAATAAACTCGGCAAAGTTGAAATGGAACCTCGAGTCCGGACGGGCGACCTTGATTAGCTGGGCCCAAACATTGGACCGAACATCTGACTTGTGCGAAGACATACCAATTTTTCGCGCCTGGACTGCAAGAGTCAAATTTTATTAATCCGATTTAAGTTGCATTGTTTTCGGTGCCGTTTACCAAGATAGCCAAGCCACCTTCGGCATATAAAAAAAGTCCGCCCCGGGCGAGTTTTCGAACTCTTAAAAGCAGAGGGTCCAACACCTTTGATCTGCGGGATATTCTCGGGCAGTTGTTGGTATCTGCTTTGGCTGCTGGTTCTTATCGCGCCTGAATGCCAGAGAAATTAAGCGGTGACTCTTATCAATGTGCTGTATGTCTGCTTCAAAGCATGCCCGTTTTGTTTTGGTTGGTACACTATAAGTCTTATCGGGCTGCTTTATAAAAAATTTTAACGTCGCGAATAAACTCGACTTACAATGTTCTCCCGCGAGTCTTCAGAAGAGAAGACTGCTGGCGCCGAGCCAGAAAAGCAAGTTACCTCTATCACCTCTGAACAAAAAAGACTGGAACTGGGGAACATCACAGAGGACCCCGTTGAGGCCTCTGTTTTGTTCACTTTGGACAACCCATACCATCCTTTCAACTGGCCTGTCTGGCAGAAGTATCTTATCACCATCATATACTGTACCCTGCAAACTTATGTGACTTTGACCTCGACAAGTTACGTTGCTGTTGAGTTTTTGGTGCAGGAAAGATTTGGTGTCAGCACCCAAGTTTCGGCTCTGGGGCAGTCGATGTTCATTTTGGGCACTGCAATAGGACCAGCATTTCTGGGTCCGCTTTCGGATATCGGAGGTAGAAAATGGGTTTATGTGTTTTCGACCCTTCTTTATGTTATCTTCAACTTTGGTAAGTTTGTGTTTGTCTCAGTTTTACTAACATTTCAGGCTGTGCATATCCTAAAAACATGCCAATGCTTGCCATTTTCATGTTTATCATTGGACTTTGCGGCTCTACTGCTCTGTCCAACGTTGCTGGTACCATTGGAGATCTGTTTGGAAACTCGGATATGGCCTCCCAACCAATGGCGCTGTTTGTTTTCTCCGCCAACACCGGTCCATCTATTGGAGGTGTTGTTGGAGAAGCCATCGGTGAAAATCTGAGCTTGGGATACAAATGGGTGTTCCTTATCAACATCATCATTGGTGCTGCCTTTTTTGTCGGCCTGATGTTTGTTCCAGAAACGTTGCCAAGAATTGTCATTCCAGAAAGAATGGCTGTTGAAGGTAAAGACGTGCCGCCTGTAATCATCAGAGAGTTCAAATACTTCTTCAACACACTTACTGGCAGGGATCAAGATTTCCTGAATGAAGTTGCCGATCCAAAGGATCCAAACACTACCATCGTGGTGGAAAAAGTCAGCGCAATCAATGAAATAAAGTTCGTGTTTGTCATGGCCTTGAAAATGATGGTCACCGAGCCTATCATCATCTTCCTTGGTCTATTCAACGGTTTTGCCTATGGTCTGCTTTTCCTGTACCTGGATGGTATCTTCACCGTTTTCGTTTACAACAACAATCTTTCATACATGGGAGCTGAGGTGACTTATCTGAACTTCGTTGTGGGTGCTGCGTGCGTGGTTTGTCTAGTTCCAATCCAGACGTGGCTGTTTAGCCGTGACAGAAAGAAGAACGGCGGTGTTCCGAGACCAGAAGCCAGGTTCCTGATTTCTCTGGTCACTGTTTGGGGATTCCCTATTTCGCTCTTTTGGTTCGCCTTCACATGTGATGGAAGCGTCAACTACTGGTCGCCTATCGTGGCTGGATTTGTTCTGGCCATTGCCGATCCATTGCTGTGGCTCGCTATGTTGAACTATATCATCGACAGCTATTCGGAGGCAGGATTGAGCAACTCTGGTATTGCTGCATTCACCATTCCTTCATTTTCTATTGCTGCTGCGCTAGCTCACGCTGGTATTGCCATGTTTGAGGATATGTCTGCACAATGGGCTATGGCCACTTTGGCCTTCATTTCTCTGCTGGTGGTGGTGCTGGTCTACGTCTTCTACTTCTTTGGAGCTAGACTCAGAGCTTCTTCGAAACTCGCGAGAATTAGCGGACTCAGAGCTTCCGACTAGATACTGCGTTATTTCAACAAGCACTGCGAAAGAATCCGTTTCTAGTTTCTGAGATACCGTACCGTAATTAAAGCTCCGTAACCTTAATATATTTTTATCTCGTGAATTCTGTCATTCAAAACTTCGACTTTTTTAAGTTTTTGATAGAATCACCAGCGCAATACAGAAACGCAGAACTCTTCATTTTCGCAAGTAACAAAAGTGGGTACATTATTCTGGACTGTGTCAACATTTGTCGCATTACTGAAGTGTGCCGTTTCTTCTGTGTTGTTTCTCATGCTCAAAAGTTGAGTTTCGTTGAACTATATGGATCAGCAGACAAACCACGAGCCTGCTATAGAGGCACAAAATCTCTTTAAACAAAACTTCCAGCTCTCTGCCGCAGAAAATCCGCAACAACAAAACATAGATACTCAACAGCATGTGCTTACTGGTCTCCAGCAGATGACGTTGCCCAATTCGCAAGAGTCGGAGACCTCTACCAGCTCGTCAGTTTCCATGACATCAACTCCAAACGAAAGTCCCCGATTAGGATCAAGGATTTCTGCTTCCCACCAAAGACTGCCGTCTTTGTCGTCTCTGGCCCCTAATTTGGGCTCATACAACTCAACAAGCCAGGTCCCCCAGGCCAGTTTAACCCCGCGTCAGTATAGGATATCAGACGTGGACATCAACCAGGCACTCAAAAGACATCAAAGTGAGACGAACACCTTGAATCAGTTTAGGAACCCCTGGTTTAATCAAAAGTCCAATCCCCGCTTAGCTCCTATAAACACGCATTTGGGCTGCGATGATAATTATTCACCTCTTTTGATGCAAACACCAGTGAAAGGTGCTCCCCAGGGACTTCCGACAACATACGAATCTTCTACGTTTCAGGATGCGTCGCAAATTATACCTCCTTTGCGAATCAACGCCCCGCTTCCTCAAGACAGCTACAACCAGAATGCTCAGTTTGGTCATGGTGAGTTTTACAGAAGACAGTCTGTGGCGGCGAATTATTTCTCAAATCATGAACCAGTTCCCAAAAGCGCGTTGCCAATGTATTCCAAGGGCTTTGAAACTCACGGAGAACTTCAGCGTCCTCACAGCCCCGCTCCGAGGTTCCAGCGAATTCTGTCTCTTTCGGACCTGAGACCAGTGACCAACGCAAAACCGAAATACAGAAGAGCCTCGTCGTCGACAACATTTGTGTCGCCGCTCAAGGCTCTCACAACCTCTATCTCTGTAACATACTCGATGTGCCGGCCGGAATTTGACTACAAGTCGTCTAAAAATCCAAGAAGAGTGCTGACGAAGCCGAGCCATCCTAAATCAAATAATGGATACGACAACGAGGACAACGATTATATTCTCTATGTGAACGATATTTTGGGTACTGAGGAAAGCAGGAAGTACATGGTGTTGGATCTGCTCGGGCAGGGAACATTTGGCCAGGTGGTGAAATGCCAAAATCTCAAGACGCAAGAAATTGTTGCCGTGAAGGTAGTCAAATCCACACCGGTTTATTTGAATCAATCTTTGACTGAGGCAAGCATTTTGGAACATCTCAACTCGAAAGTTGATCCCCATGACAAGCATCACTTCTTAAGGCTCCAAGACAAGTTCATGCACAAGAACCATTTATGTTTGGTGTTTGAGCTTCTCTCTTCTAATTTATACGACCTGATACGGCAAAATCAGTTCAATGGACTTACCATCAAATTAATACGGAAGTTCTCCGTTCAGCTACTCGATGCATTGGCCGTACTCAAAGACGCAAAACTTATTCATTGTGATTTGAAGCCGGAAAATATCTCCCTTGTTTCTCTCGACAGACCAGATTTGAAGGTGATTGACTTTGGCTCTGCATGCCACGAGCGACAAATATTCTATACCTACATTCAATCTCGATTCTACAGATCTCCAGAAGTATTACTGGGGTTATCGTACTCCAGCTCAGTTGATATGTGGTCATTTGGATGCATAGTCGCAGAACTCTATCTGGGCTTGCCACTATTTCCTGGCTCATCGGAGTATAACCAGCTCTATCGCATCATACAAATGATGGGCATGCCACCAACTTGGATGATAGATATGGGGAAAAACTCCATGAACTTCATGAACAAGATAGAGCTCCCTAATGGAAAGCACACTTATCAGCTCAAGAGTATGGAGCAATACTCAAAGGAGAACAATGTGAATGAAACCCCGGGAAAGGAGTATTTCAAGCAAAGATATTTGGAAGATATAGTCATGAATTACCAGCTGCCAAAAAAGAACATGACTCAGCAAATGATTGATAAGGAAATGATGAACCGCAAATGTCTGTCACATTTCCTCCATGGAATACTGAATTTGAATCCGTTGGAAAGATGGACACCTCACGAAGCAATACTGCATCCATTCATCACGGAACAGCCATTTGATGGATTTTGGAATCCACCATCTAAAACTATTGGCCTTCCAAGCGGTTCTGGCAGCGCTTCTTCTCTTGATACTGTCAGGAGACAACGTTCTAAGAGTTTTGGCAACATTTAAATAATAGTTAGATCTATACTGCTTCTAATGCGATTTTTGCGTCGATCGGCGCGGCGACATGGATCGGTGTTCGACAAGCATACATGGAAAAATTTTATTTCACAATTAACCAACTAAGTACAATATGTCTACTCCAGAAGCCGATCATTCCAGAGATCCATGTCCCATTGTGATTCTCAGCGACTTTGGAGGAGCCTTTTCCATGGGTGCTATTGGTGGATCCATCTGGCACGGAATCAAAGGTTTTAGAAACTCTCCATATGGAGAGAGAAGAATAGGAGCCCTCTCTGCAATCAAGGCCAGAGCTCCTGTTGTGGGAGGTAATTTCGGAACATGGGGTGGTTTGTTCTCATTTTATGACTGCTCGATCAAGGCCATCAGAAAGAGAGAGGATGCCTGGAACGCCATTCTTGCGGGATTCTGCGTCGGTGGCTCGCTCGCCATCAGAGGGGGTCCTAAGCATACTTTCAATAGTGCTGTCACGTGTGCCTGTGTTCTTGCCGTGTTCGAGGGTGTCGGAATGATGTTCCAAAGATACATGGCTTGGGCCAACAAACCGGTGGCCATGCCGCTTCCTGAGCAGCAGGCTGGCCCGGCTCCATTGGGAGCATAGAGAACCTAGTGAGCAATCCAACCATTGCAAGCAGCTGAGACGTGGTATGACTGCATTTTCGCCTTGTATTTATAGTGAATATGATGATATCTTGACAAGCATGCTGTAGACTTTCCACGACCGTCGGTGTGCGAAATTTATCTGGTATATTTTTTTTGAAAAATCAGACTTGTTGATAAATTATCATGAATATTTCCACATCCACCGTCGCCAGCAGAAGAAGAAGGGCACGGTCTGCTCTTCAAGAGGATGAGGAGAATGCAGCTGAGCTGAAACTGGGCCCGGAATTCCAGCTGGAGCAAATTGACAACTACGGCAACGAGACTAAGCTTGTTGCCTTAAATGTTTCTGAGGCCCGTATTTTGATCAGAGCTGCGCTTCAAGAAAGAATGGCCATGGTTCAGAAACTGGGAGGCCAAGATTTGGGTTTAGCAACAGAGAATCCAGATGACGAGACCTTAGCTAGAATGGCCACCGCCCCGGGTGCAAATGAAGTTTTACGCAAGACTTTGGATTACTTGTCGACATTTGCACGGTTTAAAGATGCAGAGACGTGTACTGCTGTGGAAGCACTTCTAAAAAGCTCCGAAAACAGCGTGCTACACCCCTTCGAGGCTGCCCAGCTAGGGTCCCTCGCATGCGAAGACATTGACGAGGCAGTGACTCTTATACCGAGTTTGAACGAGAAAAAGGATGAGGTGGACCTGCAGAGAATTCTGGACGAATTGAACAGACTAGAGGCTAATTACTCGTGAATGACGGTTTATGCAAAATGTATTTTAGTTATTGGTAATCTTCCGGATGGTAGTATTCTCTCAAGAAGCTTTTCCCAGCGTATTTCCAAAAGCGTGGCAGGCAGCTATGCGGGACCAAGTTGATGTTATTATTTTTAGTTGAGTCCGAGCATATACACCGTTTTCCAAGACGCAGCATTTGAGACTCCGGGCACGTCACAAAGGGAACGTGGGTGTAACCAATGTCCTCGAAATGGTGTATTTCTGACCGGTTGAGAAGCAACGCCGCCGCAATCGAGTGCACAGGTGCATCTCCCCAGCGCTCATAGTAGAAGCCTCCGGTTTGGCTTAAAAACTTAAAATATGTTTCGTATTCTTTGGAACGGAAGAAGTTGAGGTCTCCAATCTCAAAATTAGACCAAAAATGGCACAGATTGTACGAAGAATTATGTTCCACCACGAGATACTCTGTTCCCATCGGTTTGTCGTCGGTCAAGAAATCTAACATGGAGTCTGGATGTATCATTTCTGGATTGGAATTCATAAAATCCTCCACAGCCTCCCATAGAGTAGGTATGGTGTCTTCGTACTCAATCAGAGAAATCACAAACCCGTACTTCTTTCCATTTTCACGAAACAAACGGAAGGGATCCATTTGAAAGTCGCAGAAATACTCGACATCGGGTTCCACTCTGAAATAGTAGTCGTACTGTAGCACCAATGGTTGTTTATAGAAAAATCCTGAGTTGAAATGACACATATTTCTGTATGACTTGGACCCGCCATAAATCACGTTGCGGTCTTCGAAATCCTGCAAACACTCTTCCCACTTGGTCACATTTATGAACGAAGGAGCATTCCAATCTTCAGGCGATATTAATCCATATTGAGTCTTTCCGCTAGCCATAAATGTAGTAGCTTCCTTGAACTGCTCTGTGAATGGCTTGTCGTTCAAAAATGTCCAGGTGTAATGGTAATCCCTGTTGAATCGATCCTCCAAAGATCTCATTGACTTGAGGACTCCAGGAAGTTCCCAGTTTCGACATAGCATTAAAATGGTAGCATTCTCTAATTGGGGAGTTTCAGAAATTGGTTTGGGAAAGAGTTCGCGCGCATATGAGTTAGAAGCAGGTTTGAGCTTAGCCAATTCGAGGTCCATCAAGTGAGAATTGTCACGCTTAGCCACGATCTCTAGCGAATGCGAGTATATTTCATTCAACTTCACTTTCGACCTGACTCGAGCATTCCATATCTGTGCAAAAAACGATATTAGTATTATGAAGGCGACCAGGCCTCTCGAGATAGCCATGCTTGGTATGATCAACCACTCCTAAATGCCGAGTCTGAAAAAAAAAAGTGAACTGATATTCTACTGATTTTCACACTGCCTCGTTTTTCTTTTTCTCCATCACTGGTAAGCTTACGCTCTCACTGGTCTTCAGATGGAGATCTTCGATTCCTGCCAACCCCTTCTTTATCACACCTCCTACAGGCTTGAATTTTGGCGATGTCAAATATTCCAGAACAGCATCCATATTCTCGATCAGTTGGCGCAATTTGAAGTCACTATAGCCGATTACTATAGATAAACAAGTTCCCGTGGAAGGGACGAATGTGGTGCTTCTGGCAATCTTCTTCACTTGGCGTAGCACGTAGTCTGCCTCCACCCTCTCATCCTTCATCTTTGTAGACTTTTTAGATTTTACCAGTTGGGCGTCTGGCGAAGGTTTAGCCATTTGGATCATTAAAGGTAGCTTTTTATTGTTTTTAAAAAACAGGGACCTTCCAATCAGCGAAGGAAGTAATCGGTAGACTCTGTGGTCAGCAAGTAATAAATCATACTCATAATAGAGCTTCTTAATCTGTTTTGGGTTAGATGCAAACTGTTTGAACTTTTTCATGCTCACTATTTCCCCAAACACATCTTCTGTAGGAGCGCCTTTTTGCTCCAGAAGAGTCTTATATTTTGAGACCGGATCCTTGGTTATAAGCATGATTTTCAAGTTTTCGTGAGAGTCTTTGTGGTGAGGTAATGGAATGATTCTAGGAACAAGGTCTAAATCAGAAGAAGTTGGTTTCTTGGTGTCAATGATAAGGTAGATAGCTTCATGATGATCACCTTGTGACTCTAAATGTGCCTTCAAAGCCTTCAAAGATCGTATTGCTCGAGATCTGAGTTCATCATTTAGAACTGCTAGGTTCCAGTCGCTGTGGCTCGAATTAGAATCCATAACAAGATTTTTTTTTTTTTGCATTTTTTTAGTGTATTGTTTCAAATAACCGAATGCACCCTTCACTAAAAATCTATCTTCACGGGATTCGTTACATCACATAGAGGCAGCTTCATTTCTAACTGGTATTCTTCGGTTTCCCAATCCAATATGTACATCTTTGGCTATTTAAAAGACCTGTTGACCATTTCAACAGCCATTTCTATGGAGATTTCTCAGAAACACTCTTCTAGAGAAAGACCTGCTAGCTGTTTGGACTCAAAGCCTACCAGTGTAGTGATTTGGCACGGTATGGGAGATACTTATAATTCAACGGGAATGCAGAGTGTCAAAACGCTACTTGAAGACGAGATCCCTAACGTGTTTGTTCATTCAGTATATCTCGACGTTGATGAGACCAAAGATCAGAAGCTCTCTTTTCTAGGAGACCTTAACACTCAAATTAGAGGCGTTTGCAATCAGCTTAATTCTATTCCAGAACTGGAAAATGGCTTTAATGCGCTGGGGTTCTCGCAAGGTGGACTATTTCTTCGTTCTGCAATGGAGCTTTGTGGTTTACCAATTAAGACACTTATCACTTATGGCTCGCCACATAATGGTGTAACTGATCTTCCCCCTTGTCCGGAAGGTAACTGGCTTTGTGAACGGAGGAACAGCATTCTCAAGAAGCAAATTTACAACGAAAAGGTTCAAAGTTCTGTTGTTCAAGCTCAATATTTCAGAGATGTGTACAACTTTGAGAAATATCTTGAAAACTCAGCATTCCTCAAATTTGTCAATAACGAATTCATCAGAGATACTGAGTATGTTGACAACTTCACAAAGCTTGAAAAGCTGGTAATGGTGATGTTTTCGAAGGATGACATGTTAGTTCCAAAAGAAACAGCGTGGTTTTGTGACCTAGATCCAGATTCTGGTGAGATCATTCCTTTCAACGAAACAAGCTCTTTCCAGGACGACCTCATTGGCATCAGAACACTTTACGAACAAAACAAAATAGATTTCCTGACAATTAGCGATTCCCATATGAAAATTGATGAAGGCCACCTGAGATTCATCGCTAATAAATATTTTCATTAGACTACTCGGGTGTGACACTTGACATCGAAGAGTCTTCTCGTTCTAATTCGCTGAACACGCCTTCCTCGGTCATTTCCAAAGAATTTTCACGCCGTCTTTTAGCATCCGTTTGAGCCTGTTCCTCACATTTTCGCTTCTCCCTTTCAATTAGCATCAATTCTACGTCTTCTTCATCTGAGAAATCGCTTTCATCAATTGATGGCAAACAAGATAAAGATACCTCCGTTCCGGACCCGACTTTATCGGTGAAATTTGCATAGATAACAATCTTCTCATTCAATTGAGCATTCACTTCCAGGTTAATTTCCAAGTCGCCGCTCATTTGGCGCAGCGGAATCTTCATGTATTTGATGAGCTCCTTTGTATTTCTACCATGAATCAGTATTGTACAATCTGAGCTGTCGTAGTTTGGAATATACTCGATTGGTGTAGTAATCACCATCGCTACTTTTAAAAGATCAGCAGTTGATGCATTCCTGATGATTTTAGCTTTCAGATGGATTTGGGGAAATGATCTCAACTGATCGTATATCATGACACTGTTCTTGATTCCGAGCCGGTGGAAGCTCTCTCTAGGGAGTTGCAGTGCTTCTTTGATAGAGTGAATATTGCTGGTTTCGAGTTTTCTTGCGACTCCTTTATCAATCCCTTCTATTTGAGTCAGTTCTAGTGCGGTGTTTTCCCAGGCTTTCGCACTCAAACACCTTCCCAAATACAGCACGGACCTGAGGCTAGTTGTGTCACCTTTTCTTTCGAAAATTGATATCCCAGCGTTTATAAGATTTGTCATTTGCCTCAAGACCTTTGCCTTGTCAAAGTTAAAACCCAATGAAAGATTTCTGAAACTGGGATGAGTTGGGTAGTCCAATCGACCGAGTTCGAATTGCACAACCAAGTGAACTTTTTGCCATACAGCCTCAATTTCACCTTCTAATCTGTATCTAATCAATGGACTCTGATTGATTTTGCGAAAAAGGGGTTTTTCTGAAGATCTGTATTCAACCTTCGCAAATTCAGGGGTCTGACTCAAGAAGTCCAGACATTTGTCCTGCTCAATATTCTTTAACCTCAGGAGGTATTTCATAGTGTCCAGCGATAAACAGTTTCTCAGCATCGTATCGCCATAGCATGAGCAGACAAATTCGCCCTGCTGTATTGTAATTAAACCCCCAGCCCATAATTCTTTTATCCCCTTTTGTAAAAAAGATTCTAAGCAATGGCTAGGTTTCTTGTATATTACTGGTTTCACCACGCCAGCGTATGAGTATGGACTAACAAGATACCGCTGATAAAAAAAAGTCGTTTTCAGCCATTCGATTGCACTTTGAAAATCACTGATTTGACCTGAATCCACCTCTTTGAGGAGTATTTCGCTCAATTTGTGTGGTAAAGAGCTTTCTACTTCTTCAGTGCCATGGATAAGTTTCTCATATTTCGCTTTTTCGGCTGACTGAGTCATGATGACACAGGCTCCTTGATTCTCAAATTGGGGTCTTCCAGCCCTTCCAATCATTTGCAAAACTTCCAAATCCGAATATTCTTGTAAGCTTCCATTGATCCACGTTTTCGTGCCTTTGATGACGACCAAAAAGGCTGGCAAGTTGACCCCTGCCGCCAATGTTGATGTACAACAGATGACACTGATTTTTCCTGAAAGAAAACCATTTTCGATCACCCTTCTCTCCTCTGAGGACAATCCCCCATGGTGATAAGCGACCCCGTTGTTGATCAGATCAAGCAGTTGTGGTTGCAGTCGATCGGTAATAGGAGGTTTTCGTGGAAAGTAAGAACCCAATTTTGTACCGAGCGCTTTTGCAGTCATTATGGTGCTTTTTCGTGTAGCACAGAAGACAAGAACGGGTTTTCGATTCCCATAATTCTGGATGATGGCTAAAAGTTTTGATGTGAGAAACGCTTCAAATTGGAACTCGTTTGTTGTGGGTTTTCTGTTAAAGCCTAGAACGGTCTTAGTCAACTTGACAGACCGGTACGTGTCATTGAATTTTAGCGTAGTGGCTCTAAGTTTTCCTGGTTTTCGAAGCCACTTGGAAATATCATCAATGTTAGGGACGGTGGCAGATAATGCGATGATCCGAATATTGTGATACAGGTTTTTTATCCTAGTAACGACAGCCTCCAAATTTGCACCCCTGTTCTCCTTAATTGCGTGTATCTCATCTAGTAGAAGCAAGCTTAATGGTAACAAAGACTCTCTCCTGTTTTTGCTTTGTCTAGTAAACGTGTCCCATTTTTCTGGAGTTGAGATAACGATATTACAAGCCCTTGCCCTCTGAACCTCTCTCATGTCCGAATCCCCTGTGAGCAATCCAGCTGATATGTTGAATCTTGCAAATCTATGGGACCAGTCCGAAAATCTCTCATTGCACAATGCTTTCAATGGGGCGAGGTACAAGATCTTGGCTTTGCTATTTTCTTTCAATGCTCTGATGATAGCTACTTCAAATAGCACGGTCTTCCCTGATCCAGTTGGACTGGTAACCACACAGTTGTCTGAATCTTGAAATATCATGGGAAAGGCACTTGTTTGCATTTTGTTGAATTGGCTGAACTTGAATATAGAAGCATAGTTGTCTCCCACTGCAAAAGTGTTCAAGTTTGAAGCTGGTTTTGCTTTCGTGCACTCAAAAAGATCCTCGTGTGTTGGTGAGGAAGGCATACTAGGCTGTTGGCTCGTCTCCTTCTCGTGTTTCTCGGCACTTTTGGCTATCAGCAAATCCCTTATATCTTTCATGACCTAGAATATACAAAATCCCTATTTCCCTTTTTTTCAGGTGTGCGGTGTGATCGCAGAGGCCATGAGACAACAAGCTAGTCGTGTCTTGTAGATGAGCTTTGCTTGAAGATCCGGTTGTTGAGTCCATATATGCTTTCCTGCTTATCCGGTTATCTGATAATCTGATCGTTGCAAAAGCTGGCAGCAGGCTCAATTACTTATGATTCTTAATTATACTATTTAGCGTCAGTAAGCCGAGCATCTATGTAGCTCGCAAAAAACTTGTTGTGGTGCATGCTAATAAGCTAATGAATCAGGTACGGAAGCTGGTTACAATTCATCTCTTCGTATCGATCATCAATCTAAATAGTTTACTAAAAAAAATTATTTATCTTTTATTGCAATGGATATTGAGGTTCTTGAAACTCGGGAAAAGGCCCAGCTAGAACCGAAAAAACAGGTGAGTGTTGAAAATGAAGATGTAGAACTAGAGAGTGTGGGCTCGTTGCTGGACGACGACACCGAAAAGCCAAACGCGGCAGACGTGGCGACGCGAGGGCAAGAGCTTGTTGACGACAGAACTGAAAACACCGTTGACGGGGAAAGCGAGCTCGAATATGAAAGCGACCATGTGGAGCTCGAAGAAGAAGAAGAAAAAGAGGAACAGGAACAGGAGCCCGAGACACAGCTAATTGAGGAGCCAGACTTGGAGGTCAAAGAAGAGGAGGACAACAACGAAGACGAAGAGGATGAAGAGGCGGATGAAGAAGTTGGCCTGACAGACGAAGAGCTGGCCGGAGAGGAGGAGCATGAAGAGTCTGGACAGATAGGCAAGATCGAGGAGAACCAGGAGAACCAGGACGCACCAGAAGAAGATCCAAATGAAGTGGTAACGGAGTCAAATGGGCTGTCATATGAAGTGCCTATTTACATTGATTTGGGGAGAGAGGTTTACAAACTGGTTCAGCCTAGCGTTCCAGAAGAGGCTGACTTCAAAGACCTCACCGTTCTTTTCGGCGAAGATATATTTGGGCTAAGTCTTGAACTGTTTTTCTCTCGTCTCAAAGCCAAGCATCCGTTCAAAGAAGAACGCGAATTAATTCTCAAATGCAGCAGTCTTGGCGATCTGACCATTGAGGAAGACAGCATTCACTGTTCTAAGCTGTCTGTTGGCGATATCGTGGACCTATTCAAAGGTCTGCGATCCCAATCTGACAACCCGGATCTCTACAGATTCATCCAATTCGAAGTAGTGACTCGACCACGGTTCATCATGCAATACGAGTTTTTAAAGAGTCAGCTGGAATCTGGCAAAGGGCTGGAGTCTGTGCAATGGGAGAGCAGCACCGATAGTCTGCCGCGCAAGAAAATAAAAACAGATGTTACATAGTTAATGTCGTCAACTCTCAATTAGTATATTGAAATATCTAACTACCTAAGCAGCAGTCAATCTCTTTTGAGAAAGAAGTCTTCCCTTTTGTCTAGAGTTCAATCTGACCTTCTTCTCATCCTTAGCCTTTTCAACAGCCTCCTCCTCTTCGGTCAAGATGAGCTCAATGTGGGATGGAGAAGATTGGTAAGCGTTGATTCTACCGTGGGCTCTGAAGGTTCTTCTTCTTTGCTTTGGAGCTTGGTTCACCTGGATGTTAGAAATGACAAGTTTCGAGACGTCGAGGCCCTTGGCTTCGGCATTAGATTCAGCGTTTTCAAGAAGGCTTTGGATGAATTTGACACTCTTGACAGGCCATCTTGCCTTGGTAACACCAAACTCTTTACCCTGAGCAGTTCTACCAATAGATCCGTTGAATCTTCTGAATGGAATGGCTCTCTTGTGGTCCAAAACTTGGTCCAGGTATTGTTTAGCTTTCTCGAGCTTCCAGCCCTTGATAGCCTGAGCGGTTTCTCTGGTGTTCTTGAATGACACTCTCAAGTACGATCCTCTGGCAGAGGCGGACTTGGCTGGGTTAGCTGGTGTTGCTGCGTATCTAGCCATTTTTTTTTCTGTGTAGACCAGTTGAAGTTGTCTTTTTTTTTGTATCCAAAGTAAAATTTTCCTTGCACGGCCTGAAAAATCCGGGGCGGTCAGAATAAAACCCACCTATAACTCACGTGACCAGGGCTGTTTAAAAATTCCGAACTTTGAATACGTGCAAAATTTCACACGAGGACGCCAAAGTATATATTATCCTCTTGCTCACCTTGCGGTGCAGAGGTGTACGATTTTAAAAAAATATACAATATCAATTACACACATACAAAATCTCTTGATATGCTTCATCTTATTACTCCGCTACTACTACTGCTGGCCAGGTTCAGCATGGCAATAGATATATCAGATGAGCATTTTTCCGCCTATCCGAGAATGAAGGAGTTGATCGGCTCCCATTTGGTCAGCAGGACAGAAGAGACTCCTCCATCTACCAAGAAAATAACCTGGTACCTGAAGATAACCGACTCTGGTTCTGGATCTCCCAAGGATGACACTTTTCCTTCAGAATGCCCAAAGGATTCTCAGCTATGTGGATTGACAGAAATTTCGCTTCCCAATCGTGATCCAGTAATTACTGAGGTGTTTTCATTTTCAAACAAATTGACACCACAATTTGATGTCAACACGAGTTCTTTTATTGTCAACCTCCGTGGCGCTAATTGGGGAGCATATACATTGGATGCTGAAATTGAGTTTGTGTGCGCGTCCGATGATAATGCAGAAGGTCTCAAATTGGTCAAATTCGATTATTCCACCGTGTCACTTCAATATAAAACGTCCAGCGCTTGCAAATCTAACGAGACGCCTCCAAAAGACGGAAAGAACAAGGCTCCAAAAGATGATGACTCCAATTCGTGGGGGGTCTTCACCTGGCTCTTCATCCTTCTGGTCATAGTGATGGCCTCTTATATAATAGCACAGGCATGGATCAACGCAAACAGAGTGGGCAGTTCACATGAGTTTTTGAACGAGCTGGTCGAGTCAATTGTGGAGACGTTGACCAAGTTGCCCGAGTTCTTGCGCGAGATAGCAAATAAATTGTTCACCAGCGGGAGCAGAGGAGGGTACAGCGCAGTGTAATGTATATATAAACAAGTGCAACTGGCTATGCAGATTTGGAGGTACTCTCGGGCCCTAAAAGCTGGCGCATGTTATCATAAGTAGTCTTCACCGTTGTCTCGAGGTAATTCTGTTTTTTTCCCAGGCTATTGATGGAGTCTTTATTGTCATTGATTTGTTGTTTCAGCTTAGAGATGTAGTCTTCAGACTTGGTCGTCAAAAACGTTTTTCCACAGCTTTCCCACACAGTTGTGTTGCCCGAGTTAGTAATCTCCTGGATCTGTAATTCAAGAACCTTATTTTGTTGAGCCAACCGCGACAAGCTGAGATTTGTGATGCTCAATTCCTCTTTTTTTTCTTTCAGTTGGGTATCCATCTCCACAAGGAGCTATATGTCAGCGCATTAGTGGTATCTTCACATACCTTTTGGAGAGCTTCTGGAGGAACAGACATTTTTCTTCAGTCTGAAAGTGATCCTTGAATATTTCGAATTTATTTCTCTTGGTTATGTGCCCAAAAGCTCCAAATTTATTATATTTAGATTTAAACAAATCACTGATAAACCTTACTCCTTCAAATGCATTTAGGAATCCCCAAAAGGTCGGATCTGAGGCCCAAGGGCAAGAACAAGGCTCTCCTACCTATACCTGCATCTTTGAGAGGACGATTCAATGACTACAGGTCCAAAAAGACGATTATCTATGCGGTTCTAACTTTGATTACTTTCAACTACATCATACGCCGAGCGTTCTTTTCATCGGGAACAGGACACAATTTCAATCATCTAACCAATCAAGAAGCTCTTCAGACGCTGCAGAAAAACCACGGTCTTTATAAACACGAGATAATTGTGAATTCCAATTACATTTTTCCACCTATTGAACACGCTCCCCTGCTAAGGGAACTCACCCTGGACAGATTATTCAAATCCAAAGTTAGCCCTGATAATCCTCAGGAGAAATTGTATTACTATTCTGATGATGACGATCTCAACGACCTTAATGAGATCAAGGACAAATCTAACTCGGAGAACCCCCTGGATCAGTCCCGAAAAGCATTCAAAGAGCATGGTCGTATAGTTTTCAGACCTTCGGGAGGCGGGAAATCGCCGGAAATTGTGATTGTCACTGGTGTTGACTTTGAGCAATTCGAGCAAGGCCATTTGACCAAGGTTGTTCAAAATAGAGTTGACTACGCTCATGCAAACGGCTATGGAGTGTACGTTAGATGGATTCAGGAGTTCATTCCAACTCTGCAAGAGTTCCACAACGACCGCAAATGGGCCAAGTTGTTTATTCTCAGAGCTGCTATGCATGCATTCCCTCAAGCAAAATACTTCTGGTATCTGGACGAAAACGCCTACATCATGAGACACGACATTGAGCTCTATTCCTACCTTCTAGAACCGATTTCCCTGGAGCCGATCATCTTGAGAGACCAACCAATAGTGCCGCCTAATGGTGCCATTAAAACTTACAAGAAAACTAAACCTGAAGACGTTCGCTTCGTGATCACACAAACCAAAGACGGACTTAATACAGATTCGTTTATTTTGAAAAACGACATATATGGTAAAGGACTCCTGGAATTTTGGACCGATCCATTGATGAGGAAATATCCAAGTTTTGTTGCAGACGACAAGGATGCCTTGATGCACATTCTCCAGTGGCACCCAGTTATCTTGAGTAAGTCCGCCATCGTTCCTGGTCGGACAATAGCTTCATTGCATAGCTCCAATATCGCGGAGGAAGCCGACGACACTTCATTTTATCAAGAAGACGACTTTGTTGTGAATTTCAAAGGCTGCGATGTCCATCATACATGCGAGTTATTATTGGATTCGTATTGGAAGAAGCAACAAGCTGCAAAATGAGATCAGGCCTCTTCACCATTTCCTGACGCATTTGCATTCACTCGCTCTCCCAGCACTTGGAGAGCTATCTGTCTTCTTCTGTCTGCAATCTCGCGAGTGACTGTTGCAGTCTGTGTATTGAGTCTTTTAATTGACCTCAAGTTTCCGGACTCAATATCGTCGTCATTGAACGGTCTTATAATTCCTACCAGTGCAGAGGTGTGGTAGCATGCTCGGCACAATGGTCTCAGCATCTTGTGCAAACCAGCAGGAAAGAACTGAACGAATGCAAACGTATCCGACGCATCACCTCTCACCATCGAACGGGTATTGTTGGAAGGAAGCAGATCGTTAAGAGTGTTAATTTGATAATAGCGCAAATAAACCCAGCTGACATAGAAATTATTGAACATCGGCACAACTGGCACCAACGACCTTGAAATAAGAGAAACCATAACTGCCGCACAAAGTAGAATGAATGGTAACTGCCTCAGACGAATAGATACTGTTTTGAATATTTTAAGATTGTGCTCGGGAGACAGCTGTTTGAGTACCACGACAAAACTCATTATAAGAGAGTAAACGCCGTGGTTCACCGGCTCTGTAAGCTTTGCAGACTGAAATGACAATACGTGAAACAGCAGCTCAAGGAGCAATGTGCTTACATTGGTTGCCACTGTGACTATGGTGATGTAGTATACCGTCTCAGAAAATATCTTATTCTCGTTGTTGAGGATCCAGTGCTTTTCCAAATAATTGATACCAAAGTAGAACACCGCGACGGCGATCAAGAACTTGAGCACAGATGTTTCCACAAAACTTTCTGTCAACAGAGTCCAAGGATAGTACCACACCCTGCTCGGCACTAACTGAAGAACCGGAACCACTATCTCTGAAAAGGAGATTTCCGAATTTTGTGATTTGACAGCATTGTAAGTCTGCAGGCGGATGATTGAGGTAAGCAATGACAAGACAGTTGTCAAGCTCAAATATAGAACTGTCGCGTACGTCCACGTTATGGAGGAGACTAGGATAGCCATAAAGTGTTCTAAATAAACATAGGAAAATAATGTGAAGGTGCAAAGGTGCAAGAATTTGTATCAGGGCTTAGAACACACTCCGGGGAGACGTCAACACGATAAGCAGATCTTTGACACAAAGGGCGTAGCTTTGGACTACCAGGCCATTTATACGTTACATTCCGAGATTGTCATCCCTCGTGAGCACCGGCACCGCTGCTGACATAAGCATACAATCGAAGTTGAGATTTTAGATTTGACAAGGTTTATATCATGACCTCTTCTGATAAACGAACAGCATACAAGCAACTGAGCGAGGAAGAGAAAAAACAGCATCACATCAGGTCTGAAAATAAGCGACGAGAACAAATCAGATCGACTTTTGACAGTTTGGTGAAGGTGGTGCCGGATTTGACAGAGTCAGAGAATAGGTCAGAATACGCAGTTCTGTCCAAGACTTCCAACTATATCCGACAGCTTCGTGTGGACAACCAAAGACTACTACAGATTGCAAAAGAGCGCGGCATAGAGGTTCCAGATGATCTGAAAGAATAATATTGCATTATACATGTTACTTAATCCTCGTGTTCTTTTCACTCTTCCTCTTCCTCCTCCTCCAGCTCTTCTAGGGGCCACCATTCAGGTATATGAACCTTGGCAATGAAGTTACCAGCGACCTCTGACGAACTCTTTGATACTATAGGGAACTCGTTATTACCAGGCGCGTTGTCACGAGTGATCTCGGCCACATATACAACGGCGAGGCCAATATTATTTTGCACTCTGATGATCTCTCCAACTTTTTTGTCTCTGCGCGTCTTCGATCCAAACGGATTTGAGGATTGAGGCTCGGCGTTTTGGGCTTTCTTGGACGTGTTGATCAGCTGCAGATCAGTGTACTTGCCCAGACCCAGGTCTTCGTTTGTCAATTTTAGTTCCTCGCTCACAGGCTCTCCAACTCTGAACAGTTGTATGGGCATGACTCGTTTTCTAATGACGCCTGAATGAAACGTTCTGATGGTGAGCTCCTGACCTACATAGCATCCCTTGTTGTAATTGATTCCATTCATGTAATCGAGGTTATTTTCGAAGGGCAGTGTTTCGGACTTGAAGTCGGATATTTCTGAAATTCCAACCAGAGTGCGTAGGGTATCATAAACTTCTTGCCCCATTTTGATATCCTCGAGGTTCTGGAGCTGGCTTTCTGGTGGAAGAACGAATTTGAGCCCAAAACATGGCGCACGGTCGTCGATTGCAAACCCTTGTAATTGCGAGGCAGCCGCCTCCGTCAGTATCTCCTCATTCACAAGCCTATCTTGTAAATACTTGCTCCACGTAGCAGCGGCTTCCACGCTTTTGGAGTTTCTATTATTGAGATACTCGGACTGCATTAAGTCGTAAAACTCGTCGAATTCCTCGGAGTGGTCGTAATAAAACCACGAGTTATAATTTGCAACCGAAATATCGATCTTTGCTCGAAGTTTGTGCAGCTTGAGCATCATCTGGATTTGGCCAAAATTCTTCGGTGCCATCTCAAGCAAGTACTTGGGGCCGTTGCTTGGGGTATAAGGGGTTGGATAGACAAATAAATCAGACAGAACTCGTCCCTTGGAGTTTAAAAGCATGGAATACCGCCCGTCCCTCCTGATGCCCAGTCGTTCTGGGACATCGGGGTCGTAAGTCTCGTCCTCGTGAAGAATGCCCCAATTCTCGGTCTTCATCTGTTCGTCAGTGAGTCCGAGCATTTTGGAGTTCTCCAATGCCTGTAGATCACTGGCAGATATCGTGGTAAGGTTCTTTTTCTCAAAAGTAGGAAGCATCTTAGTAGTCAGCAGTCCATTCAAGAACTTGGCTGAGTCTGGACCCTTGATCTCAAGCAGCTTTCTATCAAGCTTGACAAGTCCTCGTGGCGGAATTGCCCGCAAACTGAGGAACGTCGAAAAGCGTCTCATGATAGCATAAATATATTTTTACAAATATTAGACATAAAGCTCGTAAATTAGTAATCGATATTTGCAGCTCACGTAAACTCAACAGCGGCCGCCGGCTTTTGGCAATTCGCTTTTTCGCTCGTATCGTACAGCAAATCGATCAGACACCAGTCTGGTCCTCGTCCTCTTCCTCCTCAAAGTTCACAAGGTCTTGTCCCTCTTCTTCGCCCTTGGTTTTCATTCGTTCAGTCAGAAACTCATTCACTTCGTCCTGTAGTGTGGTAAGATAAGCTCGGAGTCGTCCAATTCGTGTGTCTGTGGCCTCCGTGGGAGCATCTCTGTCCACAGCACCAGCAGCAAGAACGTAGTCAGAAGGCCCATTGGTGCGTCCGGACGTCGAATGCGGTTTCGACGGGTCAACCTCAAACCTCTTAAGTACTGGGCCTGCGTATTCAGCCGTTGGGAGCAGCTCGTTGGTGTCCTCGGTCATGCTTTATAGGCTGTCCTTGGAAGAAGAGGCTCCGGGTAACGTTTGATGATATAAAAATTTTTCAGTCAAATTAATATATCTGAACTTCAACAAACATATCCCTTCATCAATTCGAAATGTTCACCATTGTTTCCGAAAGATTTGCGGGAGAGTGCGCTGTGGAGTATGCTGCCATACTTGACTCTGAGCTCAAGACAGAGTACAAGAGTGGTTTTGAGACTTTAGCGGAACAAGAAAACAAACAAGAACTTCTCGCAAAAGTGTTGGAATCAAGCCGCGAACTCGCCAAATTGAGCGATAAAGTGTTTGAGCCCACCTTCAATCTCCTGCTGCACCTTATAGACATTCTTAGGAGCGAATTAGATATGTCTTTGGAGCAACAGCTATCTGCCATCTTGCCTGAGATCCAAAAAGTTGATGTTGTCCCGGATGATGTGCTTTCCAAAGATAGATCCAGTATCAGAGTCAGCTCGCTTGTGTCTGTGTTATCCAATTTGTTTAATTTTGTTCCCCCACAATCTCAGCTTCGGGTGCAGGTCCTCAAAGACATCCTCTCCATAGTTTCGAAGCATTCGCTACTCAACGTGGCTGGTCCGCTGGCTCAACACCTGAAGGTTTGGCTTACCGATTGCAATGCTTCCAGTGAGGACATCAAGAGCATTTACTTGCAGGTCATTGAGCAGCTGTTTAAAGACCAAAACGATGAACAAGCAGTGTCACTTTTCAAAGAACTAATTCAATTGTGCGGATCGTCTCTTTCTACCTCAGAGTACTCGCAGTTTTTCATTCACACCCTCAACTCCACAGTTTACATAAATCTGGATTCTATCGATTTCGAACCACTGCAACATGATTCAGTGCTCTACAATCTCCTGTCCATATACAAGGACTCAAATCTAGAGGACCTCGCAACCTTGAGCAAGGATATTTCGTCATATAATATCAACATAGACAACCTGACCAACAAGCTCAAGCTTGTTGCTGTGACCAGAATAGCGTCTAAGAAAAACCATTTGTCATACGCTGAAATTTCAGACGAGTTGCATATTGCATTGGACCAGGTGGAAGAATTCCTCATCAAATGCATCAAGTCTGGTCTCATTGCAGGAAGGTTGGACCAAGATAAAGAACAGTTCTATATCCACAAAGTGTCGAAACTGAACAGTACAAGTAAGGAGGACTGGGAGTTTATTTCCTCCAGGCTCGCTGGATGGACCTCTCAGATCGCTAAACTACAAACTGCTATCGAGTCGGTGCAGTCCAGGAGAGGGAAAAGAGTTCCTCCGCCTCAGGTCTTGCAAAAGTTTTACCAGCAGAAGCAAGAATTAAAGGAGCAGAAGGAGCAGTTGCAGCAGGAGAGAGAGAAAGAAGCACAACAGATTATGTAATTTTTTAAATTTAAAATCCGTTCATGATCCTGAATTTTACAATTAAACTATAATGTTTAGACTTCTTCTGGCCAACAGGGGTTCTATTAATTGGAATCGGCGGTCATTGTTTACGGCAGGGCTGCAAAAGACGATTTTCCAAGATGCGTTCTTCACTAGATCTTCGCAACTGACCAAAAAAACCTGTCAGTTCCGGAATTACGCCACTCACAGAGAACTGGCATACAGACTAAGAGGTTTCGGGAACCCGAAAGTCTCTGGGTCCTTGGTCAAGTCGCTGATCTTTACTGTTGGTTTCTCTGCTGGCTGCTACGTCGCAACACCCTACTTATTTAATTATACCCCATTGTCATACTTCAAACGGCATCCCGTTCACTTACTTTATGGGCTTATTGGAGTTAATATTGGAATATTTCTTCTTTGGAGAGCACAGACAGCCAGTTTGAGAACCATGAAAGTTTTAAACAAGTATTTTCTACTGGAAAGAGGGCCTTCAAGACTTTCTGAATGGTCTCTTTTGTGGTCTGGCTTCAGTCACCAAGACTTTGCACATCTTCTGATGAACATGCTCTGTTTGTACTCGTTTGGAACCACTATGCTACAGGTTCTGGGTGTGGTCAACTTTACGTCGTTATATCTGATTTCGGGAGTGGCATCTTCATTCGCCTCCATCCTATTCTCCGCCATAACTCGATCCTACGGCATGTCTTTAGGAGCCTCGGGTGCCATTTCTGCCATATTTGCCGCGTTTGCAACCATTTTCCCCAAGGCTGGGATCTCCCTATTTTTCTTCCCTCTTCCTGGTGGAGCCCAAGTAGCCTTGCTCGGATTCACTGTATATAACATTCTTGGCTGCTTCTACAGATGGGGGGGTCTGGATTACGCTGCACATTTAGGAGGAACTCTACTTGGATTCCTCTATGCCAAATATCTGCAACAAAAAAGACGTTATCGATAAATAGATTACATAATAGACCGTTTTCATTTATCTGAGTAATTTTGATCGATGGTTCACTCTCATCATTCCCATTCCGGTCAATATGTATCGCACGCCGTGGACAGCTTAGACGACATTATTTCGAGGGTGAAGGATATGAACTTTGAGGTGTTCTGTCTTACAGAACACGTTCCTCGATACGATAACAAATTGATGTATCCTGAGGAAATAGACAAAGGATATACTGTTGACTCATTAGTCGAGAATTTTGAGAAGTACTACGTGCATGCGCGATCTATCCAGAAGGCTGTCAACGCGGATCGCTCTTCCAGACTGAAAATCCTCGTTGGATTTGAGACAGAAGGAGGAATAGACGAATTTCACCTAAATAAATGTCTGCAATTCAAGCGAGAACTGAGACCCGATGTAATAGTTGGATCAGTTCATCACTTGAAAGGGGTTGATCTGGACTTCAATCGCAAGAAATGGCTGGAGGCAAAAGGAGATCTCTCGTTGCAAGCGTTCTTCCTGGCATATTTCAAGCAACAGCAGGTAATGGTGAGGACGCTCGAACCCGAGGTAATTGGACATTTCGACCTAATCCGTCTATTTGCTCTCCCCCACGACAGGTGTGAAGATACGGGAAAAGAGCTCAAAGACATCAATATAGAAAAAGACTGGCCTGAGGTCTGGAAAGTGATTACCGAGACGGTAGAGCTTATTGTTTCGCAAGGAGGTCTTGTCGAATTGAACACTGCTGCAATTCGCAAAGGCTGGACCACTTCATATCCCAAAGATGACCTGTTCCAGCTAATTCGCGAAAAGGGGGGCAGGTTCTGTCTCAGTGACGACTCTCACGGAGTCAAGCAGGTGGGCCTCAACTATGAGAAGGCTTTGAAACACCTGCAGGAACTCGGCCTAGATAAACTGTACTACTTGGATTTGGATGAATCTGGCACACCCTTCATCAATAGTCGCACTCTAGAGGATATTGCAGCTGACCCTTTCTGGAATAATTACAACTGAGTTCATAGATAATTAATTTCGTTAGTAAATATCTCTAAGTTGGGGATTTTTGGATCCGTCTAGCACCTGCGTTAGACTGGCTTTTCCCTGTGATAACTACTCTATCCAGCTCCTCAGACGTCTCAGACAATGCAGACCTGGCAGGTTCTTCCTGGGGATGGTATCCGCCAAGAGCAACAACCTCTGATATATATCCGTGTAAGCTTTTTCTCATCGGATCATGAGTACGCTTATACTCCTCCATGATGCTGTAATAACGCTCCTTTTTTTGCGGGTCGGAAAGCTGGTTCATAAGTGAGAACTCTTCCAGGTGCATCTTGGTGGTCTTGTGAGTTAGATAGAATTCCTTGAGCAATTCATCGGTACCTAGCATTTTTAGAAGCATCGGCAGCTTGTGGGAATTGTAAAACTTTCTCAAATCCACGTTCTTGACGAGATGGCCACTCAACGCATACGCGTGCTGCTGAAGCGTGGCTGTCGAAACCCAGAATCTCAACTCATCGATGAATAGATGGTTATTGAAATGTTTTTTTCGAAGACCTCCGTTATACTCCGAATTGAGCACTGTGGCAAAATCGTGCGGAATGAGACATGGAGAGCCTTCCATCATAGACAACTTGAGTGGCGACAGCTCGGAATAGGTGTAGGAATGGTTATTTCTGCAATTGTATATCTGCAGTTGTTTATTTCTCTCCAACGCTTCAGGAGACCTCTCTGGGCCTTTGTTTGACTTGACGGGAGCACGCTTCACATTACGAGAAGCACCTGGATCGCTAAGTCCTTCTGTTTGCTCTGCTGGGAGAGCATCCTCACTTTTTCCCTGTTCGTTATTGGCCTTTCTCTGCCGGTCCAATCTCTCCAATCTTGGAGGTATTTTGATAGTATCCGTCAGGGCCAAACCGGTGATATCAATGTACATTCCGCTGTCCACGTCGATGAACCTTGCGTCTATATTATTTCTGCCGTTTCCTTTTGTTCTGTGTGTCGGATAAGGTCCACAATCAACGTAGTATTTACCGTAGCCGTGCTGGACATCCTCGACGATAAGCGAGTTGTTGTACTTCATGCAAAACCGATCGAAGTCCATGATCGGCATCTGGACGTCAATGTCGTTATCCCATTCGAACACTAACGCGTTCCAGTACCAGCTCAGAAGTGTGCCATGAGCCAGAAAGGACACAATACCCTCCTTGTACGTAAATTGCAACCATGTGTGAATAATCCTGTGAAGCATGATTTTGCGCTTTTCGTTCACGTCGTCGTACTCGTTGAGCTTGGACTCTGTCACAAAGCCATTGAAAAAACGGAAATCGTAATGGCCTCCGTTTTCGGTCACCTTGTGGCCGTTGTATGTAGCAGGCCAATTGATGTTCACCTCTCTAAATGACTTTTTCAGTTTCGTCGAAGGAATCGATCTGGAGTATTTGAGAGTCTGCAAGTGACGTAGTTGCTTTTCGTCGAGCTCATCTATGCGTTTTTCATAATTCTCGATGATCTGGTCATACGAGTAATTGAATCGGTCAGGAGGAATAACAAACTCATAATTCTTCTCTGCGGTGAACAGTGAGTCGAAATCCAGCTCGCTTTTCGAAGGGCTCACGGAGTTGACCAGCATCTCGTGTTCCAAAGAAGCGTCTGCCACAACCGTCTCATTGGCCTGTAATTCAACAAACTCATCGAACAAGCCGCTATCGAGCATGTTGACGTCTCCGGAAATGTTCACCTCGTACGAGCCATTTTCCGTGAGAAACACGATGGATGTCGGCACGGGCGCATAGGACAGCAGATACGACTTGGCGTGTATGAGCTTGTCACGGAAAGACTTTTTTCCGGTCCGATCTTTGAAGTTGAAACCCGGAAGAAGGGCGCGACGGGTGCCACCCAGGTATCTATCATTATCAACACAGGCTCTGTCTATGTTTCTATTTGGGTTCTTGAATTTGTGTTCAGGATTGTATGCAGGACCCTGGTAAAGAATGTCGTCACAGGTGGGACGCTGGTCCTCTGGGAGTTCTAGATATCGGTTTAAAACTGAGAGATCCACCCAGTCTTGCCAGGAAAACGGAACTGCGATTTTAGCCAGAGTGGCGTTCCCAGAACCCTGCTCCAGAAGCTGTCTGCGAATGTGGCTGAGGTACACCGACATCGTAATTCTTGGGTCATATAACAAGCGGGATTCGCGGGTGGTTTTATAATCTGAAGGATCGAAAGTTACAACCGCGTTGTTGAGAGTAGTGGAGAACTTCCAGTACTTGCCGTAGTTCTGCGAGATGTCCAAGGAATCCAGCTGGTCCTCAAACGATTTTATGAAATCGTCCGGATCTGTTGAGGACGAAGTTGCGCGTATGAGTCCCGTAACATCGTTCAACACATCCATCTGGGTTCCTGCCCCCAAGAAACTGACAATCACCAAGTTGAGCAAACAGATAGCTGCAATAAGGGTCACGCAGCGTCGGCGTCGCGGAACCATCATCACGGCGTATCTTTTGTTGCTAGCCGATGTCATTTACAAGAGGTGTGTGTATGTCCCTCAATTTGGAAGGCTGTGCAAAATGAAAAGAGATGGCTGCTAGACCAAGCGGAATGTACGCGATAAAGACTTTATGGTCTAAAGAACCCGTTTGCCACTGTGTGCTGAGCCTCTGTTCACGTGTTGGCTAAAAACCAGGTTTTATGCTTAGTATTATATTAATCAGAAATGCTTAGACATTTATCGACAAATTTTAAGGGTCGTCCGTCTACCAGTAGGTATTCGTGCAAGCAAACAATAGCTGCGAGGCTTATTGCAAAGCTGACTCTCAGTTGTTCAATAGAGGTCATTAAAAAAGGCGTCTATTAGCTGCTTTATAGCCACTCAACAGGCTTTTGGACCACCTCGAGCAGCCGCTGCTCTTCCGGGCCGGGTGCGTGGTGATCGTACATCCATTTAGCCGTGAGTGGAAGACTCATCAGAATCGACTCGGTCCGCGACCCTGGAGTCTGTAATCCAAACTTGGTGCCTCTGTCGTACACCAGGTTGAACTCGACGTATCTGCCTCTTCTGATCTGCTGCCATTCTTTCTGGACCTCGGTGTACGGAGAGTCCTTTCTGCGCTCGACCAACGGAAGATACGCGGGCAAAAACGCGTTGAAACAGGATTCCACCATTTCCAGACACTGTTGAGGAGGCAGCTCGTCGAAGTCGTCGAAGAAGATTCCGCCAATACCCCGGGTTTCGTTCCTGTGCGGAATAAAGAAATACTCGTCGCACCATTTTTTAAACCTGGGGTAAAGATCCGGGCCGAATTTGTCCAGAGCATTCTTATGCTGCTGGTGGAAGTTGATACAGTCCTCGTCGTAGATATATGATGGTGTCAGATCGGCTCCACCTCCAAACCACCATGTCTGGGGAGACCCATCTTCGTTCATAATCTCGAAATAGCGGTAATTCAGATGAGTCGTTGGAGCATGTGGGTTCCAAGGATGGATCACAAGACTCAGCCCGCAAGCAAAGAACTGCACGCTGCCACCAGCGTTCGTCCTGATGTTCTTATGATTTGCCCTCATTTTCTCTATAGCTTGGGGAGGAAGCACACCGTGGACGACAGACACGTTGACACCACCTTTCTCGAACGTTTTGCCGTTCTGCAACACCATGGACCGGCCTCCACCACCAGATTCTCCCCGTTCCCATTCGTCGGCACGGAACCTGGCTGAGTCAAGAGACTCCAAACCACTGGTGATCTCCAGCTGCTTTTGTTTCACCAGTCGCTCCATTTGCACCCGGATGGGTAGAGAAGGGTCTAATACCGAGGCCATTGTTTGTCCTTGAAAGTCGTATATACGTCTTTATTTATATTCCAAACCAGAATAATAAATACTGTAAATCTGGTGATTTTCGAGCTAGTCGTCCGGTGCACGGGTGCACGAGGCCACCGGAGAATCCATCCCTGTCCGATTGCGAACGCAAAAATTTCTTGGCAGATCGAACCCTTAGTGCGCCAAGCTTCCGACGTACAGAAAACCGGGCTGTGCACAAGTTCGGTATCGACGAATAGGGGAAAACAGCGAGCGGGTTTGATGTGCTGTGAATTCCTAAACGCTCCTGCCGCGTTTCCTCGTCTTCTTGGTGTTCAGGTGTGTCTTGTAGTGTTGCATGCAGTTGTCCTGTCGCGAGAACCTTGCGCCGCAACCTTCGTATGGACATATGTGGTTCTTCACACCCGTGTGTATTCTCGTATGCCTTGCCAGATGTCCTGACGTGGTGAACATTTTACTGCAAATTTTGCACTTGTAGCGACGCATTGGTGGCGAGGAGTCCGAGTTCTTTTCCGGTCTTGTGGCGATTTCGGGAGTTGGAAGAGACACTTTTGGAGCAACATGGTGGGGCGGATCCTGGCGAGTATAGCGAATAGATGCCAAAGGCATATTGAAGGAGGGTATATCTGGTCTGCTGAGAGGCTGAAGCAAGGCTGGAGGAGCAGGCAACGCTAGCAGATGCGGAGTGGTCGGGTTCGGCAGAGGCCATTTCTGCTCCGACTGGATCTTGGACAGAACAGAGTCAAGACTAGGCAGTTGTGTTGGGGCGTGCGACAGGTATGTAGGCATCTTGTTTTCGTTGACCAACAACACCGTCTCAGACATTTTCTAAAAAACGGGAACGAGTAAAAAATATCGCTCATCATACTATTTATTATCTAAGATGCAACCACAAGGAGGCGCGGGACTGCCTAAAAATAGTAGGGCGTAGGTAAAAAGCCACCACCCATCTCTACTCGGGAAGCCCTACAGCGTGTCCCAGCTTTGTGCATGGCTACAAGATTCTGAGGTTGGCATGTCTCGGCTCTATCATCCTATAAAATTGCCAAGTTTTAGCAAGAACCCTGAATTTTCCCAAGTCTTGGCAAAAATCAAACCCGTGTTCAATGTCGAAAAAGGAAAGTGTTACGTATGTGGTGAGTTTTGTAATCGGACAATATAAGTTTTTCTGCAGCCGAACTATGCGTTTTCGGCCGTGCACCGATCACGAGAGCAACATGGAGCGGAGAAGCTCCGCACCAGATGGGCTACTTTTTCGTAGCCGTCCAGCGCACCACTCTGACTGGTTAGAGTCCATAAAGCATCCACATCGTGCTGGTCGAGCGCCTTGCTGAAACACGGTCACGAGCGGCGACCTGATCGCTGACTTTGTACAATTGGCTATTATGACTATCGAGAAAATATCGCGACTAGTTCTTGTTTGAGGTGGATTCAGAGTTGTCGTCCTTGACGGCAGCGTCACTAGTAGGTGAATAAGCATATCTGCTCCATTTTCTGATTCTGGCACCGTAGATGTAGAATGCAAATGGGATAGCACAGCATGCTAGCGAAATGAAGGCCATCAAGGTAGTGGCCCATTCGTAGCCCAGTCTGTGATACATTTGGATAGTGAAAAGAGGAACACAGGCTCCCCATATTGATCTGACGAACGTCTTTGCGGCCAAAGCAGAAGCTGCATAGTGTTGATAAGAGTCCACAATATAGTTGTTGGCCGGGTTGTAAAGAAGATTGAAACCCAGACCGCACGAGAATCCCGAAAAGCAAGGGCCTGCCCAGGAGATGCGAGGATACGAAGACCATGCAAAAGCGAATAGTCCAACAGGAACAAACCAGCAACCAATCATCATGGGAATTAGTCGGAGCTCGGCAGGAGGAATCTCGCCTTTGTTTCGGTAAGCTTCGGCCCTTTCATTGTATTTTTTGTTGATCATAGGTGAGACAGCAACAGCGGCCAAAACACCAACGGCAATTGGAATGAACATTAGGCCCGTCTTGGAATCGGACCATCCCTTACCTTCGCTGTAAACCACAGGATAGGCGAAGAAGAACATGTAAAGCAGGCCGTATATGACTGACATGTACATGGTGATCAAGAACACAATCAGTTCTGACAGAAGGATCAATGGTCTCAGCAAAGTCTCCTCTGCCACCTGCTTGGGGGTTCTGACCTTGAGCTCAGCCAGAGCTCTGTATCTGTCGTCGCCGGTGATCTTTCTGAGCTTCTTAGCTCTAGCCTTCAGAATGGCGCTGTGCGAGGTCTCGGGCATCAAGAGAACAAACAGAATGTACATGGCGCCGCTGAAAATTAGCAGCACCCAGTAGAGCCATCTCCAACCAGCATTGTCACCTATGTAACCCCCGATCAAGGGACCAACGACGGGACCAATGAAAGGAGCGGCAGAAAAGATAGTCATGGCCAGACCTCTTTCTTTGATTTTCCAGAGGTCTGCTAAACTACCTCCAATCAAACACATTGGTGCCGAAAAGGCCAGACCGTCAATTAGTCTGCACACAAGCAGGGTTCCAATATTTTTGGCCAGGGCACATGGAATGATGAAAATCACTGCAACAAGTAATGTTGAGAAGTAAATCGCGTTTCTCCCAAATTCCTCCGACAAGGGAGCAAACATCAAGGGGCCAAAACCAAAGCCCAAGACAAATAATGTCACGGTGAGAATAACGACCTCCATGGAAACTCCAAAAGTAATCATCGGCCCCTTCATATATCCCGTGACAATAGCAGATGCCAATGCCACGTTGAAGCATATGCTACCCAAAAGCACAGTCAAAAACCATTTGTAACCTGTCCCCCAGTTTTGAGGATTTTTCTCGTCACCGTCCACGAAGACAACAAGTCTCATCTGCGTCTCCTGACAAATAGGGTATTTCCATGGATCGTTTTCGTGGAAGTCCGTCCCTGGATCGGCTGTGAACTCGGTTGCAGTTTTTTCATGATCAATCGGCTGTTCAACTGGACCTAAACCTCCGTAGCCTTCCTCATAATTTGAGAGGAGACGCGAGATGGCCTGCGAATTATTGCTGATCAGTCTCTCGAGCTTTTCGCGGTCGTCTTCCTCGTCATTAGTTTCGCCATGAGTAAACTTTCTAACCAGTCCACTGATTTTGGATACAGTACTCGTCAATTCATTATTGTCATTGAGATGTTCCTCTCCCCTGTACACTCCCGATTCGACGTCTTTATATTCCTGGACGTTACTGTCCATCGACTCTCTACCATCCGTGCTCATGTCGAATATCTACCCATACCAGGGACTTTCGACCATTTAAATAGTCCAAAAGCTTCTTCAAGTGCAAGGTCCCTAGCTGGCTCCCTATTGTTTTCCTGCGTACAGCCGCATAATAAATCACTCAACTTAGCCGACAGCCGATATTTTTTTATGGACCTGGAAAAAAACTCCAATGCGGCTTTTCGTATCCCAAAAAATCGGGTACAACTTGCATACTTGTGCCGACGACGATGATCTAGGTTATTTTCTAATTATTGTCGAATACAAAAGCTAAAACGATGTTGGCCGAGCCGATATTGCAGCTCCTTAAATCCGAGTCATGAGGTTGCTAGTGTCCTGTTCATTAGTCGCGCGTGCGGATCTTTTCTAGCACCTCAGGATAGTCTCTGAACACCTCATTGAACCTATCGGGATAACTTGCCTGATAGACCTCCGGGTCCTTGGCGAGAGCCAGGAAGAATGTTGCGGTTCCTGATCTAATCACAGAGCTAATAACATTGCATATTTGCAAGGCAATCAAAAATGTGAATGCAACCACTGGAGCGTAGTATGAACCTTCGGTGTTGTAGCCTGGTTTGGTGAACCGCAAGTACAGATACGCGAGCAAGGCAGACACGTATCCAACAAAAGTGCAGTACATTCCCAAAGCTGTTCCGATCAGGCAATCATTGACCAGAGCATCCATGCCCTTATAGCTAAAAATGTAATGGGTGTCCCTTGCAGACTTCAGATAGCTCTTGCCGTAGAGGGCCACATATGAGTACGCATAGTGATTGAAGTATCTCACAAACCACTCGATGACGTAAATGAAGCACTCAGCGCAAAGCAACAAGCAAGCTTGAACTCCCTCCCCATTGTTCAGAGCATTCTGCCGGGCAATTTGAACTCCTTGACGCAATAGCTGGATAAATGTGACAATCAGCGAACCAAAACAAATGGATCCAAACGAATAAGTGAGAGCCCTTTTCAGAGCACCCAGGGCCTGAAATTTTGGCATTCCGGCGTTGGACTTGGAAAGATAGTACCAGGTACCATAGATTCCACTCACTGTGACATGTATAACATTCTTCATCACTTCACTGATGTAGTATCCCGCAAAAAAGACAAACACCAGCAGTCCAACCAACCTGGCATGGTTGTAGCCTTCGGAGGTTTGGTCACCCCATTTCATGTACGAGGCGACCACAGTGACAGAGAATAACGCCGAAAAGGCTCCGATTGCGAAAAAACCAATTGCAGTAATGATCCACGTACTAGGGTACTGTTTCATAACATCGATAACAATCGTGAGAACAGTCGCGCTAAACGGAATTCTGCCTCTCATGGTCCAGTAAGAAAATGCTGTGAGTACGGCAAAGATAAGAAAAACAATACCTGCCGAGTAGTAGCCCTTTGCGAGGTAGGCAATTGCCGTTCCCAAGCCAAGAATGACATTCAATATCAGCGAAATGGTAATGAACTTCCTCGGGAACATCCGAGCAACGGCAATGGTTGACAAGGAAAGAACCAAGGCAACAACAATAACAAACGCAAATAAGACTATCGTGTTGGTGTTCAATGAGAAGGAATTGCCAGCATTATAAATCGAGGAACCTTCATACGAATACGAGGTGGCGTAATGTCTCAGGGTGATGCCCGCAACAACAAAAAATCCAGCAACTGTAGCCAGAAACAGAATTGTGAATGGAACATCGTGGAACTTCGGTTTCTCGACTTTGAATGTTTCATCAAAGGTTTCCTTACCAGGTTCAGGAGCTGGGGGGCGATCATAGTAGTAGTTCTGGTTCAGCTTCTCGTTGGCGGATAAGTAATTGCCCTGCTGACTATACTGAGGCGGTGGTACGTTGAAGCCATGCTGGGGTTGTTGTTGGTAATAATTCGTCTGTGACATTGAGTTCGAATCGAGATCGAAGATAGAGTAATTCGCCGATTAGGTTTGAATGACTTGAGTGAGATTAGTTAAGTTGTCAAGCAATTTCTGGTTCTATTTTTTTCTTGTATTGCACGACTTTAATAACAATCCATTTTTGTTCCCATATGTCAAAACAAAAAGTGGGCTTTATTCCGGGGTAAAGAAAAACCGTTATTTGTTGAAAAACGTTTCAATATCTTTTTCTAGTTTGTCTGTTTCGTCATCTGATGTGCCAAGGGAGAGAATTGAAGTATCTTGAGGATGCTTGCAGTTGTTTTCTTTGATTTCTTTGGGTGGAGTTGTTAAATCGATCGTGGGAGCGTTCTGTTTGGCATCAGGACTCCTGAATAGAGACGTTCGGAGCCCGCCTACGTCAACATCGAGTCGACTTCGTCTCTTGGTTGGAGACTCTAGGATATCCAACCCCTCATCAGGAGACTCGCAAGAGAGATTGGGCTTGTTTTTGAGCGGAGAAGAGCTCCGACTTCTCTCTTTTTCTGGATCGAGCTTGCGTTTTATGGGCGATCGTAAAAGATTATCAAAAGTTGACAACTGCCGTTTCGGGGATTTCTTGGGAGATTTACGCGGCGACTTGCGTGGCGACTTTTTCTGGGCAGCTTTGATTTCGTACTCTTCGATCAATTTCTGGCCGTCAGGTGACAGCTCGAGCAAATATTTCGGAACCCATGCCGAATCCAATTTTTGTTCAGAGTGGTCTATGAGATGGTAGTTTTCGTCATACAGCTCTCGTTCTTTTAGAAATCGTCCAAACACTAATTCCCGGTTGTATTTCACCTGGTATTGCTCCTCTGACCAAATAGGAACGTAGTATTCATCGGCGCGTCTCTTCAAAGGAAACTGGGCTTCCTTGTACATATTGACAAAGATCTCGGTATTCTTGAAATAATCCAAGTTGTGGATCACCCGGAGCATATAGCATTCAGCTAAATGCTCCACCAAAAACTCTCTTGTGCTGCGTTGCAGAGGAAGCCGGAGATTGCACATTTCGCGGAAATTCGGCTTTTCAAACCATGCAATGGTGCTCTCATCACCGTGAATTACATCTTCTGATGGATGGTCATGGTAAATGGTGGTCCAAAGTGAGCCACGACGTTTAACTTTGATTTTATCATCGTATATTTTCAGAGAGTTTGGTTGGGGAAGTGTGGACAGTCTTAGCAATGATGGGTGTGAGTCAACGCAATTGGTCTCGAATTTCCTGAACGAATAGATTTCAGGACAAAAGTAGGGATAAAAATGGATCATGAAGTAATAGTCTGAAGGAAAAGTTACCGTCCCATTGAATTTCCTTCCAAAATATGATTTGCTGTTCTGTGTGAGCGATTCCTGAAGCAAAGCATTCAAGTTGCTTAGCTTTTTCTCTCTCTCGTTCTTGCTAAAAGGCACCAGACCCAACACACTTTGTCTTCCCTCCGCAACGTAGATCTTCTTTAGTTCTTTAGCAAAATCGATTTCGCTCTCTATCTTGCTTCCTAGTTGGGCCAACGCAATACAACGTGTTATTCCCAATCCGCTGACTCCTTGGCTGAAATCGCTGCCATTTATGCATGTTAGAAACACCATTCGGTCCCTGTCAAGCCCTAGTATCTCTTCAATTTTTGACATTCGATACGGGGTCACATAGAACTCTGGTTCTTGTCGTTCTAGATTTGCCTGCGTAGCTGGAGCATCTGCAACCCAACGGCTGAAATTTTTAAGAATTGTCTGTGCCCCATACACAAACCCGTCCGCATCATTGCTAATAATCGCATCGATCACGCCGCAGTCATTTAATCGAGCTAGTTCAATTTCAGCTTCCCCCGGAGCCTGAACATAGCCGATATTCCACAGCTGTAGCAGTTTCTTAATCAAATAGACAATTTTTGCCCCTGGCTCCTCATATAAGCCACTTTGCCGGATCTGTTCGTTCGTTTCAATGTATTCGGCATAATAGTCATCGTCAGTATAAATAACTTCTCCCCATCTTCTTTTATGTGTCTTATAACGGCCATCGAAAACAAAAACAAAGGAGATATGCAGCTTTATGAGCTCCCTGATACGGGAGCAGAAATTCAAAATCACCTTCTCGTCACCAATGCTGGCTACATCTCCCTTATATTGCGAAGGTACCTGGGTAAGTTCAAAGATCCATTGATAAACATCAATTCCCACTCGTAGATGTCTGGCATTCTTCTTGTAAAATTGCCGGGCGTATATCCTCATGGGAAGACGTTGATCCTCAATTCCATACTCAATAAACTTTTCCCAAAGGCCTGGGATCGTCATCAAGGAAAACAAGGCAAGTGATTCCTTATCCAGATTTTTAAAAAATTAGGAAATTTGATTTTAACATATCTCCAGATTTAATAATACCTAGTATGTCAATCCTAATTACATACAAGACCCATGTACAAGAAATGCAATCACCTTAAACAACTTCGCTAATGATAGCAGCGGCTTCTCTGTATGTAGCCAGTAGTTTTTCGCATTTCTCTCTCTCCTGGCTCAAATTCTCATCCTCATATAGCAGCTCGTCGAAAAGCTCTTCACGATACAGCTTTTGCACAAGAGTGTTCTGAACGCTCTCCTTTGAAAAGTTGACGAGCAAGCACATGATAGCTTTAGGAACTTGATCCTGGATCATCTCTCGCACAATACTGAAGTAGGAGATGATGAGTCTGCGAATCAGCTCGCATTCAAGCTCTTCCCTTTCAGAAAGCTCTTCCTCCTCCTTCATGTTCAGATGTTCCATTTTTTTCTCTATAGGAGACTGCGAAGGTATGTTGAATTGCAGACCCTCGGGCTCACTTGGGAATTGAGAAGGTTGGGGCTGGGTTGGTGGAGAAGAAGAATTCTGGGATTGATCTTTGCCGAAGAAAAAGTTCAGAAAGAGCTCCTTCTCGCCATTTGTAGATGTGTTAGAAGATTTCCTTTCCAACTCTCTCAGCTCCTCAGCCCTGGAACCAGCATCTGAATATTTGTGCGATGACGTGCCATTCTCGAGAGGCACCGAACCATTTGGCGACCTGGCATGGTCTTTACTCTTCTGTTTCTGTTTCTGTTTCTGTCTCTCTTCGACAACACTTGACATAGCAGCTGCTGCCCCCACAAAATTTGGATGGTTCGTGTTAATGTAAGCTCTGTGAATCTCTATCAGACTTTCCACGTATTTCGTGGTAGGGCCCAGCCTTTCTCTCAGCAGTTCAGATACCGTCTCAATCAGTTTTGTCTGTAGCTTTGGGTACCTGCTAAGCTCCTGAGAACCACAGTTGTGGCATATCTTCATGAGCTCCTCATACACGAGCTCCACACATCTGTGGGAGGGACTCTCGAGAAGTTTGATTTGTGGTTTGACCAGAAGGTCGAAAGCCAGCTCAGGAACAAACAATGAGGGTCTAGGGCCGGTTGAATTTCTGATTGCAGTTCTTATGTCTTGGACGGGCAGGTTTGACACAGGGTTGATTGATAAAAGAGAATTTCCAAAGACTTCATTGTAGATGTAGTAGATTCTTGCACCCCCACAAAGCTCCTTGGTACTGATTTCGCTCGAATTACCCTCAATGGAGCTTATGAAGTTGTTCGCAAACTTGTTCATCAGCATCAAAATGAGAGACCCTCTGTTTTGTTTCGAAACTATATTGAGATCACCATAAGAAGCCAACTCCTGCTCCGTCTGGCCCATCAAAGTATTTAGTTTCGCTTTGATATCCGGTAGTCTCTCCCTGATATGATGCATCAACGTTTTATTCAAAGTCTTGGCCAAAAACGCGGTACCACATCTAGCTGCAATATTTTTGTAGGCAGGATGCGACCGGAAGAACTCCTCTTCAGCTCTCAGGCTTTCCTCCAGAGATTTATTCACAGATATATCTTGCTGCGATCGATTGACCACACCAATGAATCCAAGCTTTAGAGGATAAACCTTGCCCGTCAGAATGTCAAGAGCGTTTGTGCCATGGTCCATCAGGTCAAGTTTCGAGAGAATACCGATGGTTCTCTTCCCGAGAGGGTCGACCTGTCTGGCGAGCTTCAAGGATTCGGAATTCACGAGATCCACGTTGGCTGGAGAAACAGCTAGAATAATCGAGTTTGGCTTGGAAATGTATTCCAGAATAAGGTTTTTAATCTGTTTTTCGATGTCGGTTGGTTGGTCACCAATAGGAATTTTGGTAAGACCCGGCAGATCGACCATGGTCAAATTGAGGACTTTTGGGGAATAGATCTTCAAGTTGATCGGTATTCTACTGATCCCTTTATTTTTTCCCGCAATTCTTGAAGTTTCGTTTTCAATTTCCTTTCTGATGTTGTTGAAGTTGTAAAATCTCTTGCCAGGCAGATGCAAGAATTCTCCCCATTCGGCAGGTGCGACCTGACTGGCACCTGAATTTCTAAGATGATCCTCCAAAGTGACTTCCGAATGATCTTGGTCTGCCTCAAAATCCGATTTATGCACTAAAGGGTCATCCTCTTTGATATTGATCAACTGCAAAATCAAGGGCCGTCTGGTCACAATTCCGGTACCTCTAGGAAGGAAATCTTTGCCGACAATGTTCTCCAAAACGGACGATTTACCAGCCGACTGAGATCCAATGACTGTTAAGATGGGCAGGTCCAGATCGGTCAAGTTGGTATTGGTCACAATGTCCTGCAACTTGTTGACAGTGGGAATAAGGTCTTGCAATGCCGACATGATGCCAAATGTTACCAGTTTACACACAGATGCTATCGATGGAAATTCTTAACGTTTGGGTATACGGGAAGCTGGCCACTTGCTGATCAAATCTCTGATATCCACAGAAACGTGCAAATTGCTGGTATTTGATGCACAACTGGAAAATAAAGTATTGACAGAGAGCCAATCGAAGAAGAATTCGAGAGGGTAATATTTTTTTAGACTACTTACATCATGACAATAGTTTTGTCGTAGATTTCTTCCTCTTCACCAGCATCCCCAGATCTGTTACAGGCCGTTTGTTGGACTCTGGAATAGAAAAGGAGGCCGTTATGTCTTGTCTTCCTGTCATTTTTTGCAATTCAACACCGTACTCTAGCACTCTATCGTATATGGCTTCCACGTCAGAGGAATCACTGTAGTCAAACTCTGTGAACACTTTCTTGGCATTTTCAAAGTCTTTACCTTTTAGCATACTAAGAGGCCCCGGTGCAGACTCGTTGCAAGTTCCTGTGACTCCAATTAACCCAACAATGCGGCCGAGTCTGAACTCCTGTCTAAAAGCCAGCTCGGTCCAAAACTGACTTAGCGACACCTTTTTTGCGCGGTTTTCGACAACCAGGTGTTCCAAGAATCTCCCCTTCGGATCATCAGGAAGAAGCGGAATGTTATAGACGGCCAGGTCGTGAGATTTTTCCGGTCTGTTGTAAATGCTACCAATTTTCCAGTCATTTTCGGGGAAATACCTGCTGATTTGGCGAGGCTCCGAGTTGAGGATATCAACGTACTTCTGCGCACTCGTAAAAGACTTGTTGACGCTCAAATTGATCGATCTCAACCACCATTTGAGCAATCCTTCATCATCTAATATATGCTTGCCATCATTTTTATTGGAGTTAGGGAACAAGTATTGACTTTCTGCCCGCGTGAATAGCACCAGGTCTGTTCGACAATCGGAATTGGCGAGTGAAAGAAAGCGAGAGGGCACTCGGTAGCTATTCGATTCAACAATTTGAGGGACTCCGTAGTCTTTGTCTCCTTTGGCTCGTTCGACTAAAATATGCAAGGCTTTCTGAACTGGTGAGGTAAATGGAGGGTGAGGCTTGAGCACAGTTTTATACGTATGCTTCACTTTAAGATCTCTTAGGTATTGAGTGACTGGATATTCAAATAGCCATTCCAGTATTCGTTGTACCACTCTACCGAATTTCACCTTGGTCAGTCCTGTCGTGTCCACCTTTGACACATATATTGTGCGCTTCAGAGTCTCTGCAATTGTCAAGTATACGTACACCTCTGTTGCAAGCACTGGAGTTTGTTTGTGGAAAAGAACGATAAAATGAATTATCTTCACAGTGTGCGGACGCTCAGGCTGATACAAAACTGGTTTACTAAGCTTTGGAGTACTTTGCATGTTTGCAAGAGCAAAATGCTCATCTTTTGGCAGTACATCTTCAAGAGACTCTGCCAACGAGGTCATATCGAAATCATCAATACTTGATTATTATCTAGATATTTTTTTTTTTCGCGTCGTACCGACGCGTCGACGCTATGCATCTATATACTCGTTAGGATAGAAGATTAGTCGTTCGATTCCATCCTTTGTTAACACCACCAGACGAATCACACCACCAGACGACCCATCCCATCTGATAGCTTGCGAAAGCGACGTCTTGACAAATGATACCGTCTCCTCTTTAGTCATGTCTTGCTTGAAATTCTTCTTGCAATAACCGTAGATGAAGGCAGAACCAGAACCAGCAATTGCGTACTCGTGCTTGTGTAGCGACCCTCCTAGCGGAATGCTGTAAACTTGACCACCATTTTTCTCATCGTAGCCTGCACAAATGATACCTGCAGTAAGCATCTCTTTATTTGCGTAACACAGCTCTTGGAACAGCGAGGCGGCGATCTTGGTTGTTGGAGCTCTTCCGTTATTTGACTTGTACATCTCCAAGTGATATTTCACTATATCCGCGACTGCCTGAGTATCTGCTGCCGATCCAGACCGACAGCACCATATCTTATCGTGAATCTGTGTCAATTTGTCTGTCACTCTGTTGGCAATATAAGAACCCGTGGTGGTTCTACTGTCTGCACCCAAAATAACACCGTCTTTGAACTTCACTGCCATAATTGAGGTACCAAGGCTAACCTCGCCCTTCTTCAATTGTCCCACATCAACAGAGATGGAGTCCATGTTGTATAATTGAAAGTATTTTTTCGCCACTGAATAAGTATCAGTTTGGTGCAGAGATGGCCGGAACAAAGTCAAGCACCAAAAATTTTCATCTCTACAATTTATCGATAATGACCCTGCCAGCATTTGATTTTTCCAAGCTTTCGTCTCCAAATGATGCCTGGGGGCCTTCCAGTGTGATTCCTGATAGCTTACAGTTCAGTGGTGTTCCGTACGCTCCTTTCTCCAAGGCCGACAGACTGGGAAAGGCTGCTGACTGGCAACAGTCGAAGGAGGACGAGCTGAAACAGCAGCAGTTGAAAAACCAAAACCAAAAGCGCAAGGATCACTATCATGCCTATGGTGCTTCCGCTGCCAAGCTTTTTGGTGCTGAAGAAGAGGAGGAAGAGTTCAGCGTGGTGGACAACAGCAATGCCATTCCTGCCAACCAACAGACCGTTCTGCGGGGCAGAAACAGGGTCGCGAATCAGAAGCCAGGAGGAAAACCAGGCAATGTTGCCAGAAACCAACCTTCTCGTCCTCAACAAGGTCATCCGAATGCCAACGTGAATCCTAATTATAGAAATTTCAACAACAGATTCAAGAAGGACGACAAGGTCAGAGAACCATCTCTCAAAGTGAATCCGAAATGGCACTCAGTGTCCGAAATTGAATTCAACAAGCTCGCCAAGTTGAATCTGGAAGTCGGCGAAGGTACAGATCTGGAGTCTTACGGAAGCGTCCACGGCTATGTGAAGAAATTTGAATCTTTCAAGCAACAGGCATTGAGTGTTGTCGACAAAGTGATTCTGAATCCAACCACATCAGAAGACCCTGTGATCCAAAAATTGGCCAGCGATAAAAAAGCTTCTGTTTTCGTGACCGACTCGATTCTTTCTCAGCTGATGTGTGCTGCCAGATCGAGTTACTCCTGGGACATCAAGGTGACCAAGAGAGACGGAATCATTTATTTCGACAAGAGAGAAAACACTGATAGATTAGAGGTGGACGAAAACAGCTACAATGCCCCTATCGATCTTCCTGACTCGGATGTGAACAGCGCCTCAAACTTGTCTTTGGAAGCGACTTTCATCAACAACAACTTTTTGGCCAATTCTTTGGACTCTTCCGTGCAAGAGTTTGAACACCCTGAGAACCCATTTGCATCCAAGGCTACTAGCGAGTCGCTGCTGAACAAGGGTTACAAGTACAGGAGGTTCTTGCTTCCTTCTGTCAGCGACAACTCGCGAGAACTTGACATCATTGTGAGAACCGAGATCGACGCCTACTCCAGGGAGCAGAACAAGTATCTCTCTATCAATGCATTGAACCAGTACGCTCCGTCGCCATCCAACGACTGGAAGAATAGACTCAGTGGATCCAGAGGAGTTATCTTTGCTGAGGAAATCAAAAAGAACAACAACAAAATCGCCAGATGGACCACAAAGTCTCTACTGGCTGGAATAGACAGCATGAAAATTGGTTTTGTGTCCAGAGCAAATCCAAAAGACAATACCAAGCACATCGTGGCCGGCGCTTTGACTTTCCACCCATCTGGTCTCAGTGCCCAAATAAACCTGTCTCTTGGAAACGGCTGGGCTATTGTTAGGTCCATCTTGGACATTGTTGAAGCCGACGGAGGGAAGAGTGACTACACCTTCATCATCCTGAAGGATCCAAACTCTCCTAAAATTACGATTTACAAGGTTACAGAGTAAGTAATAAACGTAATCATGTTTCGTCGCGCTGTATAAATACGTTGTCCTCGTCCAGATATGTTCGCTCGGTGCGGGCTCGGCGTGTCGGAGTCGAGATGTCTCCCTTTTCGGGCGATCTTTGTTTGACCTGGCGATACTGGCTACGGCGCTGTTCGAGGTACATTCTTCTGACCCGTTCCGTAGCGGGAATCGAATTTGTCCGTGCAACAGCAGGCGTGCGCAGCCAGCGCCCGGGCGTCCCAAAAACAACGCCTGGCGTCTCCGGAACAGCTCCGTTAAAACGTCTGCGTTGGGCCAGCGGAGATAATGACGATACTTCGTTTGTGTCCACAAAGACGTCCTCTCTATTCTTTTTCTTTTCTTCGTAGCTGAATCTCCACATATCGAAAAATACTCTTTTTTTATTCCGAGACCATCTCTCTTTGAAGCGGTCGGCATTTCTCAGGTCATTCTGTATTTTGATCGCTTTGAGTGACATTTGAGATACAATATGAGAAAGGAGGTCGACATTGCTCACCTCCAGATGGTGATCGCATATTTCGTCAAGTTCCAAAACTCTATCATAAGCACGGAGCCATTTGTTGAACATTTTGGTTTCCAGAGACAACGTCCTAAAACTTTCCGCATCTTGGCCATCTCGATAGTAATCTTCCCACTTTTGCTTCCAGAGCTTGAACATTTTCGCTTCTGAATGCGACGTTTCATAGTCTGCGAGCTTGACTCGCAATTTCTTGCTCGTTTCTTGTACCGTTTCGAATGCTTTAATCCAAGCTACCATAACCGTGGAGATGAGTTTCCTCTTGTGTTCTTCATCGTGCTCTAATCGCCACTCCTCAGCTCGCACTAGCATATCACGAGAGTGGGCCAGCTTCGAAAACCAAAATCTCAAAAATGCTTTTTTCGTGAATATCAAGTGAAGCTCTTCGGCCTTCCGGCGTTGTTTGAGTCGTTCGACAGCCAACGAATGCCAACTCTCAAACGTCTTTTGCGTCAACGTGTCAGCTACACCTTGCAAAAATACATCTTCCCGCGTGCGTAATCGCCATCTTTGCATGTATTTCTTCAAGATTATCGCCTCTTGCTGGCGATACACCTTCGACTCCTGAAGGACCAGCTTCCAATGGCTCAAGACTCTTTGAAGTAGGGCCTGTCTTCTAAAATCGTCTGCAACAGAAAGCAGTCGCTGTGCTTTATTCCACTTATTGAAGAAATTCTCCAAGAGATCAGCATTTCGTTTTTGAACATACTGTTTGTAAACTTTCTGCTGCTGATGAAATTGCTTCCAGTTTTCGAAAATCCAATGCACCAGGTGTCGATTGTTATTCCTGCATACCTCCTCTTCTAAGACATGAAGATTGTATGCCATTACCCATCCGTGGAAGTAATTGGATTGAACAAATCGGTCTTCATAATATTGCAGCCTTTTTGCTTTATCTATTCCTGGAGCTGATTCACTGTGCCAGACATTGAAATAATGCGACTTGAGAAGCATCTCTCTAGCTTGGTCAGCTCTCCATATGAGTTGACGATGGTTTCTGAGCTTCTGATGCCATCTGGTTAACATCAGTTGAAGCGTCATTTTGTCATTAATATCCGAGAGCTTTGAAGTACGAGCTAGTGAAGCAGTCCTCCAAAGCCTGAAGAATTTTTTCTTAAGGAAATAAGACTCCTTACCATAGGGACTAGCGCAGCCTTTGAAACGCTCAATTTCCTGCTTCCATTTGAAAAACATCTTGGAAACGGTGAACAAATCCGCTTGATGTTGGGTTTCTGTTTTTCTTTCCAGTTTCTGGACCCATTTCTGAACGTGATTCTTGAGGAGCATTGTGTTTCGGAACTTAACTGCATCTTGATTCTTGACCAGATAGAGCTGGCTCTTGTTGTACCATCTTTTCAAAAATGTTGAGGTGACCGATTTTCTCCAAATGTTCAAGAGCTCGCGGTCTGTTCGCACGTACGTCATTGAATCAAACCAGAGTCTTAGATATTTGCTTTTGAGCTCAACTTCGTGTTTGACACACACCAGAGCATATCGCATTGCCACAGACGGTAACAGCTGTCCACGAAACGAGAAAGCCCTTGAACTTGGAATGAGAGACAAAGCCAACAGGTCTTCTACGAAAGAGTCGGGCGTGATTTCTCTGTTGCTCCATTTGAGAGTGGCCCGTTTGACATCTTGGTAGTACATATCCTCGCTTAAACTCTTTCCGTCTTCCTTCAACAAGTCAATGTATTTCTCAAATATACGCGAAAACCACCTCACAGACAAAGGCGCTTGTGCGTGTTCCAAATACCTTGCTAGCAGTCGATCTAGCAAGCTCAAAATCTGTGTAATATCATCATCATCCGTACTGCGTTGATCATCATGCATCAATTGTCGTATTATAGGTTTCAAAATGGGAATGATCGGATAAAGCGAGAGATAGTCGTCAATTTTCTGTTCGAGAACATCTCGTTTCTGTGAGTTGCGAAGAGGATATTTGATGATATTGAAGATGCGCAAATGAAATTCACTGACGAGCTGCAGATCATATATCACCTTGATACGATTGATGGTCATAAAGGTATCCACCGTAAGTTTTGCTGCTTTCTGAATTTTTGAAGGTGTTAGTGCTCCAGAGGGGAGGGATGCCGTCAGCATCAACAAGCTCTGCTTATAACATGTGTTGAACGACTCGTTGTTTGTTTCGAACATGAGTGGAACCAGCGATTCTTCTTCCTTCATTAGATCACTATTAGTGTCCTCCAATAACTGTCCAGCTTTTCTATGGTAATATACTTCATACTTGTAAGCTTGCGACACATAGTCCATCAGACGTGACTTTGTAGAGAGATTTGACACAACGCTTTCCAAATCAAATAAAACCAGCCTAATCTTGTTTATCATGCTCAATTCCTGTGTGATGTTGCGTTGCAAATGAGGTCCTGTTTCCTCCTCAATGGAGCGTATCAATGATTTGGTTAAAAGCACATCACCGACAGCATTTTGCACTGGAAAATCGGTGTCAAGGTCACTGCCGCTCAGACAATGGAAGCTCGCTCGTCCAAGATGCGACCGTATCTCCAAACTCAAATTGGTATATTGTAGCCGATCAAACAAGTGTTCATCGATTCCTAAGATTACCTGCCAGAGAATCCGAATTTCTCTTAATTTCCTTGTATCCACATCGGAGCTAGAGCCAAGCTCATTTAAGGCACGAAGAAGATCCAGCAGATCGTCTAGATCGTGCACATTCGGCTCATGTGCCATGGGTTCTATCATTTATTATTAAATGATCATGAACAAAGCGCGTTCAATTATTTATTATTTTTTTCTTTGGAGAAATCAAACGGCTGGAACTTTTCCCGAAAAATATCCTTTTGAGACGCTTCCTCCAGCAGAGTCTCTCTGCATTTATCCCAAATAACTCTGCGTCCTAGTTTCATTAGAAATGCCAGAACTCTACGCGGGAACTGAAGATCAACGTTATCTTCTATCAGCTCAAAAACGTACGTGGTCTCAGAATCTGGACCAACTATGCGAATCTGCATATAATCCCCGTTGTTGATTAGTTGGGAAAGCTTCTCACTTTCCATGTCCTTGGTGTAAACTAGGTTGGAGCCATACTTTTTCTGATTATATGCGATCTGTTTTTTCATCTGTGTCTCAAAATGTTGCTCAAGTTTGGCTTCCAAGGGAACGAATTGAATGTGATGATGAATGGCATTTGTTCTAGAGATTTCCCAAAAGACCACTTTGTAGTCGCCAAGAGATGTGAACATCGAGACGACGGACTTCTGGTACTGTTCGATCTCCCTGAATAATTTAGTTTCCTCAACTTTCTTCTCAGGCTCTTCGGCATCTCTGTATTTACTGAATGCGGGATAGTGACCAATTGGGATGATTAAGCCATGGCCTGAGAACCCTAATTTGTCTCTTGTAGTTAAGGGACCCTTGGCAACAGTCATGTATGAATAGTCCGCGATCGAAATGATCATATGTAGTTCAGCTTTAGGATTGGAGACACAGAAAAAACAATTGTCGGGCGCAACGTTTCTCTTCTCTCGCTTTACCTTCACCTCCTGAGGGCCTTCAAGCTTCCTCTTGTGACTCTCAATTTCAAAAGGAGCTTCTTTTTGCCTTATTTGAGGCTTCTCGCCAAATTTCGCCACTCCTTCTTTGTCCATTAGAGGATCGAGGTTTAAATTAAAAGCATAGTACCACTTATCTTGGGTCCCTTGTTGTCCTAGGCTGATGAATCTTGTAACACGGTCATCATCCCATTTGAACGGTAATCGCTCGAAAAATCTGCCATTGTTAGAGCCGACGCAGAACCAGTATCGGGGGCGAGTCCATTCGAGCAGATCATTCAATCTAGAATCTCCCACCAAAGACAATTTCTCTTCTTTGGCAATAGTGGTTGGCCATTGGTAGGTTACAAGGATGTCCAGGAACTGGTTTGCAAATACCTTTTCCAGGTCAGATTCAATGTCATCCAATTTACCAGACACATAGCCAACACGAATGCCGCTAGCTAATCGAAGAATTCCGCATTGTTTCATGAATTTGAGTTTGGACTTTTCGCTGCCTTCATATTTTCTTACTCCTTCGAAATGGAAAATCGACGCAACAGGCTCATCGAGATCTTCAGGGAGAGAACCATCTTCGGTAATCACATCTCCAAGAAAGAAAATTCCATCAAATGGTCCGTGTTTTTTATGCAGATTGTTCGAGATCCTCACTGCTTTTGAAATTTCCGTTGGAGACGGATTTATTGCGAGTCTAGAGGTCAGAATCTTATCATTTGGGTACTTACATTTTGACTGAATTCATCAAATATTATAGAATTAGTCCCTTGATATTTAGTTTTTAGTGAAAAAAAAAAATAAAAAAAAAGATCCTAGATTTGTGGGGATCCAACAACTGATTGTAACAGAAACTCCAAATAATATTTCTCCTATTTATTCTCTCGCGATCAGTACAGTGTTCCAAATGGCTCAGTGTATCCGTGATACTCCCTAAAGCTATTCTGAGCATTAAGTAATAGCGGTGACAAAATGTTATTAGGGTTCAAATTTGGATTTCCCTTGTGCTTGAAAGTGAAGCCCACAAAGCTCTTTTGATCGGTCTTCACGCTGTTATGGCTCAATTTCTCATCGTTAGCACGCTTGGCCATAACCTCTTTATATTTTGCCATATCGTTTTCATTAGTGAAGTCATCGAAGTATCCAGCGTCCTCTTCATCGTCCAACTGAGGCGTGAATGGTGGCACACGATCCCTCAATGATTCCCATTTGACTTCAGCGAAATATGGCATAGACATGATTTGTTTGAAAGAGCGCAATCTCTCATTGGGAGATGCAATGAGACGAGTGATCAATTGCCAGGTGCGGTCACTGAAAACGTATCTGCCGTCTTCGTATCTCGGTCTTTTGAGACAGTCTTTCCATCTCTTCAAATTGCTATACGTCTCATCTGAAGAGCTTCCTGAAAATGGGGTATATCCAACAATAGCCTCGAACAACATACATCCCAGGGACCAATAATCAATGGTGTAATCGTATGACTTACCTTCGAGCACCTCGAGGGCCATGTAATCAGGGGAGCCAACAATCGAGTGGGCAAAGTGGATCTCGTTATTTCTCAAGGACTTGTACATCTGCTGTCTTTCCTTGACCGTGTGCTCCTTTGGCTTGTACTCAAGATTCTTCACTTGGCTGAGGCGGAGTTTCATACTCTCGATTCTATCCGTTGAGACAGATCCAGCAGCTAAACCGAAATCGGTCAGCTTGACATGGCCCTTGGAGTCGATTAGAAAGTTTTCTGGCTTGAGGTCTCGATGCGTGTATCCAAGCTCATGAAGAGAATTGACCGCTGCAAACATCTCGCTGATGTAGAATCTTGCGTGCTGCGGAATCAAATACCCAGCGTTGTTCAGCAGAGTACGGAAATCTCCTCCCGGAACGAACTCCATGGCCAAGTACACACTCTCAGCATCCTGGAATGCATAATAGAGCTTCACGAGCCATTCCGAGCGGGTGTTTGTCAAGATATCTCTCTCGGTCAGAACATGTCTGGTTTCATCGGTTTTGGTGAGAAGCTTTTTACTTAAAACTTTGAGAGCACAAATCTCCTTAGTATCCTTCTTCCTTGCGAGGAAAACTTGTCCATATCCTCCCTGCCCAACTTGCGTGATGATGTTGAAATCTTTGTGTTTAGGCTTGATTCTTCTTTTCCTCAGATATGCTCGCTCTTTGCCAACATAGTTCTTCCACTGCTGCGCTCTTTCCGAAGGTGGAAGCATTTGCAATGCCTCTTCCACCTGGCTCAATCGGTGTCTTCTGTTGATGACATAGTCAAACATGTCGCAATAGTAGTCCAAAAAATACATCTGTGAGACAGTCACCAGTCTCTTTGTCTGGGCACTGTTTGCCTTGATATAGAAGTCTCTATTCAGTCTTGGAGTCTGGGTGACTTGCATTTGAGTAACCGCAGAACGTGGTGTTCCGTACGTTGGCAACGGTGGATGAACATTGTTTCTACTAGGAGTGGCAGGCGGGGTGTTCTCCTTATTGTACTGCACCCGCTGCATCCCTTGAGGATCAAAGCTTCTGTTGGGAGAGCTGGAAGTCGACATGTAAGAAATGTAGGAAGTATCCGCTGCGCCCTGCTGGTTTACCGTGGTAGGAGACCCAAAATTCAGGCTCTCCACGTCCCGCGAAAGGTCCTCCACGTAGCTGTTGTCAGCCTTGGGGGTTCTGTTAAAAATGCCGCCAATCAGTGTCATTGACGGAAGAGCAAATACTTGGAACGATCAAAACCTCAAACCGGACCTATTTACGCATTTTTAAATATTAAATGTTTACAGTTATCCTAATTCGGATTTTGTCGAGCGATCTAAAATTCGTGGCGCACGCGGTGGCACAGCACGTGCTCAGGTGGCTCCAGGAAGCGTCTTCTGTAGCTTGGTCCTATCGTGGCCAGTGTCTTCTGGTAATTCCAATTGCCGCTTGCGGGCTATTTTCTCGTCGTCAAGAAGCTGTGCAACTTTGCTCGTAGCCACCGACTTGTTCCCTGAGAACTTCTCCAGTTTGGAAGCAGCTGCTTTGGACAGCTGAGGCCGTGCTTTGCCGACGATAGCACGCGCCGAAAGCTTTCCAATCATACCCATTCCGATCTCCTCACCAAAGGCATCGTATTTCGTTTCTTCCTGTTCACCAAATGCCATCCTGTTCTGTGCCTTTTCCAGCTCCGACATTTCCATCTTTTCTTTCTGTTTGCGGAACCTACGACCAGCCCGCTTCTTTGACTTTTGATCCACGGGCCTGGGTAGTGGTTTAATCGGCTGCGCATCTGGTGGACTGGCCAGCTTGTCTAGATGCTCACTGAGTTGTTCTCTTGTCCGCAGTCCAAAGGAGTCGTCGGAAACGGACTTTCGCGCATTTGAGTAGTCGACCCTAGCGGCTAGAATCAGCTTGCCCGCAACCATGCGCACAGCCTTCACTCGAAGATCCTCCGAGACGGACTGTACAAGGTCGCAGTAATACAAGTACCCCTTGTTTCGCGTACCTGCTGTACCCTTCATGAACGAGGATCTGTTGGCTCCCATAGACGGTATATTACATGATGGAACTTTGCAAAGGCCCTCCAGTCCGTACACTGATAGAAATTGGGCGGCCACTGTGGGGCCCACCAGAGCAGTCACATTTGGAGCTATACTTTTGGCTCTGCGAGAAACATGGTTTTTGATTTCTGTTCTGGCAGCTTCCAGTTCGAGAAGAAGGTCGCAGGCGTCTGATATGAGTTTCAAATGGTGCTGGTCGAGATGATGGCTATGGCTTGATTGTCTTAGAACAGATGCAGAGACAGTGAGCCCGAGAATCTCATCTTTACGGAGATATTGCTCAAAGAGTTCCGGGGCATCAATAAGTTTCGACGGGTTTCCTAGAATAATCCTTACTGTGCGAGCATAATTGTACGGATTTCGTAGTAAGTCATCGAGTTCTGGCCAAACTGGTTTATAATGGACAGTGATGAAAGAATATATTTTGCCAATCTCTTCGTTCATATCGTCCAATAGATCGTTGGAATTCTGTAGGAGGCTGTCCTCGGTTTTAGAGTCTTGTTTCTCGTAATATCGCAACTTTTCCTTGAATTCGTTAACTCTTGGTAATATATGAGAGTATTTCCTAATATCTGTGATATGACTCAGATCTGGAACCGATATCAGCTGCTGAAAAGAAGGCTGCTGATCATCAGCATCCTGGAGCTCAACACCAGACTCTTGGCCCTCTTCCTCAGATGAATAGCCTGCCAAGAGACTATCAGCAAGACCCATCTAGAATATGTCTTATAAGGACCGGGTAAGTAACTTTTTTTTTTCCTCCTTCGTTGATAATTGAATCTAAAATCTTTTGACTCTTCTTGATTGTCAATAGTTTATGCTATTGAGCAGGTATACAGCCAGAATTAGTGCTTGTATACGAGGAAAACTGAACATACCGAGAGCTTTTTCCATATCCAGAATGAGTGAAGGACAAGCAGCACCACAGGATCCACCTAAATCGGCCAAGGAGCTAGAGAAGGAAAGAAAGAAGGCCGAGAAAATGGCCAAGTTCCTTGCAAAGCAGGCCAAACAACAGGAACTTGCGAAGAATGCCGCCAAAAACCAAGAGAAAAAGAAGAAGGATACAAAGAAGGAGGCAGAGCCAGCTCCTGAGTTTGTTGACAAGACTCCTCCTGGAGAAAAGAAGATATTGGTCAGTTTGGAGGACAAGTCGTTTTCTGCTTATAATCCAAAGGCCGTTGAATCGTCTTGGTACCAATGGTGGGTTAAGCAAGGATATTTTGAGCCAGAATTCACTGAGGAAGGCGAGATCAAGCCAGAAGGCTTATTCTGTATTCCTGCCCCTCCACCAAACGTCACGGGTGCTCTACACATAGGCCATGCCTTGACTGTTGCCATCCAGGACTCGCTGATTAGATACAATAGAATGAAGGGTAAGACCGTGCTATTCTTGCCAGGTTTCGACCATGCCGGTATTGCTACTCAATCCGTTGTGGAGAAGAATTTGTGGGCCAAAGAGAAGGTAACTAGACACGATTTGGGCCGTGACGCATTTGTGGAAAAAGTGTGGGACTGGAAGGAAATCTACCATAAGAAAATCAAGTCTCAGTTCCAAATGATGGGTGCTTCGTACGACTGGACCAGAGAAGCCTTCACTCTCAGTCCAGAGCTTTCGGAGGCAGTTACCGAGACTTTTGTCAGACTGCATGAAGAGGGAACCATCTACCGTGACTTGAGACTGGTCAACTGGTCTGTTCAGCTCAGCACTGCTTTGTCCAATTTGGAAGTCGACAACAAGGTTGTTCCTCCTAGAAGCCTGCTCTCTGTGCCAGGCTACGAGAACAAAGTCGAGTTTGGTGTTCTGACGTCTTTTGCTTACCCTGTCGTTGACTCAGACGAGAAAGTTGTCGTTGCTACCACGCGTCCAGAGACCATCTTTGGTGACACGGCTGTTGCTGTCCATCCAAATGACCCTAGATACACCCACCTGCACGGAAAGTACGTCCAGCATCCATTTCTCGACAGAAAGCTGCCGATAATCACCGATGCAGAGGCTGTGGACATGGAGTTTGGTACTGGTGCTGTGAAGATCACACCTGGCCACGATCCGAACGATTACAACACAGGTAAAAGAAACAACCTTGAATTCATCAACATCTACACTGACGATGGCAAGCTGAACTCCAACTGTGGTGAGTGGGAAGGTATCAAAAGATTTGACGCTAGACCACTGGTCATTGAGAAGTTGAAGGAAAAGGGCCTTTACGTCGGCCAAGAGGACAACGAGATGACGTTGCCAATCTGTTCAAGATCTGGTGATATTATTGAACCTTACCTGAAGCCACAATGGTGGGTTGCACAAAAGAAAATGGCCCAAGCGGCCATTGACGCGGTCAAGAGTGGAGAAATCAAGATTTCTCCAAAGAGCTCCGAGGCAGAGTTCTTCAGATGGCTAGAAAACATTCAAGATTGGTGTATTTCGAGACAGCTCTGGTGGGGACACAGATGTCCAGTCTACTTTGCAAACATCGAAGGAGAAAATAATGATAGAAATGATGGCAAATTCTGGTTCTCGGGCAGAAACGAAAAGGAGGCACGTGAAAAAGCAGAAAAAGCGTTCCCTGGCAAGAACTTCACTCTGGAACAGGATGAGGACGTTCTGGATACCTGGTTCTCGTCCGGATTGTGGCCGTTCTCCACCTTGGGCTGGCCTCGCAAGACCAAGGACATGGAGAAGTTCTATCCGATGTCTATGCTAGAGACTGGTTGGGATATTCTTTTCTTCTGGGTGTCGAGAATGATCATGCTTGGTATCAAGATGACTGGCACCGTGCCTTTCAAAGAGGTGTTCTGCCACTCGCTCGTTCGTGATGCACAGGGAAGAAAAATGAGTAAATCTCTTGGTAATGTGATTGACCCGACCGACGTGATCCATGGTATTAGCCTAGAAGACTTGCACAAACAGTTGCTAGCTGGTAACCTTGATTCCAGAGAAATCGAGAAAGCCAAGGCCGGCCAGAAGGAGTCGTATCCGAACGGTATTCCAGAGTGTGGTACTGATGCTTTGAGATTTGCTCTTTGTGCCTACACCACTGGTGGACGAGACATCAACCTGGATATTTTGAGAGTTGCAGGATACCGTAAATTCTGCAACAAGATTTTCCAAGCTACCAAGTTTGTGCTGATGCGACTGGGCAACGATTACACTCCCCCACCTACTGGTGCTCTTAATGGAGGAGAGTCTCTTGTCGAAAAATGGATCTTGCACAAGCTGTCCGAGTGTTCCGATAAGGTGAACAAAGCTCTTGAAGAGAGAGAGTTCTACGATGCCACACAGGCCATTTACAACTTCTGGTTGTACGATCTTTGTGACGTTTACATCGAGAACTCCAAGTTCTTAATTTTGGAAGGAACAGATTCCCAGAAGAAATCTGCCAGAGACACCTTGTATACTTGTATCGACGCTGCTCTCAGACTTATCCATCCATTCATGCCATTTGTGACGGAAGAAATGTGGCAAAGACTTCCTAAAAGATCAACTGAGAAGAGCGAGACAATTGTGAAGGCCGCATACCCAGAATACGTCCAGGAGTATGACAATAAGGAGGCCTACGAAGCTTACGAGTTGGTCTTGGAAATCACGAAGAACGCCAGATCGTTGCTCTCTCAATTTAACATCACAAAGAACGCACAGGTCTTTGTTGAGGCTTCTAGGCCGGAATATGCTGCCATCGCCAGAGAGCAGACCGACTCTATTGTGTCTTTGATCAAAGCTGTTGACGGCATCACTGTCGTGACGGATGTCAAGGAGATTCCAGACGGATGTGCTCTTGCAGCTGTTGTTCCAGGATGCAACGTTCACTTGCTTGTGAAGGGAATGGTCGACTTGGATAAGGAAATTGAGAAAGTTGTCAAGAAGTTGAACAAAGCCAAGGGTGCTCTGAATAACCTAGAAAAAATGATTAATGCTCCTGACTACGAAAAGAAGGTTTCTAGAGAAGTCCAGGAGAAAAACAAGACGACTCGCTCTAACCAGTTGGCTGAGATTGAAGGTTTCGAGGCCACTATCAAGAACCTCGAGAGATTGAAGCTTTAAATATATAGTAAATCATAATTAATGATAAATTAGGCTTTCCATATATAATTCTGCGACACGTGACTTGAGATCACCTGTCTTATCTGCTGGAAATTCAAGTGTATCTCTGATGCGGAACGGTCGAGCACGTCAAACAGCTGTTTCTGCGTGAAGGTACCCAATCCGTCGCAGAACAAAAGATTGTCAATCTGGTGATTTTTGATGGAATAAACGACGACGAAGTGAGAAAACGAGCCGCACAAGTCTGAAGAAGTGGGTGACGTCTTGATCTCTCCTTCAGTGCTGATACTACAACATGTAGCCATAAACGATGATTTGAGCGAGATTCCACTATTGATGAGAGCGACGAAAACGGAGTTTATGATTGCAACTAGCTGTCTTGCTGTGTATTCTTTGGGTTCACCGTTTTTCAGAATTTGAACCGCAATCTGTATCGTTTGGCGCGGGTATTGGTCCAGGTTTATCACAGTTGGAAGAAGCTGGCCCAATTTGTGTTCTAATAGTGTTTCCCTCGTAGATGGTACGCCAGAGGATGGTCTGATGTTGATGTCCAAATATGCTTTAGTTGGCAGCTCATTTCTGGGTCTTGCAGACTCGATAGGTCCTGTAACAGAACTAATCACTTTGGTGGCTCCAAACTCATACGATGCGGATCCGTCCACCTGATTTAGCGGGTCGTTCTCGACTATGATCGACATGATGAAGCGGTGTTGAGATGTCAAAAAAATTTTAGAAAAATATTCTTAAAGCATAATCCTTATTACCATGTCCGAAGAATGCTTCCCGCTCGAAAGCATTTTGCCGTACATGGAGGGAGCTAAGATAGAAGAATTAGATTTTGTTTACCTTCTCAGCACACTAGCGCGCTCATCGACCATTTTGAATGCATCCAAAACAGATCTCAACCATTTATGTGCCAGGGTGAACAACTATCTAAGCTCTAACAATGTCAGGTATCGCTGGATAGGCTCGAAATTGGCAATTGTACTCAATACTCATATTGAGATCACAGCTTCGGAGTACACATCCAAGTATTTGGGGGCTTTGATCAAAGCTCTCGAGTCCAAATGTTTCATTAAAGACGAGGCCTCTGCCCCAGTCTATGCAATTGTGACACTCGAAAGCTGCTGTGATGCCCTATCATTTATCATAGGAAATATCAGAGGCAAGCATGCACTGACTCGGGAAGTGCTAACTCCCAAACTGCCCTCAATAATTGGATCGCTGCTTGAGATCATCCATCTGGTTCCACTAAAAGCTATTGATCTTTTATATGATCTGTTGAAAAACAACTCCACCACCTTCCGTCCCTTTGGTTCGAAGTTTGAAAGAGCACT